TTTTTTTTTTTTTTTTTTTTTTTTTTTTTTTTAAAAAAAAAAAATTGCTCTTGATTCGAGTCATATCTCGATTCGAAGAACTGCTTTTTCGAATTCTATGTGCATTGGCAACAACTCCAAGTAATATGTTACGACCGGATGGTTTCCGGCACGGGTACAGACAACAGGGATATATCATCTCATCCAGCTTTGATCAATTGATATTCTTTCGTTCTTCGGCGGCCTCATGCACCACCAATGAAACCCCTGCTTGCCAGAGCCAATCTCCACGCACAAGCCAACCTTACCGCCCGCTCCACGTGCTCGAGCGAACCATGCCATTCAGACTGGGCTGTGCCGACAAGGGTGTATTCAGCTCAATTTTATTTCCTTCCCCGCCACCTTATTTATTTCTTCTTCCTCGAGGAAGAACCATCCTCGACACATTCGAGAGGCAAAGTCGCGTTAATGCGGTAGACCCTCCGAATATGGCCTCTGAAATCCCGGAGTGCACGCGGTCGTGCTTGCAGGATGCAGTCAACCGTGTTGGGTGCCGGGACCTCGAAGACACGGCATGCTACTGCACCCCAAAAAATCAACAAGCGATGAATTCCGATTCCACCGCTGTATCCTGCATCTTGGGCGCCTGTCCCTCTGAAGAGCTTAGCAGTATGCTTTCAACGGCTTATGTCCCCGATTCGTCCCCTCACAGTCAATCGCGTATAGTGACAGTTGATGCTAACGCCTGCCTCTATCGTTCTTAGCGGTAGTATTTTCCCTGAGCCTAATATGCCTCGGAGTTGGATCGAATCCGTTTACGGTGCTTCCAACGGTGCTTCCGACAGGGCTCCCAACAGCATTCACGATCCCAGAATTCACAATTCCGACCAGCGAGACCACACCCACCAGCGCAGGCAGGGAAGCTGGAGGCCAGGACAACCAGGGCTCGGGAAGAGGCCTATCGGCGGGAGCGAAGGGCGGGATTGCGGCGGGTGTTATAATCTCTGCCATTCTACTCCTAGGCGCTCTCTTCCTATATCTTCGAAGTCGGCGCATTTCCAAATCCACCCCGACCCTTCCTGCGGCCGGTATGGCTCCGGCCCCAGCTCCAGTGGAACATCTGCCTCCCGACCCAGCATCAGGGCCTCCTCAAAAGACCTATCTACCAATATCTGTCCTAGGACCCACAATCTCTCCGCAGCGGCCTCCAGCCACCGAAGTTAATCTGCCATTTGCTGCGCAGGGGCAGATGCCGCAACTACCGCAACGGGACTACACTCCTATGAGCAATACTAGCACTGTCCACGAACTTGGAACTACGACCCATCACTCGGGACAAACAGACCCAGCAGAACTGGGTGTTGGCGGTGTTGTTCCTGGAGTCTATGAGCTGAACACCGCACAACAGATACACAGGGCGTCTGAACTAGAAGGAAGCGGCCGCCCAGCCCAACGGTTTGGGTGAATGCAGGATCGCAAATATAAAGTATATTACGGGAAGTTCTGGAAAACTGTGTGGGGAAAAGTCACTATTATCATCAAGAGGCATAAATATAATAACCTAATCTGTTAGGACGTGGGGCTCTCGCCCGCAATATGTACTATGCATGCGGTTTGACAGTAGTACGCGTATATCGCGAAACGCATGGTTATATATGGGGCATTCCCTATCGTTCTTGACACTGCATCCGTTCATGTGCCCACTTTACATTAAATATTGCTGTCACTTCCGTGTTAGAAACTAAATCTAGGAAGCCAGGTACTTCGGCCCGCGTCTCACCCCAACGTAGTCTCTGCGACCTTTACTCTTTACCGACTTGTGCTGCCAATGACCATAGGACATCCATCCACTCAGTTCCTTGGGAATGGATCCAGATTGAGACTTCTTGGGCTTACGACCGAAGTGTTCGGGGTAGCATTGATATGCGAAGGGAAAAGAAGGTGATACATATAATAAATCCAGTACTACCCGACTCTCCACGATATCACAATCTTAACTCAAATGACACCGAAGTTCCAACCGTTCCCCAGATCTACCACTTTATTCCTTCTGCCAGTCCCCTCAAGGTGCCCAACGCCAAGCTGGGTGTTTCCACTCCAGATTTTCTATCTCGGCTTGAGACAGACCGCTTAACTCCTGGTCGACATCTCTCTTCTCTCGCCTTCGGTTATCCCAGTTCATCCATAATGATGTGAGTATGCCACAAACCAGAATACCGCTTGCTGCCCCAAGATTAAGCCCGTTGCCAATTTTATAGTCAGGAGCGTCCCATTTGATATAGGACCAAGTAGAAATTAGTCCACCAACATTTCCAAACATCATATTAGTGGCCAAGGACATGCTTCGTGAGGTATCCGAGATGACTTGTGCAGAGACCTGGGCATTCGTCAAGGGGCCCATGGCGAATGTGCTAGACGCAATAAGGAACGTAGCAGCGTATCGTACTTTTCCATCCGTAGACGCCAAGAACATGAGAAAGCCACTCATAACCATAGGAGCAGAGAGGATCATCCAGATTTGCCGCTTGTCGGTGATCCAGCTCAGGGCTGGGAGAAGGAGGGTGAAGAATGCGCCGACGATATAAGGCGGAACCGTGGCTAGTTGTTTCTGGACAACAGTATGCGTCGGGTAAATGGTTGAGACAATGGTAGGCAAGAAAAATGCTAAGCCCTGCACTGTAATGTTGCAGAGAAGGAAAAGCCAAGAGGTCGCAAGGACAACGGGGTTCCAGATGCCCAGCCAGGCCTTTTTGTTGTCATACTTGTCCAAGAGAGCAGTCTGCGCGACACGCTCCGACTTCACACGGGCAATGGCAAGGTCCTTCTCCTCTTGGGTTAACCAGCGAGCTGTCTCGGGTCTATCCGTGATGGTAATAAATGCGATAAGAGCGATGCCAATGGTTATGATGCCCTCGATGGCAAAAATCATGCGCCATTCTGTCAGGCTGCCAAACTTTGGTAGTCGCAAGATCGCCGACGCTAAGAAACCTCCAAAGGCTCCAGCTAAGGGGACCATGACGACATACAGGGAGAGGCGGAATGCTACAGTAAATCTCAGAGGTTAGTTTCTTCCACAAGAATACGCGATGTTCAAGCCAAAATCTCTGCACTTACCGAGTTCCGAACGCCTGTACCACCTTGAAAGATAGTACGAGGTGCCTGGCATCATCCCACTTTCGAAAATCCCCAAGACGAACCGAACACCACAAGCCTGAGGGAGATCATTCACGAACGCCGTCCCAATCGACGCAATTCCGAAGCCAAGGGCCAAGATGGGGAGGAACCAACCGGGCCCCATCCATTTGCAGACAATATTAGACGGGATTTCGAAAAGAATGTAGCTGATGTAGAAGATGGAAAGCAGCTGGTTATAGTCGTAGGTTCCTGTCATTCCCAAGTCTTTTTCTAACCCAGCAAGTCTTGCATTTCCTTTTGCCAGTGGGTTAGCTGCCGGATGTTGGTTGTACTTCAACTTCAGGGGTAAGGTGGCGTACCGATGTTCGCACGATCAATAAAGCAAAAGAGGTAGATGAGCGCAACGGTTGGGATGACCATCAAATCAATCTTCCATGTCAGTCGCCTTTCGGCGGCTTTGTCAAACTGGACAAGGGATACACCGTATCTAGGGGGCGTCAGTAAGTGTTGCCTATGATGGGCTGAGCCGAGTTGGGTTTTGTAAGCGAGTAGTACCTGTCAGTGGCTACGAAACCACTCTCAGCCGCAGCATGAATATTGCTCTCATGGTGGGTTGCTTCAGCCGTGTCACTAATAATTCCTTTCTCGTTATCAGATTCAGAAACCAGAATGGTCTGGTTTGTTGTTGGGGGCGCCATGGCGACGTCCGTGGCTGTGTGCGGTGATCAATACTCTGGCTGTGAGCAACGGTGGTAATTTTAGGAGAAAGACGCGTTGACACTAGCTTCTCGGCCAGGGGGGATCGTCCAAAATGTGAGGAGATGTAGTGATATTTAACAATATTCAAGAATGATGGAATGGAGTTTCACAAGGGACATAGAGATTACGGGGTTATATCGTATTTAAACAAGATCCAGCCACTGTGGATGGTAGATCCTCTTCATCTGAGATCTTCCCGGAATCCGGAATCCCCAATTTTACCCTGGTAGACCGACCTCCCACTACGACAGATTACGACCTCTTCATGACCAGTTTTGGGCGTGTCTGTACTTGGCAACAGGGGTTGAGGTCGTCCAGGCCTTTCAGAAACCATACTTCTGTTCCACAAGAGGGATAGCGTCCTTTTCCCCGCTTCCCAATTCCGGGGTAGGCACTGTGGGGTGCATAGCTGCGATCTTGCTCTTCGGAATTACTCTCATCTTCATTGGATCAAATTACGTCTCTCGGAATCCTTAGATTTGTCGTCATTTCATTCAGAGTCAGCCAGGTCCGGGAGTGACATCCTCTATTGAATTTTAGCATTGAGCATGGCTCCATTCGGGAACGAAGATACGCCCGCAAGCATCTTTTGGGAAAGAGGGTTACCAGGACTGCTCTCCCAAAAAGTAAATTTGGGGGACGCAACCAAGGGTTGTAGGAATAGGGAGACGAGACAAGATCTCGAGACGCCGGTGGTCCTGTGGTTTCGATTGTCGTTGGAAAGCCCTGAAAATCGGAGAGAGGGGCGAGCACGGCAAGGAGAGTTTGATATATTATTTTCAATGTATCAACATGCAGTAGGCCCCAAACGATATATACATTGTCTATCCATTTAAGAAAACATGGCTCCTTACTCTTAAGTCCGCCGGAGAGAAAGTTAGAAAGTAAAGATGTTATCCTGAACGTTTAGAAAGTCTTGCATGTCCGCGAAGAAAATGTATGGAAATGTGTCTAGGTTCCCAACTTGGTCTTTTGCGGCACTCCTAACAATCACACCCGACTCGCCAAACGAAGGTGAGGATTCCATAGTCAACGGCGGCTGGGACGGATAAGAAGCCTCTGTAATACGTTGGAATCCACTGTCGTTAGTCATAGGAGCCAGCTCTGCTCGGCCTGACTGAGGCGTCCTCATAACTGCGGTATACGTGGGTTCTGGGTCTATATCCAGTAAATTGATGTCATCATCCCTGCCTGCGAACTGTATGGTCTCCGAATCACCATGCCGTGAAGTGGATAAGCTGTCCGAAACAGGCGTGAATGCTGCTGTTGGCAACGGGTCCACCTCGTCACTACGCGAGCCGGCTGTCATATTATGCACATCCATATCGCTGGCGGACTCTCGGCGATCCACGGCAGGTTGGTTTCCTCTACTCTCCTTTGGGGAGGAAGAGTCCGAGGCGGTAAAAGCGGTGCTCCTTTGTGTTCTTGAGTTAAGAGCGGCTTGGACAACCTTTAATTTCTCCAGCTTGTCGCAAAGCTTCCGCATCATCCAAGATTTGGCTGCAAGGCCCCTCACCAATCCCATTGCCATATGAAGCTCCTCGGAGCAGGATGGCTCGCTAGCGTCCTTCCTATGTCCAACAAAAAGCAGGATCGATGAAAGAGCTGACTCGAGGAAGTGATTAAATGTCTTCTGTTGGGCCTGATAGACATCAGAAGTTCGGGCCATCGTAACCAAAACTCGGATGGTGTCGCAAGCGACCTCGATGACGGTCTGCATGCTTGAGGTATCTACATCGCGAGGTCCGGATTGGAAAGCCGAGTGTCGCCGTATCACAATCCTCATTTGGTTGGCCCGAAGATAGAGCAGGAGCCGGAGCCGATACTGGCTACGTGGCTCCGTCGCGGGATTAAACTCGGCGCGGTTGCCGTTGAACCGGAGGAAATAGGGTAAATTACGTCTCCACTCCACGACCCTGAAGTCAGAGAAATCCCGGGCCGTGCTCGATGAGCCCTGGCCAAGAATAGAGGATCGGCACTCGGTTGCTATTCGACAATAAGCGACCATGGCTCTAACGTATGCAGAACAAAGAGAGTCATCCTATGGAACCACATTCAGCTATTTGATATGAATCGGGTGGGACCTTAGCCCGGTTGAAGGAGAAAAAGGAAGGGAATCATACCCAAGTATCCACATCGTGATCGATATCGGACTCGGAAATGGCAAAAGGGAGGCCTGTACCGAAGCTCCACCGTCGGTCCAATATATACGCCGACCACAGAATTTTCTCCGCTCTAGTCCGCTCTTGGGCAGTGTTGAATCGGTGGAGAGAATTTGAATTATGATAGCCGAGCTCCTGGAGTATCCTGAGGACACCGCCGATACACCTCCACGCAAGAGACTCCCGATCCGTCATGAAGTAGTATATGCTCTATCGACGAATAGCAGTGTCAGTGAGCTTAACAGCCTTGCTTGAGGGTGGATCATGTCAACCTCCGCCCTACTTACAATCAGCATGAGTAATTGGATAGTGTCTTCATCAACAGTCTCCATCTGAGACTTGCACGTTGCGTGCTGCCTTGACTTTTGCGTAAACGCATCGGTAAGCTCGCTGATACTCAAATCCTCAAGAACAGCTAGTATGGCGAGCAGTAGGTTCAAAATATGCTCTCGGTGACCGATCATGGGACTAGGATCCAGAGTGGCATCCTGGGAAACAGCTTTAAGGTCATCCCGAATGGTATCAAGATCTAGAAAGGGGTATTGCACGCCAACTTCCTCCCCATATACCTTGAGGATGTTAAGGCATGACTGTAACCCAATGAAGCGTGCCAGATCTCCGGTACCATTGTCTAATCTCCAGTCGTGCACTTTTCGCAAGATTTTGACAAAGCTCGGGGGGTGGCTTCGTCGCGGCGTCTGGGCAGCCACAGTGGTCGACTCTGAGCTCACATGGAGTTCCTCGGCGAGGTTGAAGAAATAGTTCGAGCTCCCCGGCGGCGTGAATCCGGAGTCGTTATTCACCGAGGGAGACTTGGCTTCTTGCGCAACCTGTGTAGTGCTGATGGCGTCCGAAGGCGCTGTCGGTCGTGGCGGACTACCCCGTGATTCTCCTTCTGGCCGCTTCCTGGTTCAGGCATATTAGTGGGTGGATCGAAAGGATGTGTTGCGGTGTATGGGGGATGGAGGGTGGGCATAGGCCACCGAAGGAAAGGGGCGAAGAGGACGAGATGACCACGGACGGAACAGAAAGACGACGAACAATCTAGGGCGGAATCGAGAATAACGTTCATAGTTGCATTCTGACTCGCTGGCCGCACAGGCGGTGCAAGGTCTATTACCGCTACATTTTATTTTGCGTCGTTTGCATGCGGAACTGTAGGCATGGAAGAAAGGAGGAGCACATTAGTAAATGGCGCCTAATTAAAATAAGCTGCACGATGAGGATTAAGCAAACAGGGGAGATCAGAAGGGCAAGGGAGAAAAGGGGAAATCCAACCAGGCGACAGGTGTATACGGCTCCCGTTTCTTCCGCACGCCGGAGAGTGCCAGGACAGATGAGGTAGCCATGGTGGGTGGAGATATTTTGCTGGCAAGGTAGAGATGACTTGCTTGGAGGATTTGGGGTAGTTGATAGAGGGCAGGAGCAATAGGAGTGGAGACTCGGTATTTGCGAATAATCGACCCTCGATGACTAAGCTGCTCCAAAATAGTTCGGCGACCAGCAATGGCACACTGAGGTCCGTGCATTGCGGGGGTGGAGTAGCAGTGATGGGTGGAAGGAGCGCTGGAAAGGGAATAGCTTCACATCCTCCACAACCTTATAACTCGTAAGCATTCATGCAAAAGACCGCATGGGGGAAGAGCGAAAATCGGCAACGGCTTCGGCTAAGGCATAAAAGCTTCTTGCCTTTTACGAGGGCCTGGCCCCGGATCTAAGATTTCAAAGCATCCCCCCACGGGGCCCCGGCTAGTGCCGGAATCGGGCCAGGGTTGAAACGTAACAATCCAAAAAACGACTCAAGATTGATGCTACATAAATGATAAAATCTCGAAACCGAAGCCGGAACTCATCCTTATGTCGTCATTATTACGACATGCCGCACCTACTCTTGCCCTGGAGCCTTGAATCGCCTCTGAAGCTTTCCCCATGCATGCTCTACATACTCCTCCTGGACGCGCTGACAACGGACCAAGGACCAATCTGTGACACCCAGCATCAGGGAGCTCTCAAACATGAACGCCATGCTGCCCGCTCCCACCTTTTGTGGAGCCAACTCAGCGTTGCTGGCTGCTTCGAACGTCCCCTCATCCGGCCCGTGTGCAGCCATGACGTTGTGGAGAGAGGCGCCGCCGGGCTGGAAGCCATCTTGCCCGCCGGCTTTGGCATCGTAATCACCGGCGATTAATCCCATGAACTCCGACATGGTATTGCGATGATACCACGGCGGACGGAAAGTGCCTTCGGCTACAAGCCAGCGGGGCGGGAAGATGACAAAGTCCGCCACTGCAGTGCCTACAATAGGACTCGGTGCCGTAAGGACGGTAAAGATACTAGGGTCGGGGTGATCGTAGCTGATACTTCCGATGGTATTGAACCGGCCAAGATCATACTTGTACGGGTAGTAGTTGCCGTGCCACGCTACTACATCGAAAGGACTGTGATCCTGCGCCGCATCGAAAAGTCGCCCGCCAAATTTGACCGTGATGACCCAATCCGACTGATCGTCCTCATAAGCCGCGACAGGTGCCTGAAAATCGCGTGCATTCGCCAGACCATTGGATCCGATCGGGCCGAGCTCGGGAAGCTGAAAGTGGCCCTGGAAGAGCTCAAGAACGTATCCTCGACTTGGCCCTTCGGGCAGGTCTACGCGATATCGAATTCCTCTCGGGATCACCGCGATCTCCCCGGGGCGAACGAGAAGCCTGCCAAGTTCAGTCTGAATGTCAAGTGTGCCCTGTTGGGCGACAATTAAAAAGTCGCCATCGGCCGAGTAGAAGGCCTGTTTAGGCGGCATGTGCTTTCCCGCACCGTAAATGTAAATTGCCAGACCTGTCTTGGTAGTCGGATCTCCCGAGCCGGCGACAAGCCGAAGGCCGGAAGTGAAATCGAGGTCCTCGCTGGCTTCGAATGGCCGCCAGCGTAGTTGGTTTGGGACTTGGATATAATCCGGTTTGCCATTTGCCGGGTATCCAGAGAGCTCAGCCGCTGACGGCCGGAAGGCTCTCTGGGCGGCAGATGGGAGAATGCGGTAGAGCCAGGTCTGCTGATTTTCGTTGCGAGGAGCTGTGAAAGCGGTGCCAGAGAGCTTCTCCGCATAGAGGCCAAGTCCAACTTTTTGAGGAGAGTTCTGCCCTACGGGGAGAGCGCCTTCAACCGCCTCGGTTCTATCCACGATTGATGTTATTACTAAAACATGTACATAACAGCGGAGCAACCTCGAAAAATGATCCCCTCTGGTTTTAGACGTTGGAAAACACGTACTCATGATAAGAGCCCAATCCATTCAGATAGGTGTATTTTTCTTCTACTGTAAATTGACTTGTCGGCATGGTGACTTCTGACGGTGGAGGGGAGCAGAGCAGAGCTTCGTGATAAGGTGAAGTGCTGTGTGGCGAATCACTCAAATTCCTAGCCGGTATTTTGACTTCGTATACTTTTTTTTTTTCTTTTCCCTCCCACCCAGGACGTCTTTCTTATACTCCTAGCGTCATTCATCCCGATGAAGCAGACTATCGGCGCAATCCGACACATTTCTGTATGACGGCTTTTGATGGTGTGTTCCTCCACGGTCACCTTGGCACAACGGTCCAACTCGCTAGTCCGTCTTGGGTAATGGAATCGGAATCTGGAATATTTTTGGTGTGGGGTTCCGAATTCCGAGTCCCCGTTCATGAGGGGAAGCATCCAACCAGGATCCACACCACCTTTTCATCCCGGAATCGAAATTGCGGGGGAGGGAGCTACCCCAGGCCGGCTTCGAGGATTAACCACTAGGAGGGTCAGAAATCGTAAGCTGAGTGAATCTGGGGGAGGGCCTGGACCCGCTCCCGTTGCGCCGTGGAGGAAGAAGAAAATAATTCAATGGGAGTTCAAAATATAAGACAATGCCCCGAGCAGCTTCAGCTTCAGCTTCTTTCCAACTGTTCCCCAATCCAACTTGTCCATCTCTTGAGTCTTGACAGCAACTACTTATCCCAGCAGCACTATGATTACAGACATTACAGACGTGACCGCCATGATTGCGGGCATTGGAGACGTGCCGTACCAGGTCATCGGAGTCGCTGCTATTGCGGCGACTTTTGTCCTCATTAAACTGTTGGACTCGACCGACATTCCGAAAATCAAAAATCTCCCTTCCATCCCTGGTGTCCCCATCTTCGGTAATCTGTTGCAGCTGGGTACGGACCATGCCCGTGTCGCCGCGAAATGGGCCGAGCAGTATGGCCCCGTCTTCCAGACACGGCTAGGAACCAAGGTAAATCCAACCCATACCCAATATGAATGGATAATAGTCATTTTCTCCGATACTAAGACATAGAGTAGCGAGTAGTTTTTGTCAATTCTTACGAGACGGTTCGACACTTTTGGATCAAGAACCAATCTTCCCTCATCTCCCGACCCATGTTCCATACATTCCATTCCGTCGTTTCCTCCTCTCAGGGCTTCACTATCGGCACTTCACCGTGGGATGAGTCCTGCAAGCGACGACGCAAGGCAGCCGGAACGGCCTTGAATCGCCCCGCTGTCCAGTCTTACATGCCAATCCTCGACTTGGAATCCACAGTCAGTATCAAGGAACTCCTCGGAGACTCCAAGAATGGCACCTGCGATATCGATCCCACCCCCTACTTCGCTCGGTTTGCTCTGAATACCTCTCTCACACTGAACTACGGTTTCCGTATCGACGGAAACATTGACAGCGCCCTGCTGCGAGAGATCACCTACGTTGAACGCGAAATCTCCACCCTCCGATCGACGAGCAACAATTGGCAAGATTACGTCCCGCTCCTGAGGATATGGGGAGCTCAGAATTCAACCGCTAAAGAGTTCCGTGCCCGCCGGGACAAGTATTTGTCGGATATGCTTGCAGATCTCAAGGACCGGATCGCAAAGGGAACAGACAAGCCATGCATTACGGGAAATATTCTCAAGGACCCGAATGCGAAGTTGAACGAAGGTGAGAAAGGAACTGCGTATCTTTTTTGTGTGATCTGATTTGCCCAGTCATTTTATGTTGCCACGAGTTTGTGTTTGAGCCCCGCTAACCGTATTTATTTTGCAGCTGAAATGAAGTCCATCTGCTTGACCATGGTGTCTGCTGGTCTCGATACCGTTCCGGTAAACTTGATTTTGGGCCTGGCATATCTTTCCACACCCGATGGCCAGAAGATTCAAGAGAGGGCCTTGAGGGAAATCCAGGAAGTCTACCCTAATGGTGAAGCCTGGGAGAAGTGCTTGATCGAGGAAAAGGTGCCGTATGTTACTGCACTCGTCAAGGAGACACTGCGGTTCTGGACTGTCATTGCCATCTGCCTTCCGAGAACGAGCATCAAGGACATCGAGTACAACGGGTCCATCATCCCTGCTGGCACCACCTTTTTCATGGTAAGTTTCTCATTGCTCGTGGCACTGCATATAGTGGAGTTAGTCGCTTACTCATTGTCCAAAACAGAACGCCTGGGCGGCAGATTATGACGAGACCCGGTTCCCTGCTCCCTCGGAGTTCCGACCTGAGAGGTTCCTTGATGACCCGGAAACCGGCACTCCTCATTACGCTTACGGCGCTGGATCTCGTATGTGTGCCGGGTCTCATCTGGCCAACCGCGAGCTGTTCACTGCCTATGTTCGCCTCATAACCGCATTCCGCATCACTCAGGCGAAGGATCCGAAGGACCGCCCTATAATTGACCCCTTTGAGTGTAATAGCTGCCCCACGGCTCTTACCATCGACCCTAAGCCTTTCAAGATTTGTCTAAAGGCACGGAACGAGCCAGAACTGAGGAAGTGGATTGCGGCGGCGGAGGAGAGGACGAAAGACCTGTGAATATGAAAAGAGATGGATTGAAGCAGGGTTCGGGGCATCCAAATAAGGATTTTGTTTATGTAGTATAAGTCCATATGATTCAATTACGATGGTGATGATATCCCTTATTGAGTCTCCATCTTGCTCATTAAAGAAACGAAAATCAAGAAAAGAAAAAAATAAAATAAAAACTCCCATGAAACCGTGAAGACAGCACCAACACCATTGTAAATGTCTAGTCAAGACTAACATCGTCGCTGCAACTTGGAGTCTGTCCTCAATGAGAAAATATTCAAAGAAACTGTCGCGTACAACCTTCCAACATTGATCACGTCAATTTCCCGCAATGCGCGGTCCCGTTTCTCGAGCAGCGCTGTCAGATGAAGACGCACAATTCCGTCGTCCGTCGATGCTTACCCCGCGTCGGTTAGGGACGGCACCCCGACAGTAGCCGGAACTCAGATTTCCGAGCGCAGCACAGGAGACAATGATGGGAGACCATATAAGCTTTCGAAATAGTCCTACGTTTTGACGTGGCCAGGACCAATTGACAATACAACCACTCAACATGGCATCAGACACTTGCGAGTACTCTCTTTACACCTACTTCCGGTCTTCGTGCTCCGGCCGCATCCGGATTGCGTTGAACCTAAAGAAAATCCCATACAAGCCAGTCTACGTCAATTTACTGAAGGGCGATCAATCGTCGGCGGACCATGAGAAGATCAACCCATCCCGTGCTGTTCCAACTCTTCAGGTCACCAAGTCAGGCAAGGATACCTTCATAAGCCAATCCGTTGCGATATTGGAGTATCTCGAAGAGAAATTTCCCGGCCAGAACCCGCTGCTCCCTCCAATCACTGACCCCGAAGCTCGAGCTTCTGTGCGAGCGCTGGTGAACATCATCGCGGCCGACACACAGCCAGTCACGAACCTTCGCATTCTGCAGCGTGTCGACCGCCTTGGCGCATCGAAGGAGGATTGGAGCCGAGAACTTCAAGCGCAAGGACTCGCGGCCTATGAGCGTGTGATTACGGCCACAGCTGGGAAGTACTCTGTGGGAGATTCTATAACGTTGGCAGACGTTTGTCTGGTCCCTGCTGTTTGGGGTGCCGTGAGATGGGGCGTTGACATGACAGCGTTTCCGACTATTCAGAGGATTTACGAGGAAATGGACAAGGAACCTGCTGTCCAAGAGGCTCATTGGGCAAAGCAAGCGGACACTCCCGAGGGGTTGAGGCAGTAGTGATAGACATATCGAATTTGTCAAAGAAAGACTTTGGTCCACGATCCATGTTTTATTATTCCTAGCTCAGTGAATCGTGCACTTGTCAGAACTGGACGCGCCTCCAGATCTAGTACTTGTCCCTCCCTCGCTTCTCCTTTCTGTATTTTATGAATATTTTTAATATCCCATTTTATTTTATTTATTTATGTTATTTATTTATATTTTACTTTTATCTATGTATTTAGTATTCCTTCTCAATCAGCCTCATCTTTTCCCTTCGGACGTCCAAGACGCATTGCAGCTTTGGAAGTCTCCCCCGTCCTGTTCATGCCGAGCACACTCGCCGACATTGCTGATCGGCGAGATGATGCGCTAATTCGTATTAATCTGCAGCTCCCACCAATTGCCACAATTGCTCAATTGATCCTCTGAAAATTGTGGGACGCGCAGACAACGAATCGGATTGCCCAATTGCACTTTGGCTGGATCTCGCCGCGTCACATTTCCACATTTCCGCAGACTCAGTAGACGGAATCGGCGCCGGCTAGCTTTCCACTCTAAAATTCATTCCGAGCACTGGAATGCATTCCATATTTCCATGCTCTGGGAAAGACACTTCCGCGAAATTTCCGTCGAAAATGCGGCCTTATCAGTGAACCCCGCATTGGATATTACGCCGTAACCACTGCCGAATGTTGTGTAAATAGTCGGCCATCATTGCTTGCAATAATTACATCACTCACACAATAACATTTTGCACAAACATTTTGGCCCTGTCTTGGAGTCTTGCGCATTCATTTGTCTCCCTGAACCTCAGTCAAGACAATACCCACAAAAATGACCGCAACTTGGGTTCCCGACATCTCGCCGGAGAGCCCCTTCTCCATAGCCAATATTCCATTCGGGATTATTACCTCTCAAGATGATCCTACGCCGAGGGCCGCCGTAGCCATTGGAGACTACGTACTTGATCTCAAGCAGCTCTCCCAGTCTGACAATTTTGCCCAATTATTCCCGATGCTGAAGGATCATCCCTATGTTTTCCAAGAGCCTACGCTGAACTCATTTGCAGCGCTGGGCAGACCAATTCACGGCCAAGTGCGGAAAATTATCCAGGATCTTCTCTCATCTGAGACCTCGAACCCCGCAGCTCTACGAGACAATGAAGATTTACGAAAGCGGGCTCTCCTACACCAAAGCGTGGTCCAGAATCATCTGCCCTTGAGCATAGGCGACTACACGGATTTCTATGCCGGGTATAACCACGCCTATATGGTTGGCTGTATGTTCCGTGGCCCTGCCAATGCCCTGCAACCGAACTATACACACTTGCCCGTGGCCTACCATAGCCGCTCGTCCAGCGTCATCGTTTCAAAAACTCCTGTGTATCGACCAATCGGCCAGATTCTCCTGGATCCGACAGCCGAAAAGAAACAGCCAACCACGGCCCCTTCGAGGCGACTCGATATCGAGTTAGAGTTGGGTGCCCTCATTGCAACTGGTAACGAGCTCGGATCCCGGGTCAATGTCAACGATGCTGAGAAGCATATATTTGGCTATGTGCTCCTCAATGACTGGAGTGCCCGAGACGTACAAATGTGGGAGTATGTGCCACTCGGCCCGTTTAATGCGAAGAATTTTGCCAGCACAATCAGCCCATGGGTTGTGCTGGCTGATGCGTTGGAGCCTTTTAAAACAAAGGGGATCGAGAACAAGACCGAACTTCAGGGCTACCTCAAGGAATCAGCGGCCAACAATGTGGTCGAGCTTGACCTGGAAGTTGAATTGACCAGTAGGTCTCCCGTGCCCCCGCATATTAACTCCAAAGTATGAATGGCGTTCTAATAGGATTAAAAAAATAGCACCGGAGGGCCATGCCACGACGATATCGAAGACAAGCTCAAAGAATCTTATGTGGTCTTTCCCCCAGATGATTGCGCATCATACGCTTGGGGGTTGCCCGCTTCGAACTGGAGATCTTCTTGGCTCTGGTACCATTAGCGGAACGGGACTTGACCAGAAGGGGAGCTTGTTGGAGATATCCAATGGGGGTAAGAATGATATTTCACTCAATGGGGGAGGCGTTCGAAAATTCCTTCTGGATGGCGATACCATTACCATTCGCGGTGCTGCAGGAGCAGCAGGGCAAAAAGTTGGGTTTGGCGAGTGCATTGGTAGAATACATGCTCCTAAAGATCAGTGATCACATTAGATATATTTAGGCCTCGGAATAGAACTACTGATGGCTGCGCCAAGGAGTCGTCATACAACATTGCTCTCAGAGTGTTTGGACGAAGTTCACAGGGTAGTAGCAGACGCTCCCTAGGATTCTCAAGCTCGATTGAACAGGGAAATATGCCAGCTGGCTTTGCACCGAGACTCCATGATCCTGTTTTAATTTCGATAATTTTCGTCTCGTTTTGTTGCATAAGGTTATTTAGGGACTGGATCGTCGCGAACCCGAAACTGGAGGAACGACAAGCCACCCCTAACCAGCACATCCTTTACGTACTGTAGGTTCGCTGGTGACACAACAAAAAGTTCGACAAATCACATACTTTTGTAGTTGTTACGTATGTAACCTTAAACTCTTAAACTGACCATCGGGGGTTGCGACACTGTCGTCGGGACTTACCACCATTTGAGCACGGCTTCTTCTTCAAACACCCACAGGTATCCTAGAAGCAGACTCGTCACTCGATTTATTCTAGGGAGAACCCCGGTCTGCTACCCTTTCTTGAATACCAGAGCACTCGGAAAACACCAGCATATCCGACTATCAACGCAGGACTTGGGATCACAAAAGACACAACGCTGCGAAAACGCCTTCCCTCTTACGAATTCCATGGCCGCGATTAGAACATTCACTGTCGTCGAGGATGCGCCTTCCCACGACGGATGCCCCTGCGCCTCAGCCAGGGAGGGTGAGGAGCTCGATAAAGCCTACGAACATGACAACCTTATGGAAGGCGTGTCCAACTACGAAGCGCCCGGCCGTCCCCAATATGGCATTCAAATCCACGATACGACACAGAAAGCGGCCGACAAAGAGCATTTACGGAGGCTGGCTAAGACTCTACATGAGATGACAAACTACCCCCGTGGCTTAGATGGAGGCGATGATTACCGAGACAGGCTCGACGTCTACGGACTTCCCATGTCGGACAATATACCGCTGAGGACCGTGTAAGGCGATGTATCGAGCACAACAAGAAGGAGATCCATACGAGGACGATGAATCAACGTGCAGACTTCTTCATCCCACCGCTATACCTACTAGTTGGGTACCAGGGGGCTGTCATTGTAATTCATCGCCCAGAACATCATTGGATAGCTGTGGAGGGAGAGGATATTCTTTCTGGTGAAAAGGGACCTTTCATTGTCGGCAGCTGGGACTTTAGGACCAACGGATTGGCTCTCTATACTCCTCCTGCTGTGCGCGATTCTACTGTGCCAGAGATACAGCTTATTTACGTACAAACAAACGCTTGGGGAGTATATTTTGCACTCAATGAAGCAGATGATCTCTTGGTTCAATGAAGCCTATGCTCCGGAACATCTGGAGCAGGATCTAGCAAGGTACGCTGCTGAGAAGAGTAACGTGCACCTAGGGAACTGGATCGGTCAGTTAAGATGAGGCCTTCTCGACAGGTGGTCATGTGACCAAAGGTCATCCTGCTAGTAGTCACGTGAGCATGGACAATCATCTCAACCCGATCCCAAGCTCGTTACCCCTGATCCACCTCGGTCGATGAAAGTGGGAGAGTCCAAGGAGGATCGCGCCGAAATGGATGACCAACATTATAATCAGAGGCCGGTACCCCAGTTTCGTCATATAATATCTTCAACCTTGGAACGAGTGGGGTTTGGATTCCGAGCGAGAAGGGATCGGGACTACCATTCTCGCGTTTCTCCCAGCCACCCCCCCTTATCTGTCTCACTTCCTGAGACTGTCACCTGCACCCATATCGCTCACTCATGGTTTTCGGAGGCGGTCGTACCTACGGATGAGAGCGACCGTATGAGGGATGTAGAAAATGCGCGAGCAACTCTCGGCGAGCTCCTGTCCGAGTCTGTCATCTTTGGAACCATCAACGCCTTTTACCCACCGCAACCTACCCTAAGCCAAGAGAAGCAATCCGTCATTCGACGTCAGCTTTTATCAGCTTTCGAGTTGTCAACCCAGCGTAAAAGCGGTTCGCCATTTCGCCGGGCTCCGCAGGGCCGGCTCCCGCTTGAGCGTACCTTTCACCGATTTCCAGACCTGCCCGCCGAGATTCGTCTCCAGATATGGGAAGCTTCTCTTCCAGGGCGCGGCTACCGCACTTTGCACATAGGCCAGATGGTTGGTGAGCCATACTGCTGGACAGCGAAGCTCCCAATGCCAACCTTGTCTCGTGTTTGTCGCGAATCACGCGAGGTGGTTCTCAAGCGAAATATTTTCCCGATTTACGGCTGTGCACCGTACCGAAGTGGTCCCGGGTCTTCCCATGACGTTACACGGCGGTTCATAACGTCGTGGGCATCTTGTGACGATTGCCTCGACTTTGGATCCGATTGCCGTCCGGCTGCTTTGAGATGCGGGGACTATCTGGAGCGAATTGGAGACTTCGCGGTTCCCGCACATAGCCTCACTAGCATTCTTCTTCCCGCAGGTATTGACAACGAGACACGCGGCAATAACCAGCTGGGCGATATCTGGGGAGGGGCGAAGCAACTGATGGTGGTTATTCAAGTCATCTACATATCTCTCCCAATTTTACCACCGTCTGAGATTTCCGACCACTCCAGGCAATGGTATCACGATGAGCAGCCCATCTTGAACGATGATGGAATCAGTGTGTGTAAGGTAGGTGGTTTAGTAGAGGGACCACCACTGGATCCCCTTCTTTATCGCGCCTCAGTCCATAGGAGACCGAAGAACCATCATATTACTACCGTCGCCAGCGTCTACGACAAACCAAGGATCAAAGAACTCCTAGCCCTAGGTACCGTTACTCGACATTGGACAAACCGGGCTTCACGCCTTCGCGCTCTACATTACCATTCGAACGCATTCTGTATGGATTGCCTGGTGGAATGGTGGGAGAAATACGCTCGAACAGCAGCTGAGGCAGCATTGATGGGACAAAGGCACGGTGCACTCGATCTGGATGGGGATGGGCTTGAGAATAGAGAGTTTAATGTATTTCCACAGTTGATACCCGCAATACGCTTCAAGCTCCAGTGGCCGGACTTGGAGGACCATTTGTAAACAGCGACGAACAGTGCAGCCGTTCTAAATATACGAAGTCACGAATTGCGCCCGTTGTGAAGTGCCTCTTTGGAGAGTTAATCTCTCCTCTAACCGTGACCGTGCCTTGCCTTAGAGCGGATGCACATCATCCTTAATGTGATAGATCGCTCGCTCCATGACCGCCGAATCCCCTACCTCAAGAAGATCAATAATGGCCACAGCACTAAAATCAGCATCACCGACCGATTGATACTAGCCGAGAAAGTCTCAAAACCACCACCGGTGTCGAATTAACTCATACTGTTGGATGATATGGATACAATGACGAACACAAGGTCTCTTTTAAACGGCGACTTATATTGATCCGTGCTGTGTCTTGGGGGATGAGCAAAATGCGGAAAAAGACGAAAGACGAAAAGCGAAAATAAAAAGAAAAGAGCAGAAAAGAAAAAAAAAAGGAAAAAAGGGAAAAAAAAAAAAGGGGGGGTTTGGGGGGGGGGGGGGGGGGATGAGTCGAGCGGAAGGCAGACAAACTACAACGAAAACAACGTCGGTGATTCCAGGAGAGAAATTTCCTGGCAGGAAATGGTGCCAGCCGGCCGGACCGCCAACAACCACTTCTTCACTCCGCTAAGCGCCATGAAAATGCAGGTACAAACTCATTCAGAACTCCTCCACGACTACAAATTTAGGCGCACTCCTGGAGCATAAAACCAAAGATCAGAAGAGCCAGAGGTCCCATGTGCTCAGCCTTGTCTATGCTGTACGGTCCGACCTCTTGGATATGGAGGAAGGCATCGGACTTGTTGAAGGACTGCGAACCCCGAATATAATCAACGTACGCAGCGCCAAGGGTTGCGAAATTGAGGTATACTTCATGGCGGTCCTGAGAGACGAGCAATCGACTGCAACTTGCCTGTTAGCGAAAGGGTGCCAAGAAAAAGGGGGGGAATTGTAAGAAGGGGGACCAGCTCACGTCGTTTTCATTTTCTTGTTCGCTCGCAATTCGTTGAGATTGGCAGGAGGGTTAGTGCATATCCACGCCGCCATCTGCGCAGCCTCCTGCATCCTGATCTCGTATCTACCCTGGCGGCGAAGGTATGGCTTGACCTCCGCGATGGCCTTAACCTCAAGGCCTTGGTGCGTGCGAAGGACGCCGTCCACCCTCGCCTCAAAAAATTTTTCCTTCGAGCTGTGAGCCTCATTTGAGACAGAAAAAGCTTTACGCGACAGAGACCAATCGGCATTCACGCCAGGGAAGTTGATTGTGACGGCGATGAGAAATGTGATGAGGGCTGTGTTGACGATTTGCTCATCCTCTATGGCCGTCATATGACGTCCCGTGACGCCGTCGGCCGGGGAGTATGGGGATGGAGCATCAGCTATCTTCAGTTTCCCGACTTTAGAGGCAAGTCGTGATGTGCTGGAGGATGAGTCAGAGGAACCGCTGTCAAACAAGGTGTTCTCTACACCTGTTGACTTGGTCGGGGTGGCCGGGAGCCTTGATGACCCGTACGAGCTCCAGTATCGCGCGCTCGTGTCAGAACCGGGGAGAAGTCGAGCTTAGGTGAACCATCCAGATCAGTGCCTGGGGCGTCCGGGTCCGTGCGCAGTGAATCGTGTGATGCCAGCTGGAAATAACGGACGAGGCTGAATGTACCTAAATCGGGGAAGGCGTTACTTGAATCACGGCGGGGCCGGCCCGAGGCGTGATGAGAGGTGATGGAATGTAGATACTGTTTGAAAGGTGCCGAGTTCTTGAGAAACTCACGTGCCCAGTTTCTGTGTTTTTCGTCGACGAGCCTTTTCCGAGTGGGTGCGTCGTAGAAATTGCTTGCCTGGACCGGTCGTGTGTAAAGCACACGCAAGCAGAAGGAACTTCTTAATAGTCATCTTCAAAGCTGAATCACGAAGGTCTGCCTGGTGAATGGTCGTGTTCCCTAGGGCGTGTTTTTTCACCTGGTTGCGCCAGGCAGTGGGGGTAGAAGGTAACTGATCTGTCACTGGTGCCATTATCAATCACAAAGGTCAGGGGGACTTGATGAAGGTTTGATAGAAGGGGAAGATTTGATAGAAGGTGGGTAGAAGGTGGGTAGAAGGTGGGTAGAAGGTGAAGGTTTGAGAGATGGGGATGAGAGAGGGTTTGAGTCAACGATGTCAATCAAGTTTAATTCTGTCTGAAGAGCATGCCTGGTCTCACTCAGCGTCAGTTGTCGGAATTTCTAAATAGGTTTTGGCTTGCAAGGCAATCAATCTACAAATGCCTTAGATTCTGAATATCGGTGAGCGTTATATAGACAGGCTTTGAATCTTGGCGTCTTAAACGGAAGTGTAATCCAGTACATATTGGACAATATCTACCACGAAACCCGACTATGTTGTTTCCGTTCTTTTGTCCTCAGTTGACTCCTCTTCATCTTTCTTGAACCCCACGTAGTCAATTCCTACTCGGGAGACAACCAAATAAGCCGGGACGACAGCCAGGCCCCAAAGGCCAAAATTTATGCCGAGGGCGGTAATGAGCTAAGTGATGAAGAGTAAGCGATTAGTCTCTTTGCCCGCGATTCTCCTGAGTCTGGGGGTCGTGTTATTTTAACGTACTGGTGTGGACGTTGAGCTGATCCCCGAAGATATACATTGCCCCGCACTCTCCAAGGCTCGAACGTAACTTGTGAGGCGGGGGAAGTCTGCCGCTTCTCTTGCCAGGCTTCCAACTAGCCAATAACCGTAGTTATACGTTAAAGCCCAGTTTACCTGCCACAAGATGTAGAGAGCCCATCCGCGCCCAAATCCTTCATCGACCCAGTCTAGAGACGGCTTATGCTCGGAGTAGCCTTTCTGGACGATGGTTCCCCAGATCCAACAACCTCCAATGAGGGCCATCATAAAGATATACGCGAATTTCGCACGATTGTTAAGCGAGGGGCGCTTCCAATCCAAGAAGGTACCCATGATCAAGGTGGCGAGAATCTGCGCAAGGCCAGTAATAAGCGAAGCAAGAGCACGCGCCCGGACGGAGAAGTAGAGAGAAACATAGGATCCGATGTAAGGAAGGCTCCAGTTGATATAAATGAATAATGGCGTCCTGGTAGTTATCGGTTAGATAAAACAATGATGTGACATCATTAGTAAATAACTTACAGAAGAGCCACTTCCTTTCGTATCATCAGTCTGCCTAGGGCTTTCAGCTCCTCCAAGTCCGATATGCGCGGTGCCAACTGTACCCTCGTTCCGTTCCGTCGCCGCACTTTTTCGGGGGGTGATAGGAAAAAGGTCACGGCGGGACCAAGGCATTCTATTGATTCCATATCAGTCGGCTTCCAGAACTCTCTCATAATGGTATGCATGTTTTGACCACTTACGTAGAACCACAAACACAATATAGGTCCGCCAATCTAGCTTTCCGGCGGCCTTTCCATGGACATTGAAAGCCAAGTTAATGATGCCTCCCAAGATGCCTCCTCCGTTTCGATAGCACAGCCAGTAGGCCAAATATTTGCCTCTTGTATGTGCTTCAGGGTAGCTAAGCATGATGGCGCCTTCAGCGGCCCAGAAGAGGCCAGCTGTGATGCCGCATGCCGCCGAACCAAGGTATATGAACCATTCAGTACCGTATCGATTGTTCGTATACAAGGCTGCTGAGTACAAAACATATCCTGTCGTGCCGAATATCAGTGTGTTTTTGATGCCAAAACGATTCGCGACGATGCTTCCTGTCAGGCAGGTAATTGTCATGAGGGAGAAAAGCAACGCGTTGCCAGCCCTAAAGATAAGTAATCGGGGGTCAGCCAACCATCAATAGGATAATATTGAATGACTCGACATTGTGAGCTCGCAAGCACGAGTACATACATTACTAGGTACGGCGTCTGCTGTCCGCCCGCGCCGACGGAGTTCATGGCATTCCACAAACCAGGGGCCGTGAATGCGGCGACTCCAACGACGGTTGCCTGGAAGAAGACTCCCCTAAACCAAGAGTACTTTTCATCAGGTTGCAAATCGCCATCTTGGCTGGATGCTGTCTCGTGGGCTTGTGTGCCCGTCTGGATTGACTTCGACTCGGCCATTATGTATGTTTGCGATTCGCGATCGACAGAGCTCTCCTCGTTCAATCAGAGGATGAAGTGAACTGGGACCTAGTATCTGGATGTGTATAATCCACCTTCTTAACTATAAGTACATTCATGGTATTTAACTATGTGCATTCACAGGGGTAAAGTGGAACATCTCGGTTCTACCTAATCCCAGTCCTACCTAATCCCAGTCCCACCTAATCCCAGTCCCGAGACCGGCCCACGAGATAGGAAGGAATATGCTCGGTCTGACAACTGGGTACACTAAACCAGAAGATCGGAAGTACTCTAAAGATTACGAATTCGCTTGAGAAGCTGACAAAATGAAATGCTGGAGGATTCGGGAAAGGCGCCGGGTCGCACGCCATCTACACTTCACTTGACGCGATTGTGGAGTCGAGAAACAATCGGAGGGCTCCTACTAGTAAATTATAATTTAATACATATCATGTCAATAGCACACTCATCCACGGGACTTATTGAATGGATATGCTCGTCATGATGAAGACTGCTTCTCCTACAGTTATGCAATATGGCTTCTAAAATATCTTTCGAAGAATTCAACTTTGATGGCCAACTCAGCACCAGGGCTCTTGGTTTTGGGTGGGATAGTCGATTCCCATTAGCCCTACAGGCAGTGTCTTCGGAACCAGCAAACCTTCCCGATTATATCAATGCACTGAGCGAGTTTGCCAAGTCTGGGAAAGTTTTTGATCTCGTAAGGGAGCATGGCGGCGCCGTGCTTATCCGGGGTTTGCCTATCAACAACCCCCACGACTACAGCGATCTAGCTCATACCTTTGGTCTTCGTGCACACGAGGAAGTTGGAAGGCCGCCGTTGAGAACAGTTCTCGCGCCTAACGTCAAGACTGCCAATGAAGGGTGCGTTTTAACTGGTGTCTGGGTGTTTGTGCACGCGCGTGGAGCCTGTCCTAAATTGCGTTTTAGTCCACCTGAGCTACCTATTTGGCCGCACAATGAATACGGCTGGTCAACCATCAATCCTGCCTGGTTGACATTTTCAGCCATTGTCCCCGCAGAAGCAGGTATGGCGTTCATATATGCTCTTATTTATTTTCCCCTGAAACGCGGCTTGCCAGAGACCGCTTATTGAGAATCATTTACAACAGGCGGGGAAACCCCCATCAATTCGAGCATTCAACTTGCAGCTGAGATCAAGCGACAAGCGCCCGAGTTTTACGAAAAGCTGTTAAAGAAGGGAGTTCGTTATGTGTACCGCTACGGCAAGCAAGATGTTGTCTCGACGACAGGAACCAGCGTATATGGTGCTTACGGACAGCATGTGCTGCCAACAGATGACGAGGAGTCTGCTCGCAAGAAGGTCGAAGAAGAAGTGAGACGCCATAGTAACGACTTTGAGTGGCACAATGACGGAAGTTTGACTGTCACCCACGTAACACCCAGTACGTTAAACCCATAACACACCCTACTACCTAGTTCTTATGGGTAAGTTTTCTTCGGAAACTAATAATCACGAAAATAAGTCATCCGAATCCATAAGGAAACCGGTCTTCCAGCTTGGTTCGGCAACTTGACGAGCGCATGGGGACGCAGTACACATCACGGCGCCACCGAGCCTCCATTCCGGGGCGACGACGGTTCATACCACCCTCCGCCTCAATATGGGGATGGGGAACAGATTGAAAAGAAGCATCTAGATCTCGCGTTGTCCATCGCGGAGAACTCACAAGTTCTTGTAAAATGGGAAAAGGGCGACTTAGTCCTACTCGATGTGAGTCGAATGTTCTAACTTGGCGCGGCTGATTTTTTTTTTCTAATTATGTCTAGAATTATGCGGTTATGCACTCCCGCTCTCCCTGGAAAGGCCAACGACAAGTTCTTGCGGCGTTGTGGGATGAGGATGGAAGAATTGATGACTTCTTTGAGGGCAAGAAAATCCTCGAGCGTCGGCCACGACGCCCGATTATTGCAAATAGCTAATTTCGCATTGTAAATAACCTAGTACATAGGTGCATTAAAAGAGCTCCTAAGAAGTATAGATGCTATCGATATCAATTATTAGCTTCCCTTCATATTTTTCTTTTCCCTGTTTTCTTTCAAAAAATCCTCTGTACCTCGCTATATGCATCCTACTTTGATAACAGTATCGACACGAAACGTGCACCATCAGTGCGTGTTGTCATATTGGCCCTAAAAACCTACCACTGAGTTGGGTTTGATTCAACGCGAACTTCTCAACGCAAGTTGTGGAGGAATAGTCTTTGTCTTATCGAACAGATGGCCGGTCAACATTTGCCGAGATGGCGCAATTGCTCCCTGGAAGCACGAGTTCAGCATCCTTTCCTCTTGGGTCTCATCGGTCCGTCTGCCCTTGCAGTAAAATGGGACAGCTAGCGTTTTCCTTGGATTATAGGACCGGGCTAGTTGAACTTGATTACCGATAACCAACGGCGCCGTCAATAATATCGGATTACAATCTTCGGATGATAAATCACCCCAGCCGAACTTAAAGACCTTTCAACATCGCTCGATTTCCGCTTGTCCGTTGTTCGAATCCTTCACTAGGGCTTATTCCTAATCTGATCTCCGGCATAAGGCTTGCCCGATTTTCATGTCCATAATGGCCACCACCAAAAGAACTCGGATCATTGATGTCAAGGATTATGATGCCATCCACCCCCCGACGTCCGGCAGTTCGATCGACACGTGGCAACTGCCCTCGGCAACAAGCGACGCACTGTTGAACCTCCAAGCAGCTGCTCAGGTCCTGCGCAGCGGCAATGTGCCTGTTGCGTTCCCCACGGAGACAGTCTACGGGTTAGCCGCAGATGCAACAAGGAGTGACGCGGTGAAAGGCATTTACCTTGCCAAGGGCCGGCCGTCGGACAACCCTCTTATCATTCACGTTTCCGACTTAGAGATGCTTCGGAACCTTCTGGCCACGGGGTCAGGGACGAAACCGAAGTCGGAGCTTATCCCGGACATCTACAAACCCTTGCTTGCGCGGTTTTGGCCTGGCCCCCTCACTATCCTATTGCGGAATACCGAAAATTTGCCATTAGCGCCGGAAGTTACGGCCGGCCTTGGGACATTCGCCGTTAGGATGCCAGCCTCCGGCCTCGCTCGTTCCCTGATTAAACTTGCCGGAGTTCCCCTTGCTGGCCCCTCGGCAAATGCATCTACAAAACCGTCCCCTACCACGGCGCAACACGTGCTTGACGACCTCGATGGAAGAGTTGATTTGATTCTAGATGGCGGGCCATGCCCAATTGGGGTCGAAAGCACTGTGGTGGACGGTCTTTGTGATCCTCCGGTCATTCTCAGACCTGGTGGGCTAACCATAGAAGAGATTCGGACCTGTGCTGGATGGGAAAGGGTCGAAAAAGAGTATCAAGATCAGGCTGAACTAGATGCTGCTGCCATAGTGAGGTCTCCCGGTACCAAATACAAGCACTATAGCCCGAAAGCCAGTGTAATTCTCTACGAGGCAGCCTTTCCCGCGGGATGTGGGCTAAAGGTTGGAGACGACGCTGAAAAGTTTTTGAACCTTTTCCACCATACTCCGGTTGGGTCGATCGGAATTATCAGGACCAAGTATTGGGAACCTGGGGCCAGTATCCCAGGACTAAAACTGGTTGCAACAGGTACAGGACAAGACCTACATAAGGTTCCAATCCCCAAAGATAAATTTCTCGAGTGGCAGTGGAACATGGGCGAACCAGGTGCTAAAATTGTGAAGGTATGGGATATTGGTCTTGGTGAAGACGGCAAGAAGATCGCACAAGGCCTGTTCGGGGCCCTGCGTGAACTGGATGCTCGCGGAGCAGACATTATATTTGTTGAGGGTATTGACGATGGCTCGGATATGGCAAGCGCAGTAATGAATAGATTGCGCAAGGCAGCCGCGGAAATCATCTATGTATCGAGGGATTCTTAACAGGGTGTAACTAAATAGAAAAAGACGACGGTTAAAAACCCGGGCTGAACTTGTATAAGTCGAGCCACTACTAATCCCGAGCAGTGAAGGTAGGCGAATTAACTGGAGACGGACCAATGCGGGGCGTGGTTATATAGTAAGCGTCCCGATAGCGCTATTGGCTAATGCAGCTTCTGTGAAGCGCCACGCAACTGGCTTCAGTGGATCCTTAGACATGACACAGTCCAACTCCCATGAAAAGGCTTCGACTTCCAACTCCCGGTTTTCTTTTTATCGAGTCGACTAACAACAGCTCTGACAGACATCACCCGAAATAGCATCACTTAGCATTACAAGTACCAACAGCTAAACGCCTTTGTCACCTACATAATCTACGTAATGTCGACCTCTCTCCGACAGCCAGGCCCCAAAACTGTGAGAGAGATTCCTCTAGCAACTGATGACCACCGAATCGAACAGCAACGCACACAAACCAAACAACCCGCCATGGACTCGAAGCACCCTGCCCACACCTTCTTTGTGCGCCCCAGGCTCGCTCCAGTTAGGAAATTACAGGATGACTATGTCAGTCCTGAGTACTTGGGAGCAAACGCCATCGAATGTCTCGGTCTCGACTTCACCTCTGGGACACCCCTAGACCCGAGGACGAACAAGCCCGAGCGACACGCAGAGCCATTCACACAACTCTTCCCCTTCAAAGATATGGAGAGGGCTATCCTCGCTAACAAGCCCTGGGTTAGTGGTGGATGGACCTACGACCTTGACGGCTGGGACACGGCTCTTGACAACTGGTGGCACGCGAAAAAGATCGTCGATCTTCTTAGCCTGTATTTGTACAACCATCATGAAGCCGACGAGGACATCGAAGCCTGCGGGATCATCGACTCCACAGGGTGGAGGCAGAGGGGGTAAGTACTTTGGCAAACTGGATATGTTCCACGCAACACAACGCTCACATACTCCTGCACGTAGAGTTCCCCCCGAATACCGGCTAAACCGGCAGGATGATGCTGTCAAATGGGCAGTCATTCATATCTGGCATAGAGAGACTCATAAGCCTGAGCCGCATGTGGTGTGCGCCCTGGCCGACAGAGTCCCTCTTCGCGATGATCAGATTTCCGTCCCTGAGTTGAGAACAATCTTAACCCTCAGCGGTGTAAGGGCTTTAGATGAGGGCCGCGGTAACCGCAAGCGCATTCCGGTGAGTGGCGGATGATGAATGTCCTGATGCGAAATGACTGGGGATGACTAACTTTGGCGGCAGGTCACTGTTGTTTCCGCAGCAGGGAGGCAACTCCGTATTGTAGTCGGCATTGTCGACAGCAAGAATGGAACAATTGAGATTCGGGAGGGTCCGATCATTGACTTTTCGGAGGGCGTAAAGAAGAATTGGAAGCAGTGGATAACAACATTGTGTTGGATTTCTGGGTAAGACCGATTGAGAGACTAGAATTGCTTTCTACAGGAGAGTAGCGATGTACGATGGTATGGATTTTAGATAGTCTCGAGACTTCGATTTGCAAATGCATTGATTCCCCACAGTCTGACACATACATAAATTCGATGAGCTTCGGTGCTACAAACAAAGGACAATGCAATCGCTACCATGTGGAAGTGACCCAAGCCCCGAACGTTTACATTTATCAACCACATGATCACCTATATCTGCCCTCCGTGTTGTTGGATCTCGATCAGGGGCCGAGGTTGGGTTGCCCAAGTAATTAGCTACGAAGGAATGCAAGGGGGAAAAAAGTCCCCTTTGAGCCCCTGGCAGTATTATGCAGTAAATTCTCAAGGACGACAATCAATATTGCTGTTTGACACTAATGATCCGTTTTAATAAGGCAAGGTGCGGGAAGCGCGTCTACGACTTGTTCGAGATCCATCTCTGAGCCAAATCGGGATTTAGCTAGCACACGCCTTCACAGACGCTATTATCCCCTTGTTCCAGCAGGAAGCTTGTTTTTTCCCTGGAGAGGCACCTCCATTTCTACCCAATAGATAATACTGGTGAATCTATGATACAATTCTCCACCATGGTGTTAGGCATCTGCCTTGCCGTTCTTCGCTGTGAAACCGTTTTTCTCCGCGATGCTCTCTCCAATAATCCTCTTGCAATCAGCAAGATCCTGAGCCAGGAAGGAAAGATGCAAAACGTCGGCGGAGACAGTGATTAGCGATAATGTCTCGCTAGCTTTCTTCAGACCCTCTGCTGACCCAAATGGCGGGTTGGGAAAAGAAAAACCGCCCCTTGGTTTGTTGTGCTTCTTCATGGTCGCATCGTAGAGCTCCACCACTTCAAGCCACTCCGGCTCGGCGCCACCCATTCCGTGATTCGAAGGGAGAGACATGCTGACTCTGGCATCGAGACTTCCAAGCCACACAATATCAATATCTGGGCATTCAGTCAATATGGCGTCCAGATTTTCGACACCCAACTTGCTCTCCACCTGAATCATGATGGCCGCTTGCTCGTTCAGGCATTCCCAAAACTCCTTGTTCGGGTAGCAAGGAGTGTCAGTGAGACCTGGGATATAACGGAAGGGCGGTGCGGACCGACTCCCGTTACTGTTCCTAACACCGAATTTGGCCGAGGAGACGACATGCTTCGCCTGCTCGACCGTCTCAACTTGAGGGACAACTACGCTAGCTCCGGCATCGAGGGCCCATCCAATGGCCGCATGATCATGCCCAGGCACTCTTTGATGTGGCTTTTATCAGCCCTTGCGCTCCAGGATTCTGGGGTAGTTTGCCCGTTGGCAAGACTTACCTAACGAAGGGAATGGTACGACCGCCACTCATAAAAATGGCTTCATGCACCATCTAGATAGACGATTAGTATCTACATGAGGTACATAACACAGAAGGGTGAAGGCCTACATCGGTCATCGTCTCGACGTTGCATGGTGTATGCTCCCAATCGATCCACACGCCGTCATAGCCCATTGGTGCGAGGAATCGAGTGATGGGGACAGAGCTGAGCCCCGCGTAATAGAACAAGAGAGGAGGAATCTTCTTCTCGTGGGCATCTCGGATGGCTTGGCGTGCTTGGTGCGGTTGGTAAAAGTTAGGGGCGGCGTAGGCAAGCATGCCCTGCTTGGAAGCTGGTTCGAATGGCGCCATTTCTCTTGCTGGCTATAGGTTACTGCTCATTCACAAAGAATACAGTCGACCGAGTAAGGTAAAGTAATTGAGTGTGGCACGTAGCCTTGATTAAATACAAAGCGAGTGATGGACTCGTGTACAATGAGATGTCTGTCTTGGCGGTGTAAGATTTGTGATATCTCCGCGACCCGATTGTCCATTCCCCAATCTCACGTCAGACTTGTGAGAGTGAGAAGCGGAGACTTGCGCGGCGATCCTGATTTGTTTTACACCGTGGCAGCCTGTCTGCTGATGACACACGACCCGCCCCGGAGGGTTCGGTCGGCCGACTGAACCAAACCCAAGCACGACGTGTTTCTGAGCTAGGAGGCAGCGTGAAACGTGGTTCTAGAGTGGGTACGAAATGAGATATGAGCGAGAGGACGCATTTCATTGGCAAATACATTCTGGCGGTGGACAAGTCGGGCTTATGCGATTACGCGGAGATGTTACAAGGGAGCAAGGGTGTAAGATTGAGATCGTAAACAGACACGTAGTAGCCACTTCATACGTTGGCTCTATCAGACTTATGTCCGAATCCCTCGAGGGTTTGGGGTCGGAGTTAAGAAAGATTCTGCCGCCGTTGAGCCCGGTAGGAATAAAGATTGTGAACTGGCGAGCACCAACGAAACTGCCTATCGTTGAATAAACGTGAGCCAACACCGCAAGATTGTTGGCCAAGCTATTGGCCTTCCCGATGCCACATACACACCCCCGAAGCAGGTGGTAAAGTAACTGTCAGAGAAATCTCTATGATGCCACCCAACCTTTGTAGAGTCCCAGCCCCAAAGCCCAAAGAATGGCCAGTACTCCGGCTTGTGTTGGTGCAAAGATGGAGCCTCTTGCGACTACGAAGCCGCTTACCAAAGCAAAAATGGTAGGAATAAGGATCGATGGCTTGTAGGGTCGATGTAGATTCGGCTCCCGATACCGCAAGACGATGACGCCGACGACTGTGAGGAAGAAAAAGGAATACTCCCCAAGACCATTGAAAAGGAGGAGCGCACGGAAATCTCCCAGCAGGATGTACAGCGTGGAAAGAATGGCTGACAATATGAGAGCGTTGACCGGAGCGTCTGACTCGTCTCCATCCTCGTCCCTGGCGTTGTCCGGATTCGTCTCGTCACTCGGGCTGGCGACACCGACACGTCCTACCAAGGTGAAGATGCGCGGAAACCAATTTCGCTTGCCAGCTGCCACGATCATTCTACTTGCGACGAAGGAATTGCCCAGGAGTGACCCGGCGACGACAAGGCAGATTAGGATTGCCGCTACAATACCAGCTGTCGGCCCCAAAAGCCTAGCAATAGAGGTCTATTAGCGGATTAGCATGGATCGACTGTAAGCGAGATTCAGAGAAGACCAGGACAGGGCTCTTACCACCGCGACGCTGTCGGTAGTTGAAACCACATCCCAGGGCAATAGGATATAGTAACCAGCATTGGCAATTAAGAAGCTGAGAATTACAGTCGGTATCGCCAAGTTTATTGATAGAGGCAGTTGACGAACGGGAGAGGATAGTTCCTCCGAGACGTATATCGCCTGCAGATGCATGTTGTCAGCGTTATAAAGGATAAGAATTATGTGCACGAAAGACAAGCCTGGTGCAGCCAACTAACGTACCTTGTCCCAGCCCGAGTACGCCCATAAAGCGCCGTACAAAGCAGCGGATAGATGACCGAGAATCTCCCACGAGCTCAAAGTCGACCATCGGATCTCGTGGCCGTCTGGATCGATCGTGTCGCGATTTCCAAACCACGGTTTCTGAAACCAATCTCGCCCTCCAATATCCCTTTGCGGGTCGGAGACTTGCAAGACTATGACCGCCAGCCCGGCAACGGCGATGGCAAGGATGCTGATGAATTTCGTCAATACGAAGAAGCCGTTGAGCCGTGTGCTCGCCCTTGTACTAATAGAGTTGGCGCCGGTCATGACAGCCAGGACCAAGACTGAGAAGAACTTGTGCTCCAGTCCGCGGCTCTGGGTCGTCGTCCCTATCGCAGAGTATATGCTTTCCACAAACACAATGCTCAATATTGCGAGAGTCGCAGGCATCACGGCAACAATCCACGTCCAGGCGGCCAAAAAGCCAAAGACGTCACCGAAGATGTACTGGAGGTATGGCTGGACGCCCCCTAGATACATGTTGAGGTTAAACAGGACAACTCTGAGACGTAATTGGGGTGGGCTTTAAGGGGCACTGACCTTCACCAGGGATGGCGGTCCCGAGCTCCGCCAACGTGCTGGCTCCCGTCCAGGCGAGCACTCCTCCGAGAACCCAAATCACTAATGCCACGCCTGGCGAAGGAACATTGGTATCGATGGCGCCCGGGGAGGTAAAGACGCCACTTCCAATGACTATGCTTATCACTATACCGAAGGCATCGATGACGCCGAGGCTGCGTTTGAACGTCGAAGGTTCACTGGGTTGCCAGGGCCGATCTGATGCAGAAGTCTCGTTATCCGCCGCATTGTAGTGTTGCCCCTGAGAGACGTTACCACTTGCCAGCAGCGGTTGTTGCGGGTTATTATCTGTACTGGTAATCGACACCATTTTGGGCAGTGTTGTTTTTGGTTTCTGATTGCGGATTCTCCCAGATGAAGGCTCGTGAATTGAGTTGGATTCTCGCAGAACAGAAACGTGGCAAGCCGCGAATTGTCTGGGGAACTTCGGCGTGTGCCGTGTCGCCCCCGCGATGGCGCAATCGCCTCAGGAGATCAGAGAAGCCGCTCTCGACCGGACAATAGCAAAACCCCAATAACGTCACAGAGGTACCGATTATTAATTTTAAATGCGAGTCCGTTACAGAGATCGAATTTAGGGATAATTGACGACAAGGTCGCAGTCTCAGTATCTTCATCCAGTGATTGTCGTAAAAGGTTAATTTTCACTCTGTGCCATCCACCACGACAGTTTTGATGGGCGATAGTAACGCAAAATTAACATGTTTAGTCCAGCTTTTTGTTTTCTTTAAATTTTCAAAGCCACCTCGTAATAACTTGTCTTGCTCTCTTGGATCTCCTAGCAGAGCTAAGTTACGCCACGCAACTTAATTCGCAGGACTCTCCCACCTGTTGACAATAACCCCAAAAGGAACAGCAAGGCCCCTCAGCACAGGGATTGAGTTCAGCATCATCAGGTTTCTCAGTTCCCGGGACTCGTGGGCCACATTCTGCCGTTGAATCCGGGGGCGGAAGTGGAAGGCGTGCCGTCGCTCACGCAAATGACTGTATCGGGAACTAGACTGTTACAACCTGAACATGCTGCATCTCATCTCCACGTTATCTCCCTTGCGAAAAAGCTTTGAAAAGCGACTGCTTACACGCTGCCTAATTTAGGATTGCCTGGTCTGGAAGATCCAAGACTTCAGCTTTCTTTATCAATAACCGCATCACACAGCCTATCTGATCTATCTGATACCATTGGGTCTCACTAATCTCAACTTTCCCGTGCAAAGCAATTACCTCTGGTTCCCTTTTGTATTTAATTATCTAACTTAAATCCGCTCCGAACTACTCTCTGGCTCAACCTGCATGGTCCACACTCCTTGTTTTGACGGTTCGTTAAGAAACGGCGCACCTTGGTGATCTTGACCTTGAGGTGGTCTATCTTGGTGCGGGTCTACCAAGACCACGGAAATGTTCTTCGCTTTCTCTTGCAACTCGTCGATTGTTGTGGCATCCCCCAAGTAGTCCCCAACAACATGGCCCCGTGAAAAGACAGCCAACTCACTTCCTTTCCACGCAGGAATCTTCCCGCCTCCTTCATTTAGTGTAGTATATATCGTGGCAAAGAGGAATACCAACGTCCCGACTACCACGAAGCAATGCAAAGCAATCCATCGCCAATCTACAATATAAATCGCTTCGAAAATTCCCAACGACCCCGTCGCAGAACTGCTGTTATCCCCGCCGTTGCGAATTGCATTAGTCATGCTGAGAGCAATATTGGAAAAGGTTTGATTGATGTCGTTAGTGCTCCAAATGGCCTTAGCGACGCTGGGTTCGTACTCCTCTGCCATCTCGCCACCGGCAGCTCCATACCTCGCGATTAGGTATCCATTGACCGGGCCCCAGCTATCGAGGATTTCGGTTGTGCAGTTAGCTCCAGCCACGCACACGGCGAAAGTTTTCTGCATGAAGGCGCTGATTCCGTCAACGGCCTGTTGAGAGATGTTCCAGGCTGCGTCGCTTCCTGGATGACCGAGTTGCAGGTTTGTGTGTTGGATTGCCGATTCAATCGGATGGAATGCTACACTTTCAACTACGGCCTCAGATACGTTTGGCCACCGTGTTCGATCTAGAGCCCAGGACTCGGGAATTCGCTTCTCGTCTTGAAGGACGGATGATGTTTCAAAGAGCGTCGCGTTGTGCACTTCTGAGCTGTATTTCTTGACGCAGTAGTACAGACTGCATTCCTCGGCACGGACATTGTAGGCAAGCCACGTCTTATTGTACTCGGCGCCGTCGACTTTTATGAGGCTTTGTGCCCAAATAAGGGTGTCGATGTCTCCCATGCTTACAGTCTTTCGGGGATCTGTGGTACCTAACATCGACATGAAGACCATGGCTTTTGCTTCGCTGCCGGAATCGTTGAAGTTGTTAAGAAAGAGACCGTTTGGAAGCCTGTATTCTGTGGAAAACCTCTCGATCTTCGCAAAACTTCTATCCCTGATCAAGTCAAAGTATAGATCGCCGTTGCTGTTCTGATTTTTCTCCAGCTGAGAGGTAACATTTTCGCAACGGCTGCACACGGCAAGTGTGGTGGTGAATGGGAACGAACACTCTCCCGAGGGACAATTAAAATTGACCGCTTGTGTGATGGTGGAGCTATTGGCAGAAATGCCAAACATGGTTGCCCCTTGCAGGGCAAACTCAGCATCAGAGTACACCACACGACTGCTGATGGATTCGAGTCGGCCCTGATCGTTGGCTGTCGTTATACACTAGTCAGTTTCCGTGCAGGCTCGAGCGAGTTATAACGGCGCATTTCACCTACTCGTTACGGCGGAAAACACCCCATACTGGTTGCCATTCGAATATCGAGTAGCCATGGGAATGGACGTGACACCCTGAGTATCAAGGATGTAGGTTAGGCCCCTCTGGATCTGGACCAGCTGCTGGGCGAATGGATCGATCGCAACGGCTAAAAGTGTAAGGAATGCCCCAGATCGTACAAGAGTCTTCTTTAACCTGACAATTCGATACGATGTTCTGTTAGAAAAAGAAAAAAAAAAAATCTCTCTTTTACCTCCTTCCAACTACAGGGGACTGTCGCGACCTACCCGCTTCCAAAGTGGATATTAAGTAATAGTTTCAAACTTCCCAGTGACCCTCGACTAGCCTCTACTACGTGCTCAAAATCAAGTAATCGGTGTCGCCTACCAGTGAAAAGGATCCAGTTCCACTGACTGACGGCGTTGGCGATAACGTAAAGCAGCATGGCTTTGCTCGAGGTTGACAGGACGGCGATAATGGCGTTTAGCGTCACGAAGCCGGTTTCCATCTTTGCGATTGGTTTTCCGTTGAACGAAATTAGGACTCCCACCATGGCCAGCATTGCGGCGACTGATGCGAGGACGGCCAGGACCTCAGATCTCCATGGGCGAAGCCCGTCCCAGAGACCGCGGCCATGGCCTCTTCCCATTTTCTCTTCACGAAATATTTCTAAATTGGAGGGCCGGTGTTTTATAGGAGGTGCTTTCACGTGTGATGTGAGAGGGAAGAGAATTATGGTATTCGCACGGGAGAAGATAATGGAGAGTATTACCTCCGTTTTTAATGCTTATTTCCAGTCAGGTTGTGGCTTAGTCGTTCCATTGGGGACCCTGGTCACAACAAATTACATCAATGGTTTTTGTAGGATGGTTGGCACTGCCCTCTATGTATCCTGGATTGGGATCGACCAACCAGCGCTTTTAGGATGTGGGGCCAGAGCTTACGGCGGCCGCCCTGCAGAGGATGAAACATTAGCTTTTCCCTATGATGGTCAATCCTGCACCTTGGCCGACAATGTAAAATAAAATCGAGGTTTACTACGACGGGTGTCTAGCTACTCGCATTATCAAGATAATACCACTTTCCACCAGCTTGAGGTAAATTTTTGAGTCATCTTTTGCCACGGGGCCAAGGGCTGCGGCTTCAGAGAAGTCCTCCAAGTCCAGGTGCAACTATCGGATTAGACAGTTGCGCGGAAGGAGTGCAAACGTGCATCGAGAGCTAAGGCAGGTCAACACTGATCAGATTGGGGTTCTGTTACGGCCACGCCATTGCCACGCCTTTCCCTCGTTGAATTCGTTCAGCTTTTTACAGCTTTCCAAGCCAAACTCCGCCGCAATGGTCGAGCACGTCTCTCCCGGCTAGACGACGTAGTCCCACGCAAGAGTCGTCTGAACGGGGGCCGGGGCCAAGCCTAGAGAGGTACCCGGGTGTGCAGCAAACTCGCTGACCTTCGGACAAGGAAGAACAGAGTTCAGTTTGCGTTAGATTATTGAATGTATGCAGCTCCGGTAGTGAAATCCCGCAGTGGGCCGCCAGCTTGTCGCAGTTCATCCCCTTCTCGACCACGGTTTCCTTGCAGCTTCCATCCGGGTTTGATGCGATGACGGGCATGTCTCCAGCGGTGCAACATACTCTTTGGCCGATGCGGAGAGTTGTGCATAGGCTGTCCTTTGGGTTGAATTCGATGAGCTCTTCCGTCGTAATCCCGCACCTCTCGGCGAGTTGGTAACAACCCTGCGTCGGCTCTATTTGGATGATTTCACACTCTGCGCGTGGGATCAGCGGTGAGCCACTCACGAGCTGTAAAAGACACAGGAATAAGGCCTCGTGGTGATGCATGACATTGACCGCTTAGGGTTAAGCGGGTAGGGCACTTTAAAATGGCGGACGGTGCTTGTTGCAGGTGGAGAGATCGAGAGCAATGATTGAAAATTATCTCCAATCGTTCCAAGTCGCGGACCACCGCCCATTTATATTATTATGTTCATCCCATTCAGAGTCCGCCTTGGGCGGCACCACGGGGAGAGATGCGGGAAAATCAATATATAGAGTGTGGTCCACAATTTAAAATGTTCTGATCCGATGCCCTTCAGCGCAATCAGAAGCTGCCATGAACTTGCCAAGCCAAGCCCAAAACATAGGTCGCGAGACATGGCTAAATGGCAAAAGGAAGGGACGTACTCCAGGCGTCCTGGACATAAAATAAGTCACTGACCTTCTTCCCTTCATTTCCATGTACTTACCATCGGAAGTCCAGCAAATGACTTAATTAATGGCCATGCCTCCTGCTCGCCTTTGTTGGCTTAAGTTCATATCATTATTCAAAAACTGTTGCCCAGAACTTGCCTTCTTCATTGTTTGCCTCTCACCGTACGCCACGCAGAGGTCAATCGAGGCTCTAGGGACGTTCGTGTAGGGTTTTCCCAGCTACCATTTGCTGCCCTTGAGGACGAACTCGGAATGAGGCGATGAGTAATACGCGTCAAGACAGGGGCACCGTTATTGTCGGGCCGACCTCTTGTGTCGCGAGTTGCTAATGCTAGTTCTGTCGCCTCTGCCATGGTTCTCGTGGTGATTCGAGTGGGTTTGGTCCAAATTCCCTCATAATCTTGGGCCATATCCATCCAGAGGTGTGGCCGCGCCATATTCGACATGAAAACCTCTTCGCTAGCATTCCTAACCCCGATGAAGACCGCTTCTGCTTACCCAGCGACTGGGGGTTGAACTGATTGGTGCATTGGGAGAGCACGATCTCAGACTCGAAGTCCATGGAAAGTCGTCCCCACTGAAAGTGCGGCAACACCCCAAATAAGCCTCACCCAGCGGTATGGATGCCACGGTCGGTTAGCTCAGTTGGTTAGAGCGTGGTACTAATAAGCTATCCAGCTTATCGGTAAATGCCAAGGTCATGAGTTCGACCCTCATACTGACCATTCCCAACCAATTTTTTCGACTTTTTTTCTTCTCCTTCTTCTTTTTCCTTCTGAGAAGAAGAACCTTCTCCTATGTTGTTAATTCGGCGGCATTTCGGAGGCCCATCAGAGGCCGCCCCCCCCCCCCCCCCCCTTCTCTCTCTCTAAAAAAAAAAAAAAAAAAAAAAAAAAAACCCTTTTAAATGTAGCTTTGCAATCTTTTGGGCGCTTTTCCTCCCTTATATTTTCCCCTGGTCTTGATTAAAACACAACGGGAATCGTCTCCACTAGCCACTCTGATAGCGGCTCATCCTAATAGAAACTGACGCTCAACGCAGTTACCATCAGATGCCCGCGATTTTAACTGATTAAGGTTGGAGGCGTGAGCCGGTCTGGCCAAGCCTTGGGGCTTTGATACGAGAATATGTCCTTTATATCCCACTCCTAATTCGAAGAGACGGGCTGAACCAGATCTCCAAGCAGGTCTTCTGGCAGTGCGTTGTGCTACGCAGGTGGGCAAGCGTACGCGTTGGTGATTCCATGGCCTCAATGGCTACTGGGAGACCTCTTTATGTTAAATTGTACTGATATCCTAGTAATCATCCTCTAATCTTTAAGACCCGGAAGTTCCTCAAGAGGACTTCTATATGACGTGTAACATCCGTGTCGACTTGGGAGAAGCAAAGGGATATTTGGAGTCCTTGCCACCGTTTTCAGGCTGTTTGAGCTCTATGGTACCTGTCACAATAATACTTGCAGATATCTGCCCAAGATTGGGGATCAAAATCCCGTTGGGGAGTAGGAATGCTGGCTTACACATGAATTGTTCGTGGAATATTGGCTATTCATCGTCGACTACCTCTTCCGGAGTGCTCGTCCTTGAGGAACTAATAGATTCTAAGAGCTGATCCCCGAAGGCTTCGCGAAAGGCCTCTGCCATCTTCGCGTCCTTTATCGCAAATACCACCTCAATATTTCTCGAGGATTCACGATTATTGGCAGTATGGCTACCGGTGTCTGCCACAACCTTCCCTACTTGGTCAGTCTCGGAGCTTTTGGCTCTGAGCAAGACCTTGCGCCAAGCCCTGGCAATCTCCCCAACTGGGTTGCCATACGCACCGCACCCCCACGCGCCGAGCACGACTTGCCCAACGCGCTTATCCTTAACAATCTGCATGACCGCCATCATCTTCTTCACGGTTGCCTCGCGGTCACGATCCTCGGCATACTTCTGCTCCCGCCCGCAACCATCAACTTCGGGTAGACGGTGCATTGCCGCTGTTACCACATCGATGAAAAACCAATCTTTCTTGTCGTTGGATTTGGCGACAAGGTCGTCATCAAGGCGAAATACCAGAACGTCTGGCGTGTAAATGGCGCCGAATTCGGGGAGACGGTAGAATTCATCCTTTAAGGATGGATACAGCGTCGTCCGGCGACAAAGGGACTCTTCCTGAGACGTCGCACCAGACAGCACGCCGCCGCCAGGTCGAAGAGGAGAAGCCATATTGAGTATGGCTATGCGAGGCCGCCGGTGAGGCGGGACTTCGAGGTTCCGAGTGTGCAGATTTGAAGCAGCTTCAAGAGTGTCGGCGACAACCAATGTCGCAAGTGTGGACATTTTAGAGTCATCTGGAGGTTTGTCGGTACTGCCTTCTAGTGATCCTTCCGAGCCCGTCTCAGAGGCAGGCTCTAGTCGAGACGGTGATGCCTTGGGCAGAGCCACGGCAGCACCAGCAGGTTGCGGGAAGGTGGGCGTCGGATCAACGATAAGCTCGACTGCTGCGACACCTTCACGGGCGCGGGCATTGGCTCGAAGAATGGAGGGGATGGTGGTGTTGATAATTGTCTTCCCAAGTTTCCCACGAGCATTACGATTACTCGTTGCCTTACGGACTGGACGTCTGCTTCCTCCCATTGCTGATGTTGTAAGAGCTAAATACTAGGGATGTCGATGTCGATGTCAATGTTGATGTTGATGTTGGGGTGCGGGGTTTGGGGGGCTGGTCCGCGCTCGTGAGAGATCAATTGATTGATGGCGACTAGGAACCCTGATGGCGAGTGGGGTTCAATGAAAAGACACAACAGCCTTCATAAGAGCCTTGTGTCTCTCCCGCCGTCAGCCTGTCCACGTCTAGTGCTGTCCTCATCACGACCTTCATTATTAGTAGCTTCGGACCTTAATTTTACTCTGTAGACACCGTGTCACGCGGGCGCTTCTTCTTGGTGTCGGGGAACCATCAACCATGGGAAGTAACGACGGCAGCGACAAGGTAGAATCGCAAAAGGAAATTATTTCCCGGCCTCGTGATATAAGGCATGAAAATCAAGATGTATGAGGGAAGGCGGGCGGGCTAGCTAGGGCGAGGCTGGTAGATCGCCCATTGTTCCCTACGAAAAAGCTGGGGGAGGATTATCTCCAAGTTTACTACGTAGAAGTGATATTTGCCTCCGATGGAAATCAACACCGATGCTATGATCCCGGCCATTCGTGAATAGGCATATCGGGTGCAAGATTTGAGGCTCCACTCCCAAGTGCGGAATCGACCGCTCGATAGCTGTAAACACCAGCATTCCAAAGGCAGCACAATGCCCTCGGAACATGCTCTATGCGGAAACAGTCATACGCATGTATTCCCAAAATGGTATGACACCAAAAACGTTGTCCTCGAGGCGAGCAGTCAACAATACCCCCCGGCACTCTGACAATGCAGTGGATAAGTTTGCCAAGCCAAGTCAGAGTCCATTTGCATTTTATAAGGACACTTGGCGCATCAATTCCCCTCTCAATATTTCGAAGCGAGGGTTGAGATGGGACCAGCTTGTTCGATTCTGCCGTGGGCAAGCCAGTGATGACGACGAACAAGTGGCAGACATGACCTGTCGCCTGCACGTTTATGCTGTTGGTCCTTCTTTGCATATTTCTCGTTCCCGAGTTGTCCACCCACGGGGAAGACGGGCGAATATTGGCGTCCAGAAAGGCAGGTTGCTGCCCAGACGGTATGCATCGGACGATCCCGCGATGCAATGCAACCTCGTGAAGCCGTTGCAATTGGCCTGAATCGCCATCCAAATGCTGTTGGTTGAGCTGTGCGTTTGAGACTTCGAGCCCGCATCTCACTGAGAGAAATCACACCCAATCCAATGATTTATTCTACATAAGCCCCGTGATTTTCACCTGGGTTATTTCTCTCCCCCGACACTCTTGCCTTGGGAAAATCACACTTTCGTACAAAAATGGCGTCTAACCACTCAAGCCCAAAGGCGGCGTCACCCGATCGCCCCGGGGCCCAGCCGAATATTCTACCTCCCGAGCACTTTGCACAGCTGGTAGCGGTCGGTAACTTGTATTTACCCTTGAATAAAGAGCCTCCACTTCTAACGAAGCAATACATGTAGGAGGGGGAAGATGGAGATGAAGTCGCCGAGGACCAGTCTAGTTCCACCGCCTCTTTGACCTCCAGCATCCTTGCCTACCGCAAAATACAAGGGCGAACATATCACGGCGAGCGTGGCGATGCAACATATTGGTTAGTTGGAGCCGCCCGACAAGAACAAATTGGTCTCATGGCTAACCTGGCTGAACAGGGGTTCCATCGATGAGGCCCAGAATGAAGCATTAGACATTAAGTGAGTCGAGCGAGGAGGGACAAACGGCAGGGATCTTTTGACTCACAAGTGTTAATAGCCACCACGTCATTACTCTGTTGTTGGATCGCAAGCTTTACCTAGCGCCGGTACCAAAAGACATCCAGGTATGTCACCTCGGCCGTGATATCCATTATGGTAACCAGGCCGCATCTGATTTGTCTTTTTAGACCGCCGTCGACATCGGCACTGGAACAGGTAATCCCATCTCAGACAGAACTCTGTATAGTGGTATTAGCTAACAAATTCATAGGCATCTGGGCAATGTATGGTACCACATGCTTAGACTCGAATTATGTTGTATATGTCCTGATGATTATGGTGATAGTGATTTCGCCGATGCGTTTCCGAATTGCCGTGTAACTGGAACTGACATTGCCCCCATACAACCCAGTTGGGTCCCGCCTAACCTACAGTTGTATGCCGCCCTCGTGATGATCTGAAATCCAAATCCCTCGCGTCATGACTGCTAACAAACTTCATTCCCCTAGCCAAATCGACGACTGCACACAAGATTGGACGTTCCCGGATAACTCGCTCGACTACATCCACATACGCTGGCTCGTGGGTAGCATTGCGGACTGGGCCTCTCTCTTCAGGCAAGCCTATAGATGCCTAAAACCCGGTGGTTACCTGGAGAGCCACGAGCCGTCGTCTGGATTCGAAAGTGACGATGGTACTGTTACGGAGAGCAGCGCTCTCGCTCAGTGGGGAAGATTCTTCGTCGGAGGGGGAGAGAAGATTGGCCGGCCATTCACTGTGTTTGATGACGATAGCCAGATGAAAGGGATGGAAGAGGCCGGGTTTGTCAACATTGAGAAGAAAGATTTCAAAGTGAGCGAGCCCATCTTCCCCACAATCTTCACTGTTACCATGGCTCGTAAGTTTGCAACTGACAACCGATGCAGAATCCAGTTGGTTCATGGCCGAAGGACAAAAACTTGAAAGAGGTTGGTGTGTTTGCACAGGCAGCGTTTGAACAGGACCCGGAAGGAGCAGTTCTCTTTATGGCAGGGCAAATGGGCTGGACTAGAGAGGAAGTTGCCGTGTTTCTCGTCCAGCTTCGAAGAGAGTTTCGAGCTCCCGATATCCATCCTTACTTCCGACAACGGGTCGTACAAAAACCAACCACTGATTGAGAACGAAGGATATCGTCTACATGAGGCTGGTGGAACCGGTATCTCGAGATCCATTAGGTTGGTGTGGAGGGATTGGTGCGAGACTGATTTATCCGAAAAGGATGTATCACTCCTGAAAGAGTAGGCCGGTGCATGTACACACCTGAGAACCGCCCTCCGGCCCTGCCAAAATTGTTGATTAGTTATTGGGGTCAGAATAGCTGTAAAGAATACACCGCCCAAGCTAACAAGCGAAGAGTTTCTCCATCGGCCAACTAGATAGGCTGAACTAGTCTTCCGCCCGTTCTGTAAGATATAATAGACAGTGCCAAGGCGTTCACGGCCGAGTTGAGGCTTTTGCGAAGGGTGCTAGTCGCCTCAGCAGCCAGCTCAGGGAGTGCTGTGACCTAAGAGCCGTCTATCCGTGTATCATTCGATTTGCAGCGTTGAATCTAAGCAACAATGCCGGCTACGCCAAGCGAGCTACTGCGTCATGGATTTCCCAAATCGTGATCCAGTCTTTCAGCATTATGGTCTCGCAGATTTACGACGCACCGCCATGGTTCTTCAGTGGGCATGGCACCCTCCTCGGCATTTTCCTACTGACGTTTGTCTTCATTTTTCTCGAAGTTCTCTTAATGAAGCGAGATAATTGTACAATGGAAGATAGGGACACATAGTTGTCGTTAGCCGGAGATGTAAACTCAGATAAAGTAGAGGCACTTGAAGATGTATGCGACGCGCACCCGAACTACCTCTATATGCTAACGTAACAGTATATTGGACATGCTTGAGAAAGACCAGTGTCACAGGGAACCTAGTCGCTTTTAAAAACTCAATTGATTGTAAAACTTCAACTTGCTCTAGGACTGACTTGAATCCTCCCAAGCCCTCTTGTTATCTTGCTCCAATTGGTCTCCGATCGGGTGTCAATTAGTTCAGCGGGCTTAGGTTTCCTAGTTGCAATCTCGCCTCATTCAAAAAGGTAGGTTATACCTCCAACTTCGCCTTGTCGATAAAGTCTCTCGTATAAGCAGTGTCAATAAACTCCACAAACTCGACAATTTGCGTCCCATCATCGTTCATCTTCAGTGCCATGAAATACTCTGCCTCGCAGGGCCCGAATGCCGTATCTCCCGCAGACTTCAGATGCGCTATGACCTTGCGGGCGCCCTCGTCAATTACGGGCTCGAAATCGTCTTGAACTATGAGTCGCAAGTTGGGGACGACCTTCTTTAGCTCCATGACGAAGTCTGAGTACTCCTTGTTGGTTCGGTCCGGGATACCGGCTGAGGCAGGGTACACGCGATGCACGCACTCGGGGCCCCGGCAGGCGATGACGGACTCGGCAGTCATCTCGCCATACCTGTCGAAGGCTGTCTTGGCCGTTTGCCATAGTTGGTTACGTAGTGACATGGCGCTGCTAAGTCGAATAAAAGGGATGGGAGGTTATGTTCTAGCAGACATTTGCAGTTGAATTCATGGAGTCGGGCTTATATAGGGAGTGCTTTTGATTCACCGGAGTTTAGAATGACTTCTTGGAGTTTAGCATTTTATGTCCGCTTGTGGTGCCTTTCCCCATGTGGATGGGAGGTCTTGGTGGAGCCAATTCGTAGTTACGAGCTATGCTCTGAGGGGCTCTGACCAGCGGGTAATGAATACGCCGACTACCTGCCTGACGAGGACGAGGAAACCAAATTCCCCCTCTCCAGCCCTTTGAATTCAACGACCGGGGTCTAGCGGCAGGCAAGCAGCACTGGAATCTCCTGTTAACGAGGAAGAACCTTGACCTCAGGGTCACAAAGCTGACTCGGGTTATCGGAACCGATATCCGCGGGTTTGAACTCTACGAGCTAGACGATCTTCAGATGGATGAGTTCGTGCATCTGATTGCGGAGTGCCGTGTCCTTGTTTTCCGAGACCAGAATTTTTAAGGACATTGGTGTCGACAAACAGGAGTTTGCGCGATACTTCGGGCCTCTCTACATCCACGTATGCCCGGTCCTCACCGAATGCCCGAGTAGCTTCGTGCTTCGGCTGTTCTCCGTTGCTGTGTTGGTATTCATTATGAATCATACCTCATCATCAGTGAGTTGGAGACGATCTCATTGGTAGAATTTCTTTTTTTGTGGCAATGCAGTGGCGAGTCGCTCCCTGCCACTTTATCATTTACCCGAAAAAGGCTAGGCAAGTTTGGGACTTGGGAGACCCGCCCATTTTGACACCCCATGATCCTTCAGGGGCGGAGCGGTAGACACCAGCATTCACTAGATCCTACGATATACAGGAGTATAAAAGGGATAGCAACTCAACTCCATCGATACCGTCCAATTCGTTATTAGAAGATAACATCAACGCCTGAAAAATCACAATACTTTAGATCCTCACTGAATCAACAACAGTGACTGCCTCTAATCCACCTTGATGGTACTAACGACAACTGTTACTACTTCAACCACAGTTGCGACGCCACTCACTTCACAAATGAGCCAGTCATCGAGCCCAGAAACCAACCCTATGCCCACATATTCCAAAGAGTCAATCGACTCTCCCGACGCGACCATGCAGAAATTCGTGCCGGGGCAATGCTTATTTTGCGCCAACACCTCACCAAGCTTCACTGACAGCGTGACACACATGCAACTGTCACACGGCCTCTTTGTTCCATATCAGCAACATCTACTAGTCGACTTTGAGACTCTTTTCAAATATCTACATCTCATTATCTTTGGATACAAAGAATGCATACAATGTGGAACGGAGAGGGCTACCGTACAAGCTGTACAACAGCATATGACCGGGAAGAGCCACTGCACATTTGATCCATCTCAAGAAGACTCAGAGTTCGCCGAATTTTATGACTTCTCGGGGCCAGAAGACGATGAAGAGACTGATATCGAGGGCGATGACGACGAAGAAATTCGGGAGAAGATAGCGACGAGGTCTAGCCGAAGGCCGCTGCAGGTCGACGAGGATTCGATTCGTTTACCATCGGGCAAAATTATCTCCAAACGGTCATCGACTCTAGCAGGACCGTCAATATCTTTCGCTCAGATACGTCGTCGAACTCGGACCTCGATGCCACAAATAGGATACTCTGCAGCAGAACCCGGCGACCAGGAGGTGCCCACCGAAGAAGAGCCCGACTCGGATGTACGCGACACACGTTTAATATCGAGGAGGGAGAAGCGGGAGAGGGCAATGGCCACGTATCAGTTAACAAATATGAGCGCCAACGACCGAAACAGCCTGGTACACCTACCCGCATCTCAGCAGCGCTCATTGCTGGTGACGCAACGGCGGCATGGGGAAAAGGTGCAACTGGAGGAAAGACGAAGGCAGGGCAAGATTGATCGGAAGGGGAACAAGAATTTGTATGCCTATTGGGCCACTGAGACGCCTGTCTACCAATGCGGCTAAATACGGAGTACGTTGAATCGATGATCCCCATTCTAATTACGTATTTGAGGTGCAACTATGAGATCTCACTATGGCGATAACCTCGTACGCTTGAATAAAATTGCCACGCTTCCTCAACGAGCAACAGCAACAGCAGTAAATCGACCAGGGATCTCACATCTGGGTGTCTCCTCTGTCTGCCTGATTACCCAAATTGATGCCTAATATTTTAGGTTCTACAAACTGTGACGTTCCACGCGGCGGCCGCCCCGTAAGATAGGCAACCATCGATCTTGCGGACCGCGATGGAAGAGCATTCTAGGATCATCGTTGATGCCTCTCCTCAAACTAAGATTCACTACCGAAAACACCAAAATGAACATCGCTCACCTCCCCATCGAGGTCATACAGAAAATAGCCGGCCTCTGCCCGCTCGGCGACATCCTATCCCTCAGCTCCACATGCCGAACTCTGCGCAACAGCTGCCATGATACCTTCGTGTTCCAGGAGTCTTTCCTGCATCATGTAACCGTGCCTAAACCCTCATAGACATCCCGTAGCATACTAAAATCCACTTTCCTCTAGATAAGCGAACCAACCTCTCCCCAGGTCACAACTAAGCTCGCCCTGCGCGATTTGATCCACAACTCTCTCGCCGCAAACGAAAGCTCGCAGCGAGTCATCATCTGGGCTCGGCTCGCAGCTGCGGCGTCGCGAATGCCTCTGCTCGTTGATGAATTGGACCGGTTGCTGGAGCCTTATGAGTCTGTCCCTTGGGAATCGACGCTGCCCTGGCCGCAGCAATTAGTCGAGCCTGTTGTCACTATTGCTAGCACGATCAACACCTTGGCTGTCCTTGGATGTAAGATACCCCAAAAGCCACCCCCCCAAACCCCCCATTCCCCTCTGCCAAGACCAGCCGACTCAACAACTTCTCACTTGAAACCTAGACCCAACAATCAGCGACTTCACCGTAACTGCTGCTCTGGCCGGCTTCCTTACGCATATTCTCAACCAGAGGTTCTGGGGACATGGCGAGCCCTTAGACCCACTTCAGACAGCCCAGCTCTCATTCTGCTTCGCTATCGGTGCTATTGGCAACCGCGTGCTGAATAACATGAAAATACTCTCGACACGCACAGCTATATTCTTGACTCTAGGCCGCGATAAGTGTTTCCTATCTAGCCAATCTACCGGCTTCCTCGCCGCCGCCTGCATGCCCTGGTTGTTGGGCTCGGATCCGGCGGTCCACAACAGGGGTGACCTCCCTTACCTCCCAGCACTCCCGCTACTGAGTGCTAATGGTCAAGGAAACCCAGGGAATGTCGGCCTAGTCCCCCTCCCGGACGGAGTGCAATCCACGTCTTCGGATAACAGGGATATACCCGTCCAGGAGGCGAGTAATATGGCACCATTGGTTTCTTCGATGTATTCATTCACTCAAGCCCCTTCATGGCAATCGTGGTTACGCGCTACTGTAGATGCCCTCGTCGATGGCATTGGACAGGGCGAGTGGATTGGTTACTACACAAACGCCATTAACAACGACAGGGAAGTGGACGCGCCTCTGAGAAATATTCACTTCAGCACCCTCCCAGATCCGGACGACGGCAGCAGACTACTCCTCACGGCCAATGATTGTATAGACGGTGTCGGGAGTTTCCGGTTAAAAGGGGATTTGTCCCGTGAAACCGGTCGCGTGCGGCTGATGAAGGAATATTATATCGGCCACTCTTGGTACAACCAGGGCTGGTTGACTCCCCTAGGCATCGCGGGATACTGGGCTTCCGAGCCAGATCGTGCGCGAGGATTGATCTGGATATACAAGAAAGAGTGGACAAAAAGGCCAGCGCCAAAGAACGCCCGACAGGTGTGGGAGGGCATATTAATTCCCGAGAACGGCGACAACAATGCGTAGTTCTTAGGACCAGGCTCATAATTTAATTCGTTTTTTTGGCCTTTGAATTACTCTTGCCACCATCAAATAGCCCGTAACCGAGAGATCAAAGCTACCGTGATCATCAAGTCAATAGCCCAGCGATGAAACTGAGTTTGGAGGGCGAAACCCTCAATTCCCTAGATTTCTAGGCCCCTTCTTGGCGTCATTGCGACTGCTGAACATTGCGACCACGGAAGACACAAGGTAGCGGAGGCTGAGCTCCTGAGCTCGAAGTTACTTTGGGGAGATAGGTTCACCATTTCTGCGTATACATCCTTCCGAGCTTCAGTCCCGCATTGCACAATGGTCTGCCGGATTGACTCTAGAATCCTAATTGATTACCCACATACGACGTGTCACCTTCCAGCTGCCGAAATAGACTGGTCCGGCTCTTTCATGACTGCCTCAAAATCATCGACGGCGCCAGCAGCCTCCCTGAAGCGCACTCCCCAAAACTGCTCTGTCGAAGCCCATTAGGCATTAATAGACCCATCATCTCGGGCTACACGAATAACCCAAATACAACAGACAGCCCAATAGAAAACAGCAGACGCCCCTAACCGGATAAGCGCCGGTTCAAATTTAAATCCCAAATGCGATGGTGGGATGATTAATAGGCACACCGTGGCAGTTAGAAGGCCAACTCCCAGGCATCTTTTGACCCACCCCCGACTGAAGATACTCTTTTGAGGCCAAAACAACATCAAGGCGCACGAGAGAGTGGGGCAATAAATAGGTATCCAGAGAAGTAACGGGAGAAAAAAGTCCAATAATGGGTTGCATATCTCGCTACCTTCCCGCAGAGGTCTAGAATATAGGTAAATCGTACCGAAAAGGATCCAGGCTGCTAGTTGAAGAAGAACGTACGGAAACCAGGGCTTGTCTGCGATATTCCATTTTGCCTCCGGCAGTTGTGGAATATGAAGTCCGCAAAAAGCGCATCTTCGGATTCTTTGAAATTGATCGGCTTGAGCAGAGGGCGAACCGGCGGCCGGTAATGTCGAGACTTGCAGAGTGGCGTTGGGATTCGCTACTATTAAACAGAATTAGCTCGCAAGCCTTGACCATTCTTCAACTAGGAGGGTATTTTCTTAGTCTTACCGGGAAATAACCCTAGGCTTTCAGGGTTATTTAGACTTGGGGTAGGAGGGGAGAGGTAAGAAAGGGAGATATTGGGCGAGGGAATGTTCAAACTCAGTTGCGGCGGCTCACACGGCCGTGATGCCTTCACAGATACAATGAAACGGAATTCTCTGAGGTGACCGAATGTCGCCAACAGGAGCGCCACCAGCATGACAACAGCAATCACCTGTCCGAATCCCCACTCATTTTCATCTTTTTGGCCAAGGGATCGATCCCGATGCAGTTGCAGCGTACCCCAGGCAGCCAAGGCCACAGCAAGGTAGAGCTCGCGCTAGTGTCAGAAATACTTGCCTCATCCAACAGATGGGGCGGACTAACCTCGAAGAATACAGAGGTGAATAGCCAGAAATATATGTTTCCACCCTAATAGCGATTACCGGCTGATCTATGGCCATGTATACTAGTAGTGTCGTTCTAAATGATCGTAGATTTGATATTCGTTGAGCAACGGTAGCACTAGCAATATGATGAAGCCAACTTCGGGGCGAGGGGTCCAACGCGACTGTTGATGGGATTTGCTCGCGAAGTTTGGCAAATAACTCAAAGGTTGCATACACCTTTAAGCCTTGGAAAATAGCCCCGAGTGTTAGTAGGGCGAAAGACGAAATGGCAAAGACATCAGGAAGGGCGTCTGCTAATTCTGGGGGCCACCCCCTTGGCCACTGATAATAACAGCGCGCGTCCCAGGTCGTTAAGTCGATTAGGTCCCTCTGTCCTTCAAACCTAGCGGCGGGACCGATAACAGCAAGGAGCAGGATGATAAGTACAGCCATAAAAAACAATCGTGCATTGCGCTGAGTCTGGTGGTTATAAAAGTATGTCCTCAGACACGTAAGAGCGGACAAATGTGTGACGGCGGAGAACCAGGCGAGGTGGCCTATAATTTTCCAGTGATAACCGGAGAGCGGCCGTTTCAGTGTGGCAAGGCCACTTATGAATATGGCAATGCCGGATATAAGTTGCAGATCGCTCATCATCATTATGAGCTGAGTGAGCCGTGTCAGAAACTAAGCAACCTCAACAAGCTGACGCCCTTTTTACCTTGGTAAAAATAATATCCAGCTTCTGAGCTTTCTCGGGGTCCCACGACGTAGGGAGGCCGAACCGTTGGGCAACTGGCTTATAAAACGCAGCTTTTATGTTGTATATCAATTTGTCCACTGGATTCGGACGTTGGAGGGGGTTTTCTGTAGAGCCGTACTTGCGATACAGATTGCGGGTTGGGTCGAAGCCAAACAGATAGTAAAGAAGGAAGAAGAAAACTGAGAGCCAGGCAGTACCCATGAAGCCAATGACTACCTGTTTCGGTTTAAGCGTCAGATTTCACGTAGGTAGATAGATCATTTCGGTTAGGGTATTATGAAATGTTGTAAATCCTTACTCCAATGCCAGCAATATCTGGGTCTGGCTTGGGCTCCAGCGGCTCTGAGCAGTTGACGGCCATGGCGACGGTTATAAATCTCTCAGAATGTAGAATATGAGAGCCAAGAAGAATATGAGATCGAGTATCGAAGAAGGGAAACGGGGAAAGAAAATTTCTGCTCCCAAGACCAGGCTGGGAGCTAAATATACTACACCTGTATTATCAACGCCATGCGCTCCAGCAGTCATGACCAATAATGACTGGCAAAAGGAATCGGTATTTTCAGCTTCCACGTGATAGATATTGGCTTTATACACTTTACCAAGCCTTCCTGTCCTCCATTCAGAAACCATTGGACGAACTTGTTTCCTGCGTCGGCCGTGAGATGTGGTGGAATAAATGATGGATTAAAGGTGATTTTACAATTGCCTATTCCAGCTGCTCTTGAAACGGCGTTATAAGCTCCATCAGTGAGAACTGGTGTACGGTGAGTCCTCCCCAGCCCGAGGGAATGGTCCCGGGCTCTTGGAAAAAAGGGGAGTTCTGGGTTGGCGTGGGAGTTGATGGGATAGACATATATATATTAATTATTATCACAGCGTGGTCTCGTCAGAGATTAAACTGTGTTAATGTTGAACTTCACTTCTCCAACTAGCATCCGAGTATTACTATCAGATTGTTAGCACATAGGGAAAGGCCCAGCCGACCGACGCTTGAGCGGGGACTCACTCTAGTAACAACTTGAGTTCCTTATTGAACGTCATCCTCAGCACCTCCAAAGCAATAAAGGCAACAAATGCTGGGTATCTCGCATTTTTAATATGTAGTAATTCGTAATTCAACCTTTGAAGTTGCTTCGCTAACGGAAAAGGCTCAGAGACCGTCAAGAACGGCGGCAGTGGTTGTCCGTTCATCATGGCTGATCCAAGGTGGCACAGCAAAGCGGTCGTACTATGAGACTGGAAATCCGTCGACTGAAGCGCTGCTGCGGCTAGATTTGATACCCACTCCGTTGTTCCATTGACTGCTGATACTGCATCGGATATGCTCTCGCGAGACGTCTCCGCTGAGAGTGTGCGGCCCATATGTGCCATTAGCGCCACAATGCTAAGGCTCTGTTGGGTGGCTCCGATCATGCTCTCGTAGATGCGTGAGGGAAACTTGCCTCCCACGGGCGGCTCGTACGTGGCGAAGTGGCTGTGCATTTTTAATGCGTCGAGGGAGAGAAGCTGCTTCTTGTAGAGTTTGCTGGCGATAGCTTCGAGTTCGGCGTTTGGGTACACAGCAATACTGCTACCGCCATCCTGGGATTCGGTGCGGTGGCTATTGATCCACAGCTCGATTGTCGTATGCATGGCGCTGTAGAGACGTCCGAGATTGAACAGATTCTGACCCATGAGTTTGGGGACCTTGGACTTGGCCGTAATGGGAAAGGGGAAGATGACCCAGAAGAAGGAGACGACGCAGCCGACGACGACTGCGACAAATTTGTAAGGGCCGAAGAGATAGATGGGGTAGTATGGTTGTCCATTGGATTCAGACCTTTCATGACCTAGTTTCTCGGCCTGGTAAATACATCGTAAGCACTCACTCACACGCGTGTTGGATGTAGGTAGAATTGCTCACATTCACCTCGTAGCCAATGGCCACGTTTAACGTGATGATGGCGATCATCGCAGTGCCAAAGTATTTGGGCATCTTGACATAAACGTAAAACTGGACACTGAGTTAGAAATCTGTCTGTTTGGAGGCACTGGCAAACTTACCAGGATGACGTTGGATAGATAGAGAAAGACAAGAACACCCGCGGTATGTCCAACAACAATGTACCACGACGCGAAGCTCAAGGCAATGGCAGCAAGCGTCGCTAATATTCGACTAAAGAATCCAAACAAGGTCTGTCCACTCGTTGGGCTCATTCCTATCACGACCACGACCATGGCCCAGACGCCTCTTTGCCGGATAAAGAATTCTTGTGTGTCTTGCAAAAAGGCGACTATGCCGATACATAGAGAGGCCGCCGCCACCCGCAGGCCAAACATGCTCAGATCGGAGCCTAAGAAACGGGTGATCTTGCTTAGGCCACCGCCCCAGCGTTCCCACGTATTAACGGGCACGAGATGCGATGAATCGGCAACCTTAGCACCCTCTTCGAAATCTCGCGGTTGGGAAAAGTCTGAGTACACAGACGGCTCCTCGGGAGTCTCCGAGTCGTGGTTATACCACTCCCAGAAAGTTGGGTAGATGAGGCGCGACCGAGACATTGTACCATCGTCAACCTTGCTCTCGGCAAACGCAACGATAGAGGAGACGGCGTCTGCCACTAAGTCCTCCATATAAAATATGTATAGTGCAAGGCAGTACTCATGTTGAATGCCCAATGACTCTTCAACAGGCACATCCACTTGTTCGGAATGCTCGATAAGCTCCTTTATAGCCTGCTTGCGACGTGAAAGATCCTTGAGGCTGCGCGTGAAGTCCTCAATAAAGGTCGGACTGCCGGGGTCGAGAGAAATAGGGGCCTCGTCAAGATCAACCAGTTCAACGCTTTGGCGCTCAGATGGTTGGTCCTGGCTGTGATAAGGGGGGAACCATGGTGTTTGGACCACCTCAAGCGTAGAAAGGAAGTACCCTAGACCGACTCGCACAAGAAGTGACAACTCATCTAGCGACGCGCGTAGGCCATGCACTATGTGCGCCGTTTTGCGCTCAGCTGTGCTAGTCTGTGCTACGGATTCCATGCTCTCTCGTACCGTCTCTCCAGAGAGGGTTGTGTCGGTCTCTAAAAAGTGATCTAGGATAGTAGGAAAAGCCGCTATTCCAGAGAGGGTTAGGAGTAGTTTTCGAAAAAGCTCTGAGATTTTCTCAAGATCGGCGGCGGATAGCTTTCCCCAGGCAAGTTCAATCTTGGCATATCCTAGATTCGCCTGTATTTTGGCGTCGAGGGCGTTGAGACCGTTCACTGCCTTCGCTACTCTGTCACGAGCTACCTGAATGCCGTCGGTGTCCGCTGCTGTCCGAAGAGTTTGAACAGTTTGCACGGTTTGAAGGTCCGGTTCCTCTAGCAGCGCTGGGGTAGCAAGCAGAACTTCGTCGGGGGTCTCATGAACAAAGTCTACCAACGCTTCTAGAGCGGCTTGAGCTTGGCTAATGTAGTCCTGAATGCCCGTAAAGATCGTTCCCCGACATGTGCTGGGTAGGATGAAGAGGGACACGCCTGCGGCCATGGCGAACCCGACGAGGAAGGATTTGAATATTCGCCAAATGAACCTGATACCATCATCCATGGTTTCCATCGCGCCCGTTCGAGTAAGGATAACGACGGTTAGCAAAGAAAAGCATACCCCCGGGTCTTGATGCTCGGCTGGCTTCCACGCACGGAATGTGTTGCCAATCCTACCTCCAAGATTCCAATTTTTAGCTCGAGAGAATACCGGAACAGTACACTTCCCAGGAAAACATACCATATCATGAAAAATAGGAATACACCAGAAACAGCGCATGCACTAGAACTATAAGAAAAATACTCCCCCTGGACTGAACCGCCGCTGTTTTCTCTTGCTTTTATGGCACAGAAAAGAGCTAGGACGCAAAGGGCCAACGATAATCCAGAAGCAAGAATGCAGTATAGCAATGTTTTGAGGAACCTAGCCCTCGGAAACAACGGCTGCGAGGCGAGGGAGAGCAAAACTGAGAAGTAGCCAGCGGTGGTCATCATGTTGGCAACAGCATCTGCTTGGAAACTGGCATGAGGCGATTGATTAGGAAAAAACAATCCAGATTCCACCAAAAGAAAACGAATTGAGAACCTACTCACATAGCGATGCATAACACGGGGGCTAAAGAACCCTTCATCATCTTAAGGAGGGTCTCCAGATCCATGTCCAACTCGGACCACCACGTTTTGGGGCTCAGCCATCTTTGATACGAGTGGTCAGTCGTCAATGGCGTGCCTCTGGAGAATCACTATCGTCGAATTGCAGCTCACCTTCGTAAATCGAGAGATTCACGTGCCATTGCCCGTGAATGTCCTGCTCGCTACATGTAGAATTGTCATGGAGAGGGTCACAGGTAATTGGCAAAAACCAAGGCTGGGCAGTTGGACCGACCCTGAAGCCGAAATTCCATGCGATCTTCGGAAGAGAAAAAAATATTCCCCGATCGAGAGGCTAAGGCGGATCGGGTTAGACATTGTCGATAAACAGATGAAATGCCGGACTCGGATCTGATCTGGTGTGCTTACATCAGCCGTTGAGACCTAAACTGTGTGGTTTAATATGGCTGCGATTCAGATTTCAGACGAACGAGATTATTCAAGTGCATTCATTGCCAATGTCCAACATTAACTCCTCCTATACGAGGGCCCTAAATAACCCTCATCTTGGCACTTTTGCCTCTGTGGGAAGCCTTATTTACCAATTTTCAACCTATCGCTTGTGGTGGCAGACTCTCTAGCCCGGCCCTACCTGATCTTCCCAGCCTTTTGAGGATAGATCGGGGTGAGGGCGCAAGATTTCTCCGCTGTCCTTGAATGGACACGCCGGGCCTTCGAGCCTGGTTCGTCTATTTGGCCAGGTCTCTACCAAGGTGCCCGAGCGAGGAAAGCAGACCAACCAGAATCGAAGTCCTCGCCTGAGAGGGCAGGTTTGGGCCACGGCTAGCCCATTCAGTATATCGGACCAGCTCACGGGTTGGGATAGCTCTTCTGGAACTTCCTACAGAGGTACAGAGACAGGGCGATGGAGCCCATTGACTCACTGTCAGATTCAATGGAAAATGGCCGGCGGTGGATGAGAAGTAAGAATCTCTCGCTCGAGGACCGTTTGCGCCTCCTTGGCACTCAGTGCGCATTACTAGAATGAAGTACTACATCAGTTCACGGTCCTTTCACTCACCGGAGCATGGCTATTTGTCTTCATCTTCTTCATTCAATTGCTTGATGATGGCTAGGTGCCACAGGATACTTGCCAACATGCCTCGGCAATGAACGCAAATACGTTTCCAGCACAGCGTTAATAGCAAATCACGTCATCATTTCCGCGCATGTCACGAAATCCGGCCAGAACCAGGCTCAAGAGGAAGTTTAGAGTCAATTACCCATCCCCGGGCTTAACAGGGCCTGGCCCGGAGTTGAGTGATACCCCACGCGGGGAAGTGGGCTGGTCGGACAATAAAGTTAGATCACTAATCAAACATGCCTCGGCACCGAGTCGGCTTGCATTCCGTTTCCGCATCTGAAAGCGAACAACTTCATTGTTGATAAATACAAGGCCACGGCCACAGGTCATTATACACCTCTAATGTTGTCGCTCGTCAGCATAAAACAGTCCAACAGCAACGCGCTACCAGTAACCCCATTGCAAGAATAGTACACTGATATCTAACATGGCTACTTCAGTCCCCGAGTCATACGCTTCTCTCAACTATGCCGATATCTCCGTTTCTAATGTCCCGGAATCGTCTCCTACCGTCACCAAGGTAGTTACCGTTGCATTTAACCGACCGAAGAAGCACAATGCGGTAACTGGTAATATGATTGAGGAGCTCGTATCGGCCTTTGAGCTTCTCGGCCAAGACAGCCGGGTCCGCGCGATTATTCTCACCGGTAAAGGGAGGACCTTCTGCGCTGGAGCGGACTTGGAGATTGGCTTTTCTGCATTGCTCCCTCAGAAGCAAAGCGAGGAGGCATTTAACAATTATAGAGACGGGTATGTTGCATATATTTCCTACAACGCTGTGGTTCTGTAATAGACTGACATCTAGTCATCAGCGGTGGCCGCGTTGCACTCGCGATCGCGAGGTGCCCAAAGCCAACGATTGTGGCAGCGAACGGCTCGGCTGCCGGCGTGGGCTTCACGCTTATGCTGCCCGCCACCATTCGCGTCGCCTGGGAGGGTGCCAAAGTCGCTGCACCTTTTTCAAGGCGAGGCATTACTCTTGAATCCTGCAGTGCTTTCTTCTTGCCACGCTTGATTGGCCTGTCGAAAGCAATGCACATCTCGACGACCGGGGCGACGTACCCTGTGACAGACCCTCTTGTGCGAGATCTGTTCTCCAAGCTTCTCCCCACCCCCGAAGAAACTGTTGCGTACGCCACTCAGCTCGCCGTTGACATTGCTGAGAATACATCCGAGGTCAGCACCAAGTTAAACCGTGACTTGTTACTGTACTGCCAGGAATCGCCCGAGCAGGCACATCTCATCGAGTCCAAGGCGTTCCTATCGCTGGTTGGCTCTGGGGACAACTTGGAAGGAGTCAAGAGTTTCATGGAAAAGAGGAAGCCCAATTTTACGGGCACCATCGCCAAGGGAAAACTGCCATTCTGGCCTTGGTGGGATGACCAGACGCAGCAGAAACCGAAAGAGAAGCTTTGATTTGGCTGTCTTTGAGTTTGCATGCAATTCACAGAAAGGGGTTCTACGAGACTTGTGTAATCGGTTAGATATTGACGCCGAATGTAAATGTAATCCATCTACTGTCCCTCTTCACGAGACAGACCGTACTATCTTTCGTATAACGACTACTATATCTCGAACGATATCCCTTTCACCTTGAAAATTTCTGCAAGACTCTTAAGTTGAGTATTAACCACCCTGCCACTTATCGTTATGCTTTTGAGTACGGGAAATCTGTCCAGTGCGACCGACTCCAGCATAGAGAGGGCGGATGCCAGACGATCCGGTGATACTCCATAATAGCCCTGTCAGATGGAGAGGGCGCGTAGGGATGCAGGAATCATGTTGACAAGGAGCAGTTCGTCAAGTTGTGGTCCACCATCGAGTGATGGATCCTGTGGGATCAGTTGGCCATCTGGACCCGGAATGTATCTCTCGCCATCCTCGATCCGGTATGGAATTAAGCATCGCATATCGAGGCTTAAGTGCTCAAGGTTGGCTAAGTTCCTCAAGGACTGAATGGCCATATCATCATTTTCCGTCTCGAAAAAGGCCTCGTCGAAGGCTAGGCCTAGATGCTTCAGGGAGCGTACGTGCCGCAATGCATGCTGGGCCTCGAGAGGTGTAAACTGGTCTTCGCCGACGACAAGGCCGCCAGCTTCAAATTCGAATATCGACAATCGAGGACAATTACGAAGGATATTCTCAAGCGACTCGGCATCCATCCCAATGAGAGTAAGCCTTAGTTCTGTCAGGCTCTCAAACACGGATGTGAACGGCTTGCACCAGCTAACCGCTCTGCAATCGAGTTTGTGTAGGTTAGGAGCGGCCTTGGCAAGCGGCCAGATGGCGTCGAAAGACATGCCGCCTTCCGTGTCCGCATAGGCCGATTCTACATGGGTGAGGTTCGTCAAGGAACCAGCTGGAATTGGAAGAAAGATGTCGTCAAAGTCAATGAAGCAGTCGAGCTTCTCCAGATTCGGACACAGGATTGCCATTACCGCCATGGCAGGCGCTGCGGTATCGAACAATTCTTGATCCTCTCCCACCTCATCCCGGATATCAGATGAGCGCGCAGCTACCGCTTTCTCGTGAAGTTTCGAGAGGGTTAAATAGAGACCGGCATCCTCGGATTTCTCAAATACATGCCAAGCGCATCCGCAAAGTTCCTTGACGCCTTCTCGGAGAGTGTCATGGACAAGAAGTGTTCGGGCTAAAAGCCACCATTTGCGGCAGCTCGGGCGGTGATAGAGAATGGGTGTGCAAAGGGCATTAAGAGCTCTTGACGTAAGACAAAGAGAAGCTAGCGCAGCGGTGTATTTGTGCTCCTCGTAAGGCTGGGTCTCCGGGCACAGCACGTGGACATGGTGAGACGGGCCAGAAGATGGCGTGCAGTGCAAGCACAGAGTCTCGAGAATGTCGATTAACGGAAGTGAGGTAAAAGACGGCATTTCGCAAGGAAATTAAAGAAGAAAGCAGAAAAAAAAAAAAAAAATAGAGACTAGTCTGTCCTTGGTATCTATGAAGCTGCAGCGAGGTCAGCTTTTAAATTTCTTATGGTTTTCGCTGAAATGTCATATAAACTAGGCGGCAGGAAGGATTCACCCCGCTTCCAGCATCACCATATTTCGCCCTTTTAGCCAATCTCACCCGCCAACATGTCTGACAAATATTAGAACGCGGTGGTCACACGAAGAGTGAATCGAAACTCTTAGGAACCCAGATTTTTCAATCCCTCCCGGAAGCTTCTAGTTAGGTTACACAACACGTACTCGGCCAGCACTCCACTCTCCATAGACGAACACCTGGACGACGGCATGGTTCCTGAGGGGCAATGGTCAGAGCTGTAACGAGGGGCTCTCGAAAATAAGCTTGAAGCCATCAAATCACGACTCGCTGCCGGCGCCAATCCCAATGAAGGGCCGACTAGCTACTACAGAAAGCTTGCACTGCAGGACGGACGCATGAGGGGCAACCGGCCAATCGAGATGCTGTTATCTTCTGGCACCAACCTTGGCACTCTGGGGGAGGGGGACAGTGGAGGGAGAATGGACTGGCCCTTGCAGGCGAATGCGACCATTATCCCAATATCGCTGACCTGATGTTAAGCCACAGGGTCAATGTGTGAAGTAGTGAAGAGGCTGTGTGAAGTTTGAAGCGTGCGCTGATATTAATGCTGGCCCCTGCCCCCCAAAATGACAGGACGGCCCTGCAGGTGGCAGCATCTATGGGGTGCTGGGAGGTCGTAGAGTTTCTGTGGGTAAGGGCACCCTTTGAACACGGGCCTTTCATCTCTACCTCGATGTAGCTGAATCTCAGATGGGCTGTCACCTGCCAAGGCTCTCCCAAGATATGGACAACTATGCTTCTGCCCATTGTCAGACCCACCATTCCTCAGAGAGGGTCAACAAGATCTTGTTTATCTGCTCCTTCATGGCCAGGGCCGTCGGCGAACGACGGGTGTATGGGTACAAGGTTAACGTTTTGCAAGACGGTTGTTACGCGTAATGATTACGCGGAGTGTGGTGATATAAGACTCCACCGGTATCGAGACTCCTCTCTGTGTATTAATCCCAGCGTCGTAGTAATAATATGTGTATTCAGACCATCAAGAAGTCAAATGGGTGACGGGGGACGGTCGGTGCCACGTAAGCCAGGCGAAACGTGGGGAATATTTCGAAACTACAGGTCTTGGCAGGCGCCCCATGCCCTTCACCGTACCGCCAAGCCATCCACCAAGGCCCATGAACCTTACCATTACGTAGGCAGTGAGCGCACGGGACGAGAAGAGATCGATGACGGGCAGCTTATCGCTCGTGTCAATGTTCGCAAAGATCAGTCCCTCTTCGGGAGAGTGGATAATCGTACGCATCTCCTTATAGCAGCTATTCCGTTGGCCTTGAGGGATATTGAGACGGAAAAATCAGGGGACATTCAACGAAGGGCTCGTACGCAGCTCGGCTCGAATACCCCGAGTAGTTGCTTGAGAAAGTCGAGGTTTAGTCGGCGTACGAGACGGGTTGGTCGACTCATTCCGCCTCTTAGCTGTGAAATGAAAGCGATGCTCGTCATGGAGCCCCGAAAGCCTCCAGCAATATTCTGTCGTATCTAAGGAAGAATAGGTACGATCTCAAAAAGAACAAGTGCTTGGGTGTGTTGAGGAAACCTGGAGAGCAGACGGCAATGGTGCGCTTAACTGCTCTCGCTTTTCTACGTACGTATGATATACCTGTTGCACCATCACCCAGCACGTCCCCTTAACCCTGAACTATCTCTTGCTGGAGAGGAGGATGAATGGCGGCGGGTATGGATACGTGGGTGAGACAGGATATTGTTGGCATCGTACATGCCCTACTGTCTCCGCGTTCGTTGGACCCCCGAAGGTAAAAGAGCACATCACGGATCGTGGATGGGAAGGTCGAGATAGAGGATACTTGGGGACGTGGACAGGGCAGGGAGATTGCCATTCTGTGCGCTCTTGTCGATTGCATACCATTCAACTAGGTAGAGAAATGCGTCTCGTCACCTTCACGACCATTTGAAACTAGAACTGCTCCACTTACAGGTGACGGCAATGGCCCCTCGTGTCTAACTGGCCACTGGTATATTTGGGATCGACGCAGGCCTCGCCGATTCGTAGCCTCTGTGGGGAGGCGAAACGTCCCGCGTCAGCGAGCGGGAAGCATCCATCTGAGGTTCGGGAACGTGGTCTTCCAGGAACTTGTTGTTACCTCAACATCTTTAGAGGTAGATGTCGTAGTCGATGGTTCCTCTAGTATCATCGAGGAAAGGTGCCGAAGGGGTCAAAAATGGGTGCCTGAGCATATCGATGCGTTCCACGTCAACATGTTCGGCTCCAGGGGCGACGTACGTCTCGTTCTTCCTCTTGTTTGGCCACGAAGTCACCGATGCATCACATTCCATTCTTTGTCTCACTACGTCGTATCCAATATCACCTAGGTCGCAAGTTTGCACAAGGAAACCCGACCGTTGAATATTCGATGCCGAGGCGCGGTGTTCGTGCTGGGCCGCCACGAGCAGGCAAGTCTCTACCTATCCGCCCGGAGGTCTATGCTACGAACCCCACCCCCATGGCACACGCGGCCGGTGGTCTGAAAGGCGTCACCGGAATGGCAGGTATCATCAAGGGGCGGGTCTCGCGGCCAGGGGACGTTCGGCAGTGGGGTATCACTAGGGTCTAATGAAGGAGGCTGGAGGCATCTGAAAAGAAATGCTGGGAAATGTTAAAGCTTCGACCGATGGGATATGGGACGAGGTGCTGCAGAGGGACCACTGACAGGCGGGGGGAAAGCCCTTGCGACCAGGAGAAGCTTGGACTAATTGACTGATCGCCATAGAGTCGGGAAGGTGAGGGGTTTTTCTTAGTTTCTCTCTCACCTTGTTCCCTTTTTTTTTTTTTTTTTTTTTTTTTTTTTTTTTTTGTCTCCTTTTTATTTTTAAGTTTTCATCTAATTTTTTGACCCGTCCATCAATTCAGGTATTGATGTCGTGCTTCCAAAGGTAAGGTGACTGTGATTGGTCTCATTTCTTTTTAGATTATTAGAACCAGTGAGAGAAATCAGGGAAACCAATTTGTTGAAGATCACTGTCTCGGTTGGCGAATGGAGAAGGTCCCCGATGCTCAAGAACCCGGTTTCGCTTCCCAGGCCACATCAAGTTTCAGAACACATTTTCGTCGAAATAAGACAAGATTGTCGCAAATTGGAAGTGGAGAATGTCAATCGATTTCCGCCAATCTCTGGGATCCCCTGCATATGCTTAAATTGGACCTCTGAGCGGGATGTCAGGCTAGAACTTAAACAATCTTTGACAGTTCAATGCCCTGTTCTCGGTGGCGCAGAAGCGCTCACACGACACCGACCATCGCACGGAGTTGAGGTTGCAATGAATTGATGGATGGCAATGTGGCGTCATGGTACCTGGCCTCTTGCTCAGGGGCTCAGGGGGGGAACAGTCTGTCCCTCCAAGGAGGCTTGATTCGCTGTGGACCAGTGGGACCGTTGCCCTCAAGGACTAGGGGAAGCCAGCCAAGAAAGCTAGCATCATGGAATTAATGCAGCCTCTGGCGAACTAAGAGTGATAGGAATACCACATGAGAAGGCATTCTCTAACCAGTCAAGGAAGTCCACACGGAGAGGGACGAAGTACAAGTAGACTTCTCACGCTACACTCTTCCGTACATGTTGGGTAGCATCAAATGAAGATTACCATGTTGCTTCCTTGGATAGGTACGCAGGTACAAGATGATCTATCCACTTATTTAATCTAATTGTTAGTGATTGGGACGGTTTAGTTCATTGTTCCAAGATAATCTAAGGTTACTCCTGAGGATGTACTCCGTACCTCTCCCAACTGCGCCATCAGCCTCTCTCATCTCGTCACCTCAACTCTCCCTCTCTCGTCTCCCAACCCTTTCCGACCGTGGCACAGAAAACAACTGACAGGCCAGGCCGTGGTATCGGGTGCTACTCTTGCATCTCGTGAGTGTATCCTCATTACGGGAGTACGGGGTAATTACGCTAATCCCCTTCCTCTCATTGGAGAGGGGCACGTTGGGTCTCCCTTTGCTCTGATAGGCTTCCCCCCTGCCGGCGCCAAGTGGATTCGGCAGCTGCCAAGCCACCCGGCGCATCACCCTGGCTCACAAAGCAGCAAAACTACGCGTTGGTGGAAGCCCTTCGCCTTGATAAGACGGCATCGGCGGCTCTCCACAGTTTCTTGGCATCTTGACCTGTGATAGAGTTTTCATTAGGCCCATAAAACCTCTGTATTTCCATTTCTCTCCTGTAATTCCTGGAAATGTCTGTATTTCTCCCCGGTCTGACCCTTTGCCACTCCTTTGCAGAGTCTCGTCCTCGTCTTCGCCCTCTTTTCCTTTTGGCTTCAATCCTTTTTTATTTTGGGATATAGCCGTGACGCTCATTTGTGCTCTTTCGAAAATTGTTTTATTGTATTTTTTATTTTCTCAATTTATCCACGTATTTTATTCCCGGTTATGACCTAAAGATGGCTATCGGCAAAGAAGGAAACGTGAAGTGGGTTGATGTAAGCTTCTTCCTCGAACCCCCACCTTCAAATTGAATTTCTTCAAGCCCCATTCTGCATTCCGGCACCATCATCATCGTCATCATCATCAACCAAAGCTAACTCGCTGTCTAGGGTTTGAGAGGACTGGCTTCCTTCCTCGTTGTTGTAACCCATATCGCCCGTGCTTTTGACGAACAACTGTTCAGCCCCGCCATATCCGAGAATGGCCCTCAACGCTTCCTCCAACTACCCTACATCCGCGTCCTAATCCAAGGCCGGATCGGTGTGGCCATCTTCAGCATGGTGACGGGCTACGTCTGTGTCTTGAAGCCCATCAAGCTTATTCGACAAGGAAACCGAGAGGCTGCTCTGATGACCTTAACGAAGTCTTCGCTCCGCCGCATCCCACGACTCATCCTGCCGACCACGATCGCGACCTGCATTATCTGGATATTAACCCAGCTTGGCGCCTTCCAGGTTGCGAAGCACACCGGTGCCGGGTGGACCAGCTACACGAGCCCGAGACGCTTCGATACTATCGGCAAGAATTTGTACTGGCTTATGAAGCAAAATATCCGAACCTGGGTTTCGATGCAAAATGATTACGATCCGAACCAATGGACGCTCCTGCCGCTGTTGAAGGGTGCGATGATCATCTATGTCTTCATTGTCGCTACCTGTACGATGAAGACGCGCTACCGAATGATGTCTGCCGTCCTGATGTGGTTCTACTATTACGTGTCCAATGATTGTATGGCGCCTTCCATTGTAATATTTTCCAACATGTGTGCTCTCTTGCTAATACCTTATTTTATAGCTGCTTTCGGTATGCAGTTCTTCTACGGCGTCTTCCTCGCTGAACTCCAAAACCTACCCTCCGCAAACGAATTCCTCACCTCGCGCCCGATCCTCTCCCGCGTCATTTCGACGTTCTGCATGATCTCTGGCTTCTGCATCGCCTCGCTTCCCGAACACAACGTTGAGTGGGCCGCTTGGTCGAACAACATGAGGCTGCTCTTCGATTTCATTCTCCCCAAGGGGGCCGACTACCCCCGATTCAGCACCGCCTTCGGCCTGCATTTGATTTCCATGGGCCTCCACTGCAGCCCTCTCCTCCGCGACTTGCTGAGCAACCGGTGGTTCCTCTGGCTAGGAAAGCAGTCCTTCGCGGTATACCTGCTCCACGGCACCCTCCTCCGCACCGTCCTCTGCTGGATGGTCTACGGCTTTACCGTGCTCCCCGATCACAAGGACGATGAGGGCAAGATTGTCCCCACCCACTTCGAACGCCCTAGCGGCCTCCGGGTGCTTGTTTGCCTGCCATTCTGGCTACCGCTTAACTACGCCGCCGCCGTGGTCTGGACCACCTACGTTGACCCGTGGTGCGCCCGCGTGACGGAGAAGATGGTGAACTTTGTCAAGGATGACAAGGAAATATTAGGATCTGAACGACTCCTCGATCCCACGAAGGAAGGAAGGACATGAAATACCCAAGCGGTCGGAATTTACCTGTAAATGACAGGCCCGGTTCATCGTATATTATTCAACTTCATTTTATTTTTCAACACAGCGTACATCTCGACGACATTTTTCTTGACTGGTTTTTCATTTTGTTGACTGGAAGGAGTAGCGGGCTTGCTCTAATTCATGGGAGTCCTGATCGATGGGAATTTTTAACCAAGGCAATTATACGAATATAATACCAATGATAAACATATTTTAAACGAATTTGAATCCTTTTCGAACTGAATGAAGGGGCATCAGCTTCCATCGAGTGAACGACCCTGGCCAGGTAGTAGATGCCCATGAAACAGCGGTGGAGAACTAGCGGATATGCCGGACCCGGAAAACGGGGGAACTTTTTCCGTAAGACATGTCTTTGCACGTCAGCTCGCATACGTCATCAGGGAATCGGAATCCCGCTGGAGTTTGGAGGGAAGTAAGGCGAGAGGGTCTCATTGAAGAAACGAATACACAGGTATATGATAATCACAATCACATCAATATCTTTGCTTTTGTTTCCATCATGCTAAATATGGCCCTCGGCGGGATTAAGCGACGAGACAAAGAAAGAACCAGATGTTAATACACTAATTATTCATCAAATCCATGCGTTCTTCGTCGGCACATTCACACCAAGTCTCAGCTCCAGGCTAAGGGCTGAGATGCTGAGAAAAAGCAATTATTCCAGGTCATCGACAGCGCATTGTACTGGCTTGGAATTGTTCCGCACGACCATAAACATGTTCCCGTCCTCGAAGTCGGCGGTCATCACGTGCTGTTTTGCCAGGTGCCAGGTCGCAGAGGACCACTTGGCAAGGTGCCGTGATCCGGTTGTCCGAGGTTAGCCGCCATCATCGAGGCTTGATGGATAAGGAATATTGGAATGGCTGGCGTGACCACGCTAGGACGAAGCACATGGTTCTTGTAGATCGGTTGGTCTAGACGACGCCACAGAATCTTGTCTCATCAACGTTAATGTTATGCCTGACGAACAGAATTTTCTGTGCGGTCATTACCCTCCCCACCCACGTACGACATCAACTTTTCTTCAAGCTTGACTCGTGGGCGTCCCCCACTCCACCCCTGACTCTTCATCCCCGCCGTAAATCTTGATCTGACGCCCACTTTTTATTATCTCAGTGGGTCTTCCCTCCGACACTTCCTCCAACCCCTTGAGGTCGTCGAGCTGATGCAATTTCATCACATTGCAATACTTCGGAGAAAGTTTACTCCGAGCTGAGAATAAAGACAAAAAGCCAGGAATTCTTGCGAAAACCGACACTTGGTGCCATTGTCAAGATCATCCAGGCAGCAAATTCCTGAGTGAAAGCGCGTTGGTGTTTTCCAACGTGTCATTTGATCGGTCTAACCGGTTATGGGCCCCTGCTCCGCCGTTTATGAACTGATTGCAGTTGATCGCTGCTCCACAAGTCTTGAAAGAAGCGGGAGAGACAGCATTCAACTAAGGTTCTGACCTCCATGGGTTTCTCTTCCCCCCCACCTGATAATCTAACCGCACTCGGTCAACCCCCTGCTCCGACGACACCACTGATTCGGTCATGATGGCACCGAAAACTGCGGGAATAGTTTGGATGCACAAGTTCCGAGCTTAACTCCCCGTGCCCATCTATATAGAGGAGGCTATTGAGACGGCCAGCAACAGACGCAATACTTGGGGCATACCCTACAGCAATTGAACTTGAATGTGAATATCCGCTCGTTTTTAGTATGTCAGGAGCCAATAAATCCCCCTGCCGCGGTTGGAATTGCAATTTCCTCGGTGGCGAGGAAAACACGCCCACTAAAACTAGCATGCACTCCGTACGGGAGACACCAGAGTCTAGAGGGGGAAAAAAATGCCCCGAACAGATCTGAAAACTAGGGAACGGGACGGAGATAAGGTCGACCAAATCTCAGACAGCCTGATATTTCCCTTTACCACACAGCGCCTCAACTCTCTTGTGGGCGTCAACGTAGATACCTTTCCGGTACCAACCGACTCAGTCTCCATCGTCAGTGTAGATCGAATACCCCAAACCGCCCTATAGAACCTTCCCATTGAGGCGGGTACCGAAACTCGTTAATGTAGTGAACAGCGAGCTGCAGCCCCTGTAACCACTGAACGAGTTAACAGATGCGAGTCTTAACCACCTGCCTGAGAAGATCGTCAAGAACTAGCCGTGCGGAGACCATTTTCCCGTTAGCCGGATGGAAAAGATGTACATGGGAATAATGGAGCTGAGAAATGAAACTGTTTTGCAAATCTAACCGTGCCAAGATCATGGGTTCTTCGTCTCGGGAATTACAGCAAGAAAGAAAGAACATCTAGCCTCCATCAAAAGCAACGTAGGTGTCTCTCGTAGATATTATCAGGTAAAATCGAGAAGAGGTAGAGCTTTAGCGTCACGTCTTTCAAGAAAATTCGTCCTTCGAGTACATCCGGCAGACGCTTTTCCATCTTCCTCCTATCTAATATAATAGTTCCTGGATCCAAACTGCGGACTTCTTCGTAAAATGATCCACTATATTAAAGTAAAAACGTCTGACCCGGTCTTCTGGAACCCGGGAGAGATTTCTTCGCAGGCCGTATTGCCGTACATCAGTAAACTCCACCTTCGTTCATAAACAGATGGACGCAACGAGCGAACAAACCCCTTGCTTAGACTTCCCTCCTGAGCACCTTGGTTTGACTTCAAACCGAGGCCTTCCTTCACTATAGTATATCTGTTTCCGTGTTCATCGAAAGTCTATCGCTTGAAGAAATCAATAGCTCGATACAAAACGCCCGTCAACAAGGAAGATGGCTTCGCCTCTAGTTCTTTGCGAGGTTACAAGCGGAATTTGCTCTTGGACCTTTTCAACCGATATCCTTGCAATACATAAGCCTGGGTCGGGTATACGTGCACCGCGCGCCTCTAGTTGTTAGCAACGCTCCCAAGGTGACATATTCCCCTTCTCCCAAATCCCTGAAACTTACACCTTAATACGTCATCCTCCGGTAATTCCTGTTGAGATGCTAAATGCATCATGGCGATCCATCCTCTCTCTCTATTCATGCGGTTGAACTGATCCTTCACCACTTGCCAGATCAGATGAGAGCTATGAGTCTCTTGAACAATAATTAGGTAATATCAGAGCAGATTGGCCGTCCGGAACATTATCTCGAGCTGCGGCAGCTTGAGACTCATGACGCGCGTTAGCTTACTTCTTCTTTTGAGTCCAGTCCTAGGTATACGATATTTTAACAGTCTGGTTTCGCAAAGATGCCCACCAAAACACACACAGCGGCCCTTAAGGAGCAAGTCCCGGGCTACTAAAAGCTGCAACCAGTTTTCATTGAGACTAACTGTCGGTCAGAGTGTACAGAACCCGTTTGCTAGGAACCATGCCTGACCATCCGTGTCCTTATATCGCACAGAAAACGAAGATGTGGTCCAATCATCTCAAACCGATGCGGGATGCCGATTATTTCTAAATAGTTACTCGTAGGTTAGCAACCAGTGTCTTTGGTCTCCCCCGATATCCGTCACAATAAACTTACTCCGCATTCAGTGCAATGGCATCCCTCGCTACAAGTGCAGGAGCTAGCTCCGCCACAGGTGCAGGAAGAGCCACAGTTGCAGGCCATGATGAGTTGAGCTTTCGGTAGGAAAATATTCAAGATATGATTGTATGCTGGCTATTGCTCAGTTATGTTCGAAGAACTGTATTCATGCGAGCTTGAAAGATTAGAAATCAGTAATTCCCAGGGGTCCGGGGATTTTAATTTATAGGTAAGGGCCATCGTCTGGCAGCGCGACGTCTAAGATGACCTGACCAACCTCGTGCTTGCCGTTGACGTCTGTTCATGTTCTTGATCAGGTCAAGAAGCGGGGTGGATGACGTTCTGCACCGTCGTCATTGGTTAAGTTGAGAGCTTTATGTCTGTTGAGGTAACGCAGTTCGAACAATTACGATTAGAGTTTGGGGTCGCGTACTCTTCGGGCAAAGATTGATTAATGATAATGCAATCATGGAAGGATCGGAAGGATCCGTCGGAGTTCCAGTAGAGCCTCCTGAGGGCCCAGAACGGCGGAATCATCCCTGGCTCGGTAGTTTATTCCGAAAATATCCAAAATGCTTAGACTTTGGCTCACTAGTAGCCGCGGAGCTTGGAGAGAGAAACGAGACTATCCACGCCCTGCATTATACCAGTTCTAATCTTGCAACCCATCCCGTAAGGGATATACAAGGATCCCAATGATGTTGTACCGGGAACGTTTTCCCGACGGAGATAAGTCCTGTAGTTTGGTGGCGCTGTTGCTACCTCCATCTCCGCGGATGTGTACGGTAGGATAACCTGCGTATCGACACGTGTTTGGTGCTCATATTGGTCACTTTGGCTACCCGTTCACTGGAGCCTCCTTAATCGCGGCTTTGAGAGCTACTTGGACCCGAGCCATGACGATTGAGGAAGCATATAAACATATCATCGCGATAGCTATGTCACGACAGTTCCACCACGCAACACCTATTCAGCCTGCACCAGATGTAGGGATATATACCTTGGAACGAGGTAATTCAAATGAGGTTATTACTGTAAAAGGGTCAGCCATATACCATACTCATTCATGTAAGTGCCGGGGCATCTTTTGTTGTCCGTCCTGCTAAGTCCGGGAGAGTGCGTCTGACTCACCTACGGTGCTTTCACTTCAATCCCCGCAAGTCCCTACATCTTTTTAAGTATCCTCAGCCAGTCTCACTGAGACGGATAAGTGAGGCCTTGACCGCAACATAAGAAAGAAACGGATTAGCGGCCAATAGCCGCGGAAACAGATCTCACCGGGCGCCGCTGAAACGCACCTGCCAGAACTGAAGGATGTAGATCTCGTTTACCAATGGAATGAAATCACGGGAACCATGGTGGAAGTCCCCATTGGAAAGGGACCGAAAATGAGAGTGTCACAGACGGCATGTAGGACAGCTAAGAATGCTGAACAAGACGTTGGATCCTGATTCCAAGGGGCCGGAGCTGGTAATGAAGGAACTGTATTGTGATGACTGAAACGACTGACGGATAACTGAAAACTGGAAGCTGGAAGCTGGACACTGATGATGGCTGAGCTTATTAGACCGTATCATTGAACTTTTAGGGAGCAAAAGGGAGAAGAAACAAGAAAAGAAGTGTTCCGTCTCGACGACCTGAAACAAAGTATTCCCGTTCCACGTGGTCACATCCCCACATCTTTCAGCGCAGCAACTGCCGGCATTCGCTTGGCACGGGCTGTTTGACACGATCACACCATCAGTTCCGAGGTGCCTTGCTGAGGACTTCAATGGCAGACTTGTCCATGATGCCCTCTTGCACGAGGCGCTCGACATAATCACGCAACCAAGTCTGACAATTCTTAATTTCAACTCGAGACCGAGATTCCTGGGTTTTAAATATTAGTTGGCATCATTACTGAAAGGGATCGAGGGCCGAACGGCGACTAACACTGGAAGCGGACCCTAGGCTCGGCCCTGGAGCGGGAACCTCCAATGCGGTCTTCTTGAGTGTATCTTGCGCTTGAATATTTCCTTCCCAGGTGCTCTCAGTCTTCCGCGCCCCATCCCCAACAGTGTCGATAACGTTGCTATCATCAACTTGTGGGAGGGGAATGATTTCATTATCGGTAGTCTCTGCCATGTCGTAGTTTCTATCGAACGTGACCGTGAAGCCAGTCACAGGGTCACCCAAGGCTTGAATGAGTTTCCCCTTGGTTTTTGCCCGCCTCACTGTAAGTAATCCACATATCCCAATAAGCAGGGAATGTACGGCTATTGAGAACGAGGAGGAAAATGGACCGAGCCATGTTGCGATTCGATGAGGGAAATCGATGTCCGTAAGGAATATTGGGGCTTTGCGAATAATAACAGGAGTGAAGGAAAGGGATATAAGTGTTCAAGGGCGAGGTGCAAAATACTGTTGCCTGTTGGCCACCGTTTTCCCGCACATGCTGTCATGGTTCCACATGCCAAGGCGTGGAAGTGACGGGCCTCATTTGGCAGGACAGAACCAAACTTCAGCTCCAATGTGATTGGTCTTATTGGCGCGTGTCTCTTAGCTGTGGCAGTTCTTGGCGGTTTGTCTGAACGAAACTAGGTTAAGTACCAAGAGAGCCAAATTATTTAAGGAACCGTGCTGTTTTCACCTGCTTGTTCCACGCTCGATCCGACCGCCATGTCTGAGAACCTCACACCTCATTTGGAGAATATATACGGTGACTACGGAGATGGCCGTGTCTTGGAACGTTCCTCGAGGGGTTATTTCCCTGGCCTTAGCAGCGGAAGTTGGGGTAATTAGGGCATCCCATCCACCTAGACCCTCGAGTTCCTATCCGTCCGACGTTTAGCGAAGTACGTGTCCTCGATTTCGACCGCTGAACCTCTTTGTCTTATGTTTGTCTCAGAAACCCTACCTATAACGTTCGAACACCTGGCGTAAGTGGACGGTGTCACGATGAAGAGAAACCTCGTCTCTGCGGAATTATTAGAGGGGCCAACTCTCCAACTTGAAGAGAACTGGGATGACGTCAACGAGGAAGAAAGAGTTCATATCTGCCAAGAACGACGGAAGACGGTGAGATGAAATCATGGAGGCTCCCCCCCCAAACCCTGGTAAATGGTCTCAGTAGTAGACTCCATTCATAGGTAAATTTACATTCCCAGTAAATTCTTACTTTGCTCCTTAGGTAATAGTCTTTTCACTCGCTAAAGTGTTTCTACACTCTGCTTTTTGAGCTGACCACTTTTTTATGGTAGGCAATGTCTGCGGTAGAATTTTTTAATCGGATTTGATTTTAATACAGCGCCCACTGCAGGTCCCTTCCGCAGTGTACCCGAATTCCAAGACTACTTCACCGCATCCCCACGCTCCACACTACCTGACAACGTTCCCATTGTCTTTACCCACACCGACCTACATTCAAGTGACATGATGTTATCCCCCGGGGAGAGAGGTCGCTAGCTTGTCATTTCCGTCGTTGATTGGCGGCAGTTCTGGGTGGCACTCCGCCTACTTCGAATACTGCAAGTCTCTCTGGACTGCTCCGGTCCGAAGGAATGGGAAAGTAGTAGAATTCCGCGCAGGCATGCGGAACTGCCCCGGAAGACAGTGAGTTGAACTCCACAGGCAGCTGTGCGAAGGACGGGTCTCTCACGGAAAGCTGCTTGATGGCAGGAGCACGTAGCGACAGAACAGTGAAAAAGAGCTGCATTAATCGGAAAGTGCAGAAAGTAAACAGCTAAGCCCGGTAAAAAGCTATTAGGGGCCTTGATATAATATGATATGGTGATAAATTAAAGCCATGATCTTCCCTCACATCCATATTGAGGGTGGAGGATCGATGGCGAAGTCCATGAAAGGCCTCCTTAACTATTACTATTGTTTTTATTCGACAATGTACCGTTCGCTGTTCCCAGAGTTAACATTTACGTTCCTGTATGAATAGGGGCTCGATACTCACCTCCCAAAACAGCGAGGACGATTACCACAACGATAATAATGATAGAGACTATAAGAGTACAACCGTTAGTCCGCCGGAGATCACCGCCGTGAATATTCTCACTCCGGAGAATGGCTTGCTTACCCACGATACCCAAACACCACCATTTCTGCTTCCTGGTGAATCTGGCATGTCGCACCGCGACTTCTATATCCTGATTTGCCCGATGGAGGTCATCGATGACTTCCTGTCCTTGCTGCTCGATCTGCGCGACGGGCGCCTCGGCCTGGATGACAAGGGTGTCCATCTCCTGCACGAGCAGCGCAAGCTCCTTCATCTGCTGCTCGATCCTCACGATTTGAGCATGGCGGTCCCGAACGGCCCCGAGAGTCGCCTGCGCTTGCGCTTGGCGGCCGCTTTGCATTAGCGTCTGCGCGAAAACCTGGTTGTTGTCGGCATTGTCGACGGCTTGCCGGACCTCCGCCTCGTCGGCATCGGGACGGACGATCCGGTACTGCCGCGCCAGCTGTTCCTGCATTTGCCCTCGGAAGGAAGCCTCGACATCTCGGAACTGGTTGACTGTCTCTCTAACTGCTCTGTCGATGCGGCCCACCTGGCGTATATTCCTCTGCTCCTTGGCGTCGGGCCTTGACTGAAGCGATCGATTCCGTTGCGCCAGGCTTCGGCACAGGTCCGTGATTTCATTGGAGAGGTTGTCGATCTGGTAGAGTATCTGGCCCGAGTCTCCTGTCGCATTGAGGGACTGATTCTGGAGGACCTGCAGCTGGTTTATTTTGCGGTTGGCCTCCTTGATCCTCGCGTCGATGGCACTTGTCTCATTGAGGATTGCATTCTGAGAGCTCAATGGAATGTCCTCATATCGATAGGCCGGGAGCTCGGATGAGTTCATCTTCACGAAATTTCCCGTACCTTTCCCCGTATAGTTCCGCCAGAAATACAAGACAAATGTGGCAGTTTCTGAATCAACGCAAGTCGGATGGTGGGGTGCTTTAAAGAGCGCTTTTGCTGCCCTGACGTGTCCTCGATGGCGATGATGGTGGTCGTGGTGCGTGTTCCTGAGGCTGTGCTCAGCCTATCACGTGGTTGTGAGCGAATTATGTTGATGCATTGGACTTAGTCAACGCGTGTAACACTTAAAACCTCGTACGTCTCGTATTTTTTGTCACTGACAATCACCAATAAATTTTCGGATGGCTGGAGTGACGAGTCACTGGACAGCCAAGTGGAGCCAAATTCAATTTGGGGCTTTTAAATGACGCTGCGCCTTGTCTGTTGGTGGCTTGTGAGGATACACCGATGCACCTTTGACGATCGATGAGTGTAGGTCATCATCGTGACCATTTTGCCGAGGTACACAGGAGCGATATTGACCTTGAGGTTCTCGATAAGTGATCGAAGCCACAACTTCTCAAGCCGAGACATGATTCTTTCTCTCATTCAAAATAATTAATAAGTCCTGCCAAGAGTAGGGAAATTGAGACTCACCGGTATCACTCTCTAGCATCCCATGAGACGTCCGACAGGTGAAGGTGAGAGAGCAAATCCCGAGATGATAGGCTGGGACAAGATCCGCGAACCGTTCGCATTGCGAGTTTATATGGGATTATTTGTTATCTTCTCCGCTACAATAGTGACATCACGAACTGGCGATGCTACTCATTATAGACTGTCGGAAATGCGGACCATCGTCTAGACCTGTTTGGCGTGGTTGTCCTTGAGAACCAATAGAATGAATGTGTTCAATCGTCCACTTCGTTTTGCCAATCAGTTGCCTCAAATAGGCGCAGCGCTGCAATGAATGTTGGAGCCTGCTGAAGCCTGAGCTCATTCATTGCTTCCTACATGAGGAGGGATCCATCCCCCTCATCGTCATCGTCCTTTGGTGCTCTTTTCCCCCTCTTGCAGCAAACAAACACTGCTGAAGTACCTACTTCCGAGTGCTACAGCCGGCCCAACCACTCACGATGTCGACCGTGGATATTCCTCTACTCACAATTGCCCCGACGACCAGCCACACTCACACAGTCATCTTCCTGCACGGCCGCGGGGACAATGCGCGTAACTTTGCAGGTTCCCTCGCCGGCTCGCCCGACTCCCACGGTCGAACACTCATCGACGCTTTCCCATCCTTCCGCTGGGTCTTCCCCCAGGCACCGACGCGAGAATGCGCCAGCTCTCCCGACGTTTGGCCGCAGTGGTTCGATGTCTGGAACGTCCGCGATTTATCCGAAAATGAAAATCTTCAGGTCATTGGGCTGAGAGAAGTCGTCCCTGCCATCTGCCGCATCGTAGCGGTTGAGGCAGCACTGCTCGGCGGTGCTTGGGAGCGTGTTATTATCGCAGGGATCAGCATGGGCGGTGCGACGAGCGCGCACGTCCTGTTCAACCTCAATCTACCTCCCGGAAAGAGCCTTGGTGCTTTCCTAGGATTCTCGTGTCGCTTGCCTTTTGCTGGCCAGAGTCTAGTTCAAATGAGAGAGTTGCATAAGTCGGGAAATGCCCCAGGCCATAATGACGTCCTTCGATATACGCCGGTATTGCTCGAGCATTGTATAGATGACCCTCTGGTCCGGATCCGTGATGGAAAAGTCCTGAGAGATGCACTGAGGGAATTCGGTGCGAAGGTGGAGTGGAAGGAATACCAGTCTGGTGGCCACTGGTTCAACTCGCCGGTAGGTATGGATGATGCAGTCGACTTTTTAAACAGGCACGTCCTTAGTCCTACCAACGTGAAAGCGGGAGCTCTGCCGGAGCCAGAAGCGATGGATCTGTCATAGGGGCAGCATCTTGGGACGATGTGGCTAATTATCTGAGAGATCGAAGGTCGGGCTGGGATGAGTCGTGGATAGGGTTCATGACAAAGTTCTGTTCTGTCTTTTGAAAGCTCAAATAGTCGTTTAGAACGATTTGGGAAATATTAATATTAACCATCCTATTACAAGTCACACAATCGTAACTGTTTTAACTTTACCCAACCTTCTAATCAACATCAAGCCGTCATGGTGCTTCTCCGGGAAGCTTGGGAAAAAAGCTCCCACTCTACAAAAATTGCCCGAGTTGGGGAAGGAAAACAAGATCAGGCCACAGGCGCCACGGGCTCGTCTCGACTTAGCCCTTGGCTCTTCAATATTTCGGACTTTGCAGCTTCCAAGAAGAACCCAAGTGAAATTCCCAATCTCATCCGCCATGCATGATGGTCCTTGAGAAGGGCTGCTAGAGTAGATGTCCCCGTGAGCGTCGTAGGAGAAGTCCAGCTCGAAGCAGCCTATGTGTTTACCATCGTAGACCAATGTCCCTCTACTGCCCCTCTCGTCAAAAGTGTCAACTACTTCCAAATTTCTCTCATTCAGCGCTTCCAGATCCAGGACATGACTACGAACTCGGAGATTCCAGCCCTTTTGAATTTCACCGAAGGGATTGGTACCGACTGGCACGGTGTGCGCCTCTAAGAATTGGTACTCTGGTCGAAAATCGGTGAAACACTCGTCATCTTTGTACATTGCCCCGTACGTGATAAACATCCCCCGGCCAAGGGGACACCACGAAGGCACAGGACAGTCGTCATGCCTCATAAACGAACTTGGAGTACAGCATTCTCTGCTTGGCAGCATCTCGCTATCGCCCTCCCAGTACCACATTAACCCCCGAAAAAGGTCTCCCTTCCAGAGGCCGGCATGAAAGTCGTCTTTGACCCACTGATGGTAATGAGCAGTCAAACCGGAGAGCGCCGGAAGTATATCCTTCGACTTGGTAAAGGAGTGGGATTCGAAGCGTGAGTATTCGCAGAGTACACTGGCCCAAATTTGATAAATTTCTTCTTTCTTGTCAACGTCGCTGGGGATAATCATGCCTTCTTCTGCTCTTTCTTTCGAAGCGCTACCCATACTTTGGATCGAGGACGGAGAATAGTAGTGGATATTTGCATTCCCGAAGACAAATTTCTTTGAAGCAGCCTGATTTTCCTGAAATACCCATCCCCGATTCCCCCAACGGCTACAGCGTGTATCCGTAGATGCCTCACTGAATACCAGACCCCGGGGAAGGCCCGCGTACTTGAACTGCAAGAAGTATGACCCGGCTATGTCTGGCCGTCTGATGGAGCGAAACGGTATCCGGATCCGGGGTCCACGCTGGTGAAGAAACCCTTGTCGACATGTGGTAGATGAAGCAGCACAGATTGTGACTGACGCTGCGGCATACAGCTTGGCAACGTCGACACATTGTCTCTCCCAGTCTGAGATGTCGTCTTGCAAGATGCAGAGGGCATCGACCCAGAGATATGGGATTTTTAATGCCCGAGTTACCGATATCGCATCTCTCAAGACTTCAGTCATTTCATCATCTCTAATCCTTTTTCGTCGTTCGGCGATCGTAGCGGATGTCGACGTGAGCTGCTGCTTCGCGTCTTCGGCAGGTCCCCAACAGTAGCTAAGAGCTGCGTACACAGGAGTGTCAGGACCAAGCCGGCCGCTTTCTAGATCAGTGCGGAGAATTAGGCGGGTATTCGATTCGTCGACGTCTATCAACCTTTCCGGAATGAAGCCATTGCCGGCTTGTTGGAGACGCTGGTCTTGTTCGTCTCCACGAAAAGTGGCAGAGATCCACTCCAACCGGTGATTTTGACCATAGCTTTGGCTCAATGGAGCTCTCAGTCCAAGCCATATATCCGAAGCTTCTGAGCCTATGCGGTATTCGTTAATGCGCTAGGCTCCATGAAAGCCGCTGCCGTGGGGCTTCTAACCAGTCAACCCTTCCGAAAGGCAAAACAGCGCAATCTCGGTCTCACCATCGTCGAAACAGAGCAGTATGATCATACCAAGAAGGCCATCGCCTCTACAATCATGTTCGAGTTCATTCTTCCAGCGAAACTGAATTCGGATTGAGACATCTAGGGTATCCTTCATCTCCGTGAATGTTGATCCGAAGATTCTCCTGGCTTCGTGTTGGGTATCCTCTGAGGAGATGATGTCTCGCACGAAGCCGCAGAACGCACACCCACTTTTCGAAGACTCCTCCAGCGAGGGCAGGTCTGGCAAGGTGTCTTCTCTCATGAGGACAGACCCGGAGACTGTTAACGCCGTAGTTTCTGATTTCACGAGCATCGGTCGCCCATTCGCATCGACACCGTCGTTAAGGAACTTCTGGTCATCCTGGAATAGGACTCCGCTCTCGCAGGTAGAACATAAACTTGCGACCGGGTGAAGATAATCGGGCATGTCTTGGCGAAGTTACCGGCTCTTCACCTGCAAGAAGGAGGGGTTGATCTGATGAGGCATTTGGGGATCTGGGCTGGGGTTGCGGCCCAAAAGAGACGAAGCGGGAGCTGAAAGAAAGTGTCGAACAGACGCACGCTGACTAACCTGCAGGTCGGAAGGCGAGTTTTTGGATTTCACCGGTGGTTTTGATTCTAGATGATCTCGACTGCGTGCATATGTATCGCTACCGAACGTCGGGGGGGAAGTGATGGCTTTATATAGTATGAGGCATACTCGTTCCAGATTGAACCATCAGGGTGTAATCGTTCAACAGGTCCTATGGTTCCGTGCAGCTCTAGGATACCCCGGCCCCAGTTCCCAAAATGCTGCTAGTCTGGATTGTGGAGGGTCGTTTCGGAATAACTTTAATGGCAACTGGTGATTCGTTAGGTTCTCCAAGAATTAGAATCGGGTGCATCGTGACGACATATTTGGGAAGTTTTGTCGTGCATGATATTTAGACGACTTATGTTCGTTTATCCAGGCTATTGGACCTCCGCTTCTGCCCTTGCTAGCGACTGCCTTAGGTTAAAATCTATATTTCTACCTTCTTCGAGCGCATTGTGTAAAATCCAAAGACTCTGTCAATTATTATCCTCTAGGCGAGTGTCTCCAAGTTCTCATCTCGGCCAGACATCTGGTCTCCGCACCTGGGTACTAAGAAGGAATTGAGATCCACTCGATTCGAACTTTGACGACGTCGACTTGTGGTTGATTTCCTGAGCTAGCTCGATATAATAAAACCGAGAAATATTAGGTAGGACCAGTAGGAAACATCGCTTCCGTTTCCGATGCCATCGCATTAAGGATGAAACCCACTCAATCTCAACATAGGGCTTTCAAGCCCCTGATGGCTTGCATTGGCGGTGCAGGTACACGAACTCCCGGATTCCTGCAGTTGGATGTATCACGATTCCCCGGAACGAATGTAATACGTCATGAACCAACACACCTCGGTAGCTCTGATTGAGGGGTTAAACATAGAAACATCCATCCCTGTACGGGTGAGTGTGGATGTGGGCAGATATGTGTGCCCACGTAACATCAAAGCTTGCTTTCAGCAATCAAAGGATTGATGTTGCATCTCCCCCTCGAATCGAAAATTTCGAAACAAAAACAGTAAAACAGAGACGAAAGGAAGCTTGATCCACCTCATTCCCCCACTTCATCTCACGTGGACCAGCCGGACTAGCCGGAGGCAGATCAACATGAAGCGTCAAGGTCGGTTGGCGTCTCGGACCAGTCCCCAAGTTTCGTTTCTGTCGCAATAAGAAGACCTCGAAATGTTTGTTCCGACACAGGAGCACTAAACCAGTCATCGAATGATGGCATTGCCCTGTTGAGACCAGCTTCCCCACAGAAATGTCACCGCGCGGTCCATTCGCACCCCGATCGGGATAAAAGCCGCCGTCCATTTCTTGTTTCTTCGACGAGCTGCCCAATCAGTGTCTTGGCCCGGAAATTCCCCACTAGATCAATCTGGCTCTTACCGTGGAGATCCGCGTGGGTGCGGATCCGCAAGCGTGAATTGATGCACTGTGATGACAATGGGATAACGATAGCCCCTTTTACCATCTGCATCGAATTGCTACCAGTGTGCGCAGCGGATCCGAACCGTCGCCAGCCGCACCTATGAAGACCTTGCATGTAACTCCCCTTGTACACCACTCCGTAAGGCAACATCTAGACCAGAAACAGCACTAGCGTCGACTTGTGGCTGAAGAGCCAGCGCGACGATTTCCGGCACCTCCTGTTCTAGTTCTAGTCCTTTTGTCTTCCCCCGCGTCGTGGCGTGTGCTGGCGTGTGCTCTCTGCGGGGTAGCACCCGCAAGTCAAACCGGCCCGTTCGGTGTTAAGGAACGAGAGATTGGCTGCCCCCGCAACGATGCACGGCTCACGGTGCACGGCGCACGAGGAGACTGGGAAGCTCCCTGCCATCTGCCTTCGAGATGGGCTCTGAGACATGAGACACGGATGAAGACTGGCGCGATCTTGCTCCCCGCAGTTAATCGCAGCGAATCGGAGCTATCTACTCCACACGCATGGCTTGCATATTCCCCCGCCCCTATCCTCATCGTCCCCCGCCTGCACTAACAGACTTCGTTGGAAAAAACTCGTATACAGTGTACTAATGATTCCCTTTTTTTGTAACATCAAGATGACTTGAAGCTCTGCTAATCCAGACGGTGGAGCTTCGCGGAAAATGCGGGGCTCCGCATCCTTACGCCGCAAGCTCGCCTTCGCTCCAAAGGAGAAGCACAGCTCGGTGCGGCAGATCCTCTAGTCTAATTATGGCCTGATCGACTTGGCACGGAGCTATACCGAGCTCCCCACACGACGACGTACTGCTCGTCGTACATGCAGCTAGCTACGGACGAAAGGTTCGAGTTTCGCCGCACACAGTGCCTTTGGATAAGGGCGAATTCAGTGGCAGTTGTGTGAGCTAAAAACCGAACCTGGAGATTTGAAAACTTCTAATCGACAAGGGGCTATTGTCTATACTGGCCCCGGATGAATGGAGCTCGATTGAAGGCTTCACTCATTCTCAAGGTCTATAAAGAGGGCTGCCAACTTCTCCTTCGAAGCCTTATTTTTCTAGACAAGCTTACTACTTTTCTGCACCAGCTCCTTCTTATAACTACTCGGACTTGTTCCTACGATACCCAGTACAAATTTATCTCCTTCACTACACCAAACCTCGATACCCTTTGTTTTCAACAAAATGGCCGCCCCCGAGATCCCCACAGAGCAATGGGCCCAGGTCCTCGAGAAGACCGGTGGACGTAAGTAGAAATAGATTCACACACGCTCCTGCTCGATAGTTATCGGTACCTAACACACACACCTTTAGCCGTCGTCTACAAGAAGATTCCCGTTCAGAAGCCCGGCCCCGATGAAGTCCTCATCAACGTCAAGTACTCCGGCGTGTGCCACACAGATCTCCACGCTGTAATGGGCGATTGGCCGCTCTCTACCAAGATTCCACTTGTCGGCGGTCACGAGGGCGCCGGTGTCGTTGTCGCCAGGGGCGAGCTGGTCGACAATATTGAGATTGGTGACCACGCGGGCATCAAGTGGCTCAATGGTTCCTGCTTGCACTGCACATACTGCCGGCAGGCCCATGAGCCCCTCTGCACCAAGCCTCTTCTCTCCGGTTACACCGTCGACGGCAGCTTCCAGCAGTATGCCATTGCCAAGGCCGCTCATGTCGCCCGCATTCCCAAGGAGGTTTCTCTCGAGGCCATTGCGCCCGTGCTCTGTGCCGGTATCACCGTGTACAAGGGTCTGAAGAAGTCCCATGCCCGCCCCGGCCAGACTGTCGCCATTGTTGGTGCCGGTGGCGGTCTCGGTAACATGGCGCTTCAATACGCCAAGGCCATGGGTCTCCATACCATTGCTATCGATGGCGGTGAGGCGAAGGAAAAGGCTTGCAAGGAGCTCGGTGCTCAGGCATTTGTCGATTTCACCAAGTCCAAGGATATCGTCGCAGATGTGAAGGCTGCCAGTCCTGACGGCCTTGGCCCCCACGCTGTTATCCTCCTTGCTGTGTCTGAGGGTCCATTCCAGCAGGCTGCCGACTACGTCCGCCCCTTCGGTACCATTATCTGCATTGGCTTGCCCGCGAACGCTTATATCAAGGCCCCCGTGTTCAGTACGGTCATCAAGATGATTAAGATTAAGGGCAGCTACGTCGGCAACCGACAGGATACCGAGGAAGCTATCGACTTCTTCGCCCGTGGGCTTATCAAGTGCCCGTACAAGGTTGTCGGTCTTAGTGAGTTGCAGTCGGTGTATGATATGATGGCGGATATGAAGATTGTTGGCCGGTATGTTGTTGATACTAGCCGGTAAATCCGTGTGTGACATGAGCAATGTGGGTTGTTACGAAACGGTGTTGGGGAGATGCTGGCGCTACGATCGTGGGATGTCTATGAATGTTGCATGTCTCTGAAAGGCTGTTTAAGGGAGGAGACGGGTGTATAGCTATTTGAATGAATAAATGAAACGCAATTGAGCGGTGACGGCATTATCTAAACCTCCCTACCCTGCTTGCACTGGAGTGAATCTTAGATTGCAGTAGGTCCGATCCGATGTTGTCTCTTGCGCATTTCATCCCGGCGCGTATATTTTTCTTCTGTGGCATGGTATTTCAGCAGATCCAAATTAACGTCCCAGTTCAAGGTCAAATTTGAGATATCTTAATTAGGGCCAAAAAAAAACTAAACCCGGATCAAGGAGAGACCGGACTCCCCCATCCGCCACCCTTTATTAGACAGGGTACCCAATCGGATATTTTGAATAGCTCTTTAAATGAGAAAAGTAACTGTTGTAGCAAGGTCCAATGTTCTATCTTGTCCGTGCGTCGCGTTATTTGAGTTAAATTCTGATACGACATTATCAGAGACCTCAATCACTCGAAGCAGACTACAGTTACGTCTCCGTTGAGGTAAAATCCCATCTGCAGCGTTTCCACTCTTCCACTGAAGCTACCCGGGTTTAGAAGCTGTTCTGATCGGGAAAATGGTCTTGTTGAACTGCTCCTGTTCTGACAGGCCTCGTTGCATGCATGCCTTCTCCATTTTTGGAAGACTTAGTCCGCCTGTACTCATAACGAAGCGAATAACGGTACAAAGAGCTATCAATATACCAAAGCTTCGATCGCCTATATAATGCGCAGAGAGAAAGGAGAGGAAGAAGGGAAGCGATGAACTTATTCTTCCACTCTACAGGGAACTAGTTCTCCGTTTTACAGGGAGCACACTGAACAGTGTCGTATATGAAATGTAGCCTGAAGCCGCCGAGGAATACGGGTGAAAACTAGGATTAAATTTCAAGTAATAGTACCAGGAGAAGAAAGTACAACGAACATACATGCTGTTATATTAGGCATTAATTATTTTAGGATCTATTCGACGAGTTACCTATTGTTGAAAAGCGGAATGCGTCGACAGAATCTCCCAAAGCTGACCGAGATTCAGTTGCACAGGAGTAACCCAACGGTGCACCCGGCAGCGGGTAAGGTTGTACTGGTCGGTAGGGCGGGTTTCGGTAATGTATGGCTGTTGTAGCCCAGCGTAGAGGTACGGATACCATCGTCCCCAAAGAGGTCAGACGCGAGTAACCCGTTCGAAATACATATCTTCGCAAACCAAAGAATTTTCTATATGGATCCTCAACTCGATATTTCGTCATTAACAGCGGATATGCTACCAATAAGCATCTCGGAGACGTCTCCGTCGCAATGGCGCGTGTCCACAATATCACTGGAATCCTGTTAGTCGCACAGTTTCTCGGCAGGATGGAGGGGGCAGCTGTCAGCACTTACTAGACTCCTAGATCAAACTTGTTCACGAGATCATCGTCTAAATACTTTACGCGTTCGGAGGCCTGTCGATTTAGTCTGTCCCCGAACCGTATAAATTGGATCATCGTGGCGCTGGGCGGTAGCTCTTCTTTTGATAGTCGTCTAGCTTCCGTTACAATGCATCGATCGACCCCCGGGTCTCCCTCCTCCCACACAGCATCGGTCAACACATAGATACTAACAGGCCTGGGGTCACATCCCGGTTTTGTTCTGTGTGGGATACTCTTCAGAAGTTCTGCGAGACACTTCGCCATGCTCGTTGTGCGGTTAGAGCGGAAGCTGTGATCCCGTATCGCGTTTTCGATCTTGGAGCTCTTTTTGTACTTCCGACACTCGCCCATGTCCGATGCGAAGTACAGCTCCATGCCGTCGGGATCCGATTCCTTTACCGCGTAAGCAATGACTCGGGCGGTCTGCTCAACCTTGCTCTTATGGTGTGACATAGATCCGGCGTCGTCTATTAGAAAAATCTAAGATAGAAGGAGTTAGAGCCACACATTCGACAATATTTCAGGGAAATGACAGTATTTAATACCTGGTCACGGCCTCCGCGTGAACGGACTTTGCCTAGAGCATTGTCTAGTTTGCTATATTCCTCACCTAGCTCCTGTGATCGAAAACCACGTATCGGATGCTTTTTCTGCAAGAGTTCGTAGAAGTTGCCCACAGTGACTATAGGCCCCGCACTCCTCCTTACAGACTTACTCCGACGCCTTCCGTCTGAGCTAGGCCTGAGATCACCATCGTCGCCACGGTAGTCCCCAAGCAAGGTGGATGGGGCCAGATGAGAGTTCGGGCAGTTCTGTGAACTTTCGGGACTGGGGTTCTTTTGCCGCAGGTTGGTGCCATCTACGAAGTCGCCATTGGCCGAGGAGTATGAACCTCGAACGCTCGATCGAGTAGACTTAAGGATGCCACGAGTAGTACTGTTCCTGGAAGAGGCACGGCGGAGATCTGTGTTAGGGCTTCTCTGGTGGCTCGAAGGTGATTGCGGTTGGATCGATTCCGTGAGGGACATCCTTTGACGGACGGGGGAGTCTTGGATTATAGGAACACCTAAATCCGAGACGTAGCTTACGGACCGGCCCCTGCGAGGTGTTTCCGGCAATAACACTGGAAAATGATGTATACTGTTTCCATCGTTATATATTGGCGCGGGTGATTGGACCAGTGCAGATGAAGATGCCAACACACGAGGTGTTCGGTGCGTGATGGTGTCGCTAATTTGTCTGAAGAGATCTCTCGGGTCAAGCCGGCCAGTTTGTGCGTGGGACTTGTCTCGTTGGAGCATGTTGTGTAAGATAAGCTTGCTGACCTCGACAGAGACCCAGTCTTCAGCTAGTCTCTTCTTAAGCGCGTGGTCATGCATCGTAGAGACGGCCTCCAGCCGGTCATAGCCGTTGTGGAAGCACGAGTCGTACCCTTTTGCAGAAAGCTCGTGGGACCCGGATTTGATTTCTTCAAAGCGTTGCTTCCTATACGTCTCACGCCCGTCCTCTCCAAGAAATGACCAGATTAGAGCATCGCTGAAAACTGCTCCTAGCGCCCATACGTCGACAGTTGGGCTGATCCTGGGAGGCATTTGGATGCCATGCGTGGGAGTGCATTCCGGCGCAACTATAGCATCAACAGGTCAGAAACATCTTCCCGATCCAGAGCTAGAATTTATACGTACGGTACATGCGGTTCATGTTTCCGTCATTATACCGCTTTTTCTCGATACCCCCATCCCTCCCCCGTAACCGATTGACGTGGGTCGCCCCAAAGTCACCGAGTTTGAAACGTACATCGTACGAATCACCCGACGGTTCGGGGAAGACAAAGATATTGGCCGGATGAATATCTTGATGAATTCTACACTCTGTCAGTGTTTGGCCCGGTAAATTGCTCCGTGAGCGAGGTATACTTACCCAGATAAAATGCCGTGGTTCTCGACACCCATCTCGTGGATGATATGAAGCGCGAGCAATAGCTTGGACATCCTCCTCCAAAACATTTCGAATTGTTCCAGCCTTGTTGGGCGAGGTACCTTCTCGAAGAATTGTAAAAGGGTGCCCCCTTCTGCAAATTCGAGGATAATGGTATGTTTTCCATTTTGAATGAATGATCCGTAATAGACGAGTATGTGTTCTCTGTATCGACCATATTCCTTGTCTGGCAGGCTCGCGTAGGCATTGGTTTCAATATCGAATTGTTCTTTTGCATCTGGATCTGCACTGCAAGTTTTAAAGACCGCAAAAAGATCTTCTGTTGGCAATACGGTCGAGTCAGCACCGTTCGCTCCATCGGGAGTAGTGACGCGACTCAGGTTGGAACATCCGCCGTTGATTTTGACTTTCCATATCTCAGTAGGGTCGCCTTCGGACCAGCTGCCTAGCTTGTTGTCGTAAGTTACTGGGAGGATGACGCGTGGGTCAAGTTTCCGTCTGTGGAGGGAAGGAAAATCGATTTCCAAGGGACAGAACATCCATTGCGCCTGCTCGAATTCGGGAAATAATGCGGGCCCTTGCCAGTTATTCGACCACGCCGGCGGAAGAGCGAGGAGGGGTAAATGCTCATCTTTGATCCCGCATGTTGTGAATAGAGATATCCTGTCGGGCTTTCCGATGTAGACTAAAATGGAGAAGACACGAAGGAATTCCTGGGTAACCTGTCTCGGCATGACATTTTGGGCCGCGCCGTCGCCATGTCGGAGCACATCACGCACTTTGTCTTGGCTCCAATACTCCTTGAGAGCCGGGAAGGGTATGTAGTCGGCCTCTATTCCATATCCATCTCTTCCTTTAACCTGCATAGCAGGTAAATCTTCTGTAAATTGGTTTAACATGGTTTTTCAAGGTTGGAATAGCGGGGATTCGAAAGTAGATTCTGAAATAATTGGTTGAGTGTGGACGGCTGCAGGTTGGAAGGATTGTCGTGGTGCAGGTCCTTGAGCTTGACCATGCGAAGGGACTACCAAAACTTTGTGGGGTCATGAAATGACGCTCATCAAGTATGACAAGTGACAAGAGAGGACCCGTGGTGGTGGGTTCTCAGAGGAGAATGTGAGGGGTATTATAAGTGCAAGGGATTGGTCTCCTGGCCGAGATGGGGGGGCTAGTATGGAGTCTCGAACTATTGATTTCATCCAGAACCTACTCCGTTGCTGCCAGCCTGTTGTGGGGGTGTGGCGCAACAGTACCTGTATGTTGAAGTGCGCAGTTGTCACCGAAGTGAGTCGAATCAGCGATTCTACTCCCCTTCATACTGCAGTTGCACGGAATCGGTTCAAACTTAAACGAGCCGCGGAGACGTCAATCAGAATAAATCTATTCGTAAATCTTGCCAGGTGTCCGCATAAGATCGTAGGCGCTTTAGATATAGTCATGGGTGGTCATGGGTGGGAGGTCTCGCACGCAAGAAAAGCGACTCTGCTCAGCTTGAGGTGCACTCCGTATTACTCACCCTGGCGATATCGTTCGACCAGGCTGGTATGGGTACTAATCTTAGTCGCCTGCGGTCCAGCCAGACTGCCTGGCGGCATCACAATCTTTGGGGCGGAGACGAGCGGGGTATGATACCCAATAGCGACTGGTCAAGGTCATACTGGATGCATAGAAGTACAGTGCTGATGTATTCTTTGTTTTTCCCATCCAATAACTCAAAAGAAGGCTGTGTGGCTGGTTTAATACCGTGAACGGGCCGGGGTGGTGGGCGTGGGGGGGGGGGGGGGGGGGGGGAGTGTGGCGAACTCTTCTCTGCGTCCAGGACTTGGACGCGGACCAATATTGGCACCGCACAGGAGGCGGAAGGAGGCGGAAAAGGGTGAGAACGTGCTCGGGATGCCAGCCCTGACCTGGAACTAGAATGCCGATCATGTGCCAGGGTTGGACACGCCACACATTTGCGCCCTGCTCTCTCTCCCTCTTTTTTGTATTTTCTTTTCCTTTCCACTCTTTTTCTTCAACTCCCAACCCCTGGTGCGAAATCCCTCAGAGTCGAGCGGGAGGAATCAAGAAAGAACGGCACCCACTCTCGTCGGCATGACCCCTGCTAGGTCAATTGTTGAATGCGGTCCGCCATTATTTGATCACTGTCTCCCTCGTATATTCATTCTCATTCCTGCCATTAATTGGCCTGGCCTGGGATGGTTACGGCGCTACAAAGACAGAGAAGATCCGGCCGCCCGATTCCGGACTACGGCCCACATCGGTCGCCGGTGGCCCGTGGTGCATCAAACCGCCTCATCTCCGTACACTTTCCGAGCTTTCCTTCTTAAACAACTCCAGGTCAGCCACCAGCAAAACATGGTGACTGCCATCAAGGGGAAACATATTAGGGCGAATAAATCAAATCCCTTTCGGTTGAAGTTCATGGAGTAGCCCGCTTTATCGTCCCATCCGATCAAGCCGCTTTGGAAAAAAGTCTGCACACGCGTTAGATCCAAATTCTCCGTGCCTGCCTGCCTTAGGTATGGCCATCCGAGTCTTACGGCGACAAAAGTCCCTGGGAGGAACATTAGGGTAACGAAGGTGATGATGTGCATCGAAATGGTTTCCTGCTCAGTCTTGGCGGCGATTTTCTCCATCTTTTGGCCCTGCAGGTGGCCGCTTGTCGCGAAGATGTGACTGACCTGCACGCCACGGTACTGGTGAATTCCATCGAACTGACCCTTTGACATCAGTAGCAGCTTCAGGTATTGGTGCTAAAGAATTTACTCACCAGTGATTTCCCTTCCTTCAGCCAGCAGATTAGGGATTCTACCTGAGTCTTTCGTACCTCGAGGTTCTTCTCAATCTCTCCAACCTTCCGAGAGAATCTGGCCATTTGGTATCGACATTTCCTCTTGATGTCATCGCACATATCCTCTCTTGTCATAAGTCCATCGTAGTACTCTCGGATGTCGCGTAGTGCTTGCTTGTCTAATGAGACAATGAGTCTCATCTCCTCCAGTCTTTCGCTCACATAGAAAAGCCTCTGAAGTTCTCCAAAGGTGAACGTAGCGAGGACGGAAAGATTGCGAAGCTGCTTAGCGTGATTGGCAGTTTGATCACGATAAGGCCTTGGCTTTTCCGCGTCCCACGGGCGAATTAAGTGTCCATTCTCCAATTTACCAGGGCCCTGATCCCTGCCTGCCACCCCCATAGACCTTCCAATCTTTGTTGCGTGATTGAAGCATACCAACCTCTCCGAGGCCCAGAATAATCGGCGGATGGCGCCCAGCAGTGATGTTACGCCCGAATCGGCGCCACCATTACCCTTGGTCTGTTTGGTCATCGTACCCCTCTGCGACATTTGTGACACAATAGCCCTTGGGTACTCTTCTGACTCTTCGGCATCCTCGATCTGTGCCGTCTTAGCCTTGACCATAATGTCGTGTATCTCTTCGTCCATGTAGTTGATATAATGACGCCAGTTTTCATCGACCCACATCAAGAAGATGAGTTGCGTTTCGAGCATGGATGAGAACTGCATTGCAGAGTTGGCTGGTTCCGTACTGATAGGTGGGAATAGAGACGGCGATTCCTTGATTCTATTCTGTAGCAGGTCGTTGGCCTTGACAGTCATCCAGAATGCTCTCCCCGTCTTGACATCAAACGTGTGGTGTACAGCCATCTGTCTAATCTTCCACGGCCACTTTTTGTCCTTCAGGTCTTGCTCGTAGCTTTCGGAACGTTCAACCGACCGTAGAATATACGACATCTGAATATCTTTCCCAGAACGGCCAAGGCGGGATATCTTGAGGACTTTGTCATCAGGAATGTGCAGCGTATCGCTAGCGTGAAACCCTGTCATCGAATAATCCAACGGCCTCTCAGTCTCTCCGAAAGAGGCCATATAGCCGAGGAAGTGAGGATCCACTTGGTGGAAGGTCAAGATCTTGCATAGACTTTCTCGCGAACAGTTTAAAGGGTCTCGCGAATCGTTGGCCGTGATGAAGCTAGTTGCCATTATTAGCTTCTCGTCTTCAGCAGATTGTCATGTCACTGGGTGGATTGCCGGTGTTTTGTTTTAGCTTGCTCTGGCTGACTTACACATGACGGCAGAGAGGATCGGCGTGACCGCTGAGAAGGTGCCTCTCAAGCTCGTTGCTGTTTGTGACACTTGCACACTGATGCCCTATTCTTCGATTAGCTCGAGCTACGCCAGGCCTGACATGAATAGCCTACTTTCACTGCCATCGTAAAGCTCAAAGAATACTAGACTCTCTGAACTACCGTCGAATAGGCGTTCCTCATCTTTCGTCAAGGAATCGCGATAGTCTCGTAGGATATAACTTGGTGCACTCGGCTGCAGCAAATTGACGGGGTATTCATGCCATTTCTTGCATTGGTCTAGGAGGTTGTCGTGGATGTTAATGCGCATCTTGGGCTGCATCCCGGCAGTATTAAAATTGCGAGTGAAATGCCCTGTGTCCTATTATATTGATGCGGTATCCGTGCATTGGTTCGAAATAGTGCGCTAGGTACAACTTATATACTGAGGGTGTGTTCTACGTTAAGCTCGGTAGAGACAGAGTGAAAAAGCCTTGGCTCGAAGTGGAATATTTCTTTTGACTTCGGTCTGCCAAAATACAGCATAGAAAAGGCACAAAAGACGGAAGAGAACAATGAAAGGCAACAGAAGTGGGGGAATCGCCCAGTGGGACAGGTGCATGACCTGCGGTCGCTCCGGCCTCCGGCGAAGCCAGACCCCCTAAGGTAAAACCTCTTCGGACTCTGGTAACGAACAAACCAATAAGGCAGGCCTTCCTGCATTCCTGCTGGTACAATTTGTATCAGAACGGAATGAGCCCCTCCCTTGAACACATCAGTGTGGCTCAGGCCGGTCGAACTAGTTAGGTGGCGGCTTCCACTCGGTTATATGCTTCAGGCGTCGTATGCTTCTCCTGTGTTCCTGCGCGGGCGAAAAGACGTCAACGGACGGTGCTGCCCGGGATATAGAACAGGGCTATACCAACTTGAGTGAGCTCCCTGCCATCGGGCAGATTGAAGACGTACTTTCCATTTTTGCCCTATCCTCATATGATCAGTTCCCACGTCTCTGTTTCAGCAGTGCAAGGCTCAATCTGCGGGGGGCTGTGCTGCACTCTCCACTTACTTCGGCGACAATATTGGGGTCGTTAAAGGTGTACCTGAGCCACGCCTCCAAAACATCTTTCTCCAGGCAGTAATTCTCAAAGGAAAAGGGCTGTGACATCTCGATGGTATCAGTTCTAAATGCGCGTAGTCTCGGAACGGTGTTGCTGGGCCAGGGTGAACGAGAAGGAAATGAGCTCATGCCTGTTTTCAGCGCCGCCATAGGATGCGACCCAGATTTTATCATTGACATTATTACAAGTAGCGTGTACAATCATTGGTGCTACAGCTTGGACGATCGCTGGAGCCGCTTGCTTTCTTTGGTCATGCTTCATGGCCGAGGAGCAGCAGAACTTAGCCTACAAAATATTGGGTCTCCTGTCCAAGTGAGATGATGGTGGCGGTACCTTTAGCCCTGTGCCGGGACATGATTGACTCAATGTCCACGAACAGCCAATGAGGGTGGTTCCATCTTTCTAACCGAGAGTACGAATGCATGAGAAATATGCACAAAGTGATCAAGGAGGCGTGAAGAAAAGCGCCATGGCCTGCACGCCCGCCTGAGAAGGGTATATCTAAAAGGTCGCATCAGGCCGCATTATCTCGGTGCAGCGCTCTAATTTCTAGTAGGGAGTAGAAGAAGAGAGAGAGGCCTCAATGTCTCTGGGGCCATGGACGGTGCAGGTATGAAGACCTCCGGTCGGTGTTGCTTTTAGACAAGGCTCTGGTGGCTTCGCAAAATGGAAAAAAAGAGAAGGTGGAGGGGCTACTTCTGTGGTGTAACCCAATAAATGAGTGATTCCCAGTGCTTGATTCGACCCTATTTAGCCCAAGTACAATGTGCATATGCGCATCTTACTTATATCACACCGGGATGCTTTTCTCGCTCTCCCGTTGGCGGACGAATATCACACCACGCATCACGCATACCGAAAGGCGCACATTGTGCAGGTTCTCCTCCTCAGGCAGCCTTCTCCACTTTGATGTAAAGTGTCAATACTAGACACCCCTCGGTCCTGAGGAGCGTGGTTGGCGGGGATCAAATGATTTGATTCCTGGATACTTGGATATGGTACAATACTGACACTTTGATATTGCAGAGTACAATGAAATCAACATCTGGTGCTTGGATCCCGGTTTTGCCCCTTGAAGCTCAAATCTCCTAATGCCCTGTGTTCCTCTCTGTACGAAGTAGTTTAATCTAGATTAATCGATGATTTTGAAAAATCACTTCCTATTAGGCAGCATCGTAAATGTCCCTTTTTGGGGTCCAGAACATGCCAGCCCACCGCACCGAGTTCCAGGGTTTTCTGAAATTGTATTGGAGCCATTGCTCGTCCGTCTTTGGATTGGTGTTGTGTTCGGAGACCCCACTTGGGGTATATAAATGGTGGTGTTCTCTGTTCCAAACTCGCGATCAGGATGCCGGGAAATATGAAAGGACCTCTCCATAAGGCATATTCTTTTGTATAGTGAGGCACGGTCAGATGGGATGAAGCTGGGGTTGGCAAAGATCCGACTCGGCCTTGAACATGGCCAACTTCTGCCCTGGTCACGGACTGGATTTACAAAGGGATTCACATGATTTTCTAACCCCAGACCTGACTTACAACAACTGATAATACAAGCTTGGACATGGACGGCAGTTTTTCGAATATCTTCAGGTTCCTCACAACATCGACCACTTCATTCTCTCACAGAGCAAACAGCCTTTCTTAGTACAGAACCTTATACGGAAACCGAAACAAGATAACTATTACTTTTCACTGATATTATTGCTGAATTTTTAAGTGGTCTGTGAAGATCTTGGGAGGTGATAGGACGATTGAAATAGTAAAGCCGTTTCAAATTTGCTTAGCAGATATCCCGGACAATTGCCAAGGAATCTCTCATAGGTGTATACTAGTAATGCTAATCTGTAGGTCCATCACTTTCTTAGACTAGTTTCCGTTCCCGTAATGGTGTTACCCGGGGGCAACAAGGGAACTTAGAAGCGGGTAAACTTCTTCACACAGTCAAAAATATCAAGGTGTTCGGAGTCCAGTCACAGATACAATGGATTCCAATCGCAGAGTTGCTAGCAAGAACTTCAGCTTCGAGAACGAACTTAAATCGTTCTCAAGCTTCCTTCTCTCTTTCCCAAAAGCTTTACTGCCCATTCAACTATCTAAGGCCTACTCCGTGGTTGCGCGATTACTACGCTCTTCGTTCTTAGCTGGGCTGATCGCTCTCCTTGCTTCTTCCTCTGAAGCTAATGATGCTTTTAGTCTAGTCGTAGTATGCTCGGTGTTCTCACTGAACTTCTTCGCGATGCTCCCCACAGTGCCCCTCGGCAGTTGTGGGACTTGCTGTCGAGTACACTCCATGTCCTCTCCGGCGGACTGCTTACAAGATACTAGGTCATCGTGAAGTCGTGGCCTGTGGCGGAGAGGAACCTTAAATATATTAAACAATTAGATATGGGGACTTGGCTGAACCCGAGAGTGAACGACTGTGGGATGACGATTAGTAGGCAGTGTTAGACATTTCCTAAGTTGAAAGTTGCAATGATATATGCGCGGTTGGCGACTCCAAAGTGGAAGAAGTTTATTGAGCAGTCGGCAGGTGTCCAGCCGGCTATACAGAAAGTGACAATACAGGTAGAAGTTATGAGACAGAAGGGTCACTGGCTTGGGATCGGGTAAGCGAGGCGGATGGGCTGCCACGAGAGACGAGCGGCTTGGAAAACAAGCGTATCGAGATGTATGAGCCGGCGGTGGGCAAGCGTTTTCCGTTGAGAAAGCCGAGATGGGAATTTGGGGATTATTTGAACGAGTACAGGACTTGTTAGACAGTGACTTTCTCCTGGGGTTAGAGATTAGGTGGCGAGGACCTTTAGTTGGAAGAGATGGTCAGTGAGGATCAAGAGATTTGGATTTATGACGGGCCACCCGGCGAGCGTTATATTTTCCTTTCTATTAATAATGCTTAGTTGGATTTAGGAGGCGTGGCTAATATAGAGTCAGACCTGCTCCTCACAGAGATTGCCCGCCAATTCTCTCTTCTCTCCACGCGAGCCCGAAGTCTCTCAAGAACAAACTGACCTACATGGACGAACATGTCGGTCTTTGACTTCGAATAAGCCCTTCACTAAAACGGCGGATCGCTTTCTCGAAGCAACCAGAGACTAGCTGGAGCTGAGTGGCGAGTCACTTGGGGCAGGTGTGGGGTGGTTTTACAAGTGAAGATTGAGTGCAATACCTCACTGAAGGAAGGAAATTGGCAGGTCTTTTGGTCCCCGTATTTGCTAGTCACAACCAACTGTTCATACACGATTACGGACCGTCAGCGATTAGGCTACGATGATATAGACGGGATCCCTTTAGGGGCATATCATGCAGCCTGAACTAATAGACGTAACTGATAATGTATTCTAGCTACTGATAAAGGCTGCTACTTTCCAGTGAACGTCAAAATAATAGTAGAATACTATCTCCACTTAACATCTTAGTCCTCTGCCCTCCTTTTACGGACAATCGATGCTGCCGAACCGGTTCTCTGTAGCATCGTACCAAGTAGCCTCAACCATCTAAACTAAATTAGCGGCAACTCAAAAGTCATTTCATGCAGAAGCTTCAACTTACTCCGCCATTGCAACCGGCACTAGCTTGGAAAGTCCATGAAAGATTGCCATCGGAGCCACTGCAATCTGTCAAGCTGGGGACTGCGCAAACGCCAAATTGCTTCAAGTTATCCCAGAGCCCGCCGCAAATGCCAGGAATATCGTCAACACCACTAGCTTCGACGGTGTATGCCTTGGCGACTCCGTCCTTCCAGCGTCTGCAGACGGCGGCAGACGCATGAGTGGCGAATGCGGCGATGGCGGAGGTCGCGATGACTGAGAAGCGCATTATGACAAATCTTCAAGGTAGAGTGATCAAGGCAGAGTGATTGATATAAAGCTAAAGTTCCCTCTTGATTTATGATTGAGGAGTGAACAGTCGTTGTGAATGAAAAAGTGCTGCGGTTGGGAGGCCAGGATGAAGCTTGTGGGTTTATATTCTTCAAGAAATGCGTTCTACTGCGTGCCCTCCTGGCCTGTGTCGAAACGGAGAACGCCAGAGGCATGAAGCCCCTCAATACCGCTCGTTCCTTAATTTATAAAAAGGACCGATGGATGATCACAGCCTCGCTATCTTTATATTATGACTCGCTCCTTTACGTACGGAAGACTACGTCGCCCACTACGGCAGATGATCAACGTCGAAGAGACGAGACAGTTTCCCACGATACAGCCTTAAATTTCCCTACACATATAGCATAGTCTCTATAGTAAATTAAAGCTAGCTATATTTCGTTACGGGGAAAATGGATCCTGAAGGATCGAAAGTGCTTGAAAGAATCAATTAACATGATCCTAAGAAACCAAAATAGTTGCGGAACGAAAGTCCTCCTGAGGGAATAAAGTAAAATGGTCTGTTCCTCTGGTAAGGGTTTTTAGCTCTGCCTCGTCACCGTCCTTCAGGAACTCTAATGCGATTGGAGGAACAGAGGAATGCAATGGCAACCATGGTTAGTAACGAGACAAGAAGGATCTCTCGGCCGAACCGCGATTAATATTCACAACTCCGTCTCATTTCTCCCGCTCTCGGCCTGATCCTACAGGATGCACTTACGCACGAAACACCGGCCCGCGGCATCTACGAGTCTAAAATCAAATACCTACAACAACCAAAGGTAAGAAAATGAAATTTTCTACATATATTGTACGACTGCCAACCCCTTCAGATGTTATTCTGCCAACTTCATTGCTATTCATCAGCCTTTCTCAGTCAGTAGGAAACAAGTCCTCAGCACGACCTACCTCTTCAGCAATATTCTTACGCAGGCCCTTTTTACCACTAGCTATTTTATCTTTCCAAACTTCTAAATCTCCATTTTCCTTCGACAATCCCTCCCCAATATGCAGTTCAAAATCTTCACTATGTCCGCGCTCGCCTTCGCCACACCGGCCCTATCGGCCTCATGCAGGAGGCCCGATAATCTGGGCTCCTGGAACTATTGGATCGAGGCCGATGGTGTCTCCGATATCCCTGGAATTTGTGGAGGCCTTTGGGACAACCTAAAGCAGTTTGCAGCCTGTCCCGTCGGAGTTATCGCTGAGTGCTCCGACCTTGGAAACGGTAAACTGCTCTGGCAATTCACCGTGGGCAAAGGTTGCAACAGCGGGTAAGTTATATATGTTTAGCCATGTTACAGTAGAGAACTAACAACAAGATAGAATGGTTGAGGCAACTTGGTACGACGCTACAGAGAATCGGTTCGGCAGCATCGATTGTCCGTAGGTGGAGCAGTAAGGTTCGGTTCTGATGATGCTTATTTGGCAAGTATATTCGGCCTTTCTCGAGGTGGTGGAAATGTGTATACTTGACGGGCATGTGCTTCGAAAAGAGGGTTTCCGTATGATTCTCTAGTTAATGAAAGGCCGGCCGAATGGAAAGTTGCTGGTGGCGCCTGGTTTTCTTTATTTCTGCTAATTTCAATCGTTGCCGTGAAGACCACGTCAAATTAAGCGCTTGTTGGATCACATATAAGGTATGCAAGCTAGCTTTGGTAGGGAAAGGCCACACTGCTCCCTCCCAGCTATGCTGACACAGCACCCCCAGCAGAACGTGGACGCTTTTATGTTCTGTGAGACGTTGAGTCGAATTGGGCTGATCACAATGCCAATTTCGTACACTCCCTCGATAGCTGTGAAGAAGACCTGGTGCTTTTTAACACTCTGCCCTAGTCACGGAATCGGCTAAAGCTGGAACGTCCATCATTTTATGCTCTCCCCGTACCTGACTCGTAACTATCAGCATGGGGGCGAGCATAGAAATGCACGACCAAGCACCTGTTTTCAAGATCTTCAGGTCTTTACGACATCGACTGGCCCATCCTCTAACGGAACGAACAATCTTTCTCGGCATGGCACCTTTCCCCGAACCTGAAACAAGCTAACTATCGCTATTCGTCACTATTAGCCATTTTTGGCCAGATCTTAGAAGATATTAGGAGGCGGCAGGACCCTCGAGATAGTAAAGCCATTTCACATTAACTTCATGGAAGGCCCCAGAATTTTCAAGAAATCTCTTATAGGTATACTAATAATGCTAATCCATGATTATATCGCTTTCTCGGGCCAGTTCCGTTCCCCATTCCTTGAACGCCGGATGCGCGGTTTACTGTACAATAAGGATACGACCTTCATAGGGATTCAAAACACCATCGCCACTCGGCTTGTCCGTCGTCGAAGCGAGAATCTTCAGAGACTCGGGATCCTCCGTTACTTCTTTCACCTCCTCGTGCCAGCATATGTGCTCCTTGGAAAAGTTCATGACGACGAGAATCCGGTCATCATCTCGCTCCTTGGTGTAGATGAATAAATGCTCATGATCCGGTCTGATGACAGTATAATTGCCGTAGATGAAGGTATTGGCGTGTTTCTTGCGAAGCTTGATCATTCGCTTCCAGAATTCTAAAACACTCCCCTCGTCGCCGATTTGTGAGGCGACATTGATCTCGTTGTTGAGCGGGTGGAGCGCAGCAATAGGCTTGGTGTCGGAGAATCCGAAGTATGGAGCATTCCCGTCCCATGGAATAGGCATGCGCGCATTAAATCGACTCAGGTATCGTACCGCCGCCGCGGCTCGATCTAGCGCCTCTTGGTCATCGCCTCGGGTCTTCAAAACAAAGTCGTACCAGTAGTTACTCTCGACATCCTTCATCTTGTCCAGCGGGAAGTCCTGCGGAACGCTAACCATTCCGATCTCCTGGCCTTGGTACAGAAACAAAGTACCCGACATCGTTGTTTGCAGCATCGCTAAGAGAATTCCGGAAGAAACTCTATATTCCGGGCTGTCGTTGGCGAATCTGCTGATGCTGCGTGCCTGGTCGTGGCTTTCGAGGAAACTGGCGACCCAAGCATCCGAGCCGTTCATAACCTGTTGAATCTGTGACCAGCCGTTCTTCCACTGCGATAGCCGAAAATCCTTGGGGGTGACTTCGTATTTCCGGCCAGGACCCATACCGACACCGACAACTTCGAACATGAAAGCCATATCGAGCTGCTTCTTTTCGCCGGAGAGGTAGCACAACACGTCATCTCTCCCACAAGTGAAGGGTAGTTCGCCAGCGCTAATAACTTTCAATTCTCGAAGCTTGGTGCCGATCTGCAAAAGGTAATCGTGGATGTGAGGCCCGTTGCAGGTCAGCGCAACCGGTATTTGCCAAGGCCAGTCGTTAAAAACCACGGGGGCGTCTGGGAGCCCATCGGGTTTGCTGAGCATGTTGGCAGCGTCGACGCGGAATGAATCGACACCTCTGTTCACCCAAAATACAATCGCGTCCTCGATGATAGCCTTGCGCATATCAGCGTTATCCCAATTCAAATCTGGTTGTCCGATGGTGAATAGATGGAGATAGTACTCCTCGGTTGTTTCATCCCACTGCCAAGCACTCCCCTCGCCAAAGACAGACTTCCAGTTGTTTGGGGGTATCCTGTTTCCTTGATCGTCGTATTTGGCGGGCCTCCAAAAGTACCAGTCGCGCTTGGGGTTGTCCTTGGACGACCGGGAGTCTAGGAACCAGGGGTGCTTGTCGGATGTGTGGCTGATAACGAGATCTAACATGACGTGAAGCTTCCTCTTGTGACACTCTTCAATGAGACAATCCATCTCTTTGAGGGAGCCGAACGGTGGGTAAACGTCCTTGTAGTTCGAGATGTCGTAGCCGGTGTCGATCTGAGGGCCGTCGTACATAGGGCTTAGCCAGACCATGTCTACTCCGAGTGATTGGATATAGTCCAACTTTTCCATGATGCCTCCGATGTCGCCGACCCCATCGCCGTTGGAATCCTTGAAGGACTGGGGGAAGATCTGGTACACCGTTGCTTCTTTCCACCACTTGGCACCTGGTATGGCTGGTGCCTTGGTCTCGTCGGCGTCGGCGGACATGATTCTGGATGGATGAGGTGTGAGTAGTGCAAGGATAAGATCAAGACTGCTTTGAACGGATAGGTAGTGTGTTCGACGGTGATAATGATGGTGATCTAGTTGGCTGCGGAGGGTTTAAGGTCAAGGTATTAGGTTGATAAGGCTTTACTTCATAGGGAATGATCAATGACGGACAACCAGACTTTATTTATTCTAGTGCTGGAGATGAAGAGAGAAATCCTGTTCGATCAGGCCATGACGCGCTTGTCAGATCCACCCGTGCCTTATCGGCAGGCAAGTACCTCTCACGGAACGTAAGTTTGCGCCTTCTCGGTGCTGCTCGACCGCACCGTATCCTACAGCACCTTCCCTTAAGCTTTTCACGGTGCTACTAACGAAAAAATGACGACACTTTCAATTGAGTATGAGGCGCGTCAGGGAAAGTGTTCTCATTACGACGTCATAAAGCGGTTTAGTCCTGGAACACAATTGGTTGGGCAGTCGCCACCCGAACATGCACAAGAGAGGACAATGATCACGCACATACGCACGCAAAGCATGGGAATGATCTCATGAGACGCCAGGGGATTTGGAGAAGAAAAGGGCATTAATCTAATAATCTAATTCCAGTAACACTACTACGGTAAATCGGCCACCTCCAGGTTTTTCAGGTCCAGCATATTTATGTCCGATGGAGGGGACGGGACTAAATCTATGAAATGATATACCAGTATCTGCCATCTGTTGCATGATTTCGCGTCCCTCTATCCCCAAGTTTTAGAAGGAAGTTTAGCTGGTCCCCTACCCTTAACAGAATTTCGTAAGACGTTTTAAATAGCCACGTCTCCGTCTCCATCACATGTCATAGTGAGATCTGGTGATGGCGTTTACCTTTGCGCATAGTGTCAAAAATATGCAGAGATCATGCCTTGGATTCTAGACCTCAGGTCGGCCATTTCCGTTTACTTTACTCCGCTTATTGTAATTCATGTCTGAAGTGACATATCACTTTTTGGCGTGGACGAAACGTGCTGAATTTCCCAGTCGGGTCTCAAAATGGTGTTCACCATCGTGTTTTCAATTTCCGGGGGGAAGTAAACCCAATCCAAAGATCTGAAAATAGTCCCTCTGAGTGGCCGGGTTTCGGTCATTATTTTAGTTTAATATCTTAGCGCAACTACGAGTTTTGTTCATTTGTTACTCGAGATCCGCTTCACCGGGTTGCACGCTGTGATTTCTGTGTCAGAAGTTGAGCATAGAACTTCTCATCCAAGTTGACAAGCACAATGTAATTAACATTTCGAGGTTGCTCATGAGTCATAATACATCGTGTATTTCTCTATCAGTTTCAGAGCCAACAGGATTCCAGGTCATTAAAATATTGCCCCTTTTCCTTTTAGAAGCCTACCCTGCATCACAGCCCCCAAACTAAGCAAAGATGTATATAGGATGTTGCGGAAGGTAAAAACCAGGATCATTGAAGCAGAGACCCCTGTCAAGATCGCTGATAGACTGGAGTTCTCCCAGAGTCATATCGAAGTCAAAGACTTCTAGGTTCTACTTAAGTCTTTCCTTATTTCTGCTCTTAGGGATAACAGCAACATTCCATTAGGTGGACCATCGAAGGAGCACCTGGGAAGGGGTGACCCTGTACTTGGCAGCTAGAGACTTGATAGTGTCATGCTCAAAAAGAATAGGAATGTTCTTCACCTTCTTAGAGAACAACTCAGGAAGCTCGAGGAAGGACTTTAGGCTGAAGGAGGAGTAGGCAGTGACTATGATGTTATGAAGCTAGGCTATCTTGATGAGATCTGGCTGGACGAGGTAAGGGTGATGCTTGATCTGCAGGGATGAGACAGGGTAGCAGGCATAGGTTATAATATCGTAGATAGACTAAGCCTGGAAGTTACTGACTCCAATACTCTTCGTAATGCCTTCATTGACAAGCTGCTCAAGGCACTCCCATGCCTCACGGAGAGGGGCCTTGTCTTCCTTAATAGTCCTATCTTCATCTATCTACTAAGTCTATTACTTCTTATGAGCGCTATGCTCTCTTTTGCAATGATTTCTAATTGTAGCCCTAGACTTAGATGCTATAAAACAAGGCCAGCAATAATGTCATCAGAGAGTGTAACTTATAGGGTACTTTCTAACTTTAGGGTCAATATACTTCAAGGTGCAAGGGAAGTGGATAAATAAAAGGTTGAAATATCTAAGACCCCAGGCCTTGTTCTGACTCTTCATTATGTCAATGGTATACTCTTTATAGTGGTAGTTATTCCAGAGCTTTGTGGTGATAAAGATATCCTCTTGATTGACTAGGCCCTTATTAATAGCTTGTTGGATACCCTCACCAGCCTCACCTTTGTTTTGGTAGTTGTAAGCTCTGTTAAAGAGCCTGTAGCTGATTTTGATCGCTTCGTAAACATTATCTGCAGTTGTCTCTTTAGGGATCTTCCAGAGGCTGAGACCAACAAGGGGCATTTCATAGCCAGAGGCAAGCTTGACGGTCCTGAAAGGAAGAGCCATTGTCATATCAAATGAAACTTCAAATCAGAAAGCTGAAGAAGCTCTGGAGGAGAGGCGCCTGGAAGCAATTGACGATGATGGGTAATTTGCTGAAAGTCCTTCAGACTGGTAGTTATTGCACGTAGAAAAGTACATGAACAAGAGACAGTCCATCTAGGTAATCATCCATTTCCACGTCCGAACTATCGCACAGCCCTGAAAAAGCGGGTAACTGGTAACCCATGGTTCTGCCAAGTTGAGCCTAGATTATATGAGTTTCTCCTGATGTTGAAAATAGAAGCCACACCAAAGTAGGTTCAGCCCACTCTATATTTCCAAAAGGCTAATGAGCAACAAAAAAGAAAAGTGCAAAATTCCCTGACCTGTTTCGAACCCGCAACCTCTCCAAGTTTCTCCCCTCCGCCTCAACTCCCCCAAACATCATCAGCCTCAAAATCCCACAAGCTCAACAGAGAGCCCAGACGAGGTATTCCCTCACGAAAAGGAAGAAGAAAAAATCTAGCAGAAAAAAAAAAGAGCTCCCACTTCTCCCTCTCCAATTCCGAACTTCCTCCACGTCTCATGGCTTGGCCAGACCGGGTTCCACACCGGCGCCTTGCTGAAGCAGTTTGTAAGCAGTGCATACCGTTGACCACTTGAGCTTCCATGAGTCGTTGAGAATCCAGAACAAAAGTTTGGTATATAACACATACCCACGTGGAACCTGCCACTATCAAAGTAGCGCAGGTGCGTCCCAAGCGAACCTCTGCTGGTAAAGGAGTGGTGTGTGGCGTGTGAACGAGAACTACACGAGGGACACGCACCGCTCTGATCATCTATTGGCCGAGGAATAACCTCGATTCTGCCTCTTTCCGCTACATGTCTCGATGTCGATGGCCCCAAACCCTTTTTGTGCCTAGAACACCGTCCCGAGAATCGGCCTTAAATACTTGTAGGGTATCGGAGCTGTAGTCAATGACCCGGCGAGACAGAATATATCCATTCAGCATCAGATGGGCAGCCAGTTCCTTCTGCATCTCTACTAAATGAAACATGCCGCTCCAGGTCACTTCATCCTCCGCTACAGTCACAACGACTTCGATGAGAATGCCATTTCTATTGAGGATAAGCTTGAGGAGTTAGTCTGCCCAGAAGGGAGGATTTTGCTGCCAGTGGCTTATCTGGCCTTCAATGTTTAAGCATAGATGTGGAGTCGTGATTAGTCGATAGGCGTGATAGTTCATAATTAGACCCCCGAACAAGCGGATATAATTTAGGCTACGCTCCAAAATACCTGCAGGAATCGTATCAGAACCTCGGCATGTTAAGAGTAAACTATGAGAAGAGCTTCCACTCGTTCGGACTCAGTCCATTATTTTATGTAATAGGCGGCGGCAATGCGCCGGCAATGCATCCAGGTTCTCGTCCCATAATTCCGATCTTGCGATCTTGGACCCCTAGTGAAATTGCCATCACCATCTCGCCTCTCGAAAGTCACGCCATGCTGGCGAGTTAGGTCCGTATCAGCCCGAAGGTCCAATGCCCACACACCAAGAGTTTCCTTTCGGCATCCATCGAACTTCCTTGTGTTCTATCGCGACGTTTTGCAAACATGGAGAGGCAATAACTATCTCCATGGATCTCATCAACAGCACTACAAAATCAAAGTCGAAACATTTGGATGCTAGGATTCACGACTTTGAGCATTTCCTCTCCAAAATTAAAGAGAGTGGATATCTCGGGCTAAATTTCATTTCTTTAAATTAGTTTTGCTCTTCGATCCCCGCACCGCTCCGCTCCCTGACACTAAATGCACCTGCAGGCTATCCACTATAAAATTAGACTAGCTGCGAATCCCGTTCTAGCGTCGACAGCTCCCTAGGTAAGCCAGGTCAGGTCCGTTACCTTGAGAGTGACTATATAGATCGACCCAAAAATGGCCGACCAGCGATTATGACGGGCCCGCCGCGTGCCCGCGTCCGCGACGCGTACGAGAAAAGGTCACTAGAGCCCAGATGTTGGGTATTTGGCTGATCCTCTTCCCTATCTCGTTCGATCTGTCTCGAGGACCTAGATATTGCTGAGTTACAAACTATTGTCCTTCGGGTTAACAACAGGTCACAGATCTGCTCGAACTATCGATCTATAATAGCTCGGTGGAACCGGACTGAGAACATCACATCCAGTACAGTCCTCGGTTGTGGGGCAGGGTGAAGGAGATATCGCGACAGACATCGATCATGGTGCATTGTCAGCCTCGTTGTTTTCGACTTTAGTTTTGCTCGCTTCATTGATGGATGGAGCGGTCACGTCCTCGTTCGGACCCGCCCTAGATTCCCCTGTGCTTGTCGGGGCTGTACAGAGGGGTGCCACTATGCTCGTCGACCCTATGTCTGTTTCTATCGTAGGTGTCGTCGTGTCGGAAGGGGCTATACCAGTGCTCATCGACGGCCTAGGATTGTCGGTTAAGGGCACGCTCGCAGGGGTCGTAGGAGCTGGAGCCGTTGGAATCGGAGTCGCTTCGTTCGCTGTGGTTATGTTTGTGTTCGTTGAGAATGCTGTTGGGGGTGGATTCGTGCTCGTTGGTACATTGGTGTCAGTTGGTGCCGTTGGGGGTGGTATTTCCCCACTCCCAGAAGGAGTAGATGCGTTGGTCTGGCGCGGGTGGCTCCGCACGAGCCTCGCGCCGGCATTAAAGGCGCCATTTCGCCGGTATCCGAGGCGGTGGAGTGTATTGCGAATGGCGGACTCGCTAACTTGGCCGTCGAAGAGCGTCTGGGAGATCTTCTGGTAGGTCATTCGGCTGTTCTCCACGGATTCGGACACGAAGGAGTCGAGCCGTTCTTGTTGTGCGGGCGTCAAGGAGGGCGGCCGGCCCGTTCGGGGTGCCACCGTTTCATGCCTGATGGCGTTGGTGATCTGTCGGGGGGTGTATCCGGTGATGGAGGCGATCTCGGCCCGAGTCTTGTGGCCATCGAAGAAAAGAACCCGGACACGGTATCTTTCCCTATCGGTAAGATGGCGGGTGCCCGTTCCCGGGCCCGTTGCTGGGGCCATAGCAGCCGGGTTTTAGCAGATAAGGCACGATTGAAGTTCGTTAGTATGAGGAAAAGTCGGTTCCGGGATGCACGTCTCTCAGCGCGACGCGTGCCCGATTCTGCCCCGGCCGGGGTACATTGGTGTTCAAGCATTTTACTATTACAAATCATGTACCTTTCATGATGTCTCAAATTGTCAATCGAGCCAATAAGAAAATGATAAGAAGTTGGTATTGCCGACAAATACCCGAGAATATTATCTTATGACGTGACCATTCTTTTCTCTCGAGGTGAGCAGGAGTCTAGGAGCAGATTATTATTGGCGAATGCGATTGAATCCAACGTCTTGGATGTGAAGGTCAAATCTAATCTCGGCCAGTTGACTCGGAACGTGAACCCCATGTTGCATATATCATATAGCATGACCTGGATATCACGCGCAAGCCCGAGCGTTCCCGACTGCTCCCAGACTCGAGAGCTCTGGAGTTGAACCAAGTCTTCCAGGTCCTCGAGAGAAAAGGCAATTGGAATGACGTCCTGTAAGTGGGCTGTCTTTCTCCACGTGTGGTCATCGCACCAGGGGAAGGGGAAATCTTTCCCAACCAAGACTGGCCCGCCATATAATGGTTCCGCCATATACCCTTGGCCGAGGCCGGCCGATAAGCTAGTGTACGGTCTGGGGAGAAGATATCCCGGTAGGGAAGACCTTGCACTTGGGCGAAAAGGAAAAAAAGAAAAACAAAAAAGAAAATCTGACCAGGAAAGGAAATCCATCTCTGCAACGGGAAACCTGAGTGACGATCATACCGCCTCGAAGGCAAAATGCGAGTCATTATAAAGAAGCTAGACCAGAAGATCAACATGTCTTAATAATAATTTTTTTTAAACATGAACGCCGAAAAGCCCCGGCTCACCCTACGGTTTTGTGTCTGAGCACTTTTGGGGTGATACGATTCTAGTTTGTGGAGATCAACAGCCGATTGTACGGAAAGCAGCTCATGTACCGGCGTGCATGGCGTGATACGATACGTCCATCCCCGCGCCAAGGTCTGCGAAAACGACACTACAACGGATGGAGTAATTCGAGTTTTTTGGCGCCCGGAAGATCCGGGACGGTGGCATTTGGTCAGTGCAGGGATGTTTTCGCATTTTTCTGTTCCAAGGTAGCGTGTTGAAATCGATGATATTTGTGGCAATAAGGGAAGAAAAAAGAAGAAGAAAAAAGAGGAAAAAGCGGGGTTGTCAGAAGGCAAAGAATAATTCTTTGATGACAGCTAACAGCCACAACGTGGAAGATCATGGATCAGTGAGGTTATACACTGGTCCAGACTCCAATGGCAGACACGGAAGGCCCCGACATACGGTCCTACCTCGACGGCATTTTGCTCTCCCAATCTCCGAAGAGCGGGCCCACGCCTAACGGCTGCTGTCGGGAAGCAACCGGCGCAGCTATCCCGCATATCCATCCATACACTCTTCACTTAGCGCAACATATGCTTGGGGTCGTTGGGTGGATTCGCGGTAGCCTTACTCGGCCGTGTGTGAAGGGCACCTTTCCTCTGAGGACGAGAATGTCGTCATCCGATGGATCCGTCAAGATCGTCAAGGTGCAGGTTTTTGCAGCTTTTACATCGTCCCATGATGGATCATGAGATTCTCACTGTTTTCGTGGAACCCGCTCTCCCACCATTTCAGGATGCAGAATTTGCAATGTGACGAATCGATCTGATTCGCTACCATACTGACCCATTTGGTGCTTTCAGGACAGTCTTGTTTGATTCTAGATCCGTGACATCTTCATGATACACCGGGGATCGCGTTCGACCACGGTCATATAAAGATGTTAGCTAGCCCCCCCTTCACTTCTGTCTTGAAATCCTCCCCTCCCAAACGTACTGGTTTCGTTCTCCCCCTCTTCATTACTACTAATCCAACCTTCCTTAGCTTATTAGCTAGGTTTACCTACAGCTTATACTGACCCACCCTTCGAATTGATATTCATTTAATACCACGACAATGAGTTACCTTGTTGCCCGTGCCAATAAGGTGTTCGACAGTCAGCCTCCTCCGGACGATGCTCAGGCCTTGTCGGTGAACGGCTCGAGCTGGCTGTGGGCTGTCACAGCCGTCTTCCTATTCTCCTTCGTATGTCAATGACCTTTTTTCAAATATCATTCTTGCTTTAGAGTTACCCTAACTCGCCTGTGCCTGTCCACAGCTCGTCATTCTTGCCCTCACCCTGCGCCCCCGATATGGCGAACGTGTCTTCCACTACATCTTCTCGACCACCATCCTCGTCGGTGCAATTGCTTACTACACGATGGCAGCGGACAAGGCCTGGCTCGTTATCCCTCAAGCGAATAACCTCGACAACGGAGCCGCCCGTCAAATGTTCTGGGCTAAATTCGTGTACTGGGTTGTCTCCTTCCCCGCCTGCGTCCTGTCTCTTGGTCTTGTTAGCGGAGTAACCTGGGCTTCCATCACTTATGGCGTCCTCTTCAGCTGGGTCTGGTAGGTGGCCAAACATGATGTGACCTATTGGTGTCAACGAATACTTGCTAACGACGGATTGTATCTAGGGTCATCGCCTACTTGGGTGCTGCTGCTACTACCACCAACTACAAGTGGGGTTACTATACGATTGGAACTGTGGCCTGGCTCATCCTCGTTCTTGGTAGCTTCACCATTGGCCGCACTAGCGCAGCTCGCCTTGGCGTTTCGGGCCACTACCTGCTTCTCGCTGGCTGGGTCAACCTCATCTGGCTCCTCTACCCCATCGCCTTCGGCATCAGCGACGGTGGCAACGTAATTGGCATCACCCAGTCCTTCATCTTCTACGGTATCCTTGATAGTAAGTCTTATCCTCTACACACTTTCTTCCGCACCATGTCACATTATTTCAGAGACTGACAGGGGATACTTACTAGTCCTTCTAATTCCTGTGTTGGCCTTTGCTACCATTGGTCTGTCGTACCAGTGGGACTACGCCAAGATGGGTCTCCACTTTACCCGAAGCGGCCGTGGCTATGAGGGCCCCTACGATGAGAAGGCCGCGGCTCCAGCTCCGACCAACGGCACCAACGGTGCGGAAGTCTAAAATAAACGCCGACTAGATTATCTCCGGAGGCCACATCTACTATATCCCGACAGGCTAGCGCCCGGGAAATCTCACGGAGATACAAAATAAATCTGGTGATCTTGGGGGTGAAGGGGAAGGAAGTAGGTGTTGTAATGAGGATGTCGATACACATACCTGTCGCTCGTTTGCATTTTCTAATACCCTATTCATTTGCAACCTGTAGATGGAGCTCAGCTCATGTTGGGTTTCGAAGTCGTTCTTATCTTACTAATATCCTATATGTTGAGTTGTGAGTTGTCGAGATACCTTAGGAAGATAATAATACATTTCATTGGTATTAGACAATCTGTTTTCGGGACTCTTGCGTGATTGAATGTCCTTCCGATGTCTATATGTACATGTATTGGTTTTCTGAAGCAGCATATTTGGATCTCCCTCCCACCCTATCATTTCACACAAATGTTCGTCATGACTTAGCCTCCCTCGAATTTTGAGAATTGTTCATTTTTTTCCATTGGAAGGAAGCATGTTGTATTCTTCCCGATGTATCGGTTTATTTTGAAACTGAAATTATAAATGACAGTCCGTTGCAAGTGACAGCACTGAAGGCCCATGAGATTGTGATGGGTGTATTTTATGGTCTCGATATATATGCGGACATTGATTCTCTGGACGGTTGTAGCAGCAAGTTCGTTTTATTTCCCAGGGTATATTTCGGTCGAGCTTTTTCTGCCTACAGTCTGACGGATGTTCGAAGGTAAGGTGGCTCCAGAAAATCCATTAAATCCAACGTCAGGCGCCCGCATTATGTGTTTACTTCTTTTGATTATAAAAACGCTCGAATAGTGCTTGCCGTCATCTCTGTCATTTAACAGAATATTTTGATATATATTAAGACCGAGGAGAGAGAGAAATTAAAAGCAGTAGAAAAAAATGAAAGAGATGAGTGACAACAAGTTGGATTACGCCCCACCTTTCTGCATGGATAAATAGCGTTGCAACGCCGGTAGGGCTGATGTGGTCGGAAGGATTCCGATCTTGCTGCTGGCGGCCGCCCCTTGGCGTGGCTGTGCAGTGAAGCGCTTGAAGATTGTAATATAAGGGTTCCCGCAAGTTTCATGTCGGCGAACGGCTGTTTATTTTCTCTTCGTGTTTTTCTCAACGCTCGACCTTCCCCGGTTTGCCATTATATCTGGTGTTAGTGGCATGTTTTAGTGTGCAATGTCGTACAGCTCTCTTCCCACGGCGCCCAGTGAAGGGACCGTGATTCCGCCCACTCCAGAACCCGAACCCGGACCGGAGTCGGAACACAAGCGCTCTCGCTCTACCTCTCGGGACAGGAGTGGCGACAATGCCTGGCAGGGGTCCGTTGCAGATTTAAAGGTGAATGCCTCGCAGGGCTCTACCGTTCTTAAGATATCTTTATGGATCTGGGACATTGTCCTGGCGCTCTTGCCCTTGTGCTTCATCGGTAAGTCATTTCGGCCATGAGGCCGATTCTATATTCCGGTGTACCGTGCAGGGATTGGAGGTTCTAATCGTGATAAACCCTTTCAGTTCTTGCTGTCCTAGCTCTGAAGCTGGATGGGAAAGAAATATCATCTTTTGGCCAGTCCGTTATCGAAGCCACACGCCTCGGCCCCTCTATATACCCCATCGTCTTCGCAGCCATTGCCGGCCGATTTTTCAAGAATATTGCACGGTGGAAAATCGAACGAAGTAATGGCATCAACTTAGCAGCGCTCGAGCAGTTCCTTGGAAGCCAAAGCTTTGCCGGTACCTTCGAGAGGGCCATAATTCTCCGCACTCACGTTCTCATCGCCGTCATTACGCTGGCAGCCTGGGCTTTGTCGCCCCTTGGAGGCCAAAGTTCCGTGCGGCTCCTCTCAACGGAAACCAAGACGAGTATGGACAATCAGTATGGTATTTTTTTTCTTAATACTATGCTGCTTAGCTCGTCCGCCGCTTCGGAGGAGTTCGTGGACCAGAAGAGGACAGTCATAAACAGCCTCTACTCGTCGAGTCTCATGTTGCCCCCTGCGCAAAGGCAGAGTTTAGTTGACATTTGGGGGAGACCGAGGATCCCGAGATGGGATCTCAGAAATGACACTGATGAGAAACGACTGGTCGACCAGGACGCGCTTTTGAGAGGAGATCTAGATTACGCATCCCTCCTAGGCGTTTCCGTCCAAGGACTCAGAACATTGGAGAGAGACGACTTGGTCTACGAGTTCTCCACAACTTCTGCTTACTTCGACCTCGATTGCAAGATGGTAACCCCTTCGGTCCATCTTGAGGACGTTAACAAGTATCTGCCCGCCGATAGATTTAATGCTTCGAGCCTCGAGGAAAAGTCTCCAACGTCGATCACAAGTCCATTCGATATCAAGAGCCCATACGATATAAAGAAGTTTATGGCCCAACTCGACATACCCGGCAACTTCAGCCAGAAGGACTTCATGGAGTGGAGGCAAAAGAAGGATCCCGAGCCTATGTTTCTTATTTACATCTCAAGGGCGAGATTCGAAAAGGGCACTACAGCTGAAAAATACAATTCCCACGTCGCCATATTTAATTGCTCGATGATACCCGTCCAGGTGGAAACCGATATGCACTGCGGAGGCCATCCGATCTCCTGCAACCCCTATCGCCAACGTCGGGCATATTCCCATCCCCCGTCGACCAGAGACTGGCCCCCGAACTGGAGCACAGATGATATAACCGACGCGTTGGGCATCTGGCCTTTGGCTACTGGACCCACCGATTTCGCTAGGGCATCGCCTACCGATAACTATGTGGCGGGTGACGATTTCCCCTACCTAGGGCAAGATATACGGGTTTGGGATGATACAGACATGGCCAAATTCTCATCGCGCTTGACAACTGCCTTCAACACGTTTTGGCAAGCGTCGTTCACGCCATTCAAAGCAACAAATGCGGGGCTTCTTGACACTGTTGAACGGAATTCTACGACCGGACTTTTGGATAACGGCGTTGTGGAGACCTCGGGCATGGAGCTCAGAACACGCACCGTTTACAGGGCGAATGTGGCGTGGGCTAGCATCCTGCTCCTGACCACGCTGGTTCTAGAAGGGCTCGCGATCGCAAGCATCATATTTGAGCAGGTGGTTATCGCACCAGATGTGTTAGGCTACGCCAGCACAATGACGAAAGACAACATCTATACACCGATGCCAGAGAGGGGATCCATGTTGAACGGGACGGAGAGGGCAAGGCTGTTGAAAGACATGAGGGTGCAGATCGCAGACGTTCGACCGGACGATGAGATCGGATATATCGCCTTCAAGACAGTAGGGGCTGGCGCTAACTGGTCACTGTTAAGTAAGAAGAGGCTGTACAGATAGATTCGCGATGGATATGTGGAGACTAGGTTCTGTCAAATACTAATAGTCATTGCCAATGCTTGAATTCTTCCTCAACAGGTTTACCAATTCAAGTGAACGTCCTTGGCCCATGCGCAATCATGAACATTTGATTGCCTTGTTTTAACATTCTCGAACCCAAACAGATCATATCGAAGACGGTGGACGGTGGATAAATACTAGCCACTGTTCGTCACTGAAAATGGCGACCAAGGACCACCGACATCCTGCCTCAGGAGCCATGCTCCCACAGCAAGGGCACCTGTGGCTTCCTTCGAGGTATCTTCTCCCATCTTGTCTTTCGATTGTTGGTGATGGTTCGCGAGACTTGAAGACCCTGCTTCGAATTCCATGTCGGTAGGAATCTACAGACAACCATATCAGTCAGTCTAAAAGTAGCACCTAGGAATAGACGGAAGGGCTTACTTGGTTCGAATTCGATGGCGGGCCACACCATGCGCCAAGGCAGGCAAGAGTTGTGTCTCTGTGAGTTGACATCTTATTGATAATGAAAAAAATAGTTGGAGAATCCGGGAGATATGGACGACACGAGGCAGAGGAAAGGACTAAGTGAGAACGGCTGGGTTGGAGGGAACAAAGCCTAATGCTGTCCGCTCCTACGTCTCGGATCGAGTTTAAATAATTCATAGAGGGGGGTTCTGATACTGAGGGCCATCGATAGCAGGCCCTCTCACTACGGTACTCTTGAAATTCAAATATCTCTTTTTGGAGTGAGTATCCGACACAATACTCCGGAATTATCTTCGGATTCCCTGCCCCATTACCGACTAAGCCAGCTTTTCTCCCCAGGCCTCCGGAGGCGGGTTTGGGCGGCTCCAACAATGGTATGATACAACTTCTGATTCCCAGAAGAGGAAATTTGAATTCACATTCGTAGTGAGGAAGTGGATCCTTCCCAGCCAACACACCACTGGATTAAGCCAAGCAAAGCCCTTGCGCCCTTGGCTATTGCCTGGTGGCTGCTTCATGAAACTGAGCTTCACCACTACATGGCAGGGCAGAGCGTGCAGGCGCTGCAGGGGGTAGACTCAGCTCCATCATGATTGGCTTGGGCAAAAAAAAAAATGCGAATTACCATTTAAAGTTTAGCGTGCAATTCAAAAGTACGCTAAGCGACTTACGGAAGTGAAGCATTTATTTGGTAAGTCTGAAGCCTGGCAGTCGTAAAACCCCGCTTCAATGAGAGGGTTTGATGCCCCCATGTGAATCAATGAATCAATCTTGCTTATGATTGATCTTCACCGCACAGGCGCCCAGGCTGTGAAATTCCACCTCCCACAGCGCTCGTACAAAGGTACTCTCCCAATTGATTTTGCGACGATGACTGTGACTCTGGGCGTTGTCTCGCCCGTCGGCTCTTCTCCGTCGATTGACTCCCGAGACAACATCCCAGACGACCACCTGGATATTGATCCAGTCGATGAGACGTTACGATCTAGCCAGCCAATCTGTCGACCGGAGGCTTCCGAAACGGCCAACAATAAAGACGCCGCCTCTTCTTCACAAGCCAATCTATCAGATAGGCAGCCATCACTTGCTGAACTACGAGAAGCCTACCGCAACCGACCGGTCGATAGTCTATCTGAGGCCGAAGTTGAGACATTGAAACGTGCGGCTGATTATCTCACGATCACACATGATTACACGGGGGCATTCGAGCTCTACGCAATGCTGTTGAAATGTCATCAGCCGGAGTCTGGCACCTCACGTCGTCACATCAGTTACATGCATCTCATAGCTCAATGTGCATATACCGCAAAGCAACCGCAACATGCCGAGATCGTTCGGCGTGTTCTTTTACATGAAAATTGGACGAACTGCTTTTGTTCCCTCCGTTTATGACCCACATGTTCCTTGAACTGGTGTCGGGAACAGACTCTCACGAAAAAGCGCAGATGCATCTCGAATATGCCTGCCACTATCTCCCAACGGTCTCCGGCGCGATGCTAGACGTTTTGCCAAATCATGATCGGTCTTTAGATCTTCCTTTCCTGCTTAATATCTTCCGAGTAGCCTCATCCCCTCCGTTGGCCTGGAAATGGTTTGCTCGCAGGTTGAGGGAATGGTCTAAGGACCTTGAACAGCTAATCCTCAGACGTGTGCCTGGTCCTTTTGAGGTCCAAGGCGAGGGATCCGATAGCAAGATGTTGAATCCTTGCATCCGTTCGTGTCTCGATTGGTGCGAGCGCCAGATCACCGACACCAAGCCAAAGGTGGTCATCAAGATTGTTTCCGAGGGCTTCGATTCCGCCGTTTATGGACTCTTTACGGGGCTGTGGAAATTTTGGAATGCATCTCCTTTGCAGGGGGAGGTTTGGATGACACAGACTGAAGACAGGATGGGTATCTCATCGAGCGAGCTTCTCTTCGTCCTCTGCAAGTGCATCCGCTGGGCTTGGATTGATCAACGATAAACGCGCCTGGAAGCAATGAGAATGCTACAAGGCACGCCGGATGATTTTCTGGCGGCATGTGTTTACAAGCTCTATTTGGCGAGGACTTCAGTAGACACGTGGCTACTACAAGAGTTTGAGATGCCTGGTGGACTGGACACAATCCCGGAGAGTTTGACCCGGTTCCTCAGAGACGCAGAGCCTACAGTTTATGTTAATACCGTAGTCCGCAAACGAGTTTCTCTGATGCAGCCGACCGATACGTTTGGATGGGGTTCTTCGGGCACGACTCTACCTTCTCCTAGGGAAGCTGTTCCCGGCCCCATTGTACCCCGACATTTTGACTCTATTATCCTGGTGAGCTCTCTGGAAACCACCCCTTCTCTGGGAAGCTTCAAGAAAGCAGGGAAGGCGATCATGCGACGCCTTAACCACCCCGAACAGGATTCAGCATCGTTGTTGAACAAAACTGTTGGCTCCCTGGGTGCCGCTTCGATTTCAGACATTAGCGAACTCAGTTTTCGATTTGGAGAAACTATGAGTTTGTCTAATAACTGATCGACTTCTGGAAATGACTTATATTTTGCATAGTCGGTTTTTTTTTTTTTTTTTTTTGTTTCTTTTTCTCTTCGTTGTTATTCTCCCCTTCTCCTTCTCTTCCCTCCCAGATTAGCCATGAATAATAGCAGAATGAAAGTACATATGGCAAAGAAGAGGCAAAAAGAAAACTACACAAAGCATTGAACCTACCTTCGACTGGCAAATCCAGACGAAGGTTTGTGAAAGGCAGCAATGTTACACAACAACCAATCTCTTCCTCGCTATGAGACACAAATGTCCCATTATGGTAATATCAGATAGCAATTAATTCAGGAGCAAATTCGCCTCTAGAAAGAAGATCATGTAACCAGCGCAGAACCTCCCAGCCTGTTTCGTCTAAAATTAAGTCGAATAACAAATCCGTCTTGCAGCCCTTCGCTTCGCTTGACGAACAAGAGCCAAAGTACCATATTTTACACAAAAGGAGAGATGGACGGATAAAAAGCATCCCCGTGCTTACATCGATAGATTGAGCAGCTTCAGAACCCTCGGATCCTGACTCGGAGGCCCCTTCGTCGCGTCTCGTGCTCCCTCGGCAAATAGCTGCACCTCTTCCATCTTCGTATCCGGATGCTCCTCCAATCCCGCCTCAACCGGACCCTTGCTGGCTCTAGAGGCCATGACCGATGCTCGCAAATCAACTGGGGCCTTCTTGGCACCTCCGGAGGTTAATTCTGGACCGCCGGTTCTGGTCTTCCGCGCCACGGAGGGGATAGTGACAGCAGTTCCACCAAGAATGCGAGGATGTTGGAAGTCATCTTCGTCCGCGCCACCCCAGCGGTAGTTAACCGGCCGGAGAAGTGCCGAACCCGTTCGGAGAACCCACGATTCGATGCCAAGTTCTTCGTCTTCCTTCTTCTTTCGCCAGCGGGCTGGCACGAGCTTTGAGAATGGACTGAAGAGAGTGGCCACGATCCGTTTCAGCACCTGGGAAATTGCATATACCCATTCGTCCGGCACCTGTCGCACCAGCATACCCAGGGGAATCGTGAGGATGCCGAACAGGATTGTCCATCCCCACTGAGCCCCCGAAAGCGGCTTAGTGTCAAACGCCTCTCCTCCCTTGAACACGATGATCATCTGCCCAGCGATAGTGAGGCATTGCACACCGAGGAACCAGGGATTGCGGAGAACTCCCTGGTAGTAGATGTTGATCCGATTGTCTACGCGGCGGCAGTTATGCTGGTTAAATAACTGCATGAAAACGTAAACATTGAAGACGAGGGTTTGCAGCGATTCTACTTCTTCAGGTGTGCTGGGATTGAAAAGAGAGGGCCCGGCGTAGTGTAATGTGAAGATAACCGCCAGTTGGTAGATGGCTTGGGCGATCACCATCTTCCACATTGTGATGGTGACTATTGGTGCTTTCCTTGGCTCGGGCTTGAGCTTGAAGAAGTCATAAGAGGGATAGTCAGTCGCGAGGCCGAGTGAGGCGAAGATGTCCATAATAAGGTTGATCCACAGAAGCTGAACGATGGTGAAAACGGTGTCGCCCACGAGGGTAGATAGCACAGTTAGTGTTCCGGCCGTGATATTGATGGTAAATTGGAACTGAGAAGCACTGTTAGAACCGGTTTTGCTCTTAAAACACAAACTGGTGGATCGTACCTGGAGAAACTTCTTAACAGCCGCATTGACTGTCCTCCCCCAGCTCAAAGCCTTTACAATGGACGCAAAGTTGTCATCGAGAAGAATAATTGATGCTGCTTCCTTTGCCGTTTCAGTACCTTGGATTCCCATAGCAAATCCGACGTCCGCAGCCTTCAGCGCAAGTGCATCATTGGTGCCGTCACCGGTCACCGCGACAGTCTCGCCCATACCCTTCAGATGCGACACGAGAGTAAGTTTATCCTCGGGACTAGCGCGAGCGAGAACCTGGAGACGAGGGATGATGGCGTCGAGTTGAGAAGGTGATAGTCTTCGGAAAGTAGGGCCATCCATAGCGATACCGCCGGCAGTGTAAATTCCACACTTCGAGGCAATGGACTTGGCGGTGAGAAAACTGTCTCCTGTGACCATTCGAACGAAAACACCAGCTTCTTGGCATTGGCGGACGGATTTGACTACTTCAGGCCGTAAGGGGTCCTGGATTCCAAAGATGCCAATAAAAGTGAGGTCTTGGACGAATTTGTCTAACTCATCAGAGTCGAGGTTATCGAGGGTCTTGTCATTGGCATCGAGATCTTTGTAGGCAATCGTAATAGGTCGTAGCATATCCATTGCATAGCCATGAACAGTCTCCAAGACCCGGCTCTCGAGGTCCTGTGTCAGCTCCTGGGCCTGTAGCCCCTCCTTGGGGCTCGAAATGATGGTTGTAGCCATTCGAAGGACCATCTCGGCCGCACCCTTGACAAAGAGTCGGTGTCTTCCATCCGCCAACTTTACCACAGCGGCCATCCATTTTCGGGAAGAGTCGAACGGTACCATCTCTACTACCACGCTACTCGTTCGCTCTTCGTTAAGTGGACCCATTCCTAAGTGGTTACGAGCAAATTTGAGGAGAGCAGTCTCGGTGCTCGAGCCGATAAAGACCTCCGAAGCCGCAACCCCGTCACTCTCAAATGCCGTTGAATTTAAGGCAACACTATCTTTGACAAGCTCCTTAACGGCAGGAGAAAGTGAGTTTGTCAACGCCTTGGAACCTGGAAGCGACGCTTGTGCCATGGTAATACCTGACACTGAGGCAGCTGAACCTGGAGCCTTTGGCGGGGAGAGGTCTTTCTCCGTGTTCGGTAGCTCACTAAACTTGCCATCTGGTCCTATCATGCCCACGACCACACTCATGTCATTTTGAGTGAGTGTACCCGTCTTGTCGGAGCAAATGCAAGTGGCGTTCCCCATAATCTCGCAAGACCGGATCAGACGCACAAGGTTATTGTCCCTCAACATGCGAGAGGTCGCAAACGCAAGAGCAATGGTGACAGCGAGAGCGAGACCTTCGGGCACAGTGATGACGACCACAGTGACAGCCAGGATCACCAGTTCCAGGAACTCCATTCCCCTTTCAGCTGACTTCTTGGTTGAGTGTCGTAGATTGACCAGGAATCGGATGAAAATAATCAAGAAGAATATTGCGCCGGCAATCGCACCCAATGTGATGAGCTGCTTAGCCAATCTTCCCAGCCTTTGCTGGAGGGGAGTCTCTTCGACGTCGTCGCGAAGGGACATAAGAATCCTTCCATAGGTGGAGCTGGTCCCAACCGAAGTGACGAGGTAGGTGCCATAACCACCGGACACGGTAGTACCGCTGAGGATGAAGGGGTCGGCGGAAGGGTTGTCCTCGGATACGGCGTGCTTGTGAACAAGCTCGGATTCGCCCGATATCGAAGACTCGTTGATTTGTATCCCCGCAGCATGAACGAGAACACCATCAACGGCGACAATATCTCCCGCTTCCAAGCGCATGAGATCGCCAACTAGAACATCGTGGATCGATATCCTCTGAGGCTTCCCCGACCGAACCACGGTGACATCACGCTGCTCTTTGCGCTCGTTCAGTTTCTCGAATTTATGGTTCTTCTGCCAGTCGGTAGCAGCGCTCGCGAAGACGATAACCAAGATGGCCACGACCACAGTCGCGCCGTCGACCCACTCAATGTTAGAGCCCGCTTCGTCGCTGCTGACGGACTCGTAAATGCCGAGGGCCAACGAGATGATGGCTGATACTGACAGCAGCATGATCAGCTTGTCGTTGAAGGCGATCCAGGCCAGCCTCAGGAACGACTTTTGTTTTCTCCGTGGGAGAATGTTTCTCCCGAAGATACGGATGCGGTCGGCGAATCCTGACGGGTGGGAGCTGCTGAGGTTGAAAAGATTGGTATGCGGATGGGAGGACTCTCTCGATAGAGGCTCCGTCTTCGGGGGCCGGCCTTCCTTCGACGCGGCGATCGCCTCGTCTATCGTTACCCTACCATCGAGAACGTCCTCATCTGCGCTGAGACCTGCCTCGAGGTCCGTCCGGAGCCCAGCTGCTAGGCCAGGTAGGCCGCCAAGAGCATTTAGACTATCAATGCTCCTCGCTAGGGAAAGTTTGTGTAGCTTGACTGGGGTGAAGGCGAAGGGGTTGCAGGGGATGTTGCGGCTGCCGTTTTCTTCATCGTCGCTAATATCGAGTCGGGGTTCTTCTTTTGCCTTTTCGTTTTCTTTCGCAGTCGAGGGAGCTTCAGAGAATGGGATTTTCTCAATCGAAGAAGTGTCTGCTCGGGTCTGATCAAGAGGCTTGCGCGAAGGATCAGCGGAAGGCGATGTCATTTCCACCATGCAGGCAGGGGATACGGGAAGAAGAGACGGGGTGTAGGACGACAGAAAGGAAAGCAGACCTCTACCAAGACCGAGAGAGTTCGAGATCAGGGGAGATAGAAGAGTCGGGGCAATAGAGGCGAAGAAATGGGAGAAGGAAATCAATGGATTCGAACTCTTTTCTTTTTTTCTTTAGTCGAAGAAGAAATTGCACCTTTGATAACAGGGTTCGTAATACTTCATAGCGCAAATCAAAGGCCAAGATTAGGAGTTGCCAAGAAATCCAGGTGAATGCCAGTAAGAAATCTTGGCATCTCCCATCCCGCATCTCATTGATCCGGCGTCAGATATTGTACCGAATTGGGGGACGAGGAACCGGGCTAGAAACGCCGACATCTTGGCAGACCAACAAGATCGACTCTTCCTGGACCTTGTGGGGAAAACAAGGAACCGTACGCGCGTACAGTTGGTGCTTGGCTGGACAAGGATGCTCTCAACGAACGAAGAGATCCCATGGTCCCGACAGTCGACGATCGCCGACTTGGGTTAACTACCAGTGACTCTTGATCGCGTAATATTTTGGGCCATTTTCTCTGCATTACAATTGGTCTAGAGTATGCGTAACGCTCCAAGATGCACTATAGGGGCCTCAATACCACCGCGGGAGAGCGTTATCTAGTACGGACCAATGACGACTCCATCCGCATCCTTACAGGGCGTGAGGTACATAAGCAGTAAGTCCTGACTCATTAAGCATCACTTCCGATACGTTTCCTTCGAGTTGACGATCATTTGCCACACGTAAATGAGACAAGGGCCTCGCAATGCCAGCTACTGCCAGGTAGTTGTAGTTGCTCTAGTAATGTTGAGGTGCGATATAGCGCGCTGGATGATCGTAGTGTGTTCCGTTTCCCCATAAATGGTTATGCTGCTAGAGGATTTTGATATCTGTCTGTACTTGTACTGTATGGTAAGTAGGCAATTATGAGTCGAACGATAATATACACTACAGTTGCGCTTAGGTGCCGTATATATATGAGCCCAAATTGGGCCCAGAAAGATACTATGGAGGGTGAGTTCACTTTTTTATCGAGGGCAACTTTAGCCAAGGCACCAAAACCGGGCCTCTGTGGCCGTGCGATAGACGTAGGCTAGGCTCACCCATGGATTCACCCCGACTCAGCTGCAGCTTAGGAAAGTGAACAGCAATGGAAATTGCTGAGGGTAACTTTCAGGTGTTACATATTGCTGTTCACACTGGTGGTTGTATCTATTAAGCCGTTTCACGCATTGCAGATGCCAGCAACTATAGACAGATCACACAAGGGAGATCACCTGGACTCGAATCGCTCACCATTGCACCCCTGAGGAGAAGACCAAACACTCCATAGGTCCTACCATCTCAGGATTTTCAAGTTCATACTACCTGGCCGAGGCTACTTATGCGTTGTTGACATCACCGCAGCATCTAGAAGCCAGTTAATCCCGTGATCGACGGCATACCGCTCGCCGTATGCGATCTGCGATCCGTACAGTAGTCAGACCTAATTCCTGCTGACCAGATCAGCCCCAGTTTCATCGCCGAGGTTTACTACCTACACCAGAAGCCTAACTGTTGATGGTACTAGATGAAAGATTCGCATCCACCTGCTGGCCAACTAAACTGTGTGTGCTCGGCGCTTTGGCGATTCCCCCTTTGCGGCCTAAGCAAAGACTAATCGTGTCTACAGTCTATCCCTATGCCGTGTTTCGCGATCCTGATACCTCGCCTACGGCTCCTCCCGGGGAAAGCGTTGAGACTCAGCCAATTCCATTTTCAAGACTTCGATGTGTCCTGCCTTTGGGGGGACGTTCACTCAACATGCACTACTTTTGTTATTAGTTTTTACACAATTTACACAATCGACATGCTGCACTGACTTATTGAGTATGCAAAATTCAACTACATCGCAATATCCCTCATAATAGAAGTATTAATTCTATCCGAAACCTACCAGAAGGTCGCAGTAAAGTGTTCAGAGGACAACATCATCCACAATTACCGAGCAGGCAGGAGAACGCAGCTAGATACAGATCTGGCGAAGGTGTTCGGTCGCATGTATGACATGCAGGAGGAGACGAGGAGGTTTTATGATGTGGAGGTTGCCAGGTTGTTTAAGGTGTGCGAGGGGTTGGAAGGAAGTATTCAGGGGTGAAACTGGAATTGCGTCCAGTGCACATTGTGGGCATTGTCGGCCTTCTTCATGGCCATTGCATGCTGCAACATTTTACTATAAACTAGATAATCTTCGATGGCAGTTTTCTAGACTCGAGGCTGTACTTTGCTCTAACTGGGCCAACTATCTGGTGTCATTTCACACAGTGAATCGAGTCTCACACCATGGTCTTAACTCGGGATTGTCGGGACCGGATATTATAGAAACTAATTCCTTCAGTCTGTTATCCTCCTCACTACAGGCCGAGTGGAAAAAAAAACACTCGCCACGGTTAATATCCTGACTTAAGTAGTATAGAAGAACTTCTTCTGCTCAAAATCAGTCTGGTCCAGGAAAGCCTCCGTTACGTCCTCCTCCTGATCGCTTCCGGACTCCATACCAGCGGTCCGCTTCCTATTCTGCCATGCTGCTAAAGCCCAGTACACGCTGATGAGACCAATGGCCACGCAGTAGCAAACAATCATCGAAATCGTTCCGCCCACATACTCAGGCGCTTGGTTCGCCCGGAAGGTCTGAGGTCCGATTAGGTTGCCGACGGCATACCCAACGTACAAGATGGCGAACACGACGGTCTTCTTCGTGTGGCCGGCCGTATTGGCTTGCGCGAGACTGATGCCGACGACATACGGGCCGAAGTAAGTATACAGGAGATAAAGACCCACCATCTGACCGGCGAGGTTGCTGCGCGGGAGGGCAAAGACGACGGCGGTACCGACAATAGGAACGAGACAGGCCAAGATGACGACCAGACAGCGTCGGTTTTTCCACTTGGCGGACAGGAGAGAGAACACGAACGATGAGAGGGTAGACATGACTCCTGTGGGCATGGTGAGGAGGGATGCTTCAACACCGGAGTAGCCCAGGCCCTGGATAATCAAACCGCCGAAGGTGATGAGGCCGCCGTTCGGGATGTTGAGCGCGATGTTGAAGAAGAAAAGTAGCCACGTCTTTGGGTCCATCACAGCTTCCCACACCTGCGCCCATTTCCAAACGTTGTTGACAATTCCCGTCTTGTTGGCCGCCAAGCGGTTGACCATGTGGTGCTTTTCTCGTTCGGTAAGGAAGAAGGCGTCCATGGGAGTACTAGGAAGCCAGATCAACGCGATTATGGACCATAACATGGAGATGGAACCTTGTTAAAAAAATTTTCAAATTAACATTACGAGACGGTCAAAGTGAAGCTTCAGTTATTCGATCTACTTACCGACGAGGAGAAAGAGGTATTGCCAAATGGCGAGCGGGGCGTCATCCGAAATGTGGCCAACAGCCCAAGACAGAAGACCGTTGAAAACCGAACTGGCAGCCGCAAAGACCAGAGCATTGCGCGGGGGCTGTTCCTCTTTCAAGTAGAAACCAGCGAGCATCAAGGAAATACCTGGCACGATGATGGCCTCGAGTGCGCCTGACAAAATTCCCATTATGATCAGCCGGGAAACTCTGAAATTGTAGTGGCTTAGAATTCGCGTTTATTAAGCCTTACCCATAAGAAATCGAAGGGCTGCTAGTCCAGCAAAGTTCTTGCAGGCAACCATAAGCAGGGCACATGCGGACCAGCCCAGAGAGCAACTGCAGAGATACTTGGCACTAGGAAAGCGATGGATAAGCCAGGAAGATGGGAACATGCCAACAAGTGCCTATATCGATCATGGTCAGCCCACTGGCCATTTTCAGCAGGAAACGGTGATGGCGCTGAGAGGAAAGGGGGAATAACAGACACCTAGGGAGAGGATAGAACCCAGCCAGCTGTACTGTTGGCCCACGAGGTCGTTATCCTCCCGCAGTCCATAGAGAGCTGCCGTGCCAAGCGCTACTTTATCGATGCTGTGAATAAAGGTGTGTTAATGGGTCTGCCGCCCCGCCTGGATAGAGACGTAGAAATAACGGGCAGGCCTGCTTACGCTCCAAGGGTAGCCACAAGGAAGAGCTAATAAATCAACGAAAGATGTCAGCATCATTTCCAGATGTGGCTTGACACACCAGCTTCCCCCAGTTTATAGAGGAACAGGATTCTATATTACGTACCATTGGCAGGAGGATCCAGTCAGTCTTCCTCATTACCCTCTTGTGTTCAGCATCAGTGAGAGGCCCATAGTGCTCAGTGCTGTTGAGATAGAGAGCAGCCTGGTCTGCTTGGCGGTTGTCAAACTTCTGAGCCTCGACTGATGGTGCTGATGGGACCTTGGAGACAGCCTCCTTCTTCTCGTCTGTGTTTATGGCAGCCATGCTCATGGATGGAAGACGAGCTAAATGAAAGAACGAGTAACTTCGGTGGCGAGCGACGGTCGACTGGGAATATTCATTCGTGCAAACAGACTGCGTGGCAGAGACGATCGTCGAGGATCGAGCGATGGCTTTTATAAGCTGGAACCGAGATAATGGGCTCTAACTATCAAGGCAAACCTCCTATCGCCGTACAAAAGCCGGGGCATGTCGTACCAAACTCGACCAGGGTCGTTGACAAAAACCTAGAGCGTTGGGTGGCATGGCATGAGTTGGCGTGGATCTAGCTTGCATGAAAGAGTATTGTAGACCTGGGGTAGCCCCACAGGCTCCCATTATTGGATCAATGATGTATACTACACTAACATATCGGGGTAGGCGGAGCTGCGGAGATTGACTTTGTTGGCTTCTACTTGGAGTTAGCCTTCACTCGTAATCGGGATGAGAGGGTTCGTTTCGACCTTCCCAGTGAACAGTGGATGCCAAGGCCACTAAGGCCAAATTAGGAAAAAGGGAGACTATCGGTTTGATCCTGTCCACTATGATAATAGTGATAATAGGACGAGACACAACTGTGCCCTTTTCCGAGGTGTAGTATTCTTGTATCGGCCGGTGAGATAAGGAAACAATGCATGCCATCGCTAAACAGTCGACCCACCACCAGTACTCCGTAGTAATAAGTGAAGAAATTTTCTTACCCTAGCTTTATCATTAATTCATTATCACCCTGTCTCCATCAGCAAATCCCATACCGCCCACTCAATCGCCTCAGCCTTTTTTTTTTTTTTTCTGCCAGATTAAAAAAAGTTGCATATTTTGCTGTAAGTTCATATATTTTCTCCAACTATCCTCTCGAAACGATACATTCTGGTATCAATTGCTTTGTCCAAGTCACTTGTCCGGAGGCAGATACCAGGATTCCCATCGTGATGGAGCTTAAAGGTGAGTCAATGCGGATTGTCTGGGCTGGCGCATCGTTTTTCTCTCCACGGTCTAGATGTATTTCAAAATGCGTATCGAAACGCCACAGTCCTCGATGTGGTCAAAGGGTTGAGAATATCCTCTCCACACTTGGGCGGGCTGTGGCCTAAAGGCTACAATCTGTGCTGAGTGTAAAAGCCCATTCTACACAAACATAAGTTGCAATTCGGGAACCCGCAAGATACTGAAGATGTGCCGATCTGGGTACCCGATGCCGCAACTTGTTTAAACGAAACCAAGAAACATTCACCCAAAGCCATCCCTGATTCGACTCCTACATGATATCTTGTAATGAAACACAGTAGGCGATTTCACTGTACGTATTATAGTCAGTATTTACGCTAGACTCAACAGCTTGCTTCTTGTCTCTACCATGTCCTCCCACTTTCTGCACCTACCCAAGTCCCTATCAAGCCATACATTCATGACTATATCCTGTGCTTTTACTGCCGTTGCTATCCACCTCGTCCTGATCAGGGTGTCAAATTTATCCAGGACTAGCCGTCTATCGTCTTCATTACATACCCCCATAGTACCCACAACGAAAAGAGGAAAGATAACCGACGGCTTAGGAGTAAGATTGCCCATAATGCCTATGACCCGACGCGTCAGGCCCTGAATTACGGGTGATGCGGGCGTGGCGCCGTCAGCACAAGCGTAGAGGTAGATGAGAGCGCACAGTCTCTTGCTTTCAGCTACTTGAAGCAGTTCCCCCGTAGACTCGCTGCCGTCGCTATCCGTAGAGCTTCGTTGATGTAGGGCCTGCAGCGCTTCTTCGATGGCGTCGCGACGTCTCCTAAAACTCGCCGCTTCCTCCTCTTCTTCAATTTCAGACAAGGTCACCCTCCTCGCCCGCAGGTTTAGGATCAAAGTGCCAATCGCCGAAACTTGTTGTAGAAGTCCACGCGAACACGCAATCATGGGGTCAATCTCGGTGTCTTCGTCGCCGGCGAACCACTCGCTAGGTTCGAAAATGTTTTCCCTGATCCAGGCTGTGCGGCTCATGATGTCGTGCGACACGAACCACATCACGCAGAATTTGCGAAACTTGTCGGGCAGGCCGGGGCGTCTAGGCCAGGCCAAGTTGCAGAGGACACGGGCGGCACGCAGGTGGTCCATCCACTCTGGGGAGCACATCTCGGCGATGTCTGTGCATGACAGGATAATTATCGTTGCCAGGATCGAGGCCCAGTTGTCCGGTGGAGAATTGCCCTGTCTATCGAGCCACTCTCCCTGCATAGCCGTGATCTCATTCCTCAATCCCCGTAAAGCCCGAAGCTTGTACTTGACTGAGGCGACATTGTACCGATACTTCTCAGCCTGGTTCGCGAAGGAGGCTTCATGGCCGGCCCAGGCAAGGAGCGCATGGAATAGAGGGACAGATGAGAATGATAACGGCACGACGAACTCCCAGTATGGGTTTTCTGTCGTCGAGTTGCTGAGGTTGGGACACAAACAGCTCACGAAGAAGTCGAAAAGGTGAAAGTCTGTGGAGTTCTGTGCAGATGGAATCATGGACAGTCCTTGGGAGGGGTATGGGGAATGGAACACGGGGTCGCCGTTCGTAGTGGTATCGAATGGCGGGTCCTCCTCCACTGCACCTATTTCCTCGTCCCGGTCTTCACTATCGCTTGTAGGCTCTCCCAGACCTTCGCCGGTGCACTTTGCTTGCTCATTTTGGCCAAGCTCAGCTGGCCCCGTACCACAGCCCGGTTCGATATAGTCATCCAAAGTAATGTTCAGAAAGTAGACTTTCCCTTGAAACGCCCTTGCGCTCATGTGGTGAACAATAATCGGGACCTCAGGAGTTCGGCCGGAGATACCTGCGGGTCCATCTGAGTACTAGGTTATAGATACACCCAGAAGAAGGGAAGAAGGGAAAATCGGGCTAGTACAAGTAGAAAGAAAATAAGACTGGGGGTGGACGCACCTTGTCGTCCAAAGCAGATGCCCCTGGCGAGGGCCTCCTCTCTCCACAAGAGCTTCCGACCATACTTGCACACGTGTTTGCCTCGGGCGCAGTTGCTGCAGATGGGCCTCTCTAGCGTGCATCTAATCCGACGCTCTGGATATGCCAACGTCAGCGGATTATTTTTGGTTCTGTTCCTCATGCTCGGCGTTTCTTGGGGACAAACAGCTGGTTTCATACCTTTGCACTTCCAGCACGCGTTCCGCCCGCGCTTCTCCACAGTCTCGGGATGTGATCGGCGGGGCATATTAGAGACAGTCAATGTCTAGCACGAGGGAAATGAACCGGCTTGGATGCGAGGCATGCGGGGGTCTCTAGAGTGAAGAGGTGAAAGGGCTGGGGATTAAGGCGTAGGTGATTGTAACAGACTGATGTATTTGCTGATGGGACAACACGATAAGCCTGGGTGGGGGAAATAACCGGGTCTAAATATGGGCACTTGATGAGGCAGGTCGAAACGACCGCCCCTTTACCAACACAAACCCTTGATTCGGCATTGAACCTGATGAAGCTTGGCTCTTGTGTGGACACTAGTGTAGTAAGTTCCATCGTTCAGGGATAATTAGAGACTATACCGTAAAGGGGTAGGACCGCTTGCATCCTTCCAGGTCTTCTCCGCATCCCCCGCTTCGGCTCCTCCGTTATCTGCATTGCCATATCACCACCACTTGGCTGCTTTGTGTAAAGTAGGATAGGCCCTCACCCTAACACCTAATCCTTCTTCGACGAGTGGCGAGCACCCCCAAAGTGGAGCAGCTTGGGCATGCTGCGACGGGTCCTGTGAGGGGTCTTGTGATATCCGAACTCGCCGGCGGGAGGGCCAAAGAAAACTGCCCCTCACCGGGAACCCCAAAGAGAAGGTCGTTTCGAGCTGAAAAGATATAAGAGCAGACGAGTTAAGGATACAGAAAACTAGATATAAATATGACGTTTGATTGTATTCACAACGTCAAGCCTCAGGGTCAAAAACCACGGTCAATCAATTTAGAAACTGCATACTATATTCAACACTTCCTCTCGTTTTGACTCCGCGAATTTTCAAATCCTGCCCGGATTCCACTTGAGTCCACGCCCCTGTTAGCGGAACGGGGAAGAAGCGCCTGGCATGACACAAGTCTCAAACTTAGAAATAATGGAGGACTCTATCCTCATTGCGATTGATCGTGGCGGCACCTTCACCGATGTGTGGGCGTCGGTGGAGGGCAAGCCGGATCTCGTTTTCAAGCTGCTTTCCGTGGATCCCGATCACTATAAAGATGCTCCCACTGAAGGTCAGTGCTCCAAGTCGCAGCTGCAACTTGCCGGTTATAATTCGTTTCTGACGGCAGACTGCAGGCGTCCGAAGAGTTCTTGAGCATTATCTTGGACAAGAAATTCCCAAGTCAGAGCCGTTGCCGAAGAAGCCCATCCGTGCGATCCGCATGGGAACCACGGTCGCAACGAACGCGCTTCTCGAGCGAAAGGGTAGCCGCCACGCCTTCTTGGTAACTAAGGGCCACAGAGACGTCCTGGAGATCGGCTCACAACAGCGTCCGGATATCTTTGCCCTTGACATCCGGAAAGCCGCCGTCTTGTATGATGCCGTGGTTGAAATTGACGAGCGAGTTACCATCGAGCACTACGACGAGGAGCCAGATCGAATCAATGGCGCCCGAAAAGTCCTACAGGGCGAGGTTGTAAAGGGTGTCGGTGGCGAGCTCATTCGCGTCCTGGAGAGACTCAACGAGGAAACGACCAGAGCGTCGCTTCAACGTCTAAAAGATCAAGGGTATACCACTGTTGCTGTGTGCCTGGCGCATTCATTCCTCTTTCCCGACCACGAGTGGCGAGTTGAAGCTATAGCCAAGGAACTTGGGTTTGAGCATGTCTCTCTGTCATCCGCCGTAGGTGCGAATATGGTCAAGATGGTCTCCCGAGGCGGGACAGCTTCTGCAGATGCCTATCTTACGCCGCAGACGAACAAGTATATTGCGGGCTTCGCGGCTGGTTTTGAAGGTGGCAATCTTGACGGTCTCCGGTGTGAGTTTATGCAAAGCGACGGCGGTCTGGTTAACTACAAGTCCTTTAGCGGCATGAAGGGAATTCTCAGCGGACCCGCGGGCGGCCTCGTTGGTTTCGCCAGAACGTCTTATGACGGCCAGACCCCCATCGTCGGGTTCGATATGGGAGGGACCTCCACGGACGTGAGTCGCTTTGGCGGAACATTCGACCATGTCTTTGAGACTACTACCGCCGGTGTCACGATTCAAAGTCCCCAGCTAGATATCAACACGGTCGCGGCAGGCGGTGGCAGTATTCTCTTCTGGGAGAACGGACTTTTCAGAGTCGGCCCGGAGAGTGCAGGCGCCCATCCTGGGCCGGCAGCCTACCGAAAAGGGGGCCCTCTTACGATCACCGATGCCAATTTGCTGTTAGGTCGCCTGTTGCCGGAATATTTCCCAAAAATATTCGGCCCCAGTGAGGACCAGCCCCTAGATATCGACATCGTAAGGCAAAAGTTTGGTAAGCTCGCCGAGGATATCCAAAGGGATACCGGTCGAACTGTCACACCTGAAGAGGTTGCCCTGGGATTCATCGAGGTTGCGAATGAAACTATGTGCAGGCCAATTCGATCACTCACGGAGGCGCGTGGTTTTGACATCGATTCGCACAACCTCGCTGTCTTCGGTGGTGCGGGAGGGCAGCACGCCTGCGAGATCGCAGAGAACCTAGGAATCTCTAGAGTTGTGATGCATAAATATTCGAGCCTTCTGTCAGCATATGGTATGTTTTGAACCTCCCTTTCTCACAGCCACTCTTAGACACCCCTGTTGTTTGTTCTTCGGTGGGATTATAGCATATAGGCGTCAATACTGATGATGGGCAGGGATGGCTCTGGCTGAGGTTGTCCAAGAAGCACAGGAGCCTTGCAACGAGGTTCTAACTCCGGAGACTCTGCCAAGTATTAGTGAGCGGCATGAGAAACTTCGTCAGGCAACCGAAGCGGCGCTTCTCGAGCAGGGCGTTGACGAGGCAGCCATCAAACATGAAAAATATCTTAACCTACGCTACCGTGGTAGTGATACCACCCTCATGATCCTCGAGCCAGCAGATGGCGACTGGAGGAAAGAGTTCATCGCTGAACACCTGCGCGAGTTTTCCTTCGTGTTACCAGAAGATCGCGAAGTATTAATCGATGATATCCGCGTCCGGACAATTGGCATTAGTCGCGAGAACAACAAAGACAGCGAGGTACTGGAGCGTGAGCTTCGAGCCGACAACTTCACCCCCATAGAGGCGGCTAAGCTAGCCACTGAAACTGTGAGTTCAACTAATCTCTGAGCAAACGGTGATATATCCTTCCCCTTTTGCCTCGTTTGACTGACGGACTTCCAGCGCCCGATATATTTCAAGAATGGAGGTTTCCACCAATCAAGCGTTTTGCTTCTCAAGGACATAACCCCTCGCAACCTGGTGACCGGACCGGCTGTGATTATCGACAACACGCAAACCATCGTGGTGGCCCCTGAATGCAAAGCACGCATACTTTCAAGCCATGTGGTTATTGATGTCAGGGCACCTCAGATTGAGAAATCTGATATCCTGACCGTGGACCCTGTTCAGCTCTCCGTCTTCGGACATCGCTTCATGAGCATTGCTGAGCAGATGGGCCGCGCGTTACAGAAGACATGCGTCTCCCTCAACATTAAGGAGAGATTGGACTTTGCCTGCGCCATCTTCAGCCCTCAGGGCGACTTGGTAGCAAATGCGCCGCATGTCCCCGTCTTCTTAGGCAGTATGAGCTACGCTGTGAAGGGCCAAATCGAGCTAGTTGGCGACAAGATGAGGCCCGGTGATGTTTTCGTTACAAACCATCCAAGTAAGAGAACCATGGCCCACATTCAGGGGCATCTACTTCTTCATATACCTAGCTAATAATGTATATAGTGAGCGGAGGAACACATTTGCCCGATTTGACAGTCGTGACGCCCGTCTTTAACGACAGCGGAAAGGAGATTCTCTTCTTCCTTGCTTCTCGCGGCCACCACACCGATATTGGCGGATCAGAAGGCACATCTATGCCGCCTAACTCGACTGAATTGTGGCAGGAGGGTGTGGCTATCCGGTCATTCACTATGATCCGTGACGGACGCTTCGACGAAGATGGAATCGCCCAGCTATTCGCCGAGCCAGGCAAGCGACCAGGGTGTAATAGTACACAACGATTGAGTGATAACATCACCGATCTTCATTCCTTTGCTGCGGCGAACAACAAGGGCGCTAAACTTCTCCGTAAGCTGATTGAGCAGCGCGGCAAGGAGACTGTGCAATTCTACATGGCCGCCATTCAGTCCAACGCTGAGATTGCCATTCGAAATTTCCTGAAACGAGTACGAACGCAATATCCCGACGGTAAACTTAACTCTGTTGGGTACATGGACAACAGCTCTCGGATTTGCCTTGAAGTACGGATTCGGGAAGACGGGAGCGCCACGTTCGATTTTGCTGGCACGACGCCCGAGTTGCATGGAAACATGAACGCTCCCCGGGCTCTGACTTACTCGGGCATTATTTTCTGCCTTCGAGCCATGATTGGCTCGGATATCCCGCTCAACCAGGGATGTCTATCGCCTATTGACGTGATTATCCCCGAGGGCTGTTTCCTCAACCCGTCCGCGGATGCAGCCGTCTGCGCCGGCAACACGCACACTTCCCAACGCATCTGCGATACTATATTGCAGGCATTTGAAGCGGCAGCAGGATCTCAAGGATGCATGAACTGCGTGGGCTTCTTTGGTGGTGAATCACTTGATGAGAGTGGTCGAACGAAGGGATTCAAGTACGCCTTCGGCGAGACGATTTGCGGTGGCGCCGGCGCCGGACCGACATGGCATGGGGCCAGCGCTGTGCATACGCACATGACCAATACGCGTATCACAGATGTGGAATTAGTCGAGAAGCGCTACCCTGTACTGATGAGGGAATTTAGCATCCGAAGGGGAAGCGGTGGCAAGGGCACTTTCAACGGAGGCGACGGCATCCGAAGAGTGTACGAGGCTTTGGCTCCCCTGAGCTTCAGCGTCATCACCGAGCGAAGGACGACGAGGCCTTACGGTCTCCGTGGTGGTGAACCTGGCGCGCATGGATCGAATACTTGGAACCGGAAACAGGCGGACGGATCGGTCAGGGCGGTAAATTTGGGACAGAGGAATATGGTAAGAATGAAGCCTGGCGACCAGCTAGTCATTGATAGTCCCTCCGGCGGCGGCTATGGCGCCGTTACCGCCAAGATCAATGGAGTCAATGGAACTAAGGCCAATGGGACGAATGGAGCTGCGGAGGCAGATATCCATAGCAAGGTGGTCAGAGTGAACGACTATGCCAACTGGGCGCCAGAAGGCTTTTGATCAATAATAGTAGGCATAGAATCGGGATATAAAGAGCATAAAACTTATGTCAATACAGTTATCTAGCCATCGTATCTAAACGTACGCACATCGTGTTATTTTAATAAACCGCTAAAGTAATTCTCGCCTCTAGCGAAGTAACTACATTCGGAAGGAAAGAGAGAGAGGTGACAGGGTCGTGGCATAAGGCCTGGGGTATCTGTCAAGATCCGATGACATCTGGAATCAAGGTTTAAAGTATGTGTAAGGTGTAGATTGCTCCACCGTGTTCTAGCATTGGGCGAGAGATCTGCTACAGCTATATAATCTGAAGTTCCACTTCGTCGAATAAGGTAGGAAGGCGGAACCTTCTATGTATATTGGAAGTACTCTAGACGCGGTGGACACAAAAAAGAATGAAGGGTCATCGCCAATTTCCAACATTATATTGCTCCTCCAGAGATTAGAGAATTCTTATGTTCTAGGTTCGGGAAAGACCCATCTACTCGCAGTCTAGAGTCTAGCTAGTATCTCTCACCCGATGAGTTGGCTGCGAAATGTCGTCCGACCTCCTGGTTCGATTAAAAGGGCTTTGTATATTCCAGTCATGTCCGACTTAAAAGTGTTCGCTAATTATATCGTGGCATCAACATAAGTCGCACGCCGATCATCTCCGATAGTTATCCGCTGGCAATTCAACTGCGGTCTGTGTGTTGCCCACCAGCTCGACAGGCTTCTGGGGTGCGTCGAGTTCATGGCTGGGAGATACCGGCTTTTTCTCTGCATCTTCCGTCTCGTCATCACCCTGACTGCCGCTCTGCCGACGTTTTCGAAGGAAAAGGAAAGCGGCAAGTCCAACGATGGCGAGCACACCCACTGGAATTCCAACACCCAGCCCGATTTTCAACGCTTTTTTATCATCGCTTCCATCATCTTCTTCGCTGGCACCTTGCTGTTCCTCCTGTGTCGAAGAAGGCTCCTCGGAATCTGAAGATGAGGATGGTGTCTGAGTCCCACTCGTCGACGACGACCCTCGAGAACTGGTCGAGTTACTCTTGTAGCAATCCCCGAACTCGGCCTGGCAACCGTCACCGCAATAATCGGTAGTTTGACCGCAAAACCCTCTGGCGCTGCAACAGTTTCCTTCAGCAGATCCGCGACATGTCAGACCGCGGGAGCCACCGCAAGAGCCGTCGGACGAGATGTTCGAGTCGCCGCAGACGCCAAAGTCGGATTGGCAGCCGTCGCCGCAGTAGGAGCCGTTCCGACCGCAATAATTAAGGCGACTGCAGCAATCTCCCTCAATGCTGCCGAAACATGTCGTTTGTACGCCATCGATGAGGCCGCAGCTGCCGTCGGTACTTACGACGGGCGATCCTTGTCGGGGGAGGAGTTGGTAATATCGGCGGTCGTCGGCATTTTCTAGTTTTCCGAGCCTTTCGTGGGTAAAATTCTCGTCAGCAAATCATTATTGCAGAGTCTTGACTTCGTTGACGACGTACAGACTTGCGCTCGCTGTCGTACACAAGGAGAAATACCAAGTCGCTACCCAGAGAGCTGCGCGTCGGAGAGACTGTTGTCGCATTTTGATGCCGGCCTAGACCCTGCCGCCCATATGTGAAACACTGACGCCGGGAACGCTGTGAAGAAACGTTGGATGAATTGCGGGTTCTTGGTAAAAGCTGGGGTGGAGGGGGTTTTTTTAAAAAAAAAAAAAAAAAAGGGCGAAGATGAGTGCTTGGGCAAGCCACAAGCGCCAGCCCTGTGAGATCTCTCGACACAAGCCCAACTGATTGGCAATTCGACATGGGTCGGAGGCGGAGCTGTAAGCCACAGGTGGTTCGTCGGGGTTGGGCGGCACGGATAGGGCGCCCAATTGGTCAGAAAACGGACCTGCATCACTAGCTCAGAATCCTTCGAAGATTTGGTTCAGACATTGGAAGCTTGACAGTTGATGTGTAGGGCTCAAAAGCAGTCGAGACCAGGGCATGGACGACTTGGGAAGCGGTGGCGGTGGCAGTGTCTCGTGTCCGAGCTTCGGGTAACACTGAACAGCCCACACTTCTGAGGTGTCAGACGCCTAATTATCTTTTATCTGGAAGAAAGAACGGCGGTGATAGCAAAAAATGGAGAGCCGAAACGTTAGATTTTACTCTCCGAAGCGGTGATATTGGGGGTCGGCAAGCCAGTGGGCAACGGGGGATGGGAAGACACGTGGGCTCTTGGTGACCAGATTTTCGGAACGAAATTGGCCTGTGCCGATCCCAGAACTTGGCAATATTAAACCTGAATGCAACGTCAGAGAATTCTTCCCCTTGGCGATTCATAATTCGGATGGAATCAGCACGCATAAAATTCAATACTTGTGTGCAAAGTACTTCGTACAGCAAAGCTAATTATTCTTCACTACCTCGGTATAACCCGCAGAGTCGTTCCAACCCGTCATCAAATCACATCCTGCTTAGTTTTAAACTCGGCATTCGTCTTTGAGGCTTCTGAGTTCGCGGGAAGACAATGACTTAGTTAAATTGGCATCTCAGGTTCTTGTAGAGTAAATACAGCTCAACCACTGAATAAGCCGCCTCCTTTCCGCCGGATCAGTTTCCATGGGGAATTCCCATTGACAAGATTCGTCGTGGGCTCGCATTGCTTGAGGAGTCGAGATCATGCGTCCTCTCAGCAAGACGATCATCCAATTAATCCCTTTCCCACCAGTCCGGTCGGCAGAGCTTCCCAGCACTGTTTTCAACCCAAGCCTCACTTCCAACACAATGCCGGCAATACAGCACGCCTTCGGGATCATATCTGTCCTTGATGGCCTTTAGACGCGGGTAGTTTGCTCCGAAGGCGGAATACTGCCAATCGGGCTCGTAAGGGTCCATCTGTGTCAAAAACAACACATCAGTGTCGACAATTCTTTGCATTGTAAAGGGGGAAAAGGACCAAGGTCGCGCCAAAGTACCTCGTTAAAGTATGCCCCGCTGTCAGGCGCCAGCTTCCTCAAAGCCGCCGTCGCGTTGAAGGTTACGTAGTTGCGGATCTGCTGCGCGGCATCGGCGGGAAGAGTATCGGGCCACCCTGTACCAACGACGAAGTGGCTGATGGTGTCTCGCCAGGCCGGATTCAACGCGGTGTCGAGGTGCCTGTTGGCCGAGTTTGCAACCATGTGGCCAATCATCAAATTAGGTCCAGCAATCTGGGATAAAACATGTAAAATCAGCGTCTGTTTCTCCAGGATAAAATCAGCCGTTCTTCACGTACATCGCTCCTGCTCAGTTCCTGCAAAGTCTTGGACACTGTCTCAACATCCTCCAGCGCTTCGGCAGGCAGGAGATGGCTTCCCATGGCAAAGTTTTGGGCGACGGGCTCATTTTCCGGATCGCCGTGATAGGCCTCAAAAAAAGATGGCGCGGTCTCTTCGGTTGACTGATAGACCACAGTACCGTTCATCGTATCTAACTTTTCCTTCAATGGCGCGAATAGGTCTCTTACTGTGCCATTTGGCTTGTCAAAGAGCATAAAGGCTGTCATAAGCATATAACCCCTCGGAGCCTGTGGAGGGAAAACGTAATAGTAGCCTTGTGCTCCACCCTCCTTAAGCCGGCGCAGGTCCGAATGGAAGAACGCCATCAAATCCCACCACTCCTTCTCCTTGGACGAGTCCTGCAGCGTGACCATGAGGTTCCAGTTGGTGGTACGCGGTTCAGGATGGGCCTTCATGGTGACGGAAGTGACAATGCCGTATGTGCCTCCGCCACCGCCTCGGATGGCGTAGAAGAGCTCCGGATTGTTACAGGCGTTGGCGGTGATGACCTTGCCATCAACGGTCACGATGGTTGCCTCAAGAACGTTGTCGACACCCATGCCGTAGGTGGCGCTGAGAAACCCGTGACCGCCGCCAGTGAACCAACCTACGAGACCGACGCCCTGTCCAAAATCACGAGTGACTGATCAGTTGTGCGTTTCATCCATGACGGTAAACGCCGGGGGTTGGACCTACAGGGTTGGCCCCACCAACTACAACAGCACCATGCTCGTGCGCCGCAGCGTACACATTCTTATCGACTTCCCCAGCGGCGACGGTGGCGGCCATTTGGGGGTTAGTGTCATTGCTTGGGCAGGATTTAGGCTTGAAGTTGTCATGAAACTCGATGCCTCGAATATAATGGGTCCAAATCCTGTTTCCATGATTAGTTTCTTTCTGCCAGAGGTTTTTTGGGGGGGGGGGGGGGGAGTTAGGGGGTAAAGAGGAGATCACTCACGACAAACTGCCATAAGCCGTGCTCCTAAAAATAACATCAGTATTTGCTTCTGTCTAACAGGGCCGAATGAGAATATCATCGAATTTCGTAGAAACCAATCATACCGTCCCAAGTGGTTATGGCCGGTGTTCTTGATATTGAGTCTGATGTTCCGTTTGGCGGCCCACTTGACCGCCGTAGCAATATCCTCCGCACCCGTCGCATTAACGACATAGGTGGGATACTTCCCAAGCTTGCACCCCTTGGTTCCCGCATCGGGGTCACCTCCGATGCTGGTGCCGTTGGGGAAGATGGGCGGGCAAGGGTTATCGGCCCACTGAGGGTAGCTGATGCTAATAGGATCCTCGGAGTGGAACGTAGACAGGTGCCATTTGGCTAGGACATATTCGCAGGCTGCAGGATCATAGTTGGGCTCAGACGGGTAGCAAACCGATGCTGGGGGCCTGGCGTGAATCAAGCGACCGTTGAGCGTTGAATTGAGAGCTTTCCAGGCGCGAGGGCTGGGCCAGCAATCATCTCCCGGGGCCTAAGGATAGAGTCAGTGAAGATGCTAAAGAGATGATAAAGGACACCGATCGGCCGGCACGTACGCATTTGCATTCCGGAGCCGCTAAGACGCCAGAAAGCACCGGGATCGCAAGAAGTATTTTGAGTGGAAGCATTTTCTCCTTGGATGTTTCTGATGAAGAGGAGATATATGCTTATGAATTCGGGTGATTCGGAAGTAGTTGACTATTGGGACAAGACGTCTCGTGCATGGTCTTTATATACTCGTGATCAATTGGCGATAATTATGCCCTTCACTGTCGAAGTCAGCCTAAGCTCGTTTTTGTCGTGTTCCACCTACGCGTCCGATCGAGGCCCGTTCGAGGCGGTGCAAATAGCATCGAACATCGCTGACGTCTTGGTCGACCAGGGATTATTAAACAGAACCGACCTGTGTATTGCTATCCAAACCAAGAAGCGGTTACGCGAATACCCTTTTCCCTTCGCTGTCTTCCCGTATTTCGGGCCCACCTCTTAAAGCGTTAAGGCGTTATGTTTCTAATTTTGATGAGCGGGACCTTTGTGGGTTTTTCGGCGTCACCATTCAGCTAAAATTTCCAATATGGTTAACACCGGCCCAACTCATCCATCATGTGTTCTTCAAGATCATTTTCCTCGTCAAACCTACCCTTGGGCCGCTGATCAACGAAGGGGATAGAGATTGAGACTAGGAGCAACCCGGTCGGCGAGGGCAACATTAATTACACGAAGTGTCATGACTTGTGAGTGCCGGTCTCGAAACGGATCTCGCCTCAGCTTCGTCGATTGCGGTCGCAAATATTTTTTTGTTATTGTCGTCATCATTTCAAATCTCGAGGAGAGATTCGAACCACCTCTGTCCAGCTTCAACAGGGCGATGGCGGGCCGAAGAACGTAACAAACCTCATTCGTATTGATTGTGTACCTTGTCTCATCAAGGTCTTTGTCGACCGTGGAAAGTCCGCCAGTGGGCCCTGGTAGCCCAATGGAGCCGCTGCTCTCATCCAGGATTCCCTTCTATCAGTTCCAAGTAGGTTGGCTACTCCCTCGCTGACGTATTGTATCGTATCGAGAGACTCATCTTCCAACGGTCCACGACGACGACGTCGGCATTGCCCCTTTGTGGCTCAACTTCTCCATATCCATGGTTAATAAAATAACTGGCCGCGGGGTGGTTCGAGTTCGTCTAGCTTTACGCCAAGGTCGTGATTCCATCGTGGGACTCCTGGCGAGACTTCAAGAATGGGGAAACCAAGACTAAGTCGTTAGAGAACGTTGAAATTGAGTCGGGTCGACTGGCATCACCACCGCGTTTGAAGAACCTTAAGTTGGGGCTTGCCAGAAACGTGGCTACGGTGCCACCGCTCTTGATCCAAGAAGTCGGATCTTTCTTCATCAGCCACGTGAGAATTTCTGCCTTATAAGGCTTAAATGTTGAGACTAGTAGGCGAAACACACCATTCTCCGACTGCTGGGATGATTATTTGACGCATTGATCATGATTCCAGCAGGTAAGCTATTGATGGTCAGGTCCTACTTCCCTCTTGGTCAATGCGCCTCGGACTGGAGGCCATATACGGCCAGGCACGTTGGATTTCTCCAGTTGTTTTCTCGACAACGAAGTGGAAAATATGATGGACTCGCATTAGAAGATGCATAACGGCCCTCTCTTGTTGCATCCTATGCAGGGGTCTGTTGACAAAAGGGTTTAGCGCCCGGCAGGATTATTCCACCGTTCGACACTCTCTTATGGCTCTGCTGTACTGTTCGTCACAAATGCTAGCCCGTAAAGACGTAATTCTCACGCCGGTTGGCTGTTTCGAGTTGGCTTTCCAATGTTGAAGGCGAGCATCAGTCGGTTTTGTTTTGGTACCGAGCTGACATGCAGGCTTCTAGCTTACTTCGACCCTCCATAGCCATCTGCATCGTCGAGGGGCTTCAACAGTTGGTGTCTAGACAGCTGGAGGAGTTGGAAGGGAGTATTTTAAGGACGGTCAATCCCATCTTTCATCAAGTTGTATTGTCTTGCCAGAGCAAGCAAACTCAGTCTCTTCCAGTCTTCCCAAACACAAGGCAACTCCACCCATTCACAATGTCGGCTGATCTTCGAACCCAGATCCTCAGTAAGTTGTTTTCATTCAATGGAAAGCCTTACTCAGATCACGCATTAACAGCCCGAAGCCAACGCCAAGTTCATCTATGGCCCCAACAAGCAATTCGAAGTAGTGACGGCCCTCGTCTTCCTCGGAACTTACGGAAACATCAAGGCCTCCCAGGGAGTCCTAGTCGAGGTCAGCGAGGACGGAGCTTACAAGACCTACCTCGTCGGCGACCCTGCCGAGCACCTGGCTGATGCCCTCGAGAGCCTCCACGGTGAGACGAGGAAGCAAATTTACCAGAAGCTCTCTGAGACTTTGGAGGAGAATGCCATGATCGAGTCTGGAGAGACTGTGCTTGAGGGATCCCTCAACTGGTCTTAAGGCGGGTCGGTTCTTAGTGGGAGTATGACATTGGGCCTGGGCTGGAATGGAAGGGAAGCGTTAGACGACAATGGCCGGGCCAATTGTGACCTTCGAAACCGGAGACTGTTACTAAGTGCACATCTGACCGCAAATCGTGCTCGAGTTAGTATAACGCTCCAGGGTCTTTGCATCGACGCAGCTTAACCAAGGCATCGAGGGGTACTGCATTACTCAGAAAGTTGAATGAAAGGTTGTACCTAGAACAATGCATCAACAGGATAAAAGACAAATTCTTAAATAACGGTGCATACATCCTGAGAATCATCTTGACTATCGCCCGTACTCGAAGCTTTGTGGGATTCAGTGTTATTCTAGTTCCTGGTCGCCTAGCCATGATTAATATTCAAACGAGTCTGTCGTCCGCCCTGGTAGTCCTGGACGAGGTCAGGTTTATGGACGGATTAATATTGTGGGTTAATCCTGTATGGCTTCCCCCTCCTAAAGCGGTTGCCTGGAAACGCTCCTTACATCACGCCCGCGATGCGTGTTCTCATGTCCCCTCTGAGGGGGTTCGGGGCCCTTTGTCGTATATGACAACTCAGAGGATGCCCTTGCCATTGACTGCGTGGAAATTGCAATCGACCGGTCCTAGGCATGAGCCAAGTATGGCGGCGAGTAATAATGGATAATTTGGAGACAATCGGTCCCAAGAATGTAGAATGCATGCATGGGCTATTAAATGGAATGTTTGCTTCCCTCCCGCTTAGGATCCAGTAATTTCCCGTGGAGTCTGTCCGTGACTCCGTCGTAGTATTTCCGGGAGGCTGTCAACTACGCCATAACCGCTTGGAGCAAACGTGAAACAAGGGTAGGAGAGGCGATGAGAACGGACTAACTGTTTGCCGTCAACCCTGCTCGTGGGATTCCGCAAGAAGATCTGTCATGTTACACGCGGCGCCCCTAGTCTTTTGGGCAAACAGCACCCTTGTTGAAACTGTGGTCTCACTTCGTATCTGGAGGCTTGTCCTGCCGAGATTGTCCTTCATTTCGTATCTTAGCGAGTGAAAACGAACCAAGGGCTAAATTTCCCTTCTCCAATTCCAGCTGTTTGGTATTGCCAAGGAAAAGGGAAAAAAAAAAAGAAAAAAAAAAAAAAGAAAAAAAACCAATGCCGAGGCTATGGGCGTGGCTTGGCGTTTGACATCTCGAGGGGACAAGAGCATGACTCGTGCTAGCACAGGGACTTGCAGCCTCACATAACGCGTGATCACAGAGCCGGCGAGGGTGTGACGACAGGTAGATTTCCTTGCATTGAATCGGATCCCGCCTCCTTGGCTCTGGAGCAGTCCCGACACATTGGAGAGTCAAGCTTCGCCATTCGGGGGCTTTGTACTTCGTATGCATGCACAAAATGAAGCAGATATCAGGACAAGCAAAGCTAGAAAGCGGAGTGCAAATGTCAAACACACACACTAGACCCAATTGCAGAGTACCTCAAAGGGTCACCAAGGGGTATAGCGAAACCATATCTGGTCGTTCCCTTCAAACGACGAACGCACATGTACCTTGGTCGACGATGTGAGGGAAAAAAAAAAATTTCAGCATCGAATATCAGCCGGCCACATCCGTACAAGGGACCCCCCGCGCCCAGCTTTTCCCCCTCCTTTTCTCGACAATGATAATCCTACCTAATGAAGACAGGCGTCCTCGAGTCCAGAGTTCGAGGACCAAAGATACCCAATAACACCGCATTACAGCACGAAGCCGGTCAACGGCAGAAGCAATGTGCAGATTAGATGCTCCAATCACTGTTGCAGCAACCTGAGAATAGAAAAGCCCGTGCCACCAACAGGGGGAGTGTGAATAGAGTTTAAAATTGGCCCCCCTCCACTTGGCTCGCCTGGCTGCAACCCTTCCTAATGTTTCCGATCTTAGTCTCCCGGTCCTGGGTCCCCGGTCCCAAATGCACACGTCCCGTTGATTCCCTTTCCCTTCCTCTGTCCCCTTTAGTGCCATGTGAGAAATCCTACCGATCGCGCAAGACTTGGTTAGCTCGGTCAGAGCCGGCACTAATATAGCGCAATGCCCTTGGACAATGAGAAGGGTCTTTGGAATCTCCCACATAACAAGAAGTAAAAGGACCCTGGTTCTAAACCGAAAGTTGATTTTTTTTCCCGCTCCTTCTCAAGGAAAGAATGAGCTGCAGCGCCGGCCTGACTTGTGAGGCTGTCCGTGTCACCGGCGCCACTAGTTGGACGGTGGCGGGCGGCCGGGGAGGTTGGCAAAGCAAACAAGTCGACGAGCTAGGGGAGAACGGCGAGGCGTCCAATTGATGTTTGTACTCGTATGAAGTATGTGACCCGGAAGCAATATCAATGTCTCGGTACCGACGCCTCCTGACTGCCTTTGCATAGTGGGGGCCGGGAAATGGTACCGTTTTAAACCGGTGTGTTGGTTAGGAATTGTGATGATTTTTCAGACAAATGCATCCCAATCATTGGGGGAACCAGCGTATGCTTCACCCCGCGCATCCTGTCTCCTGCGAGCGCATCGCGTGCCTGCAGTCCGGGTTCATCCCGCGATGTTAACCCCTGAATGGCGATGCTTTCCGACCCTCCATTAAACTTGCCCACTTGAAAATATCCCATCTCAGCCGAAAATCTTTTGTACGCGACGCCTGCTTGAGTTGATGTGTTGGTTCCGCAACTGGCAGGGATAAAAGGGCGAACCAGGGGGATCAGAACCAGGGGTCTCCCAGGTCGCGGCCGACCAATCACTTCCAGTTCGGATGCTCGACTCCCCGTCCCCCCTCCTCCATCATCGAAAATGTCTCGCTGCATTATACTTGCTTTTCCCGCCTCGATTTCGTGTAAATCCCGACCGGTGAGATTAGCGGTCAGCTCATCGGAAGAGGGTTCGTGGAGAGGAATCTTAATGGTTCAGACGGAGCTGGCTTGCATCCTTCTACCGCCAAGCAAAACACCTTATGGACATTTTTATTCGCAGAAAGATCCCGGGGTACAAGAGACGTAGGGAGCAGATCCGGCGGCAGGCACGGGCTGAGTGACGTGGGGGCGCCACACAGGCCTCCCTCGAATAAATCCATATAACTCCGGGGAAGTTTGTGTCTGTCTCATGAGAACCCCGATCCATGATCCATTGTATCGGTATTCGCCTTGAGCAGGCGCTTTATTCTCTGAGCGCTTGTGGGAAGTGACAATTTCGGACCGATCAAGCTACGTATCATTGGGGATACGTGATGGAGGGGGGCCACTCGGTAGGCTTTCCCGGCCCTACTTTGTGGACCAGTGCGGAGGTAACGAACCCTGTCTGTTGATGGGCAGAGATTTTCCAATCCTGGCCTTGTCTAGGCGGCAGGCTTATTTGACACCTCGCTCATCGAAGTACATATCCACAGCACACCACCCACCAAACGTCCTCAATCCCAACTTCTCCCAATTCTCTCTCCCAAACCACCATCACAACCCACACCCCTAGGATATCCAACATGCAAAAGACATCATCATGACGCGACCCTTCGATGTCTCAGCTCCTAGAGGATCGAATCGCCCACCCACTTGCAGCGAAGTCTCACGCGAGGGTACATGGATGATGCACGTTTACAAGGCCCTCATCAACTACGAAGACCTCATCCCACCACAAACGAGTGCATCTCCTCCACGAAAGACCCCGAAATCCCCCAATATCATCCTCACCCCTAGCTGCTCCCGACCTATATGCTCTCGAAGAGGAGCGACTCCAAATCGTCGCCCTACTGGCCCACGAGTCTCAGAACTATTGAACGAATCACCCGATGAATGCGACATTACTTTTAAACGAGAAGAGAGTTATCCCATGAGCGATGCGCAGCAACCGAGCCCTATGGATGCTACCCCTGATCCCTGCCAAAGCAAGGACGGTGCAGATATCGTTCACATTCTGACGATTCCAAAACGGAAGAGACGCCCGGCGGATGGCTCGCAGCAGAGTCACGGAAAGAAGTCACGCCCATCCCCAGACTATGAATCTTCGAGCGACGCTTCGGATGTGAAGCGCGAGGCCCTGAATACCACGGAGAGCTCGGCTTGACGGGAACCTGAAAGAGATATCACACCCTGAGTTTAGAGAGATGTTGTAATCGGCAAATGGCGGGCTCAGATCTTTATAAAGAAGATTATGTTTTCATGTTTCATTCTGGCGTTTGATGTAATAAAATTGGGGTTTATGCTTAGAAGGTTTAATGCGTGTCAAACCATCAGATGTTTCTTTTCATACCTTTCTATCCGTCCGTCTCCCACTTGGTCTAGCTTTCCCTGGTCCGGTGAAGGCCAAAATGATAGAGCAGATCATCCTTCAGGCCTGTTCATTACGGAGAGCAGCTATCCTGGTTGTCGCTTCTCTTGCATCTAGTATATATATTTCATGTCACAATAGACGATAATGACCTGGAGCGAATAAACCTCCTCCCATCTCGAACATCTTGGTGCATATTGCCCTGCAACTTACTGCAAAGCTAAATCTTCTTCTCCGGAGACGGCAGCATGCAGGACGTGACCGAGTCATCTTGTTTTGTACGTAAATAAAGAAATAGGGCGGGCGGTTGTTTTGCCCAGAATCCTGCATAAACTGGAATGCTCTACGACGATAGTCTTCCCGAGGATCTCGATGCGGCATGTTCTGCGGCCCTCATGGCTGATATCGCTTGCGATCCTCTCGTGCCGGCCCTCCGCCATGACTTCTACTACCCTCCTGCCACGCTGACCCGCATGTGTACCGCTGGCTGCGCTTCTGCGATCCAGTCGTGGGAGAGCTCGGTCCGGTCTGCCTGTGGCAACAACATTGTCATTCCTGCCGAGGATGACCTTGACGCATCACCCATTGTGATCCCGGCCAGCCGCCAGTACATCTATAGCTTCACGTGTCTCAAGGAGAACGATGTCTTCTGCGGCCCCGTTGCGGCATTGACAGCTCTCTTCACCAATCCTGGAGGTGAGTCTCCCGCTCCGCGAACGAGCTTCCACATGACGTGATGGCCAATTTCGGACTTGCTAGCACATTTTCACTAACAGCTTGCCAGTTTCCGTCTTCAACTATATCAACGAACTTCCCGAGGGCGCCATTAAGCCCGCGGATTGTGACCCGTGTCTCGCAGCCAGACTGCGCCTGCGATCTGGGTCGCCCTACTTTCACGGCCCCGTCGTGGCCAGCGAGTCCATCTACCAAACCCTGACGTCCAGCTGTGGCATCACGGGCAAGCCTGCTACCACATCTACCATCGACTATTTCACCAGCCAGCCGGAGCCCACCGAGTCGGTCTGCAACGGCGCCATGTACCAGATCCAGGGCGGCGATGATTGCTACAGCATCTCTATGGCTCAGAGTGTCGGTACCGCCTAGATGCTGTCTGACAACCACCTCGGTGCTTATTGTTACGAGTTCCCAACTTCGGGTAGGCTCTGCATCACTAACACGCGCAAAACTGTCACGGTGGCAGTCAACAAGACGTGCAAAGCCATCGCTACGGCTGCGAACATCACAGAGCCACAGCTGCTGGCTTGGAATCCTGTCATCAACCCGGTCTGTTCCAACCTCGACATGATGAACGGCACCACGCTTTGCATCGAACCACCTGGACCCAAGCTGCCACCCGCCCAGACGACGGATGTTCCTCCGGTGACGCCTACCACTGCTGCTCCGATCCCCTCCAATACTGCCATTGGATCTGACAAGCCCTGTGGCCGCTGGTACGAGGTCGAGGCTGGCGACTACTGCAACCTGGTGACTCTCAAGTTTGCCATTTCTCTCGATGACTTCATGTTCCTCAATACAGGCATCAACTCCAACTGCAGCAGCGGTTGGAGAGCGTATGGATTAGCCTGTGATAGAGCGCATGCAGACGACCTTCAAGAGCGCAAGCTTGAGACCCTGGCCGGCGGCCGCTATACTCAGCGATGCCTACCTCCTCGAGTCTACTGTGTTGCACAAAGAAAGACTAGAAGGTGTGTTCCACGCCGGTGTCGGTGGCGACAAGTACGAAGATGTCCTGTAATTGTCTGCATGGCGACGAGGAGCGGCAGTTGCCTGGGCTTTTGGACACGCTGCAGCCATTCCAACATGACATCAAGCTGTGATTCATACACGCCGCGACGAATGACCTGCATCCAAAGCGCGGGCTGTCCGACGCGAACGTGCAAGTCTTGCCACTTGTGCTGGAGACCATATCATCGTATCATCGTCATCATCATCGTATCATCGTCATCATCATCGTTTTCAACGTCGTCGTCGTCGTCCAAGACGAAGATATCACTCGCGGGACAGAAGAATTGGTTCCTCGCTTTTCTTTTGTGCAGGCATTAGAAATTAGTGCGGAAAAGGACAGTCTTCTAGAAGATCATGTTTCATCTCAACGAGCAAAGATATCGCTTGTGGTTGGGACGTTTACTGCCTATGTTCGCAGGTCATTCTACCAAGGATGATTAAATGAATGAATGAATGAATGAATGAAGAGTCATCAATTTCAATGACACGCAGAAGCACTTGGCTGCTGTGCCCCTCGTGCATAAAACTTTTAGTCTGTCCATCTAAATCCCAGGACAAATCCGTCTTGGTACAAACTTGTGGCGCAAACTTGACTTGTATTCTTTTCGCTGCCACCTCCCAACTGATACTGTTCATATTGAGCATCTGCTGAGATGACCATATGCGGAATTCTTCGGGATGCTTCCTCGATGATGATGATGAGCATACGTTCCCGCCCTCCCCGCTGCTGCGATCGCATATTCAACCAGTCATTTCTAAAAAGGTATCCGACCACTTATTCTCGAAATCCCCAACGAAGGATTCTGGTTGCCCGTCCGACTATATGGGTGAAGACTCGCTGTTTCCCAGCAAGTCGTGCCCCGCCGTAGATCTATACTTGTCCCACTCGAGATCGAGCCACTCCTGCCGTCCTAGGCTTTCGAACAAACTCATGACCTCCTCGCTGGGTCTCCAGTCGCCAACTTGCCACTGCACCACCGGTGGTGTTGGTGCCGCAGCAGCAGCATCGCCGTCCTTCTGCTTCTTACTACCACGCCCAGCAATGAACTTGACACCCCATCTGTGGCCCTTTCTCATCGGCAGACCATATTCCTCCACTTCTCTGTCGTCTGAAGGGTCCCACCACAAGTGCGTGAAAATCTCGGCGTCCTCGAGGCTCGGCATATTGTCGCGAGTCAGAGACTTCGCAAACGCCGCAAGCAGGGGCTCGATCCGTTCCCTGCAGGGCTCGGTGCGGAACATGTCTAGATCGTGATCGTACTCGTCGTCCGGGTTGTCGCCATACTCGGCGTCGAGGTCCATGTCCTCGTCCGTGTCAGTTTCGCGGGGGTAGTGTTCTGTGTCTGAGATCTTGTACCCTCCTTGTTCAGAGTCGTGTGGATCCTCGCCACCGGGGCCGACAAAGTACCACCGCCCGTCTGGACGGAGGGAATGGAATTCGAGCCGGAATCGCCGCATCTGTGACCACTGCTGGTCGGTTGATGCCTCGGGACTGGGGAACAGGTCTGAAGTGACGACAGCACGCACGTCGAACAGACTTAGCTGCGCACCGAGCTTGCACAGGCCGACAGACACCGGGTCTTTATCCGCGGGATGGATCAGGTTCGGCCGGGCCACGGACTGGTCATGCATGGGGAGCGAGAAGAAAGGCCAGAAGTGCAGTGCGGCCCTGGTCAGACTGGCGGGGATCCTTTTCCCGCAGAGGTGCTTCTCCTGGTCCATGATGGCGGCGCCGAACTCGTGGCGGGCGTCCCGCAGGGGGCCCTCCCACGGCCAGGTGTAGTGCTCGCGCATCACCCTACTCGGCATGGAGGCGGGCATGGGCCGCTCCCACAACCAGGGGGCATTCCACTCTTGGACAGCCGGCAGGTGGACGAGGCACTGCAGCGGCACGAGGGGAGACAGAGGGCGTATGTCTGTCGCGTTTTCGGCGCCGGAGCCGTACGACCTTGACCTGATGGCCAGGCTGCTCACAAAGGGCAGATCTGGCAGTGTCTCGGGGTCGTGCAGCTGCAGGCGGCGCGAGTGATACCTGCGATGGTGGCATCCTGGCTTCTCTGGGTCAAAGTTCTGCGGCTGGATTTCGAGCTTGATGCCGATGCTGGCTGGCGGATCCTCGATCCCGTTATAGGCGGCGGCAATCTGCTCGTAAAAGGTACGGATGCGCACCGACATGTGGGCGCTGATGGCGATGGTCTCCTCGGCAGGTTCATGGCACGGCAGTGGCTTCTCCGCATATTCATCGACGAGGAGGAGCGGCAGCGGGAGATCATATTTGAAAACCCCGAACTTTGCATTTAATGCTGCTTTGGCCTTTTCTCGGAGCTCACTCTCGAAATCTGGGTCGGTCTCGTGAAGCGGCATGTTGATTGATATAATGTGATGGACCAGTGTTGGAGTTAGTTTTTTTGCTTAGTGAGGGCGGGGGATGTGGAGTAGAGAGGAACGGGAACGGCCCTGGGGTTCCCCTGTTCGCTTCGATCCCAGTGTAATATTAAAATAATTAGCCCCTAACTTATCAGGCTATAACTAACTTACTTAAAAAGAGTAAAGTAGGTTAGATTAGAGTTTTCTTTATTTTTCTACTATTTAATATATATATTGAGACGGAGCAGTGCAGCCTGCCCGCACACCACAAGAAACAAGAAAGAAACAGTTGGTCAAATGGGCCTAGAACAGTTCCCACAAGAAGCTGCTGCAATTCCGCCTGCAGGAATGGTAGTGGGACGTCGGAATGGTTGATCAACGGGAATAGGGCCGTATCAGGAGGCTTCCAAATAGGGGGAAGCCAGAGATCATGAAAGTGTCAAATAGGGGACACTTACACACACAAAACAATAGAAGAACTGTCCGGAGTCACCACACAAGATGATCCATGAGAAATGATAATAATGAAGTCAATTCAAAGAAGAACTAATGACTATCATGCTTGAAGAACTTGAGAAACTTGTTGAACTTGATCTTCCTCCCCTGAGGAAAGAAAAGAAAAGAAATAACCATGGTCATGGCCCATGGCAAGGAACAATATTCTTCCGCCCCCCATGCTTGCGGAATCTTGAGAACGTCCCCCTTTTCACCATTGTCACCTTTTTCCCCGTCACAATATCTTAAGCTAATATTAAAAAATATAATATGCGGGCGCTGGTTACAGTCAGGACAAAGCCGTGATGACTCAACTTCTCTCAACAAGTCCAACAACAACGTACCCGAATCGAACCGAGCGAAACGAATCAAACAAACCGACAAAGCGAATCGAGCGATACGAACCGACGACAAGAGATGTAGGCCCAATCGACGGGGGCCGAACTCTTTTTGCTAATTGATACAATTGAATTAATTTTTTGCTCGTTTAATTTGATGATGGTGTAGTGTGGGAAATGAGTAGAATTGACGAGGCTATAATGCTTGGAAATGGAACGTCGGAATGGTTGATCAATAGGTAGGGCCGTATCACAACCAAAGGAGGCTTCCAAATAAAAGGAAGCCAAAGATCATATCAGTATCCAAAGGGACACCCTGTGACTTGTGTCAAGCCGGAATAGGCAGCTGGACGTTATTAATAATGAAGATCAAGAGTCAATTGACTGTCAAAAAGAACTGATAAAGAAAAAACTTGTTGAAGTTGTTTTTCCTTTTCTGGGAGGAAGGAAAAGAAAAGAAATAACTAGAGTCCTAGGCTATAGCAAGGAATAATGTTCTTCCGCCCCCATTCTTGCGGTCCCAGAAGAGAACGTCACCATTTCCACCGCTGTCATCTTATTCCCCGTCACACTATAATTATGTTTCCTATTTGTGATGGGCTTTTGATAGCTCGGCGGGCGAGTAGTCTATTAAGATGTGGCTCTCCAAATTGCGTTTATATAGATGAGTAAGTATAGCACAGCGGGCCAGCCTGAATGTCCATATAGTCTTTGACAATGGGTATAGCATCACTAAGCTCCAGAACAGGCATAGTATCAGCAATGGACGCCGGAATAGTCTTGGCAGCGTCTTGGAAGCCAGAGTAATCAGCCAAGCGGGTATTGTTCCGGCCTTGCCACTGTGGTAGGAGTTAGCAACAGGCCCCTTCACCTAGAAAAGAGAAATGAGAAGAGTGTACCTTAGCCCAAACACGATCAATGTTGCCGTGGTGTAGGAAAAAGAGAGGCTCATTTGGCGAGGTGGCCGGGCCCATATCACCAAAAATTATACTATGGACTATAATTTGTTTGTGTTAGTATATTGCAAATATTGTAAGATAAAGGAAATACGAACTCTGTGCGTGCGGCAATCCCTCGAGCATGTTACTCATACTGGCAAAGGTATCAAAGGCGTAGATGGTGTTCATGACTCCAGAACCGTATGCACCTGCCTGCATGTCGCCTATAATAAGTTCGCCGTTTTCGTCGGTGCCCAGCCCGCCGTTAAACCCCCGCGTGAAACAATGTAGGCGGTCGAAGTGTTCAGGTGAGTAAGGCAGCCCCATGCCTAGCGTCAGATTCGTGTTGGCAAAGGGGCCGTCGACAACGCAACGCTCGAAACCTGGCTCACTGCTGCCGGTAGGCTTGCCGTTCCCGCCGAAGCCTGTGACGGGATCAAAGACAGGCGAGTTGACGACATTATTGGCGTCGGAGTCAATGGTCCAGTCCCAGTACGGCTGCGTTCCCGTAAATCCGCATTCGCTGCGCAGCAGGTCCTCATGTAATTGCACATACCAACGATGCCACGGGAGGAAGTTTGCTACGAAGTGGATTTCGGTATTAAGAGCAAGGTGAGTATAGACCAAATCGTCTAGGCGTGTGAGGGCGGCGTCAATATTCGCGTACTTTGCCTTGGGCAGCTGGCGGAGGCACACTGCTGCACGGAGGTACTCGGCCTTTTCGGCGTCAGTAAGCTCACGCCACTCCTTGCGGACAGCCGGGGCGGTGCAGGCGCCGGTAGCACGGGGAATTACGGTGCCGAGGGACACGTCAGCCACGAGGGTGAGGATGGTAAAAGCCAAGCGAGGGAGCATTGTGGATGGAAGTAATGATCGTTGATTGGTGTATGAACGAGTGGATTGTTGAGTTCTAGCCAAGGACGGATGAAGAAACAGGCTGAGTGAAGAGGGAGTGTGAAAAAGAACAAGACACACCTCTTATAGATATCCTTTGAGACGACCTATTTTGAGACGGGCAGTCTCCCTTGAAGAGTCTCTCTGCTGTCTCCCCGTCCCCTTGACGATACCGACGCGCGCAAGCTCTATGAAACAGAGCTATTCGGCTGTCGAGGGGAAAGAGAGAGAGAGAGAGAGCGTCACTTCGTGAATACGAGACATGCATGAATTAGAATGAAAAGAGCCGATCGCGAGGGCCCGCTGTCAGGGCGGCTCTTTCCTATATTTTCTATTATTCCGGCACTAGTCAATTCTACTGGTCGGTGCATGAGGAACGGCAATCATGGTAGACAAGGTAATACGACATAATCCTACCTTCATTCCGTCGTAGCCCCACTCTCCTCGGCGCCTTTTATACGAAATTATAAATAGAAGTTTCATACCCCTGGTCATGTCAAGCCTAGGCTCACGGCGATTTCGTGGGTCAAAGCGAAGATGCCAGCGCCACCTCCCTAACTTGAGGCCAGCAAAGAAAGGCCTACAGAGATGCTTGACGCTGTCTTTGCTTCCGAACCCCCTGAAGTCGAGGTTGAGTCGCTGCTAAGCCTTATATCTGATCCGCGGCTGTTAGCGTTCAGCCTACCTCCCGCTATAAACGTGGACATGTAATCTTCTCATTCTACCTGCGAGCTGTGTCCAGACATCGCCCAGCCAACATCCCATCCATACCGACTCGCGCGGCATTAAGCTCCTACATCACACTTGCCACGTTGCGTAAAGCGATTATCTCCCTGAGAAGAAGTCTGCGCTATTTGTTGATTCGGTCGTACTGGTGTGGTGTCCTCGTGTGGTAGCTGTGATGAAGGACGACGCCCGACATGCTTCGCGTCGACCACGCGCCACCCGTAAGGTAACCGTCGCGACAGGAACAGTGATGCATCATTTTGGGCTGCCCGTAGCCAATAGTTTCCAATCGACCCTACCTAAATACGCGATGGAAGCAATGGCATTCGATTTTTGGATGTCGTGAGCCACTGGGGAAGCATCCAGTTTGGGAGAAGGGGGGGAGAGGGGGGGGGATACTTCCCGGGCAAGCGCACTTGTGCTTCGTTGGCCGACAACTCGCCACTATATCTAAAGAGTTCTTCCTGGGCGTAGCTGAGCCCCGTTCAACCCGATAAGGAGGTCCTGTGATGGCGTTTTGTCCTGCCCCTATTCTGTTGCCATGCCCAGCCCCATCTATTTCTTCCTGTTCTTTACGGCGTAAAAGCCACATCGCCGGCTGCTGGGGTAATGCGGACCTGAGAAAACGCAATGACAGGGCCCAGTCTCTCAGGGGAATGACAAAGATGGCTAGTGCCCAGGACGTGTCGACTGAAACTCGTCTCCCCAATCAATCGTGGTGTTCTCGCGACTGAGAGGCACGAGAACTCTTAGACGTTGGAGATAACCCCTCCATTAAGTGAGAGCTGCAACGTCTAGTGAAAAAGAGCTCCTGTACAACTAGAAATGGCTAACATATCCTACGTAAAGCGGATGTTCTGCTCGGGTGCCATTGCATCGCGATATGACTCTCGTATGGTAAGCGAAAAGAGCGCGTCCAGGACAGACCTCAATGCTAATCCCGCAACTCTGAGCCAGAAGCGATGGAGCTGGTTGGTGTCTTTGAGGGTGGGCTGGGTGATGTTCTGGCCTTTGGCTCTTCATCCTGCGATTTTGCTTGCTGACTGGCGAGGCCCGGTGATGACGAGGCTCCTTGTCTTGAAGGGTTTAAGTCCCAGACGAGGAATATATTTTCCAAGGTTCTCAAGCTGGCTCACATATCCCTTGAGGCGCGGGATCTTGATGTCCGGGATCTTTACTGGCTGGTGAGTTAGCAGGCCCGCCTCGATCATCCGCAGAGGTTGGTTAATTATACCCCTGAACTTCCAAACTTTATTACAGCCTGAGTTGATTGCTCTTGTATATTCTAACCGATATCAGCATACAACGGTAGATCAATCCGAATGCGATTTCCTCTTTGACTTCCGACTATTAGTTATAACGAAAGGGGACGATGGGCCTGTTTCGCGACGAACTGCCGAGGTAGAACGGAGACCTTCAATCGATCGTGCACAGCGACAATCCTTAGGGACCGGCACTTTCCACTCGCACTGTCCCTCGTGCTTCCCCGCATAAATCAACATCCCATATTCCTTTCAGGCTCGGGTCGCCAGAGCTCTACACTCTCATCAACCCTCTCTCCCCCTCGAGAACAATTATCTCCTCTCTCCAGCCAAGATGGATCCCGAACCCAACTCCGTGCTCAGCACATCAACACCCGAGGGAATCACAACCATCACCATCAATCGACCCCACCGACGAAACGCAGTCAACCCGGGGACGGGACAAAAACTCTACGATGCCATCATCGCCTTCGAAAACGATCCGACCCAAAAAGTCGGCATCCTCACAGGAGCGGAAGGTGCCTTCTGCGCGGGGGCAGATCTTCACGAGGTCGCGCAGGCAAACGGCGAGCAGCTCGGCAGCGGCAACCTCGATCACATGCAGCCCGTCCGCGATCGGAACAGGGGTCCGATGGGCCCTTCGCGTCTACAGGTTAAGAAACCACTTATTTGTGCCGTTGAGGGACATGCCGTTGCGGGTGGGTTGGAGCTGAGTCTTCTCGGCGATATGCGGGTCGTTGCGGAAGATGCCGTGTTTGGCGTGTTTTGCAGACGCTGGGGGGTTCCGCTGATTGACGGGGGTACTGTTCGCCTTCCGGCCGTTATCGGGCTCGGCAGAGCTCTCGATATGATCTTGACGGGGCGCCCTGTCGGTGCGCAGGAGGCCCTCACTATGGGACTAGCGAACCGTGTCGTGCCCAAGGGGAAGGCCTTGGAAGAGGCGACTGCCCTTGCTAGGCAGCTGCTTGCCTTCCCGCAGCTGTGCATGAATCTGGATCGCAACTCATGCTATTACAGCACGTACGAAGCGACTTCGTTCCAGGGCGCCCTGAGAGAAGAGTATGACAAGGGATGCGAAGCGGTGAAGACTGAAAGCATCAGGGGTGCCGGCAGGTTCAGCAGTGGTGCAGGTCGCCATGGGAGTTTCAACAACACTGGGAAGCTTTAATTAATGCTACGGGCTAACTGGCATGCTGATGTGCATGTGCACATTTTAATTCAATGTCGAAATATAAAAGAAATAAGTCTAGCCAGGTCTGCATCTCATGCTTTTTCGCCTGCGTAAACTACGAAGTACACCATAGTGTTTCTTACAGAGACGAAAGCGAGTGGGGCATGGATAATTCTCGGTTCGGGCGATTCTTTCCTCTCCCCTTAGCCTATTCGAGATAGGGTCATGCCAAGCTGGCGATGCCGAGGCAGCTCTCAGTTTGACACAGGGCTGAAGTGACTGCAACGACCGTCGCCTCCTGTCAGAAGGAGCTGTCACGTCAGCGTCGTATTGGACGTGCTTTGCACAAAACTTACCTCGGTAGGAACCATTCTTCAACAAGTCCGGTTTTGTTGAGATATATTATTTAAACCTCGAACTGTCCACGAAGGTCACGAAGATGCATCGATGTTGCCAATCCAATCTTTGAATCACATGCCAATTCCAAAATCAGCCTGCTCGGCTTACCCCCACTAAGTCCCCCCACGCAAGGCGCAAGACTTCTGAGAACCCGAAGCATCCGACAGCTGGCAGCTGTCAAGGGTACAAAGCGCTGGTTGGCTGATTACTAAACATCGCCCACAATGAGCCGCAGTAACGAAACAGTATCCATTTCATTATTTTCTCTGCTCCGTACTTATCTTTACTCACGTAGATCTTAGCCCAAGGCCCGATACATCGTGAAGGCTCTCGCTTCTCAATACGCAAGGCGATCAGATTATCAGTTCTGCGATGACGGAATGGGATTTCAAATTAACCCGGAGTCCTATTGGGCTTCGGAGATATCCATGTTTGGCAGGTGGGGCCGTGCCTTTCTCCCAACGATAATTTTATTCTTTCTTTATTCTCTCCGACTCCGAGAAGTGGACTCTCCCTTCAACAATCATGTAAATATTTAAGCCGGCGCCCCGTATGGTGTGCATTCAAGATGCAAGGCGAACTTTACGCGCTCCAGAGACGAGTCCACAAAATGGCGGAACCGGAGAAGAAGCCCTATTTCCCCGGCTTCACGGCCATTTCGGACCAAATCTATGTTCGACAGGGCGAACAACTGAGCGAGAAGGATGGCGCGACACCACCACAAGGCCCCCGGGTAATCATCCTCTATGGCTGGGGCGACGGCATCCCCAAGCACGTCTCCAAATACACCGATGGCTTCCGCCGACTCTTCCCCCACGCCAAACAAATCGTCATTCTCTCCCCCATCTTCCGCGCCATGAGGCTAGACGTCGATCAACGGACGAAAAACATGATTCCCGTTATCGAAGAGGCCTTCCCTGATGGCGCAGGAGCCCTCGATGAGTCGGAAGACGCGGTACTCTTCCACGTCATGTCCAACACCGGCGGTATCAACTATTCCGCCACCCTGAACGCGTACAAGGAAAAGTACGGACGACCCTTACCACACCGCCTAGCCGTCTACGATTCGACTCCAGGAAGCGTCGTCTTCACTTGGGAGAACCTCAAGCGTTGGTCTTACGCTATGGCCCTCGGCACCGCCGGCTGGTTCCCCTGGCCCTTTCGCGTCACCCAGGGTATCTGGGGCGCCTTCCTTTGCGCCAACCGCTTCTTCGATGGCATGTCCGGAAGGGAGAGCCCTCCAGTTTTCAGCGTGCGCATTCTGAAGGAGGAGGAGTTCAAAGTGAAGAGCTCGCAGTCCCTATTCCTGTACAGCAAGGAAGACGATTTGATCTTTTGGAAAGACATTGAGGAACATATGGCGAATGCGAGAGAAGCTGGATATCATGGCGAAGGTGTCATGTTTGAAGGAAGCGGGCATGTGGGACATATGAGGAAGCACCCGGAACAATATTGGGATTCCATCCGGGCTGCCTGGGAGAAGACTAATGACGGCGCAAACGCGTGAGGCCGGTTCTTATTTAGATTTATGACCAACAGGATTTCCTTTGTATTCCATACAGAGTGTAAAGTAATTATGATCCAGAGATATTTTACGAATTGACTGTAGGATAATCTAGTCCCTAGTGCAGATCAGATTGTAAGGTCAAGCATGCGAGATGCGCCTGTGGGCAGCGGTGACAGATATGATGATTTTTTGCTTGTAGAGGGAGCCGTGTGTACTTTGCCTCTGCTTTTTGTGTTTCCTTGTAGTTTCGAAAACATCAACGACAAGGATCTCAGAGGCACTTACTCCCCTCCCCAGATGTCTGAAAGCGCCTACACATGTATCCTCATCAAGGCAGGGGTCGATGCGGTAACCGCGCGGATGCTGTATCTCACGGCAGAGGATCAGAAGAGGGCTCCATAGGCCGAATGGGGCTCAGGGGCCCTGAGTCAGGGCCGAGCCGCAGGAGGCCGAAGTCAATATGGAACAGCAATTTCCAGGATATTAAACGCCGACCGGGGAAGCAAAGAACGACTCAAGTGCTCTGAGAAGGCGTCGGTAATGCTAGCTAAAGAATAATCTGGTTGAAGAAACTAGTACTTACAGAGCGAGGAGAGGCCAATTAGAGTTCTACATACCAGACATGGAGCGGCTAGGAAAGCTGAGGAAAAAGCATGATGAAGACATTACTCGAAGAGCAGAAAGAATGGCTTTAGTAGGGCCAATAGAGATGAGACGTGTGAGAAAAAGAAAGGAAAAGAAATTAGCGATTGGCGGCGCTCTAATACCAGGCCTGCACTTGACCTCCACTCGTCCTACCAAATTCCCCTTCACTCTGTTACACAACCATCTTTACACTGGACGACTTAACAATTCACGGTTTAGTGACTAATTGGGAATAGTTTTCATCAACTCTGCCTCTGGTATACAATCACTTATTAACGAGAGTCCTTTTCTGTAAACCGTGAGCTCGCTTTATGTCGCGGTCATAACAGCCCTGAAGCACATCGAAGATTATATACCTCAATATTATTACTCCCAAATGCAAGCCGATATTGTATTCAGTTTTTATACTCAGCATTTAAGACGTTGATTTAAATACAAACTGTCATCTAGCAACGAGACGAACGCGGCAACGCGACGACAGCCTCAATCTCGATTGAAAAGTTCCCCGGCAACTTCCCAGCCTGAATTGTCGTGCGAGCCGGCTTAGGGTTAGGCAGCAAGCTACCATACACACCGTTCATAGCTGAAAAGTCATCCATCGAGGCGAGATACACCGTCGTCTTGAGGGCGTTTTCCCACGACGTACCAGCTTCTTCAAGGATAGCAGCGATGTTGTTGATCACGGCAGCCTACGCAGGATTTAGCAACAAGTAATGGACATATTTCGTACGTTAGGCCGAATCAACTTACAGTCTGAGCTTCAATGCCCTCTGGGATAGTCCCGTTAACGGACGGAGTAGTTCCACTAACGAACAAGAGGTCTTTTGTGTGCACGCCACCAGCTAGTCCAAGATTAGTTCTGATACTGAGGAAAGTGGAAGGCCAGCGTTGAGGTAAGTGGAGGAATGTACTTACATAGAATGGCGCCCTGGCTACCGACATGCGTAACTACCGACTTAGGTTTCCCCTTGGAACGAGAGGATGGAACCGCGACGACGGAGCCTACGGCGGCCAAGAGAAGGGTGGCTGTCTGTAAGAGGCCCACCATTGTGACTTATGATAATTAATTTGCTCTTCGTGCTATGGGCAAATGGCAAAGGCTTGGGAGAAGAAGGATGTGATGCTTGATGCTCGGCAAGATTACCTGGGCGTGCTCTCGGAGACTCGGCTGGCTGGGTTATATAAAATCTCGTCCTGGTTTCATCGTTGCTCTTGGATGGGGCCCTCGTGCTTTCCACGTGGGCGTTGAAGCGAATAATACCAGTTCCCCGGCTCACTTTGAAGCTTGATATCGGTCCGCCAAGCTTTTTCTCTCTTACGCAATAGCTACTGCCCGTCGTTATTTTCCTCACTTATCGTTGTCTCTTTTCCGAACTCGGTAGATTCTCCACTATGGGGGCTTTTACATTTTAGCGGGGACTTTTCGGAGACATGATTGATGCGATAAGACGCCCCCGCCCACGCCGTCCCGAAATCGCGGAACCCTCGGTCGGGATTTGAACTCGATTGCTGACGGAATTCCTGCAGGGATCCAAACCCGCGCAGAATGATTACCGCGCATCCCCGCTATCTTTGACCAATCTGCCGGAAGGATGTGGCCCCAGAGACGCATGCCAAGACGCGAACTACAAAAGAACCTTGGCGAAGGAACACACACACACATTGATAGATAAAATATCTTGATCAATTGATAAACAGGACATTGTCTGTTTATAGCCTAGCCATGCGGCTGTTTACTTCTTCCCCACCACGTGGATGACGGCGGGAAGCGCCTTGTTACTTTTTCGAAGTTACATTGAAGCAAAATGTAACACCAACCACCCTGGGAGGCTAGGAAGGTCCAGTCGAGCTGTATTTGGTTTGCCAACACGACAACACCAATGAAAAGGCTCGGTCCCTTTATCAAAGCAGCAGGGGCAGGGCGAGATACAGAATAGCAAGAGTCGAAGGGCGTATTCATGGCATCGCCCCCCACTCTCGGCAGTCCTAAATCGCCTGCAAAGGCGTATATGGCTCATGCTATACGAGTTGCCTTGAAGACTTTACTGTAAAGACTTTGCTATGAGAGTAGACAATAGACTCCGATAAGAGTTATCAAGTTGATGATTTTCTGAATTACGAAGTTGTCATATCGTCATCGCTTAATCTCAAATCAGCTGTGTCAAATCAGCTGTGACAAATCAGCTGTGTTGGACCATCATTCCATCAGCTCGCTCTCATGCAGGACATGCCTCATGCAAGACACCAAATGTATTTGCCATTGCTTTTGGATGAACATAAAATGAATGGAAAGACCGCCCACAGGAGCCTTTTCGTTTTGTTTTACCATCACCGACACTCCTCAAGCCCAAGTCTCCTCCTAATAGAGAGCTTTCAACATGGCAAACCTCAAAAGAGCCGCTACCTCTCTTCTTTTCCTCGCTGGCGGCGTAGCCTCCAGTCCCACCCCCCTCTCTCAAGAATCTCTCTTCTTCAAAGTCCCTCCTAGCATCTCGAGCGAATCTGCCTATAACGTGCATATCAGCTATGGCGACAAAGCTCCCTCGGGTAACATCCGCGTTGTCTATAGTGATTGCGCCTCGGGTGATGCAAGTCAAGGTCACCATGAGGTAGCCTCCATCGTCGTGGGTGCTGGGGATGCCATGCCAGACCGCCTGGTCTGGTATGTGCCTCAAGGTGCTCCCGGACATGGCTGCCTGCACGCATACTCGGATTCCAGGCTGCTCGGTCGCTCCGAGCCGGTCAGTGTTTCTGAGCCCCTCCAAAAGCGTCAGAGCCTGCATGAAATCGGAGATTCAAACGGTCTCTGGTTCGATGGTGTGAAGTACTTGCAGTCGAAGAACACCAGCGCCGCCGCCAGTGATGACGCTAAAAACAAGAAGATTGCCATCATTGGAGGAGGTATGGCAGGCCTCATGACAAGTCTGCTGCTTACTTCGGTCGGGATCAATGACTGGCATATTATGGAGTCGACCCAGCGCGTTGGTGGTCGTATTCGAACCAAATATCTCAATGGTACTGGCCCTTCTGACTACCAGTATCAAGAGATGGGCCCAATGCGATTCCCCGTCTCCATTAAGTACGCAGACACCAATGAGACACTGGACATCCAGGACCACAAGATGGTGTTCCAATTGGCCGACCTCCTGAACGAAATGAACAGCGATCAGCCTGACCTTGCCGTCAACTTCATTCCCTGGGTCCAGAGCAACCCCAACACCCCGGCAAACTCTCGCGGCTCTCGCCTTCCAAATGGACGTATTCCCACCAGTGCCCAAATTGCCGCGGATAAATCCCTGGCGAACCCTGCTCCCACGGCGGCTGACCCCGAGGGTGCCGACATCGCCTCCGAGCTTATTGAGCACTTGATTGACTTCACACCTGAGAGGATGCGCAACATCTCTACGAATATCTTCAAGGCTCACCGGGAGGCTATCGATCGTGGACTCTTCCACTGGTCCGAAACGGCCTACCTCCGATACGGCCTTGGCCTCGATGATGACACTATTGACTTCCTTTCCGGTTCCGGCAACACCCCAATGTGGGGAGAGTGGTACGACAATACCTATTTCGGTGCGACGACCTGGCGCACTATTGACAAAGGGCTTGAATCCCTCCCTCGTGCGTTTGCCCCTCACGTCAAAGACAAGATCACCTACGGCCGGAAGATTACCGGTCTGGATTACGACGAGGGCACATCTAAGGTCTCCGTCAGCTGGAGAGACAACGCTTTCGATGCAGAGGCCCAGAGCGAGGAATACGATTACGCTGTGGTCGCTGTTCCGTTCTCCAAGGTCAGGCTATGGAAAACTCCCGCCTATTCCAGCCTCCTTTCCCGCGCAATTTCGACCCTAAACTACGCCCAGTCCTGCAAGGTCGCCCTCCACTACAAGACTCGTTTCTGGGAAACCCAGGAGAACCCCATCTTCGGCGGTTGCGGATCTACCGATATCCCCGGTGTCGGCTCCGTCTGCTACCCCGCCTACGAGATCAACTCCACGCGACCTGGTGTTATTCTTGGCTCTTACATTTCGGGTACCCTGGCCCGGTCCGTAGCGGCGCTGAGCGAGGAGGACCATGTGGCTATGATCCAACGAGCTATGGTAGAAGTCCATGGCGAGATTGCCAACGAGCAGTTTACGGGCAACTATGACCGCCAGTGCTGGGAGGTTGACGAGCATCAGGCCGGCGCTTGGGCTGCCCCCACCACCGGACAACAGGAACTGTTCATTCCCGCTTACCACCAGACCGAGAAGAACACTATCTTCATTGGCGAGCACACCAGCATTACGCATGCGTGGATCTTCTCCGCCCTGGAATCCGCTGTGCGTGGTACTACCCAGCTCCTCTTGGATTTGGGCCTTGTGGACGAGGCCAAGCAGGTAGTAGATACCTGGATGGCCCGATGGATTACGGTCTAGAAGAAAGAAGAATTGCAAAGAGGGTGAGCTCATGAACTACAGCTTGGGAATTAAAGGCCCGATGTCGGTTGACATCATTGGCCTATTGCCAAGGGCAGAGTATATGGGGCAGTTGGAGCGGAACGAGGATGAGAGTTGGACGGTGTCCGGGTTTCCTTGGTGCCTCGTGCCGTTTTTAGGTTTTACATTCCCACGCGAATCTTACCTGTGTGGGAAGTCGGGGTTAAATAGATAGTATAGGATCGCAAGTCATGAATCATGATATTACGACAACAATATAGACGCACTCCTTTCACCACCTAACACGTCTCCACACGTGAAATGTTGCCTTATATCTTATAAATTGTAAGTTTTACGTGCTGAACTACGTGCTAGACTTTCTTTCATTTTGAGCAATTTTATCACATTTTAAACCCTTTTTTGGGTCCAGAATAATATGTCCGGGAACCAGACCACAATCTCGGCCGAACCACAATATTTGGCGTTCAGTTTGGAACAACCGCTGACTTAATTTTGACTCTAAAAGATTCCGAATGAATATTCTTCGTATAGGGATGGATGTTGCATTGTAGAAACGGTTCGCACTTAACATACCCGTGCGTCCGTGTCTAACGTCGCATCCACGTTGCCATTCTCACCGCCCCGAAGAATCTGGGAAATGAAGCTGACGGCTTACTAAAATCCCACCTCAATCAATGGCATGCCCAACCTCGAGATTTTCTTCTCTCACTCCTATTCCGAACAAGACATCCTGCTGACCTCCATCTCCTTTTCACACGTCAGCTCCCACTTTCCCCAAATTCTCCTCACGACCAGGTTGAATCATGGCGACAGTTCAAGAGAGACATCCGGAGCTCTTCCGTCCCATCAGCAGTGAATCGCCGCGAGGGAAAAAGAGGACTGTGCCGATGCAAGTTCTATGCCTTGGCTTTAATAGGACAGGAACCTCATGTGAGTTGTGGCCGTTACTGCCGAGGTCGATTGAATTCCTCGCGCTAGGGTGAGACAGGGTCCTCGCTTTTATTCTTTCGTTGATAAAATGAAAAAGAAGCCAATGAGAATGGGATTGCTAACCATCCCGCAGCTATGTGTGCGGCTTTAGAGCAGCTGGGGATTCGATGTTGGCATTCCTTCCACCTGCTGTCCACCAACTTTGGCGATAACGAGATGTGGCAGGACGCCATCAATCGCAAGTTCTTCAACGCCGGAACACCTTTCGGCCGGGGCGAGTTTGACCAGCTTCTACACGGCTTCGGCGGTATTTCTTCCGATACACCAGCCATCGCCTTTTCCGAGGACCTCATAACAACGTATCCGGAGGCCAAGGTTGTTTTGGTCGAACGAGATATTGAATCGTGGTATAAAAGCTATATGCACAGCATCATCGGCAACATGTTCAACCCGTTCGTCCGCCTTGTATATTACTTCGACCGTTCCTACATTTATCCGATCGGAAGGGTGCAGGAGACCACCGTGGAAGGATGGCTTGGCATTAAAAGCAAAAAGGATGCGGAGCTGAAAGCGAAAGAGAAGTATCGTGAGCACTACGCGCTAGTTAGGCGGATTACTCCCAAGGAGAGGTTACTGGAGTTTAAACTGTCGGAGGGCTGGGAACCGTTGTGCGAGTTCCTCAGCAAGCCTGTCCCAAGCACACCATTTCCCCATTTAAATGACCAGAAATGGTTTGACGAAAAGGTATCGATCCTTATGAAAATCGGAATTACCAAGCTGCTCTATAAAATTAGCCCCATCATTGCCTCGGTTCTCGCTGCAGTTGCTGGGTGGTATTGGTGGAATACATCCTATGGAAAGCCATAGTTCTCGGTTGGCGGGTTCATCATGGCGAAGATTCTGGCGCCCGTCAGATTTTGGATAAACTCGTTCATACAGGAAGGATACTTCAATATTCGTTCTCTATATAATACATTTGGGATCACCTAATTGTATCAAGGCTTGATGGGCCCAGAGCCGGAGATCCCGGGTTGCACCCAAAGCGCCCAAAAGAGCGGAACTGATCTTGTGCGTGGACAGGACGGGCGTTGTAGCCTAGTGGGTCTAGGCGTGAACCCCAGATAACCTCCGCAACCGTCCCGGAAGAGGCTCAATATTGCTGATGGTCTTTTGGCGAGTTTGCAGGCGGCGCCTTGTTTCCGGACTTCATCTATGGTTCGATGATTCTATGTGAAGCGGACGTCAGGTGACTAGGTCGCAAATAAAACTGCTTTAAACACGGGACGAATATGCATATGCACATCCATGTCAGGGGCCAACTACACCTATCAGGTACCCCGTAGCTCTTGACATTGGTGCCCAACAGTAAAGTTTGGAGATGAACCCTTACCGCCATCTTCCACATCGTTATTGTCTCGTGCTCTTTCCTACCAACCTCTAATCTAACTCAACACAACATGAACCCCATTAGCTTTGAAAGGTGCGTCTGTCTCTTGTCCCAATGGTAGCGCATTGCCTAGCTCTCTGGTACTAACATTGATGCCAAGAGTCATCTCGTCTGGCACCATCCGGTTCTTTGTCGGGCCAAACAAAAGAGAATTTGTTGCCCACGCCGCCGTTATCGCCGGCCAATCCCAACCGCTGCACAACTTGGTCTACGGCAATTTCAGCGAAGCGAAACCGAACCATGCCTTTTTGGAGTCTGTCGACGAGCTGGCGTTTGTGCTTCTCTGCGAATATGCATATACCGGTGACTACAACTTGGAGGTAGCGCCTCAGGACCCTGCACCCAACGGCACCAATTTCGAGGAACCCCAGGCCGAGGCGCCCGCTGTCGAAGAATCCAAGGACGAGGAACACGCCATTGAGGAACCTATCGCTGTGAACGGCGACGATGATTGGGGCTTACCTACAAGGAAGACTAGTAAGAAAAGGAAGAGTCGGAAACGGGATCGACTTTGGAGAGGATTCACAAGCGCCACATACCTCGACAGCAGCATTGTTTCAACGGGGCCGCCGTATGATCCAACAGAATGCAAGAATCCTGGTGATGCCCTTCTTGCGCACACCAAAGTATATCTCCTCGCGGATTATTACGCGGTCCCGAAGCTCGTGTCGCTTTCACTGGATAAGTTGCACCAGACTCTCTGTGCATACGACGTCAACGGCGACACGATTGAGGGTATTGTCGATCTTCTTCGGCTTGCATTCGAGGAGGAAACTCCGGACCTGCTTAGATCGATGTTTTCGTTGTTCGCCGCATGTCACGTTGAGAAATTGTGGGAGAGCGAGAACTTTCGACAGTTGCTGAGTACATATGGGGATTTGTCCAAGAGGTTGGTGGGGTCGATGTTGGGCCGTTTAGATTAAGACATGTTAGAGGTAGAAGGGTGCTAGACGGCGGTGATTGAAGGATATTTTGACCTGTCTTTGAGTAAATATTAAACAAGCCCGCTCGGAAAGTCTCTTGTACCACTCGTTGTGTAAACGCTAGCTCATCAGCCGCAATTAATGCATGTTCCTTTCATTTGAATTAGCAAGTTCCTTTTGACGTTACTTATGCTGACAGTGATTACTTTGTATAGACCAAGCATGGTTCATCTATTAGTCGAAGCTGCTACCTGTCAAATTTACGCGAAAACACTCACCTGGCGTTAGGAAATACACCCCAACCCAGTAGAAGCGTTGATTCCCTCTCGGGGATTAAGATAGAAATCATAAAGCTCATAATGCTTCTCCCTACATAACTCTCATACAAAGCCTGAGAGAGGAGGATACGCAAGGACCAACCTCGGGGATGTTGGGAAAATAGTAGACAATACGCTCAAAAAGAGTTATTAAAATGGAGGGTTTGAGCTATTAAAATGGAGGGAAGGGGAAAGAAGGAGAAAATAATAATAATAATGATGATGAAGACAAAAAAGAAATCGATGGGCCTTCTTTGAAGGCGCATTGGGATTTGAGCCCAATGCGGGGGTCGAACCCGCAGCCTTGAGATTAAGAGTCTCACGCTCTACCGATTGAGCTAACCGGGCAGGCTAGTTGTGATTGATACGAGAGCCAGCCCCTCGCCATCAACCTTTATTTCATGTTCTGGATCCATTCCAACCTTTCTTCCACTTTTACCACCGGGTCCTCCGTCTCACGCCGTTCTTGACCTCAGTTTGGCATTTCCTGTGCGCTCTGGCCTCTGCGGGAGCCTAAGAGGTGACCCCTGGTTGGCGGCGAGTGGGATAAGCCTGGCATATTGGGTAACTTCGCTATGATTTGGTACCCCTCCCCTCTTACTTAGAGGAAGCCCTGAAATTTTAGATATAGTGGGCGAGACGTAGCAAGGGTTTGGGCTGTGAGAGGGAACAAGATGTGGAAAATCCTGATGGAAATAATGTGACCTTGAGAAGCGACTTAACCGCCAGGATCATGCACGAGTCGTCTTTCGACACGGGGTTCATGTAAACACTTACCTGGTAAGTTCTTGGCGCTCTTTTCAATCGTCTGTTGCCCACCCCATATCCAGATCAGAAGAGGGTGGGTGCTTCTTCCCAATTCGCTCTTTACTCATCAGTTGGCTCCTAAACGTAAATCTCTTCCGTAACGAGTCTCTGCGCTTGCTTCAGACCAGAGATGTGCCATACGGCTTGCTAAGTGTACAAGAAGGAGGCAGAAGAATAGGCCCGAATAGGCAGGCTTCCAATTTCACTTGGTCATCCCCAAGGATTCGGGGCAGGGATCGCAGCCAATCAGTTCGGCATTTCTCTAACATCGGGCAAGCCACTCGGACGAATATGCACGGGATTTCTGTTTCCCGTACCTTGGTTCACGAGTACGAGGCCTACGACGATCTCCACCCTCTCTCTTGGACGAAGAAGCTTGGCGGTAAATGCTCAAGGGCATTCGGGTCAATAGTTTGGCCGTATAAGCCTTTTCCCCTCATCGGCTCCGTCCGTCCGTCTCTCTTCATCAGCAGATATAGCTAGGTGAATCAAATCTTCGAGAGATGCTGAGTGACGCCAGGCGACTAAATAAGTTCGAGAACCATGCCAAACCTCTCGTAAACAATACTGAATGTCGAGCGACCCGGTGGAAACACCAGGCCTTCTTGTTCACGCGCGACTTGCGAGTTTCGATGACGTACGACGTGGCACAATAGATAAGAGCAGTTCTGCGAAACCTTAACCGCCGGTTCCTAGCGAAGGAGTCTAGACTCGGGTCCCATTGGACATCCCCAACCCGCAAAACAAGTGGTGTGTTCTACAATATTATGCGTCAATTAATTTGGTGCGGTAACACATGCGGGTCGTACTGTAGACCAGTTTATGCGGCCGTGCGTTCTAGCCCTCAGGCGTAGTCCCCAGCGCTATTTTTGTATATTCTGGCGTGGTCATTATTGGCGGATCGAGCGAAAATAATTTTCGTAACGAACCTTTGAGAGGTAAGGGGTGCAAGCCGCATCAATACGGCCCGAATGAATCCGAAGATCATGCGCGAATCTATTTCCTGATCGTGCATCTCATTCTCAAGCCTTCTCGTATGGTGCCAACTCACTGGATGGGGCGGCGCCTATGGCCGGGTGTGGCCCACAATGCTGATGCGACCCTCAAAGGGACCAGGTCAGTGTTCTAATCTAGTTGGCCGCAGTATCGATGTTCTGGGTCGAAACAAGGTCAAGAAAGTGGTCTGTCGCACTCAGCAACAAGGGTCAGTCCGAGCTGGGAGTGAAGCTATCAGGAATGGACACTAAGATTGCTACGGTGTCTTGGTCTGTGACATGCTTATACGCGCCCATGCATGCACCCTCACCTCAAGACAGGTTGTCACTGGACGCTCCCATGCAATGCCGCGGCTTCACTCTGATCCGATGTGCGGGCTTCCTTTCACGTAGTCTTAGAATTATAAATACTCCTTCTCTACCCTTTTTAGCTTCCCTCGGTTAGATCAATCTAGCCATCATTTCTGTCTCCAATTAAAGCCGGGTTGCTTCATATCCTCTATTCACCATGCTCTTTTCCCAGATCCTGACTGCGGCGCTCTCCTTTTCCGTAATTTCCGCTTCGCCGGTGGGAACTTCAAGCCTACAGGCAGAACACGGCCCAGAAGTCATCGCCCGTGGCCCACTCGCGTCGCTTTGCCACCAATTCGCTGACACTGCTGGCCAAGTCAGAAACAACGTACCCCCAATATGGGGAGGACAACAAGACAGGGTAAGAGCTAGTTCATGCCTCAACGTTATTTTCTACTGAGGTATTACTGAGATATAAAGGATACTAATGTAACCTCTTCAGCTCGGTGATCTACTACTGCAGGTCGACCGCGGCGCCGAGACAGCCCGCCAAGCATGTCTTCATATAGATGCTGGGTTCTGATGACAGGCTCATCGGTTCAAGATCTACCAGGAAGGTTGGAGTCTATTTTTTAGCTGCACCCCTTGTGGAATGTGGTTTAGCACCTTGTTGAGTAGGTGTTGATTGACTTGTTCGATGGACCATCTCATCTGGCAGGTTGGAACAACTATCGTGGCTACTATTCTCCCAGCAAATCTTAAAACACAGTATACCAATCCCACGTCTTGGTTGGAGGACACTGTTAAATGGCAATTTTACCTTGTGCTCTGTCCCAATCACTTACGTGATATTTGACTCTCATTCGGCGAAAGTAATACAAGTTTGAGTAATTCCTTTTACCTTTCTGTCTACCTTTCTGTCTACCTTTTTGTCTGCCTTTCTATTAAGTCCATTTAAATAACACTCTCTTACTATGCTTTCCTTTCGCTTCTCTATCTAAGGAAGGTTGTATTTTGCGACGGAAGGCGCGATGGGCAAATATAGCTACTAAATAATAATACAGTAATAATTATAAAGGTGAGGTTAATGATGTCCATCAATATAGAGGGCTGGGGAAGCCCATCGGCCCTCCATGTGCTCTCTAGACGAAGGCTGGTGGGCTCGCCTAGGGATGGCCTTGCCTCCATACGGGGACGCACATGAGTGGGGAGTCAGTGATACTACTAGCAACTCCCGGAACAAGCCCTTTCCGTACCCGAAATCACATGAAAGGCTAATCAATCTCTTCTATTCTTTCCGTTTATTGACAGCACAGGTATTCACGGTTATCCCCAATCTCTATCTATTGCATAGTCATGTTCAAAATTCGCTTCATTTTGTCGTCTCGATCCTTCAACTGACTCTCACCCAAGACCCCATATGCCCCCCTGGACCTGCTTCAACAGATCCAGCCAATCATGAAACCCCGGGCCTTGTCTACCCAAGCGTCGGCACGCTGGAGAAAGGCCGCGCTGACGGGCATGAAGATTGTCATTTCGGCCAGCGAGGCGTTTACGAGACTGATGACGCCTCCGTGCATAAGAAAGGCGAGCAGAAGGCTCCCGGCGCCTCCGTGTAAAAGGCGGTACTAGCCGACCGTGATGAAGAGAGCGGTTCCGATGGAGCCGCTGATGGCAAAGAACTGAAGCTGGCGAGGGGCTAGATAGCGCTTCAGTGAGTCGGGGTGCGCTGAGAGCTCCCCAGCCGTGATATCGCCAGGTTCTGAGGTGCCATCTTTCTCGGAATGTGAGGGTGGCTCCGCCTTCGACGATATAGTGTCCTTGGCCACCACCGTTTCTGAAGTATAAACCACAGATATTAGGGTGGCGGGGTTGTATCCAGGAGCAGCCTTGGGGGGGGGGGGATGGGCAGGGGAGGTATACGATAGCACAACCTCCTTTATCGAACCACCATCGAGAGTGGGGATCCTTAAGGAGAATTGGTGAGGAAAGGAAGACAAAAAAGAGAGGTCTGATTTCAATCGAGTGAAGACAAAGTGAAACGAGTCGACAATTAGCTCGATCCACCCGGTTGCTTTTCTACAAGGATGAACCAAGAGGGCAGCCTTTTCCAGATGCCACTTCAAATTGTTCATGGCCTTCTCGATGAGTCGGTGTCATCCCCGGCAACGTCATCAGCCTCTTGATCAAGGGCTGCGGTCACCCCTGTCCATTCTGAGGGAGGAATCCGGGGCCCCGCTCCTCAACTCTTTTCGAGAGAAGCCACCAATACCGACAATTCCCACATTGAGGCTGGCTTGGATTGCTATCCCTAAACCCTCCTAGTGTTAGCGGCAGTTCTATGCCTGAGGCGACACCCTCACATCCATGCTAAAATACATCCTTCATAGCGCTAGCCGTCCGGCGCAGGTAGCTGTCTTTGCGACGGACCCGATTGCTTGCGATTGCTTGGACCGGAAAATCCCGGGGCTATCTGGAAATTGCTGGAATCAACCCCGGCAGTTTAAATCCCACCAGTCTTCTGATTCCCGGTTTTTGCAGTGTGCTCGTGGCTCATCCGCAACGGTGAACCGGCATCTCTCTGACCACTTGCAAGGTTAGTCAGCTCATGTATACATAGGTGCAATTCACCCGATTCAGGCCATTTTCGACGTATGTAAAATGATCCCTGTTTCCAGCTTAGGGGTGATAGACCCACAGCAAGTCGAGTCCCCGCACATTGACGTCCACCTTATTCGTCCATGGCACAGAGGGGCCAGCGTCGTACCAGAGAGAGGATGGTTCGATGCAAGCCCCGCAGGTCTCCCTCCATGTCCGTCCGCTCGTTGGAAAAAGGCACGACGCCCCCTCCTGTTCTTTCTCACAACACCGCCCCTTCCCCCTCCTCCTACAAAACTACCTTTTTCCCCACTACTCTGCAAATAGGATGGCGGATGACACGACGGAAAAGTCGCCTCCCGGCTCAAAGCCGTCCTCGCCCCCGCGAAACTCAAAGTCCCTCCCAAGCTCAAAACCGTCTAGCCCGCCCGCCGCAATCGACCCGGCAGACCTGAGCCCTACTGGAATCCTGCCGGCCGGGCATTGGACGCAGGTCGGTTAAAGAATCGCACATGGTCTGCTGCGGCCTTGCTCTGACTCTTAGCTTCTAGCAACCGGTTGAAGATGATGGCGAGTCGCTCCTCGGGGAGTCTGTCAATACGTCGACTGCCTCCCTCTCGTCGAGCATTCTGAGCTATCGTACTCTCCACGGGCGGCGGTACCACAGCGAGGTCGGAAATGTCTCATACTGGTAGTGTTATCCAAACTCCGGCAGTAGGCTTGCGGTCGCCTTGGCTGATTTCATGCCCAATCCAGGGGTTCGAATGACGAGCAGCAGAATGAGTCTATGGATATCAAGTATGCATGGACCTCCTCGGCCCTTACGGCATCTTTTGGGGTTTCGCTAACTGTCGTCCGAGTCACTATGCGCTAACGCTCGGTATCGGCGATAAACTATTCCTGGCGCCTCTTGACAAGAATAAGGTTCAGGTAGTGTGCCCCCATCTCGCCCCGTCGTCGATGTCCACCCTCTAACATCCTTCGTAGCATGCCCTCGATATTGGAACAGGAACCGGTATTTGGGCAATGTATGTCAACTTTCAACTCCCATTAAGCCGGCTAGACTAACGGCGATGCCAGCGACTTTGCGGATGAATTTCCGGAGGCAGAGGTAGTCGGAACTGACGTCTCCCCTATTCAACCGAGATGGGTCCCGCCAAATCTCAAGTTGTGAGTTAACCGCGACCGTAACAATCGATACACACAATGCGCACTATCGTAGCGAGAGCTAAACAGCCTTTGGCAGCGAAATCGAGGACTGTACGCGCGATTGGACATTCAGCCCCGACTCCTTTGACTATGTACACCTCCGCTGGCTTACAGGAAGCATACCCGATTGGCACACTCTCTTCGCAGAAGCCTTTAATGTGACCAAACCTGGAGGCTGGGTTGAAAGCCACGAGCCATCGTCTATTGTCAGGAGCGACCACGCAACGATTAGGGATGAATCTGCACTAGGCCAATGGCCAAAGATTTTCCACGAGGGGGGAAAAATTATTGGGCGTACTTTTAAGGCTGTGGAGGATGATTTACAGAGAAAGGCAATGGAAGCTGCTGGATTTGTTGATATCCAGGAGTACACCTATAAGGTCGGTCCAATCTTTTCTGGAAATCTACATTTTCGTGCTGACCGTGTTGATAGAACCCGATGGGGGATTGGCCGAAAGACCCGGTATTAAAGGAGATAGGCAACGTGACTATGGCAGCTCTGGGGGGAGACATCGAGGGCTACGTCCTTTTCATGGCGAGCACTCTTGGCTGGACAAGGGAGGAGATCCAGGTCTACATTGCCCACGTTCGGCGAGAGTTGCAGTCGCGCAAGTATTACCCGTACTACTGGCAAAAGGTTGTATGGGGTCGGAAGCCCGAGTGATAGGTGGAATCTCGCCGACACATACGAATATTCTCCTTCTATCTGGACACCGAAGGTTCTTGTAAACGTGCTAACGTACGATTCACAAGACGGGATGGCACCAATGAAAGATGTTAGCTTGACGGGAAAGAACGAGATGTACGGAAAGGTCTGCAAAGGACTCCTCTGTTGCAATAAGCCCAGGCGTCGGGAGGCCGCTCTTAGATAAACGGGAAAATAAGAGAGAGAGAAATCTTGTAGAAGCTCGATAGAGACTTTGTAACCGGATTTTATGAGACGGCGTCCGAAAGCAGATCCTAGCTCGTAAGAAGACAGTATGTATGATGAAGGTTCGTGACAAAAAGCTTCGGTTTTCCTATTTCCTCCTCACACATTTTCTTCTGCAATTTTTAGAGCTTTCTGTTTTACTTCTTATATTTACTGTTTCTCTTTGCTTCACACGATCGCGAAGATATTTATGTGGAGGGACTCATAAATATGTAGTGTTTGTTATTCGATTGGTACACGAATAGGATGTTAATTAGCTCTGCCCTTCGGGCTCAGAGCCAGACCCAGCGGTATTTTTAAGTATCCGATCTCTATCTATCTACTGCATAGTCACGTCCAAAATTTGCTTCATTTTGTCGTCTCGATCCTTCAACTGACTCTCACCCAAGACTCCATATGCCCCTTCAACCTGCTTCACCAGCCTCTCCTGCCAATCCCCTTCGCCGAGGTTTACCTTCCCTGCATCATCCCAACATGCTTGCACCGTTCCGCCGATCTTGTCAAAAAAGGCCCCCAGTCCCTGTCCGGCCCCTCCTCCGGCATGGTAGCTCCAGAATGGACCATGGACAGCCCAGCGTGGTCCCAGGCTTTGCTCGACAATCCGGTCGATATCTGCTGCCGATGCGACGCCCTGCTCGACGAGATATGCGGCTTCGCGTAGTAAGGCCATGGCCAATCGATTGGCAACAAATCCCGTTACTTCCTTACGCAAGATGACGGGCTGTCGACCTCGCGAATTCCAATAGGCCAGAGTTCTTTGTACGAGTACATCCTCCTCCGTCTTCTCACCCGAGGTCGAGGCCTTATCCGCACCTGAGGTGGAGGTGACTAGTTCGAGGAGAGGCATGATATGCGGGGGATTGAAGGGGTGCAACACGAGCAGTCTCTCCGGCTGCAGCATCAGGGCCCCTTGGGTGGATGCGGTAATCCCGGATGTACTCGTCCAGAATAGAGCCGATATCGGAGCATTGGCTTCGATTTCGGCCCATATTTTCTGCTTGAAGGCTACGTTCTCCGGCCCTTGCTCCTGCACGAGGTCGGCGTCTTTCACCGCGGCGGCCAGGGTCTCGGCAAGCACGAGTTGCCCGGATTCGAGCAGCGAAGACACGGTAGGGGCCGTTGCGTACGACGCTTTTTGGGCAGTTGATGCCCAGACATTTGAGAGGTAGCCTGAAGGAGAGATCACGATGTCGGTTAAATGGCTTAGGGCGTGAGTAGGCGTTGGGCGGCGACCTACCTGGTAGAGTCTCATCGATATACTCCTTTAATTGAGGCCGAGGGTCATAGATGCTAACTCTTGTTTTCCCTCCCGATGCCGAGATTGTCATGAGGTGCAGAGCTGCAAATGATAACCCGATGGTTCCGGTACCAATAAGGGCGGCATTGTATTCATAGTTTGACATGGTGGCTGGACAAATGGGTTAGCTTTGGATCATTTCAACACTTTCAGGACTGCGGGATTGCAATGAAACCGACTTAAGTGTTATGCCAGTATATCTTCCTGCACGTATGGATCGGTTGTTGATTGCCGGCTTCCGATGATGTATATGTTTGATGTAGATGAGGTGTCAAGAAACCACACGCAAACCACGTCATCTCAGCGAACCTCGGTTACTTTCTTTCCAGACTCTTTTGTACTTGATGATCTAATCCCAACCAGATGACCGAATCGGACCAATCAGCCGCAGCCTAACGTTGAAGTTTAACGTTAGAACGGTTTAGTAGAGCCACCAGCAGACAAGTTGATATTGAAGGGATTGAGAACGCGGCCCCAAAGAGAGTCGCTCTCGAGGTGCATGATAGTCTGCGGCTGGTTTGTCTTGCAGTAGAAGACCGCACCAAGGGATCGCAGGATGGAAGTCATATGGCAGTCCTCCTTATCCTTGACCAATGTCGCTAACTTGACGACAAGGCCTACCATTAACGCCTCAAAAAGAAGGAAAATAACAAGAAGGATGAACGAGGGGTAGAAAGGGGGAAATGACCTAAACGACGAACTTAGTGTGAAGGAGATCCTTCTGGGTCGCCGTGAAGCCGTCTAGCTCGCGCGGCCACGAACTTCATTCGAAATTAGGTGATGTGTGGACTGCATGATGGGGCAGATCAAGGACTGGAACGTTAGAACCTATATCGATCAGGATGGGTGCTCGTGGTACACAGCTCAGGTCGCGTCCTTGTATCTCGTCGCGATGATTATCGAATCTCCGGACATGTCTCTACGCGTTGTTTATCAGTCAACCTCACAGGGAATATAACAAATTCAGTAGGAGATGGGGGAGCAAGCTAATTCTGGCTGTCTGCAAAGAAATTCCACATCTGCGTCGGGGATCGGTAGCTTCTTCAAGGTGTAGTGGAAGGACTTCTTGCTAGACATTCCCCTATTAGCTGCAGAAGGCCTTCGCGCAGTTCCGAAACTCTATGGAGAACATGTTCCCGATCGGGACGATATCACGGACTTTAGATCCGGGGCGATGGCGGGCGGCAAAGCAGTTTGTCTCTGGCATATCAGGTGGAGAAGCTGATTTGTTTCTACAACTATACACTGAGGATAGCCGTGGCGGGGCCCGCGGAATTGGCAAGGGGCTAGGCAAAGGCGTTGTTGGATTCACAACTAAGGTTTTGTCCGGTCAGTTTGCTTTCCAAAGTTCAACTTGCCTTGATGAGAAACTAACCGCGAGTGCAGCCCCCCGTTAGCCTCATTGCCGACTCGTTCGAGGGAATCTATCCCGATATTCAGAGCCTAGCCCCACAAGGTGGGAAACATTTAGACCCACCAGTATGTGGAGTGAACATACCTGCTTCAAGTCGAACTGGCCAAGGAGGGTTCCTGAGGCATCGGTTTCTTAATGAGAAGCGGTTGGTTGGCTTGCACAGGCCATTGGCTCTATTATTTGCTGAGTCAGCTTGTTTGCAGCCGCTCTCTTCTGATGGATTCTCTACGCTCTTAAGGTGTGATGTGCAGATCAAGTCCGATGATTCAAGTCACGTCGTCGCGAACAACGAAAGAAGATGGTGTTTCATTGCGATCACCCCGGCTGCACACGCTCATACTTGCGTAAGGAGCACCTTACCCGTCACCAGCGACAACATTCAGTAGTCCCAGAGTTTCCCTGCCATGTCTGTTCCTAGACATTTTCAAGGAAGTAAGCAATCGCTCTAGCAGGTGACTTAATGCGATCTACTAGTCAATGCGGGCAGCTTTTCAGATTAACCTTGGCTTTCCGGCAGCGATATACTTCGTCGTCATCTGCTGACGCATAACACTTCCGGAACACCCGGGAGAGCATCACAGGCGTGCCGGCCTTGTAACGCTGCGAAGACGCGATGCGATGGCCAAGGCCCGCAGTGCGCCCGATGCCGCACGCGGAATATCGTGTGCGACTGGCCGCATCAAAAACGGAAACTTTCAGATTCCCAGACCTGTTCAACTAATTTGGAGACGGAGCAGCAGCCTAGACTCGATCAACCCGTAGTGGATGCAGCCTCTTGGGGCCCCTTTTTGGACATGTATTTCGACCATATCCACCCTAGATGGCCAGTATTACATCGCGAGAGCTTCATGTCAAAGCAGCAACCTCCCATTTTGCTTCGTACTGTTGTGACGATAGGACGGTTGCTCGGTGGTGCGGCCTCAGAAATGGGAGCAGAAGCTAGACTAGACCTTGAAGCGCTCATCAAACGTACAAGACATGAACTGGTAGGTGTCTAAGGAAATAACTCCTGCTCGTCGAAATGATATAGGGTAATTTAAGGTTCGCTAACAACTTCCCCCCCCTTTGCCCCCCTTGCTAGCCCGAGTTAGTGCAGAAGGCGAACTGTGGGGTGTTACACCTCTCGCCCGAGCTACTTCCTACTCTTCAAGCCATGTTTCTCCAAGCAGTCCTGCCATTACACTTAGGCCACCAAACCGCTAGTGAGCTGGGATCAGTGCCCAGCATGCTATTCCACGTCCTACAGCGGATTGGGGCTTTCAAGCAAAGCATTATTCACACTGGCACCAGGCGAGACTGGCTGTCCAGTGAGCTCTATCAACGGTGAGTACGAGCACTATCGCCGCCAAGATCTCGAACTCATTTAACCGGATGTAATGCTGTTAGTTTTGTGCTCTGCGTAATCAAGCTCGAAATCATAAAGCATTCGGACAATTCGGGAAAACTTGGCTTTCCCCCTCATATAGACCCGCTCACGATACGCATCAAGATACCCTTGCCTTTATCCATGTGGGACCAACCATCATGGAATCCTCTAGACGCCTCGATGCAGGATATTGATGACGAACAGGAGGAAAATAATCTTTTAATCATTGGTAGTATTTGCGAACGGCCGGGGCTTCGTGGAAATATGGTTCCCCTGTTTGCTCTCCGGTCTTTTGATGAAACCCTGGGCAAGGCCATTGAGAGCTGGTGCAACCCAAACAAAGCTAGGCCAACAATGTCTTGAATTGTTCTATTGCACTGCTGTTGCACTCCGCTTGGAATAGAGCCCCGGGGTTTCCGTGACTGTTTGCTAAGCAGAGAGGCAAATTTTCGGTTAGAATCTCCCCCCGGCTCTCCAACTCAACGGTGATGAGGTTTCGTATGTGTAGCCGCCATCCTCCCCACGCAGTACCACTTTTAAGGGCCAGACGCAGTATATAGATCCAGATCAAATGCAACTTTTATCTTCCATACTCCATGTTGCATTTAACTTAGTCGGTGTTAAGTCGGCCATCAGCTATGCTAAGAAAAGGGAGGCGAGCCCAATAATTTCTTAACGCGGGAAGAAAGCGTTCAATCAGCTGCCATTGGCCTTGTCTAAATACATCTGACATATCATCGCTTCATGGTTCTCACAGAGGAGCGTAATTAGAGCTATACTTATTATGCTCACTAAAAATTATCCATCCCACCGGTTCACGTCAATGTTGTTGGATCAGGCCGGATTATTAATGACCCAGATTAGTTATCCGCAAAATCACAGGTTGCTGAGGAGAGCCGGTGGGACGGGTTCGACGGCGGCGATGGGTATTTAAGATGTTCGAGAGCCTTCCACTGACCAGTCCTATTTCTCTATATGCAGACCGTTTTAGCTTCTCCAGAAAAAAAATATTTGCACCATGGTTGAAAATTTTAACTATATCAAAGCCTTGCAGCTTGCAAGTTTGTTGGGTTCAACCCACATGGGAGGTGCGCTTGCTTTCCGCACAAGTTGGATTGTGACAAGGATACAACATACAACCAAGCTTGTCTTACATAATACTTACAAGAAACTATGAATCAGGATTCCATTTTGCTTCCGATTCCGTTGCACTTCCCAATATACTCATCCTGAACGATAAGCCATCGATGGTTAAGTCATGGTTTCGCGGTTGGGACGTTGGTCGTAGGTATGGGCCTACTTTGATTTTTAGCCCAGCTGTCGGTTTTGCATTGGTTGCTTGGCAAGGTGAGCAGGCCCCCACCCCCTTTAGTTTTGGACTCGGAATGCTGATCGGATGATCTCATCATTTACAGAGGGGTCGCAACACCCGGCGTTCCTCTATAATGCTGCAGCATCCGCATTTCTCGCATTGGTGGTTCCGTTCACCCAGTTTGTTGTTTTTCCGATCAACGATGAGTTGCTCGCCGAGAAAGAACGTGTACTCGCGGCGGAGAAAACTCGAGACGGAAATAACAAAGGCTTTAGCTTAGAGATTACAAGGGATTGGGTGCGACGTTGGAAGAAGGGTGATGCTTTCCGAATGGGACTGGTGCACCTTGCCATTCTAGCAGGGGCGATTGCAGTATTCAAATCTTAACAGTGGCTAGGATCGAGTCCCATCATGTATGTAGTCTAGATTGAGGTGGCTTGGGACGGGGGGGAATTCATTGGCTCATTCATTGGCTCCCATTAACAATCCCATGTTTATTCCTAATTCTTACCATTGTGAGAAAGGGCGGCGGCATTGGCGTTGCAACCAAAGATCTGAACCCTGGACGCCCAGATATGGCGTTGGCGATCTTGCCAGAAAGCGGGGTCAGGTTTGCTTTGTTGTTCACCAGGACACGTGACTGGAGGATGATTGGAGGACCCCCTCCATGCGATGAAGAATCACTCGAATCACTTTCAAACCTCGATTTTGTCTTCCGTGTTGACTCATTTCCCTGAGATCTATTGGGGTTCCTGCGAAACAGAGCGTCCTTTTGGTAGTAAGACCCTCTCTTATCAAGTCATTATGGAGCCTCCGGTAACGGTTACATCGCCGCCTGCGGCTTCCCGCCTGCCAGCCGAGACCCTCATAGCAATCATGAGCTTTTTCGTGCCGACTGAACCTGTTTCCACGCCAGCCACCACTGGGGGCCGACTAGAAGTCAAGCCTTATGTTGATGAATACCGCCGAACACTTTTGAATTGCTGTTTATCATCTCGGCTACTACTTCCAGCAGCTACCAGCTGTCTTTATTATACAGTGACCATTAAGAATTACCGACAACTCCTCTGTTTCTTCCGAACACTCAATACGGTACCATCAACTCCAGACCTAGTAAGGTCATTCTCCTGGCTTGGTGCCCCGCCGAATAAATATCAACCGATCGAAGACAGCTATCTTTCTTTGTTTAGAGAGTGTTGTCAGTTGATACCTCGACCCCTTTCTGAGTTCGACCTCTTTATTATGCGCCTCATGTCCCTTGACAAGCCAGATGCGGAAGCCTGGGGTGTACTCGGGTACATCCTTTTTAAACTTCCCAGAATCGAGTCTCTTACTACAACTGTCAATCATTTTACCACTCCGGGTCCATCAATAGATGAAGTGACAGCAAGTTATCTTGCAGCAGGCCGCCCACCTGAACATCTAGAGGCCTGGATAAGACGCACCAGAACCAAACATTATATCCCCGAGTTAGCTGCTTTCGACACGGCCTACGCCGGCATGAAGCGCATGACTCCATGGGCGCCTGAACACGTTCCCTTTCTACCAAATCTCAGGACTCTAATCCTAGATCCAGCCGGCATGAAAGACCTGGAAGGCGACCCCAGCGCTATCATAGTTCGCAGTTGTGTTTTCGGTTCTTCCCAGCTTCGCAGTATCCAGATTAGTGGTACTTTTGACCCGTCTAGGTTGTTTTCGCTTACAAGGGCTGCTGGGTACTTCCCAACTGAGGTGGGAAAGTCTGTGAGGGACATAGTCTGCTATGGCTTGAATGGCTCTGTCCGTCCATTCCAATGTTTACCAGAGGCATTTCCGAAATTGGTCTCGCTTCGCCTGTGTTTCGAGGATGGATCCGATGCATTCCAGTCTAATCTCAGCCCACTTCGCAGCCTAGGAGGAACACTTCGGGTTTTAGCCGTCACTGGCACGCCGGAAAAGTTGTGGAATTGGGTCCATCGCCACAGTCTTACGACTGATCTCCGATATCTGGTTACTCTGCAGCATCTCACAATTGATTTTGCCTGGTTGGTTCCAATGAGGAGCCCTCTCGCTGCTTTCCAGATAGCCACTCTCCTTCCACGGTCCCTTTTAACCTTGCATCTTATCGACTACTGGGGTGTCCCCACCAAATTCTTTTTAAAGTCCGATGGCCACGGCCAGTCGGGAAGATACCACCCACCCCCTTTTGCCTTGGTGCCGCTCGAATACTTCGCCCGAGTACTTAGAAATTTGCACCAAAACTGCGAGTCAGCTACATTACAGCTTCAGGACGTGCGACTCTCTTCGCCGTGCTTCTCTGGTAACCACGCCAGTGGGACACCCGAGGACGACTTCAGAGTTTTATGGGCAGAGAAATTCGGGGCACTTGGCGTTGCCTTTTCAACAGAGGCTATTGAAGTGTCACATGCGAACAAGCAATCATGGTGGGAAGACTCTATCCCGGCGTCACACACTGAAACGGAAGCGTGAATGTAGGCGGAAAATAGCGAAATCAATTGACACCCTAGCTAGGAATATCCCTTACCAAAACGAGTGACTCACTTAACCCCCGAACCATCTCTATTGTATTCCCCTAACCCTATTCCCACCGGGTCTCCAATTCTCAACCTTCCAACTTACCTGACTAATTGACTCCGTTGGCCCAGTTGACTCCGTTGGCCCAGTTGACTCCGTTGACTCCGTTGACCCCGTTGACCCCGCTGTCATCATTATCCACTCCCTCCTGGTGACCGGAATGCCTATCCCCTGGGCAAAACACATCCTCGGTTCCATAATAACGAGTTCCCTCGCAATGGCTGCAGGGAAGCTTCGGGAAACCCATGCCCCTACAGGGATCGCAATACATAGAACCAACCTCTTCACCTCGCTCATTGTAAACGGCGGTATTTCCCTCTCCGTTGCAAGTATCACATGGAATGGTGCTGAAGTCTTCCCCTTCCCCAGATCCACCACAGTCCTCACAAAGGAGTGGTCTCTCAATGAGAGGCGCCGGGCCGTAGCGAGCGGAGGAGCATTCCTCGCACAACTCAGGAAGCACGCGATGGGGCATATTGGCGTAGTCGACTGTGTTTCGGGATGTTGATGGTCCGAGATGGATATGTGTACGTGATTTGATTTGAGTGTTCTTTTGAATACCACAGGGGGAAAAGAGTGGAAAGTGAAGAGAGAATTTAGTGATTGAGAAAGGGTCGTTCAAGTGTGGACTTGGAGCGTTGTTATATGGAGGGATTGTCAAAATTTCTGAGTGGCTTGAGTGTGGTGGTTGAGGTGCGATGGAGAGAATGAATTTTTGAGGTTTCCAATCGGGATCATCTTGGGTTTATATACACGCCCGTTTCTGCTGGAGGCGCCGTTAGCATGAGATTCGTTTCTCATCAGTCTTGAGTTGTCTAACCAACCCTTGGAGCAGATGTTCCAAGATGAGCCCTCGTGCCTCAACATTAGCCGTGGCATATTTTTTTTTCCATTTTCACACTTCTACATTTCCAATGGATATGAGTCAGTTGCCGGAAAAGGTGTGGCTCGCGGACACCCCAGGAAGGGAGTAGGAATGTCTCAAGACGACCAACTGCATACGGACTCTCGAATGAGATTTCAGATACTTTGGGTCTTGTGGACATACTCACACCTTCACAACCTGCGCCGCGGGGCTAAGGCGGTTAGTGAATCCAACAGGCGCGGAGGGATCAGCTCCAAAGCTATCATATCTCATGATGCTACCTTCGTTAGTCCTATATGGACCGGTCCAGAACCTGCGTGCTTGAAGGTGTGGGTGGTATTAGAATCGGTCACAAGATGAGCCTCACCGGAGAAGGCCCATCCAGAAGCCATGAAGGGTGCGCAGCAATGCCAACAGGGTGGGATGATGACCCCATCATCCCTCAAAAAGAAAAAAGGTCTTAGTAGATAGTGTGGGTGACAGAGTGGGTGGCTTGTCCGACGACACCTTAGACGATTGGGCGGGTGAGTGAGATTCGGTCTTTAGCCGCCGGCTATGGAGCAACAGCTCGAATGATACACTTGCCAATGGCTCGCGAATGCAAAGTTGATCGAGCTTGGCCATGGGTCCAGGGGCAGGCCGGGCTCCCTCCTCAAAGGCGAAGCGTCACGGAACTTGGTCCGGGACCATCTAGAAAAATAGAAATCTATTCTAGTCGTGCGGCTTTCCACTTCAACTTCGGAGGGGGTCGCATCGGCGGGATTGTGACTGCGAGAGCAGAAGCGAGGGGTGGTGCTCAGGTTTGTCGCCGATGCGCGTACGGTGGGATTTCATTGGCCCATTTCAGAAACACGACCCGACCGCTTGGAACCGCAGGCGAGTAGCTCAAACCAGGAGCCAATAAGAATGCAATTTTTCCGTGAGGGTGTGAAGGTTTGTGTCCCCAACCCGCAAAGATCGAACAGACTGCTCAGAGGGTTCCACTTATTTCGGAGGGACACATGAGACAGACCATGACGGGGTGGGTGGCCCGCCAGCGTCAAGAAGCGCTGGCCCAAAGTTGAGCCACGAAATGTGACGAGAAATCAGCCTATTTTTTGTGAAATGGAAATACTACTCAGAAAGTCCAAGGTGGTGGTTGTAGGAGATCCATCCAAAGCCACTCCTGAATCGGCCAGTAAGGGACGCCGGCGATAACCACGAAGCAATGAACGACGTGAAGGATTGTATCGTGGGAGTTCTTGCTATTTAGGCTGCAAGAATTCTGTCCGGGATGATCGATTCATGTCGCAATCACATTCGCCATCACATTCTCATCACATTCTCCCAGTCATTTTGATCTCGTATCAACAGCATTACCAACCAAGTCTCTTTCCTTGATTACTTGTCCCTTCTAACCGTTTACATCATGCGTGAGTATTCCGTTATGGTCAGATGCTGGCTTTTTAGATGAGACTAACCCAATGTTATAACGTCAGATGCCATTTCCCTCACCTACCTTACTTTCTTTCTTCCTGTTCCAATCGCCGTCTTCTATGGTAAGTTATATGTCTCTTGATGATAAATTAATTTTTGTTCCAGAAATGCTGAGTATATGAAAATTCTAGCGCTCTCCCTTGCCGGGTGTACTTCGACATCTCCTGCCCTCCCGTCGATTTATCTTGCGAGTGTCGACACGTCATCCGGTCTTACGGTCCGCATTGGCTACTTTGGTATGGCTTCTTGTTTCTCACTGGTTGGACCGAAGTTGTTTTTCAATATACTGATAATCACAAGGTGCCTGTGTGCTACTCAACAGTACTCTTTCCTGTGTTACCACACCATATGGAACCTCTCCGGCGGATGCAGGTACTGCTCTTGGGCTTCCGGCGAGTCAGCCGTTGGCGCAAGGCGAAGAGACTAGGCAGCAAGATTCCCCTCTGCAAATTGCCTTCGACCTACAGAGGAAGATATTTCTCAGTCTCATTGCAGAAGCGGCGGCCCTGTTCGGCTTTAGCCTCCTCCTCCTCCTGCTCAGTCTTTATGTCGCGAAGAAAAGCGGTGCTGCCACCGAAAACACTTTTGGCAGCCGCTTTCTACACCGTTCCCCAACCATATTCCTCAATATTTCCACTGGGCTTGCCCTCGTCGTGGCAGTCTCAATCACACAAACGGGCAACGCCTTGGAATATGTGAGTTCTCGAGAAGCGGGTGGGCTGCAGGTCACGGCGGGCAGGGTCATTCAAGTTTTGCAATGGCTTGCGTTTGGATTTTCGGCCTTGTTTTCTTTCATCACAAGTGTTCGATGGAGCAGGCAAAGACGCGTTGGATTGGGCGTTCAGAGTACTCCCTTGCGTCTGCCTCCTAAGACGACCGCAGCAGGAGTTCAAGTTCACCCAAATGCACTTGCGCGTAAGCCAGTTCCAGCTCAGCAGATTCCAATGAGGCCTGCAATTCAGAACGCTCAAGCTCCTGCCATATTCCCCCAAATGGGCCAAATGCAAGCAATTAGGTAGGCCCAAGAAAGCCCGCTTACGAAGGCATACGGAAAGCGGTTAGGTTGCGATCGAATGCCCGGTCTCTTCCCACGGTCAACCCTATCATCCTAGATGTGTGTGTTGAGTTAGTTTGTCACATGTTGTCGATAGTTGCAGTATAAGGCGTCAAAATTCATGCTTTGTTTTCTTTTCCATTCCATAATATGAAATGTTTTCTCCAGTCCTAGGTATATAAATTTATTGTGACGCTCCATCCCAGTATGCTGTCCCAATCTTACAGATCCTCGCATGTAATTCCGTACCAGTCTGTGAACGTCAGCCTACTATTATAGTCCTATATCAAGTACTAAGTAAATATAGTATCAGCTTTAGGTTATCCCAGAGACATAAAGACAGTACCACAGATTCTTACATATAATTTAAGTCGAGGAACAGTATAAGAAGGACTTTACTTTACAACCACTGTGATGGGGAGAAAGGTGACTGTGGGGAAGAAGATGCAGTCCTTCTTCCTGTGAAGAAGAGGGCGAGGGGTGGAGAAACATTATTCCTTGCCACAAAGCTGGCAATAGCTATCTTTTCTTTCCTCTCATTAGGGACAGTTACTCTTTTAGTTCTTCAAGTTAGTACTTCTTGATTCAATTGACCTCATTCTTACCCAGTTCTTATGGATCTTCTTATGTGGTGACTCCAGATCGTTTTACTACTTGTTTTGTGTGCCCAAGTGTCCCCTATTAGACACTTACAAGATCCTTCCACCTCTCCCTATTCAGAGGTCCCTTTCTTGTGTGTTCTGGTGTTATTTCCATTGATCAACAGAACCGACATCTGTCCATTCCTGTGCGGGGCCTTGCAGCAGCTTCTTGCAGGAATTGTTCCAGACTATTGACCACCTGTTTCCTTTTTCGTCTTTGTGATGAGCGGGTAGGCTGCACTGCTCCATTTCACCGCCCTTTGCCAGGGAGCAACTTACAAGGCCGACAGAACTGGCCGAGCAGGCCGGCGTGGCAAGCATTGGGCCTAAGCACACTAGAGCAAATCTCGAAAGGCTTGGGACGAGGCTTTCTAACAGGACATAATTATGAACAATAGAAATGAGATTTATTTCATCCTAACATTATTTCACATAACTATACCTCTATCTTATTGGCAAAGCTGTGATCAAAAGATTCCAATAGTGGCTGATTTGTTCTTCTAGATAATGGCAGCCTCAGATCATGTTAGCTGGAAAGCTATGGAACTGGTTTTCTAGGATTGCCGCCCCGGTTCACGGCCAGCAGTGCCGTTTCCAACAAGTCTGCTATAAACTTACACCCCATAGGTTGAGGGAGGCCTGGGAGGAATAAACTTCAACAATCGGGGTGTGCTCTCCTAAAACCCATCCCTGTTTAGAAGTTGGATTTTTTCTTACTGGTTGGTCGTGACTCTGATCCATGGCCAGTCAGACACAGAGCCAGCACGCACACAAAAAGGCTATAACAGCTTCATAGATTCATTCCAATCGCTCTATTCTTACCCTACCTTCTTGGACTCCATGCGCAAACAGGGGAAGCAAGTCAAGAGGCGTGATGAATGAATCATATGTCCGTGAGAATACGCACTCGGCGCAAGATCAATAAGTTGTATTCTTGCCCCGATGCATCTCTACTTTCCCCTTAGGCCGATGATCTATGTGATGTCCCTCATGTTAACCGACAATGTCAGGTAGTCGGTATGGATAGGATTCTACTTACACTTCTGAGGTAGCTCACAATGTGTGAATATACTGAAGAACCTCGATGGTGCCTTCCATTGTGGGTACTTTTGGCCATCCCTTGCCCTGGACAATGTGTGCGAACAATGCGTCGTATGTGGATATTCACCAACCTGGCTATCAATTGGTTTCCCTAGAAGAATTGCTCGGTGGAGCTTTCTCCAGGTAAAAGCGCAGTGGGAGTCGTGGTATTCCAGTGAGACGTAGGTGGGATTCGGGCCACCTGTTCGTCTCATGACCTCCTCCGACAGCTCCTCGTTGCCCTCGGGGTCGGCATACCAGTGCCAATCGCCGTGTTCCATGAATTCTCTCTCAAGCTCCTCATCGTAGCAGTCGGGATGTACCCAGGCTCCGGGTATAAAGTCGAAGACGCAGCCGTTCTTGAGCGCTTCCTCCGAAGAATTACCACAATGTCCCGACCCAAATGTTTTGGAAAGATATGGATCGGAGACAGTAGCTGGAGAATAAAGACCTAGAAGGTAGAAAAAAGCGGCAAAGATTAGGCCAGAGATGGCATAAAGAATGAGGATGGTAGATCGTCGCCGTGTCATCTGATGCTTGTCGCTCGCAGGAAGGGTGAAGCTGGAGGCTTCAAGACTGCTAAGAGAGTCGTCTCTCTCATATCGGAGCTTCTGATAATCATTGTCGAGTAGTTTGTGCTTTTGCTCTTCCATTTTGAACAATGGGAGAAGCTGAGAACAAGAGGGGCATGCCGCTCTCTGCCAGGGAAAATAGAACTGCCCTGAGAAGCAAAAGTGTATATGAGATGCCAGATTTCTTGTCTTCCAGATCTAGCGACATGGTTCCATACTCTGTGCTTCAGAATAGCTGAGAAAGGTGCACCACAATTATTGCCGAAGTACTGAATACTTCTCTGTGACCTCTACGCCCAGACAAAAGTACCAGACGCCAGCGTCTGTGCCATACCTCCTATCGGGTGCAGGGATTTCTTGTCTTCCGGAGCTCCTTGTCGCTGATGCTCCCTGTGTGAGCCGAAGGGTGGGAGTTAGGGGTGGGGCGGAGAGGATGCGACGCGACGAGGACCCGTAAGAGCCGCGCGTGGCATGGAATCCTCCCCTCCTCTGTTACGTTGATTGGGCAGAATAAAGGATCGCGTCCGAGGAAGCGGGGGTCCTCATCCGCTCAGCGGAAGGAATCGGCCCTGTTGGTCTTGGGCTCCGGTCATACCAATCCATCTACCAGAGCATGATTGGAAATAGCAAAGTTCCCTACAGCTCGCACGTCCATGGTGAGTTCGCAGATGGCGAAAAATGCCTAACAATGGCGCAGGCATTTACCGGACCAGTGAAAACTAATACCAGGGCTGTTGGTTGGCGGGGAAAACAACGCCAAACGGGGGCACAGCGCCCAATCAGAGGAACTCCAATGCAAGGGTGGTCTTACTCGTGCCGTGCCGCTACCTGTTCTGCAAGTCCTTTTGTCTTCAATGCATTCAATGCATTCAATGCGCATTCAATGCATTCAATGCAAAGCAGCTACGCCGCACTCCCCGTCTGGGAAGGCACGCCGATAGGTTACGCAGGACTACACTCAATTTGGCGCTCATAGCAAAAGTGCCGTAGTCCGAGAATGCAGCACCGATCTCCATCCGGAGAGATAAGAAGGCAGAGGTGGCAGCGCAGGGCGAGTTGAGCCGACCCTCCATCGCATGGAGACACCGATGGCGGCATGGAAAACCCGACCCCGCTGGGGCGGTGAGATGATAGGGAAATGGAGGTCGGGGATTCGAATGAGAACCCACATAGGAGTGTAGTGTAGATAGTCCCCGCCTGGCCCAGAACGCTTAGTGTATGTGTTTGTGCCACCTTACGACATTAAGGGAATGCGTCAGCCGAATGGTTAACGTCCGGTGGGCAACATCCTACTTGCCTAGCCGTGGAGGATTTTTTTGATACCGATTTCGTCGCCTGGTGGCATTCAGTGTGTCTGACATGGCGGGCGTGTGGTCGAGGGCTTTTTGGAGCTAGATTGTGGGGAGGGGAGAACTATAGGAGACCATCATCATGTTGCCGTAACGAGTTATGCCCGTGCCATGGTCGGGGATGCTAGATGGTGACCATTTCGTAGCAAAAAGAGTCGCCCGTCAATAGCTTTTGTTCGACTTTCCTTCCTTCTTTTCTCTGTCTCGGTCTAAGACACAATGAATTTAGACCATTGCTAACATCGCGTTGGCCTTGAACCTTTTTCTCACGCCAATACTTTTACACCACCCAACTTCCTTGGTTCATATCTTGTGATGGCTGCCAAGGAAGAAACTTTATTCTCGGAACAACGAGACAGTTTGCTCCGGGACTACAACAAACAAAGCTCGGAAGAGAACGACGCCGACGTTCCACAACCTCCCCAACTGCATATCCAGTCGCGGGCTCGCAGGACCCGACGCTTCCATTCACTCATAATCTTCCTTCTCCTCGCTACTTCCGGCGTCATCGCTGTCATCTTCATCGGCATTTTCGCCAAAAGCCAGGGCCCACATCACCACTTTAGACCGCTCAATGCTTCGGCGAACCCCGACCAGAGTTTTACCGAATCGATCGACTGTGGTCGAACGGCCGCTGAGGCCCGCGAACGAGGCTGCATATTCGATCTCATGCTTTCGACATGGATCCACGAATCTTGCTCTGACCGCGAGTTGATGAATAAATATCTTCTTGAGGGAAACTACACATACTACTACGATGAGAATATGGAGCATCAGATGCCTGAGGAAGAAGTTTGGCGTGGCGAGTATAGAACTATTTGGACCCAGGCCGAGTTCCATTTTCGACATTGCGTTTACTTGATGGACATGCAACTACGGTCGTACAAGACAGGGCGGCCAATCGAGGTGTCGATATACAACTTTGGCCACACAGATCACTGTGTTAACTTGACCCTTGGTCCAGATTGGCGTGGAAGAATGACAAGACTGCACGCATTGGTCGGAAAATGCGGGTTTCCAAAGATGACATAGCTTTCTTAGTACTATCTAAAGCCATTGAGATATTCCTCAGAAATTTCGTGTACTCTACTACATAGATCAATGATAGAACTAAGTTGGCAACTCTCTGTATTTTTCCCACCGAGTAAGGCCTGCCGCTCCCTCCCTCTTGGTAACAGGGCCCTAAGCCGGTTGGCTTCAACTCTGGCACCATTATTTTCTGGGAGCGACGAACATGCCGCGACGTGATATACCGAAAAGAAAATGCGGAACGAGTCAATTCTTTTGGCTGCCAACTTCAATTTCTAATCCAACCATCAACAAGAGTTTTTAATGGGCGGAAGGTCAGGCAATGCATTCAGATGATATTGGCACAAACCCTGTAGTGACATGTACCCCTGTACCCCGAAGTCCTTCGTTCATTCTATTGCCGCTCAACCTACATGATGATCTTTGTACCAGGATTGGCCCCGTTCAGGTGATTAGGGTTCGTCTTATTCGGATTCATGAGCCTGTACCAGTCATCGGCGGCGGGTAACTCCTTGACTCCCGGCGGCTTCCTGACGATCTTCGTGTACCTATCTACGTCGAGGGTGTTTTCCAGGTTCCAGCGCGTTATGGCGTCAAAGTCGACACATTGGCGGTTGATGCTGAATATCGGGAACGGTCTTTCGTGATTTTCGACCCAGTGGTAAGTGACGAGGTTGAGGTTGCCGCTGCACCGGAGCTCTTGCATGAGAATGTCGACGCAGTGATCAATGTGAAACTTCCATTGAGGCGTCTCGCGACTCTTGAAAGCCTCGGGATAGAGCTCTCCGTGTGCTAGTTTTCGGAGCGAGTTCAAGCAATGGAGTTGGTGATAGACGTCGAGAGCAGCCACGTAAGCGTCGTCGCCGAGGCCCCAATCTTTATCGTCTAGCTTTGCAGCCGTGGACGGGTCGACGCCCATGGCACGAAGTTGCCGTGCTGTTACAGGAAAGATTCGGTTTCTTGCATAGTCCTCCCATTGACTATCCGTCTCTTCACTGAATTGTCTGGCCATAGATGGGTTCTCGGGTGGCCAAAATGTGCCGTTTATCTTCTTGACCTGCGACTGGATGCGGAAAAGGTCATGAATAGGTGCTGGAGAAAGTTAATACTGATAACAAGATCAGTCTGGTGGGTTCCAGACTTAAAGACTGAGGCCTTACTGTATGATGACACTCTCCTGAATCTTGCGTTGAGTACAAGATAGTTGTTGTAGAACCACGTTCCGAAGAGCAATGTTGAGACAGAAAAGAGGACAAGGTTCAAAAGAGATAAACCAATAATGAAATTTCTCGTCGGTCGACTTGAAACTATCGATGATGTCTTCTCCATAAGCAAGCTATCATCTTCGCTCACCGAGGTTGAGTCTCTCGGCTCCGGCGCGCTCGAAATTCTGCTGTACTCAGTCTCCTTCATGACGGATACTCAGCAATGTCAAACGCTGAAGACTGGAGTAGTGACCGCTGAAGGGGCTTCTCGATTACACCGATCCTAAATGGATATTCCGGCCCTTCGGGCTAGGATTCGGTTAAAAGTTGGATGGTAAATTGATACCTCCGGCGTGCGGGCCAACATGGCCTCAGTTGGACGTCGTGTTTGGATGTGTCCAGGGATAGGACTGGGCCAGTGTTTGAGGGGTACGAGTGGTGTTATGCGGCGGGAGGCTGTAATTTGTTGGACGATCGTTTAGTACTGGTCTTGTGGGAGTGTTTACTGCAATGGTACGGATGCAATGGGATGCATGGATACATCCAGATGCATACATGATGACTGCATCAACATGTTTTGCCAAAGGAACTGCTACGGCATAGATCCACCTCGATGCTTCGCCACAAACGCCGTGTAACGTCTTGTGCATCCAAGAGCGGATGCGAAAACCTGACCAGTAAGACCAAGGCAAGCCCAAGGCAAGCCCAATATCTGCATGATCCAACAGGATATCGGAGTCTCCATGCCCCAGCTAAGCGGTGTTTTGGGAACACCTTGTCATAGCCAAAAAAAAAAAAAAAAAAAAAAAAAAAAAAAATTAACTCACGAAGTATAAGCATATGTGCATTAGCTATCCCCAGTGGAATCATGAAGCCTATATATCAAAGCGCCGAAGTACCCATATTGATTATACTCTTAATGGGTGGGATGTATGGAACAAATCAGCGGTGTCACCATCCGCCAGCAGCGTAGTAGATTTAGAAGCTAAGTTTGTAGATTATATGTATAAAGTCTCATACATCTGCCCACCTCCCCATCTTCCCATCTGCCCATCTTCCCTCAGATTCATCAACTATCGAACAATCAACAAGATTCAAGTCAGCTCTCCCTACGACTCCAACGTGTTCACCACTCTCCTTCTCACTCTGTTTTACTGCATCTCGGTATTCACAACTCTCGCCACTATGCAGACCTCTCGTTTCATTTCGGTGCTGGCCGTTTTCATTACTCTGGCTGTCGCCCTCACCGTTCCGCAGCAGGAGGAGCGTCGTGACGTGGATCTTGAATATGTTGCTGGTAAGATCGAGATTCCATCAGCTTCGCAAACAACCAGGGACTAGAAATAAGCTAATGAGTCGATGCAGAGTACAATGACAACAATGCCGTTGAATAAACTCTTCTTACTCCAAGCTCCCATTTCAGAAAGAGCTTTGTCAATTTATTCCTCTTTTCTGATAATGAAGAATGGGCAATGGAGAAGATGGCACTTGATGGGTACTGAGGGCTGATTGCGAGGGCTTCAGGAGAAAAGTTGACTTGAGCTATGAGGTAGTTTGGACAAATCTGGTGAGAATTAGCAGCATCCTTGCGCATCTGCGAATAGGTGATAATTGAGGGTTACGATGTATCAAAACCGCCTCGTCGCAATTGAAGCAATATGCAGTTAGTTCTGTCTAATGCTTTGCTAGCAACCGAGTGGTTCACGCAATGTGACTGTGACTTGACCTGCAGGGCCACTTTATATACTATTAGGAGTCCGAAAGGACGCCAAGAAGTAGGAATCGCAGGAACCAGACCAATACCACCATGCTTGCTGATCACCGCTGGTTTGAACGCATGAAAGGACATAGTACTTGCATGTAGGAATATATATAGCTGTCACATGGCGATGGAGTATGCCCTAGTGCGGCCCAGATTTCTATCTTTAGCTGCTTCATGCAAGTCAGTAGCACCATTTGCGCCTCGAATTCGTAAGCTTGAAATGCCCATAATATCAATTGTTGGTCAGGCAGCTGAAGGCGGGGGGGTCTGCCGCTTCTACACCGCACCGAGCCTTCCGACTTCTGGGTGGGATGTGGTGGGGAGTGTACTAGGAGAGTTCCTTCGACTTCATCCATCGTCCCCCTCTACTCGCTTCTGATTTGTATGCAGCTTTATTCTCCCTGTCGTTTCCCTCGGTCTCTTTTGCCTTTCACACTCTCCCCCTCTCCTTTTTTTCTGTCCGCATGGCGTGATTGAATCCCCAACGACGTCCCATCGCCAATTGCCGTCTACAGCCCTTGTCTTTCCTCCACGCAAATGGCTTTTTGTTTCCCCCGCCCAATAATTTGAGCTTTCCTATTCTTGCATTATCCGAATACATGTCGAAATGGCGGATCAATTAAGGACTCTTCTTACCCATGAACTATTTGAGACCCTGGTCAATGCCAAGCTCCCCTTCCCCATGACTGAGCCGCTTGACTTTGAGGATGTTGGCGAAAAGCAGTTCAAAGGCAAGGCCCCAATCCCTGATGAGGTGTTTGAGCGCATCTGGCCCGTTCTAGAAGCTCTGAGTAAGGTTGGGCTGTCGTCTATGCCGGACTTATTGCAGTTCCTCCCGCCACCCTCACGGGATGATTTCCCACGCCAGGCCCTGGGGCTGCAGCTACTTCTAGACCAGATGCCCAGGCATTTGTTAAAAGGCATTGATGGCCGCTGGAGATGCGCATACTTCGATGTCATCAGCGTTAAATACGCGCATACCTTGGACGCCCTACCCGACGAGCAAAAGCCGTGGGCATGGAGTCGCTGGAAGACATTTGCCACCCTTGACTTCTGGGTCCTTGCCCGAACCTGGCAAATTTGCCCTTTCGTCCACTCAGACGAGGCTTCAGACCAAGAACGGGCTCTGATCTTCTCTGAGGAGACCCGCAGAGTCGTCGAACAAGAGACTAACACTACCGATCCCCACCGTGAAGAGCGAGATGCCATCATGTCCAACCTTAATGGTGTTACCCAAATGATCAAGGAAGGACCACCTGGGTCTGGGGCTACCGTACAGACGTACGCGTATTGGATTTGCAAGCTCATGGACATCCATAAGCCCGTCGTGGACAAGTTTGGGCGTTACCCTTACAGAAATGCCTACTTTGGGAGAGAAAACACGCCCGAGGAAGATGCCTGGTTCGAGGCGCGGGGTGGATCTTTGAAGGCGCCCGAGGAACTCAAAAGCCGACTGAAACGGGACATAGATGCCGGGATTTGGACACCTCTAGGCGCTGGTCGAGATGTCTGACGCATGGCGGGTGGACCTTGAGTCAATGCTGAATACCCAAATCCTGAGTCCAACCCCCTCCTTTTCGCCCCTCAAGTTTCACTTGATCAAATTCAACACCATCATCTCCATTTTCATCCTCATCATCCAACTAGATACGATAATAGAGTGCTCTTCAAACCTTATACTCTCAACATCACTCTCTTCATTTACAGAAATAATTTCATTGATTCCTTGATTGGGCCCGCTATGTATGACGATGGCGTTACCAGTGCCTCAGTTGGCCGTTGTCTTGATAGCCAATTCTAATAGCACGATAATACCTGGACGTAGTCGTGGGCGTTTTGCAATGTCCACGGTACCGCCCAATATCGGTCGCTATAAAGGTTGGAAATGGACAAAATTAAACCCATATTTCACACTGTCAGTTAGTTCATTTCTGTTGAACTTTTAGATGGATTTGTGGATTCTGTGACACACCATGAGCCTGCTCGAACGAGGTTGTCACAGAATGCTCGGACGAGGACCAGCTCGAATCCTTGAGCTCAATTTGATCTCGGTATCGCTCTATCAAATCTGGTCGGTGTTAGGCGACGATAAGTAGAATATTGAGTTGAGGATCGGAGTAAAAGTCTGGCTGGTTGGCAAGGGGTTTGAATATGAGGAGAATAGGTCGAGGCTTTCCGTTTTGTTTTTCGTATAGAGCTCGCCTGAAATCTTTTGCCTTGCTTCCATCGATGGAGCTCAAGGGGCCGTGAAGAGTTTTGGTAGGCGGCGAGAGATGTGTTGAACGGGAGAATATAATGTTTTGATGTCTATGAGAACGAGTCACCGTAGGCTAGGTATCAAATTTTAGTTCGCTGTTCTGGATGGATGGACAGGAAATGACTGGCCTTGATGCATCCTTGAGATAGCCCTCCACTTAGAGGTTAAGGACCTCAACCAAGTCTGCAATAGGTTGGATAATTGACGTGGAGAAGGCGAGTCACCGTGAAGGTGGTGCAAGCAAGAGAAGAACGATGTGATATTAGTTTACGAGAAAGATGTCAGCATTGGACAAACTCTTTCTTTGAACCGCGCCTCGGTGTAACAGTTCTTTCGGATGTCGGGAAAATACTGATTTTAGGTGGGTTTTATCTCTTCCCAGACGCGAAGAGGGTTCTTTTTATCCCTGGCCAACGTTTCGTTTTCGTCTCATTCTCAACGACCGGTTCCAACTCGCCTCGGTACGAGTAACGACGGTTTGGGATGGGGTGACTCTACAGGTTCATGTGTCCGCCTAGGTTTAGTCTTGGGCTTGAACCCTCTCATCACGTTTTCGCGGGACGGTGGGCTACGTTTGTTCTCAACCGCCAACTATCTCCCAAAACACAAAACAGCTTGAGCACAAATCTTTACTTTTACAGTGAAATGGGTAGCCTTTCGCGTGCTGGTCTACAGCATAAACGGGAATCTGTAGGGATTAGAGACCTGCCCGTTGAGCTTTTGTTTGAGATCGCCCCCAACCTCGTCCTTGAGGATTTGGCACGCAACATGGACCCAACCGGCCATGGCTGCAATGCTGTGCCACAGGCTCTTCCCTATCAGCACGCAGCATAAACCACACACTTTTGCCACTTTCCAGAAGGCATGTCGCAAGTTCTTCCGTCGACGGCACAGGAAGTATACTGCCATTGTGGACGTTATGTGGAAGGACTGGGCGGCAGGGCTTCGTTGCTATTTTGAGCCTGATCCTATCGTTCATCCTAATGGCCAATGTCCGGAACGGGGACCAGAGCAACCGAATATATTGGCTTATGGTGAGGGTAATAGTGCATGGGATCATGATAAAGAGCAGATCTTTATTGACAATTTATATACCCGGAAGCGGAAAGTCCTACGGGGAGCCGGTTGGGACTGGTATACATTCCGGGCTCCTCCTTTTTACACGATGAGGACTTTATGATTTTGTGGGACACTATGGAGGGGGACTACGTTGTCTTTGACTTTAGGAGCCGGAGAGCGACTGCGTAGGTGCGCAAGTAGGTGAACAGGTTCAGAGCCGAGGTTTAGGGAGCTCATCGACATGGGGATGATTTCTGCAGACAGCCGGGTCACAACCCAGGCGGACTAGAAGCTCCGCAAGGGACTCTTAGACTGTCATGTTTCTTATAGCCTAGAGGGTCTCTGAATCAATAGTTCGTGTCCTGTCGATATCATTGTTGAATATTGAATGATTGCTGCGCTCCGAGGTCTAAGACTAGCATTTGCGAAAGACTACTATAAAACCCTATTGTAAGCAGTTGAATCTGTTCCGATTCGACATTGTCGGACCGAGCATGAAGGCGATAAATGCAGCTTTCATCTCCACTTCCGACGTTCATCTTATTCGCTTCATCATGGCCTTGTCGATCATGAAGTCTGCTCCAAATGTCGCATAGGAGAATATACATAAGCGGTTCATGGTCTTCTTTCTAGAGCTTACACCATCTAGCAAATAGTCCAATGTTTACCGTTGGTCATTTGATTCTGGGATATATTCCGAGGTCGAATCGCCCCTGGGGAGATCGCCATGGGGATTCTCCGAGGCCACTTCTTTCTTATACGGCTTCGTAATGTATTTAATATACCGTGAGCACCGCCATTGTTGTTTCCGACATCACTTGGCCGGCCTGCCCAGGCTATAGTCACGAACGAGATGAGGATAGAAATGAATACTAGACGGCTGCAGTGATGAGTCGGAAATAGTATAATAGCCATTTGGAGACGAGGTGGAGGTTGCCCAAGTTCATCGCTCTGGTGCCGCGCCAAGCTATGTCCACGACCGGAACCTCTTTAACCAGTGGCGCGTACGTAAATTAACAGGCCTTAACCTGAAATATCATTTCGATACTAACTTAAATACAGAAACATCGCCACCATCACGATACCGCAAGCCTCAAATGCCCGTCCTCATATCTAAACAATCTCGCCCTCGTCCTGCTCGCCCTTTCGCTCATCTCCCCCAGCTTCTCCAAACTATTCTGTTCCGCCACCATCTCCCCGCTAAGCGGGTGGTATATATACGGCAGAATAGACGACTTCCAGATCTGGCCGCGACTAGCCCGATTAACGATGATGGTGAGGAGAAGAAATACCGCAGCCGCGAAAACCACTCCAGCTGGAAGGATGAACCACGGCCAGCTCACATGGACATACGTCTCCTCGCGGAATGAAATTCCCTCTACCGTGACGGTGGTCGCATTGATCATGGCAGCGGCATCGTCTACAGCGTCATTAATGAAGACGAGATCGGTAGCCGTCACGCTGCGGATATAGTCACTCATGCGGTCGGCCAGGTTGTCCATCAGATGAGATAAGTTGGTGCTCTGGAAGAGAGTGTTGGAGATGTCGAAGCCACGCTCATCCAGGCCGCCGCTACTATCCTGGGCATTGTCGGAATACCTGCTGGTGGTGAATAGGGCGATGAGGGTGGCGGAAATAGCATTGAAGTCCGCACTGTTGATTACGAAGCTGTTGGTCGGTTTGTCTGTCGCGGGGAGGGTCCCGTATCCGACGTAGGTGGCGGTGGGGGCATTTTCAATGGAGAGGACAGAAGTCATGTTGATATCCCGAAAGTTGTAGGAGGGCGCGTCTGGCGAGCCATCGGTGACGCGAAATGCTCGATAGGTCCGCTCACAGAACCGGATGCTACACTCGGAGACGGTCCGTTCGTCGTTGACAGCTCCATGCTTGTCCGGAGGACCTTTCATAAGCGCAAAGGTCGCGAGGCTGACCGAACCGTTTCCACGAGCGGCAGTCGAATTGAGGTTGGTCCAATAGGAGGTTGCGGAGGATCCCTTGCCGTATGTCGCCGAGAGTTGGAATCCGCCTGGGGTGGTGACGTTGCAGGTCGAGATGATGGATGCCCCGTTGCCCGGGGCACACTTGCTCTTCGATTCTGCTGTGACATCCTCGCAAGATGCGCAGACACCTAGGGTGGACAGATCTGGAAATGTGCAGTTTCCCGTGGGGCAGGAGAAGTGCGGATCTCCCGCTTTTCCGTAAATCCCCATTAGAATAGCTCCCTGCATCCCCGGCTCAATTTGTTGGGCTGCAGAATTGTCAGCTTGGTAATCGTAGTAAGAACTGGACGAGGAGAGGAAAGAGGATGAGAGGAAATAGAAGACTTACCTTTCGCAAGACCTGTGCGAACTATTGTGCCAGAGTCATATGCCTGGGCCCTGCGTATCCACGCAGTAGCGGTATCGCTGGGGACGGTCCGAGAAGGGAAGGAGACGATCTGCTGAGCAAATGGATCTATCGCTAAAGCCAAAATGGTGATGATACAGCCGATGACTGCCAAGGCGTCCCTTCTCTTAGAATGCCATAACAGACAAAAAGACCCCCAGGGCCCGCGGCTCGCATCATCGAACCGTTGCATGTCGATAGTCTTACGGGCGTATCGGCGGAAGTACAACCACTTGAACTGGCTGATGCATTCGGCGACGGGGTAGAGTAAAGCCGCTTTTGCAACGGTGGCAAAGATGGAGATCAAGGCATTGGGGTTGATGGGCATATGCCACTGTGATAACGGTCGGTTGTCCATTGTGCCCAGGACCGCTGCGATTGCGCCGATGCATGCGATGCTAAGGAGGAGACTGAGGCATTCGAAAAGCCAATTATCCTCACCGATATTGACATCGAGACAGGAAGTGCGCTTCGTAGGGTACGGCTCCTCCTTCTGGGAGGAGGAAGATGTGTCTATGAGCGGATCATAGTCTGGGTTGGAAATTTCAAGTTGCCGGGTTCCATTCGGAGGGACATGTGCTGGAGCGCCTTGCTGGGTTACTGGAATCTGCTGAGGCACTGGAAGGCCTGATTGCGGGATAGACCCGAACTGTGCGGGTGGGTTCATTGTGTAATTATTGTAGGGTTCGGCCGGATTCCACGAGAGCGGCTCACCAGACCGCGCTCCGTCTTCACTCACTCGGTCGGACACGTGGGGAGAATGATACGGCCTCAGGGGCGGTGATGGAGAGCTAGACACTCGCTCTTGTGAGGACATCATCTTCCTCACTGGCGACTGCGACATGCGAGACGGTATTTATCGGCGCTTGCTCATAAAAAAGCGAGCGATGATGACGCTGAAAAGCTACTCATCATGGTTTGAAGTAAGTAAGGACTGCTGCTTTCTGTTCTGCTCTCACAGATTGCGGCTGAAACCGAAACGTATGCATGGGCCCAGGCGCGTCGATGTCCAATCAGTAAGACGGAAGTTGGTCTGAGGGATGGAAGGATCGGGCTCCGCCACGTCCTCAGAGACAGCTTGGCTTACATTAATTATTTATGCATGCTGCATACGAAGTAGAGCACTCCACATTTAGTGATTAACTCACCATCAACTGATCCTTCTACCGGGGTGGTCACGACGACGTCGTACGAACAAGGGGGGCAGTGAGGAGCCCTTGCATCAACTCTGCAGGGAGCGATCCTATCACGCCTCCGCGACCCGCCACGCTACACAAGAAGCCGAGGACAATAATTCAGCCAATTTCTTGCATCAGTCGGAAACCTTCCAACTTCTCCCCGCATTCGCATTTACTAGAGCCGACGACAAGAAGATTTGCAGAATCGACTCCTGTGCGAGAAGAAAGCCCTGGCTGGTAAGAGAGACACTCTTTTGGCCAATCCACACTCCACATGTGGGAAGCCCTGTTGCCGGGGTTGTCCGCTAACCAGTGAAGCAGCCCCAGCTCTCCAAGCGGGAGTTTTTCCACGATGAGCGACAACGAGTCGGACAACTACTCTCTGGAGGAGGAGGGGGATGAGAACTCCGGTCTCCCGACCTACTCTGCGGAGGAGATCGCCGACACGTTCTTGGACTTTTATCAATTCCTCACGACTCTCCACTACAACGCAGCCGACCTTAAAGTCGCTCCAGAGGAGGGATGGGGCGAATTGATCCCCGACAATTACGCCGAGATCAAGTCCGAAGAGGTCCTTGAAGTCCTGCGCAGGCTCCCCTACTTCAAGCACAATAACCAGGCGTTCCACTACAAGTCCTACCTAGTGGACTACACCGCTGTCGAGCGGGACTTCTTTGAGGAAGAGGATGAAAGAATGGAGTACCTAGAGATTTGGTGTAACGGCGGGGAGATCGTCGACCAAAAACACTGCATCCACATCGCTTGGGGCTATGAAAGTGGCGGTCGCGAATTCGTCCTGAACGTCCTCCACGGCGAAATCACGGAGGACATGCTCGAAGTAAATCAACTTGATTTCAAAGATATCCCGTCCTTCTTTGACGAGTTGAAAGAGCAGTACAGGACTTTGAAGCTGATCCCGTGCATCGGCAGGGAGACCCTCGAGGCGGACAGCGTGCCGGAGCGGGAGGATGAAGTCACAGAGGAGGAGTTCAAGGCGCAGACGGAAGAGAACTTCCCTACCGACTTGGACATCCAGTACATTCGGCAGCTCTACCGCAAACATGGCTGGCCCGAGGCATTCAGAAGGGAGGAATGCTTCAGGGCTGCGAAGGAGCTGTCGGACTCTTTGGAGGCCCAGGGGAGATACGGTTGGCCAGAAGTGGACGAGTCAATGAGCCACGTTAGGCAAGGTTGAAAGTTGGAATTTAGGCCGTGCGGCCAGTAAAATAATCATCTAGATAGAGAATTGAAATTGCCTGGCACCAGCCTAGAGATTACTTTTCAGCCCTCATATACTCTGTAGAGAAAAAATACGGAATGCTGGAGATGAGAAACGCACGGAGGTAGCAGGGGTAAATAATTGAAGGCCCCCTGTCTGGTCAAAGTCGCCACTGAACAAAGCCCTGGAAAATATCACGAAACTCGAAATACCCCCGTCAGCGCGTCCTGGGCTGTGGTTGTAGTCTTAGCGATATTCTTCTTCTAAAGAGTTGAAAGTCTGACGCGAAAAATTGGCTCACGCAAGATTGAATTCTGGAAGATTTTGCCCTATCACACAAGGAACCTTTTGACAATTTGTTCAGTGGTATTACTGGGATGCGTATTGCAGGGAATTCAGCTCTCAAACGAGAATAGAAAAGAGTGCACATAACGGTCGTAAAGGTCGGCAAGAATCCCAAAGCTGTATGTCCTCTTGATGATACAGTCAAAAACATAAAAGAAGATTGAATTAATGACTGGCGTTCTCGTACAAATTATCAGAAAAATGAGAAAATGCCCATCATGCCCATCGTAACCTTTAGAGTGGCGGCTTTTGCTCGCCGTACGGACTCATAGGAATTCCTGGCTGCATGAGCGGCACTTGAGCAGCATAGCCCGTCGCGGCGGCGAAAGGTCGACCAGCACCGCTCGCATTGGCACTGACGACCACAAGTTTGCCTCCATTGGAAACTTGCCAATCCTTGCTTGGCATGATGAGAGTACTCGTCTCCGGGTATAGGAAAGTCGTGTAGATCCTGCCCGGAGACACCTGTCGAAGCCGACGGCGAAGCTTTTCCAGGCTCGCCTTGCCGAGACACAGCGACACGAGCCAGAAGGCCCCGAGGGTGAGGAGGAAGAGAGCGAGGATAAAGGCCGGGATGCCGTAAACGAAGTTGTACGTGACCCTGTGGCCGATGGGGCGGACATAAACCTTGGCTGCCTCGGCTTCATCGCCGTTGTTCAGCGGGCCCAGGACACCTCTGGTGCCGACGACGGCAGAGGCCGAGATGTCTGTCCACATGAGGTTGAGGATTTTGGCGGCTTCATCCTGGCTTGTGGAAAGCTTCTGCCATCGAGTAAAGATCGCCATGCTCGCGAGGCCGACAAGGTCAAAAGGCCACTCAACGTCGGAGATATCAAAGACGCGGTTCATCGCCAGGAAAGCAAAGTCGCTGCCTGGGATATTTCGGTCCATAACGGGCGTCAGCGAAGGTGCAAACCCGCCCTGGTAACCCGGAAGATGGAAATAGGGCTGGCGAATACTCGACACATTCGCGTGCGAGGCATAGTCGTCGCTTATCAGACCCCAAATGGGTTGGATGCCGTCGACGTTCAGGCCGGACTCTTCGAAGCCCCAGAGCGGAATGTCCTTTTCGTCGTCGTACTTCTTCGGCTCAATCTTATCGACCCTCAGGCTAGCGAGTCCGTTGTTATCCGTTCCGTTATACGTGAACGTGACGGTCTTAACGATGGCTCGGACGGTGGCGGCGCACGCGTGCATTGGACTAGACCATTTTGACCCGTGCTCGAGCAGAGATGGAGAACCGCCGTCGGTTCGGCTCGGGGCACCGCGTAGCAGGCCGCAGCCGGTGTATATATTGGTGATGTTTGCAATATCGAGGCTGCCGGAGCCGGAGCAAATTGTCGTGATTGAATCGAACTCGTCCTTTGTGATATTATAGGGATTCGGATAATCAGGGATGCTTGAGAACGACAAGTTTGCAAACTCTAAGTGAAGGTATTGGCCGAACTCGCTCGATATCCCCAATGCTCTGTAGTCGTCGAGGGTACTAGTGGGCATTTCGAATTCCTTGCCGAGCTGTGAGTTCATGTAGGCGAAGGCCTTCAACCCCTTCTTCTCGTCATTTTGGTTGGTAACATTAAGGACAAGCATAGTTTGGGCGTTGTTGAGGTACGCAGCCTTATAGGCCCGGGCAACGAGATCGGGATTGCTCTGCGCGTTGTCATGGTCGTACTGGGGATACGTGGTGTTGAGATTGACGAAGCCTCCGCGGTCGACTAGGCGAAGGTTGCTAATGCCCGAGGAGGAGGTGGACCCGCGGTCGATGGTAAAGTCGAAGGTCAAGTTAGTATTCACACAGGCAGCCTCCGGCTCGATGAACAAGATATCCTCCTGCCAGGTGGCACCTCGACTAAGACCGACCGGAATGGAATGGTTCCGGAAGCCAATGCCGCCGTCTTTCGCATCAACCACGAGTCCCTCTATGACTTTGTACTCGTTGTCAAGGATGAACGAGTCCAACTGGCGATATAGGCCTGCATCGAAAGTCTTGTTGTTATTGACGATCTTATTGGAGGTGGTGGAGAGTTGTCGCCATTCAATATCGAAGTAGTTAGAGATCGTTGTACGCTTTCCCTTGGTTCCGCTTGAGAAAATCTCCCTGAGGATGTCGGGAATGAACGGAGACATCCCCTCGTCAGGGAAGTGGTACGTGACCGAACCGTTGTCCCGGTCAACAGTTACGACATCGCCAACGTAAGGACAGCCGATCGGGCCGGACATAAAACCAAAGCCCTGGGTGCAGACTCGCGTCAACCGAGCCTTTCCTCTTTCCGAAGTCGCATGGCCGTAGGGGCTGATATCCCTTAGATATTCAAAGCGACCCGGTGTGGACGACAGGATGTTAAGCTCCTCTCCCAGCCCAAGGGGCGTGACTATTCCTGCAACAGCAAGAAGAATCGCGATGATGGGGAAACAAGCAGAAAGGATTTTGATAATGAAGCGAAGGTTGCGGGATCCGCCGGAGACATCGTACCGAAGGAGAGCGGGCCACAACGTCGTGACCAGCCTCTGGTTTACTTTAGTCCTAATGGGATGAAGAGTCTATCAGTAAATGCTCATATGCTCATCTTCATAGAGAAATTGGAAATTGAGCGAGACTTACCATGTGCTTGCGGTCTCAGAGTCACGAAGATAGCCCGCGAGAAGAAGTCCCAAAACGAGAGGAGCAATGAGCTGAACTGTAGTTTACCCCCGGCGTTAACTGACGGTCTTCTCAAATGACTGAAAGTTGGGCTTCTTACTAGCGACAAAGATGAAGGCGATGATACCCGCCACCTGACCAACGGTTACTTCCGCCATGGCTGTGGGTCTGTAAAACGAGTGTGTTCACCACAGTTCAATATCGAATCGGCTATCTTGCGGGTGACTGAATAGTGACAGAAGAGCCTTCTCCCATTCGACTGAGAGGGGGGACGGGGACTGATGGGGGTTCAATGACCACGGTCATCGGCTCCTTATATGCCTGCCTTTCCCCAGTCAATACGCGGGCGGGATCTCTCTCTCCAGGCGCAAGGGAGAGCCGTTGCGCTAAGTTAGTCGAAACTGGTGCTTGCATCTTTCCGATATCCACGCAATTCGTATTGGTGGCTTGAGAAGCCTTCGCACCACAAGTCGACGGAAGTAGTGTTGCCTGTGTACGCTACTTCGTAGGGCTCAGGGGTTCTCAACGGCGACCCCTGGCGCCATTTTTCCATCGGGCCAAGGATCGCCTCTTGACAGTGTCCGCGAGTCGCGACGATTGGCCAGCCCTAGAAATTACCCTGGTGTGACAGCGTGCCACCCCTGTCCGTAAGCCACGGAGGAACTTTAGGGCGACCCAACGATCCGAGATCGAGGATCCTTTCCTTTCTGGAATAGGTGAAGAAACCCCAAGAAACTTAATATCCCATCCCGAGCCTGGGAGTGGCTGTCGGAACGAAGAAAGAGTCCACTCGAGATTTTGAAGGTTGGTCATCGCGTACCGAAACCCTCGATGGGCTGTGGAAAACAGCATCTCCGCTGGTGCACGCATGCATGAGCTTGTACTCTCCACTCCACTCCCCCCTTTTTTGAGAATCCCCACTGCCGATAAACAACTTCATGGATAAAGATTGACGTTCTGATTTCCCTTTTGTGCAGAGCCAAGACTTTCTCATCAGTCCAAATCGCAGTCGATACCCTTTTGGGCTAAAATCCGACGCCCTGGGCCAACCGTCAAGGGCGGGACCAAGACAGCCCTTTGGACAAATTTTTATGCCTTTAAGATGGCGCATGGAGCATCATTTCCCACTTGGGCCCACAGTTTGTCTTGTCGAAAATTTGATTTAGTTTATATCCCCTCCCACGATAGCATTCCCCCTCCCATGCGCCACGAAGTGGTAATAGATCACAAGTCTCATCGAACAGTAGTTTACAAGGTAGTTTATGAACCCGACAAGGGCTGAATGGGAACGTCATCCGGGTTTCCGTTGCCCTCTGACCCCCCCCTGCCCTTGGGAGGAAGATGATCGACATTGCGTTTTCCCTCGCTACTTTTATCTCATCTGTGCAACCGTAACGCCGTCTCTGGTCCTGGGCAGGGGAGAGCATAATTACGAAGCCCATAATTCCATAACAAAGCCCAAGGAACGCATTCTTCGTGATCCAATCGTGCCGGGAACTGTTTGCCCTTGTTCACAGGGCGCGGACCCCTGCCCCATCTCCAAGAAGGATTGCCTCCACCCATCCATTTTGATGATGCCAAGCTGTCGCAGCACCCAGACTGGATCCGCCAAGATTGTGTGGGTCAATTCATCGGATTAAGCTTCTTCACGTAGGGCAGAGGCGGAGCCAGTCCAATCTGTACTTCAGATCAAATGCATCGGACTTGTGAAGTCGAGGCTTGGCAGGCCTCCTTCAACCCCAGAAATCAGAAAGTCGCCGCGAAAAATATTTTTTTACGCCCTTTCAGTTTTTCATGTCTTACTTTGTAAACTCTTCAGATTTGCAAAACGCACCTCGAGATCAAGAGCATGGGACCTCCAAAAGTTCGTCTCCATATAATATCCACCTCATTTTCGTTGGCGTTCAGCCGTCGCGGTCCAAACTTGCCAGTTTAGGAATAGGATCGGCGCTACACTTGCACTTGCAGAAAGGTGAGAAGGGGAAGCAGGCATGCGAGGAATACGCAGTGAGGAGGTTAGCGGCTACCAGCCCCATTGAGCTCAGCCACTCCCTGGCACTTTGGGGCACCTTGACTCACAGGTCGCGACGTGACTGAAAACTGACCATGTAACCCTGGAGGCCGAGGTAGATGTGCTATAAACCATTTGGTATCTCGCCATAATAACACCGGATGTTCAGAATAGGTAACCAGAGCGTTGTAAGCTGCATATTCCGCCCTTCTTTCGTAATAGTAGTTATAACACTGGATTCACTAATCAACCCTTTCTCCCGCGACTTGGAGTTTCAACAATAGCCGGGGTAACAACAGCCCGCCACTGAAGCTTCACCCTTGGCACATGGGTTGGGATGTCGAAGGGATCACAAAGGTACTTCGTATTGGAGAAATCCCCTAGTGAATCTGCAAGTTATCGGAGTCAGGACATGACGACTTGAATCAAAAGGACCTACATACTACTATGTCAATACTAGGCAGCAACGGGGCAGTGAAAATAGCTCGTCGATCAATTCGATGCCTTGCAAATCTTGAACTCCGGAAGGGTGACATATCACAACATCTTGCAGAGTAATCTCGGGGGACTGGGAGGCGGCGGCGCCCTCAGCCGCTCGGCTTCTGGCAGGTTTCACCGCGGACAGCCCTATGCTCGCTTGTGTAAAGGGAGGGAGCCCACGTTCTTTTGACCAACCTGATTAAGAACAGGCTCGCCAAGGATTTTTCTGTAGGATTCGGAGACATCATGCTATTTCGGAAGAACGTTGTCGATAGCGGGTATCTCAGACCGCCCCAAAGGCGCCTTCAACGGGCTTCGACTCTGATGATGGGAATCCAGCATCGGCTTCGGAATGAGAGTCCGTCTCTTCTTTCCATATTGGATTAGACAGTCTCCATGTAAGGACAGCTGGGCGGAGTGCTTTGTCCAAGGTTACACTTTCAGTCAAACGCGGCGCCCCACCGTTGCCAGAACAGCGTGGAGAAGTAGTACTGTTAAGTTTCAACACATCTTGTTCATTTTCGGCTCGCCGAGCCCACTTTTCGAAAGTACTGCCGCCACTCTTGCCCTGCTACGTATGTCCGGTCGACCATTCGGCATCCTGCCCGGTTCGAAGCGACTCGAATACTATCTCTTAACTACCCAGTAAAGAACAAGAAGGCCAGTGAAAGCTTCTCAGAAAATGGGGCCGGCCTACAACCTTGAAAATCCGGCTTGTAAATACAAGTTCCTTCGATCCGTTCTAGACCTGATGTCAATTCACCTTGAATTCGAATAATCTACGAAGTACTAACATCCTAATCAGCATCTCACATTGAGCATTGTACCGAGTATTGTCACTCGTTTCTTTCCGTCGAACATATAGCAAGGCAGCGGTTGCGAAAGATCGCCAACCCAAACGTTGCAGAATGCTGATGGGAGAGGCCGAATTGGACCATAGCCCTTGAAAATGCCGGTCCTGCCCACTTTGTACAGCGTATCTATCCATTGGAAGTTTGGAACCCAAGAAAGCTGCTCCGGCCCTAACTACCGCGTCGCGTATCCCATTTTAGTTTACTTTCCCGTCACAGGGCGGGTACCTTCGTACCCCCGATCAACCCGGTGGGGCAGCAAAACCTGCCCAGACCCGGAAGAGCGGGGCCCACCCGCGTTGCGGTCACCGACCCCGAGTGAACTCTCGGTTATCCGGGTGCATGATCAGTTCGAAAGCAGGGCCTGGGGAATAATATTTTTCTTTTCTAACTAGAAGAAGTCATCATTGCGTCACTTCCAGACCAGAACACACTCCTCAACACGAGGGGGTAAATCGGCCAACCATAAATATCTTCGCCTCTGGCTTTCCAGTCCTCTCCTGGCAAGGATGCTGCCAAGGAATAAACGTCGCGAACGCCACACAGTCCACACCGCCCCCTGTGACAAAGCTCCCCGCCCCCTGTGACAAAGCTCCCCGCCTACAGTCTTCCTCACAACCCTTGTCCCAATAATCACCACACTCCCACAGCTTCGGAAGCTCGCCACATCTTCTCACCAACTCCACATCCTCTTAGCTATAGAGAAAAGCGAATCGCATCATTAGGACTTAATCCATACTATACATCACCTGGATTTTTTAATCGTCCTGCTGAGTTCTCCTATTTGCCGGACATATTGGCGCGACAACCCGTCCGAATACGGCATATTGTGCTTCAGCGTTCCGGATTTGCGATTCAACAAAAGAATTCTCTTTACCAGCCCCAAAATGCTCCCAGAAGAAGAGCGCCCGCTTGTTTATTTCGTTCTAACAAACGACTTCAACCAAAGCACCCAACCTTCTAGTATTAACCGCCATTCCTATGAAGCCAAGATCTGCTTCATGAATGCCCAACCTATCAGCGGATGTCAGCCAGGCTCGCGTTGCATAACATGCCGCTCAGCCACTGCGCGCCACGTGATGTGAGTCTGGAGATGCAGGTTTGTCTCGAATTTTGAGGCGGACACGGCTCCAGAGTCCAGCCCCTCTCGAAGGCGAAGGAAACGCTCAAGTGCTCGCTTCACTTAATATTCTGCCACGTACCGAGGGAGCTGTGCGCCCTTTGAGTTCCACTGGACACAAGCGCCTAAGGCACAACGTTACCGCAATTGCCGCGTGCCATGGATCCCTTGTCTATCTTGGGGATTGCTACGGCAGCGGTCCAATTTCTGGACTTCGGTCTGAAAGGGTGCCATTGGGTTCTTGGGCTTTATTCTGACTATAAGAATGAGGCGACTATTGGGCAAGCGCCGTTTAAGGCTACTGCTGCAGATTTGGTTCGCTTCTCCAAGCAGTGTGACAGTCAGTGGATGTTGGTGTCTTCCAACTTGGATCCTAATGCGAGTGAGGAGATCCAGGAGGTGGGTTAATGAGCACACTTGTCACGCACTCGTGGCTATTCATCAAGCTTACCTCCTGACGCGCGATTAGTGCCTCCAAGCAATCAGTTCCTTGATTAAGGAGTGTGCGCCTGTCGCACTAGAGCTCTTGCAGCGGTTTGACAAATTGGACCAGATCAAGAATCACAAGGCCTCCGGGCTTGGCGCTATGAAATCACGACTGGATAGGATGATGATGGTATGGAAGAGGGATGAAATTACCTCCAGGATAGACCAGCTCTCAGCTTGCCAATCTCAATTGTCACTACGGCTCCTGCAGTATTTGACTTTGAGGTTCGACATGGCCAACACGTCTCTGGAGCAAAGGTATTCAAAGATCGTCGAGGTTCTAACTATATCGGAGGATAGAGTAAGGACAATCGAAGAACAGAACCAATCAATCTCTCGGTCACTCGAGGCGTCTCAACTCCAAGCCGAGGACTACCACGAACAAACAATCGCAGCTCTTCTCACCCGGGAAGACGGCGAGGTGAAGTTCATTAGACCCAAAGATCCCCAAAAGGCCCACATCTACAACGGTCCACAGAAGCTATTGACTCTTCGTACGGAGCCGGGCTCAGCACCGCCTGCGCCAACCATCCAAGACTTCAAGCCCATGCAGGAGAGAATACTCAGGTATCTCTACCACGAAGAACTTTCACATCGGTACGAAAGCGTCAATGAAACTCACGCCAAGACATATGAATGGATCTTCCAAAAGCCAACGACGCAAAGCCCACAAGTCCGGTGGTCACCGTTTCCGCAGTGGTTGGAGAAAGGTAGCGGTTGCTATTGGATTAATGGGAAAGCTGGCTCAGGAAAGTCAACTTTAGCCAAGTTCATCTGCGAGGATCCGAGGACGGGAGCGGCCTTGAAGAAGTGGGCCAAATCTGCGAATCGCGAGCTCTGCTATGCCTCGTTCTTCTTTTGGAATCTCGGATCGTGGATTCAAAAGTCTCAAGCGGGCCTCATTAGATCACTTCTTTTCGATCTTCTGCGCGATCGACGGCATCTAATTTCAGTGATAATGCCAGAGCTATGGTCCATCAGTAACAACAAGCACTCACGGGATGGCCCTTCTATAGAACTTCTCCGGTGGCTCAGGCGATTGCCGAATATCATAGACTCGAAATATCGGATCTGCTTTCTTATTGACGGAATCGACGAATACGATGGGATTTCAATGATATCATTGATATTATTGAATCCTTGTCCTCAAATGAGCATATCAAGTTTATCATCTCGAGTCGTCCGATTCCGAGTTGCGTTGACGCATTCGACAACTCTCCGAGCCTTCGACTTCAGGATTTGAAGATGGGCGATATTATAACGTATACTTCGGATATTCTCAGAGCTCGACTCGAGAAACGTCACGGAGAGGTCTGGAAAGAGATTGTAGATCAGATTGGAGAGAAGTCTTGCGGCGTGTTCCTCTGGGTCGTCCTAGTTGTTCGCTCGGTTCTTGTCGGGCTCCAGAACTGGGACTCACTCGATGAAATCCTCCAACGCCTAGACGAACTTCCGTCCGATCTGAAGGACTTGTACGCCCATATGCTCAAACGAATGCCCCTATCTTACCGGCAGCAGGCATCCGAGCTGTTCCAGATTGCCGTTCATTTCCTCGATGTCCAACCAGATGAGTTGATGACTCCACTCCAGCTTCACTTTGCCACCGCAATCAATGATATTATGGACATACTGAAGTGGCCTATTGAGTATCTCTGCGAGAGCGATCAAGAGAAAGCTGTAGATTCTATCGAAGGGAGACTCAGAAGTAGGTGCTGCGGGCTATTGGAGGTCCGCCAAATGAAATTCCATATGGTCCAGGGCTTTTCTTCCTCTATACTCCGGGAACCTCATGTCCACTTCATTCATCGGACGGCAGTTGAATTCCTACATCTGCCCGGAATCTGGAGTGACATTCTATCTCTAACGGCGGAGACCGATTTCAACTCCTCTGTGAGTCTGTTTAGGTCTTGTCTTCTCCTATGCAAGGCCCAGCCATCAGAGCTTAGAATACGGCCAGCGGATAACTTGGTGTGGCACTATATGACCTGCGCAATGGAATATGCCTCGTTGGCCGAGGATGCAAGCAGTCCGGTCTCGTCAATACTACTTGATGAACTGGATAGAGTTATTCGTCATCATTGGGAAGCAGCATCACGATTTGAGTTTGGGGACTTATCTTGCGAAACTAAAGGCCATTGGGCCCAGGGATTCTCAATGACCGCATATTCCGATCTCCCGCAATCCCTCCAACTTCTTGAGGCGCGATCAATTTCAATGGGACTTGCTCTTGAGGACTCTACGAGGCCATTTGGGTTCCACACTCTGGCTGTTCTTCATAGCCTCCACAACTTTCTTCGCGAGCGACCACCTCCCACTGACAACAGCCATGGCGCCTCACCATCGACATCCACCAGACTTCTAACTGACGCTCTGAATTACCTTTTCTACAAAAAGACGTGGACAGGGCAACGTTCTAAGGCCATCATCCAACGCTACGCCGACATATGTACCCTCCTGCTGAGCCAAGGTGCAGATCCGAATGCGACATTTCCTCACGCAAGGAAAGGCCCCTGGGGCTTGATGCTCGAGTTCGGCCTCAAAGGATGCGATGATGTTGGTGCGTTTCGCGGTCCATACCGCACGAAGGGCTCTTCCTTTGTCTACTCAAGGCTTCTCGTCTCATTTATCCAAGCTGGAGCTGACCCTCACCACCTCGTGAATTCGAGTTCCACATCCCAATTCGGGAGGCAAGGCCTGGCTTATTCCATACAGCAGATTATCGACATCCTATTTGCTCAAAACATCAATGGTCCAAGACATTTACAAATGCAGGAAGAGCCGGACACCGAGATGAAGAGTTTCCATGGCTACTTGTCAGGATTAATCCAGCAGAGTATCTCAACTTATCAACCGACATCCGAACAGCAATCGACCACCAAACCATATCGCAGCAAAAGAGCGTCTTTCCTGAGGCGAAACACGAAGTCTACCAACGATGTTTCGATGAGTGGCTCCACTTCGTCCAGTATGAAGAAGTTCGGTCAACTTTTAGCACCTTGGAAGCGTAATTCGGACTCATCATCGCAACGGTCACTGTCTGATATCGATGAGAACGGGTTATAGAGAGCTGGTAAGTGAGTTGGTGATACGGAGACCGTGGGGATATCTTCTGCTGCCGCCGTACAATTCGCTTTTTTTCCCGGTGTCGCTTTGTTAGGTCTTAGTTACCCCATTATCATACCTTCGAATGTTTCCAAGCCGACGAATGTGTATTGCTTACTCTGTGGCGAGAAGGGCGGGGGGGGGTAAAGTAAGGTAGAGCGATATGGCATCTAAATGACCCCATTTACCATGTAAAGTTGGCTCTTACGTGAGTTTCGTGATCCTGCTTTGGGTAGTTTCTTATTTTGTAAATTTGGGCGGTAGCTGTAGCTTCTCAGACCAAGCTCCATCATGACTGTATAACGGCGCCAGCCTAGCCCCCTCCTTCCTAAACCCTAAGTAGGGGTGCTCCTTGCTCACCATACCTGGCCTCCTTATGGAATATTCGATCCACGGAGTTCGCTCTTTGTACTGGGAATCGTTGCATAGCCAACTTCCCGGGGAGAGCTAGGAGTGACAGGAGTAGAGCTTGCCTCAAGGAGTCCAACTGGTCAGAATCAAAACCCCTCTCTGGCCCCCTCTCTTCTGTCCTGCCCCTCTTTGCCTGGGTTCCCTCCCTAACTTCTCCTTTCCTCTCTTTCCTCTCTGCCCGTCCCCAACCTACCCCGGTCATGGGTGTCCCAAAGAGATATCAAGACAGCGGCTACGAAAGATCGCCAACCCCAACCTTACAGCGGATGATGCCAGATTGCACCAATGACTCTTGGAAATCTTAGTCCCGTTCACTTTATATCTGCCAATTGGCAGTTTAGAACACAAGAATGTTACTCCGGCCCTTGTTGCCGCGTCGCATGTCCCGTTTTAATTTAGTTTCCCGTGACCGGGCGGGTACCTTCGTACTCCGATCAATCTCCGTGGAGCAACAACGCTCGTCCGGACCGGACACGAAAAAACGGGGGCTCGGCCGGCGTTGCGGACAATGACCCCAAGTTAACTTTTCAGGCGCATGATTTATTTGCAGTTCGAGGGCAGGGCCTGCGGAATAGCCATCTATTCGCTTCTGAAGAAAAAAACCTTCTCTCTAGATCTCTCTGCTTTCAGTTTATATTAGTATTTCTTTCTGACTGGAAGAATCTGTCATTGTGTCACTTCCAGACCAGAACGCACTCTTCAACACTGATTAATTCCTCATACACAGTCTTGCAAGGAACAAGTTGGCTAATTGTATTAACTACCTCCAGCCTTCTAGCCCTCCCACTGCAAGGACGCTGGCAAGGAGTAAACAGAGTGATCGCCGCAGTCCACACAGCCTTTGGCTCCGTCACAGTGACCACCGCATTCCGGACCCTGAGTTATGTTCGGAGTACAGAGCGACTCACCACATCTTCTCACCAACTCCGAATCCTCTCGGCTCTCGGGAAATGCGACCCACGTCTCCAGGATGTAGTCCATACAACTCATCGTCAGTATCTTAGTCTTTCTCGACTCGCTTAATTTGCTCTTCAGTGTATGGTTTGCCGATTCCGCGAGAAGACCCGACTGCACATGGACTTGGTGGGCTAGTTGATTATATATTGCTGCTGGTAATTAAATGCCGTACATTCTCTGTCCCTCAGCTACTTATCTCACTGCGAAGTAATGTAACGCACCCCACTGATAGCCAGTCGAGAAGGTCATATACCGGGAATCCATTGTCCCCGTCAGTGGTGCTCTTGAGGCCGCATCTCCTTCATACTTGTATACATCGAAGTGTCTTGCCCAAAACGAAAACCTCACGGCAGCTCCTGTCTCCAACTACGAGGTAATGCAGGTGCACGTCTGCATCAGTCGTCCAACGTAGAACAGTCTCTAGTTGTCCGAGGTGATCAATTTCTGCCCTGGCGTTGTTACTCATCGTCAGCGGCGGCGCAGGTCCTCGGAACCAGGTCAAACTAGAGGTTTGTTAGCGTCCCGATCTACCGTACATAGTATTATTCCTTGGGAGAAGATATTAACGGAGAAAAAAGACTTACTTCTTGGCTCTTCAAGTCCCATCTTCTGCTGATAGATACACCGAAGAGCGTCCTAAGAGCGTTGTTAGAGGGGGATACGACATGTTGGGGTAAATGATGGTTTATACTTACGGCGCGGAAACCTGTCCGAATACGGCATACTCTGCTTCTGCGCCGTAACAATATTCCCAAGCCAACTCAGTGGAAGACCCACCAGAGGCGTAGATCCGACCTTTGATGTCAACACCTACATCAATCTATCATTTATAGAGAGAAAATTTGAGTATATACCATATGTATAGGTTGGTTAATTCTGCTTCCCAAACTTACCGCAGAGTTGGGGACACCTAGGGCCGCGTCGAAGACGATGCCAAAGGTAATGACCGGGGTTCTGGAAAAGAAAAACATAGAAAAGTCATGTGAGTAATCTCTCCCTAGATCGTTGTACGCGTGTAGTTATCGACTTACACTACGGCCTCTACCAGGCCTTCGGCATGGACATTATACGTGAACTGAGGCTTTCCGGAGACAGCTAGTCCGGAGCCCGCATCCTCGATAACTGGCTCGTCATCGACATCGGGGTTGAATGGACGTGTCCAAGTAGATGGGGCAGGATATTGCTGCATAAAGTCCCACTTGGCAACATCAAATGAAACTCGAGCATTTCTAGAGATGAACCATTAGCAAGGGCGAGTTGGTCGTCTGGAGGATTTTCTAGGGCTTCGCTTTTCTGCTACTCACGCGTTTAACGTCGCCCTTCCGTTGAGTTGACTCAGCAGGCGGAATTGAGGCCCAATTGTGACGATGCCAGGAATCTTGAAGCTAGCACCGAGAGCCGCGACTCCTGTTGTATGACCGGGGAGTAGTTGTCAGCCTAAAAACTTCTTTATATTCTCGAGAAGGGCATGGGTGGTTGCACATACCGAAGAGTTCTTTGGTCCCAGTGGAGAACCGGAGCTCGGCGTCTGCCTGGAAGTTTAGAGACACCTCGATATCACCCTTGTTCCTGAATGTCGCGTGCGACTGTTCGAAGCTAGCAAGGTCTGTCAAGTCTCCGATAAGCGTCACCACAGCCGCCGTTTCCACGTTAATGTTCAAGTCCGCCCAAATTTTCGCGTACACATCGACGCCAGGACATTCCTTTTCCTGCTCGAATAGAATCAACCTGACGTTCTCGTGGACGCCGTGGCGCACGAGATCGTAGTCCAGGTCCACTTGCTTCTGTCGGTTAACCCAATCTGCCACAGCGACTGAGAACCAGCGCTTGTGTAGCTCATCCATCTCGTGCTCGGGAGTGGAACGTCTTTCGACACGCCATGTGTGGTCGAGGTACCGTTCCCATGATGCACTATGCATTGTTTTGACTTCATGCTCGATCTCACGCTTTGACTTTTTGGAACCGGGTGCGGCGGCTACGGGAATGGCTCTAGTCAGTAAATCCGGAAACATGTACGCATGGGCCGTCGAAAAAGTGATCGTTTTGGGCCATTTGGGGGGAACTGTGGGGGGATCTTACCAACAATCTCGGACCAATATCCGGGGTTGTCACTGTAGTCGATACGTAGCTTTATGCGCTTGTCTCGCCGCCCCTGGAGTCTGTGGAAGCCGTAGTCGAAAGTCAGGTTGTATACCCTCGGTTGGATGACACCGCGCTTCGATAGCCTCCGTTTCAGGGACTTGGGTATGGTCACGGGGGTATCCTCGCTTATCAAATCCAGACTCACAGCCATGGCGTACTTCCCAGGACCGCAGTGGTCCGGCATCTCCACGACTGTATCCGGGACGCCTCCTTTGAAGATGACGCCGCAGTTGCTCTCGTCAGACTCGTCCGTACAAACAATTTTTGCTGTCTGTCTTCCTTCATGCGCTTCTTCATCACAATCGAAAACCTCCCAGTGCGACCCATCCCGCTTATCCAAGCTAGAGATGTCCTCTTCAGGGCCGGACATGATGTGCCAACCAAAGCTGTTAGCATCAGGATCGTCGCTACCACTGGGACGACGTTTGCCACCCATAGACTCGTCGACCTGGATTGCAAATGTTTGCTTATCAGACTCTAGAATCTCGTCGTGGTCCGGGAAAAGGTTCTCCAAGGGAACGAGTAAATCTCGGATTTTGACCCTGAGGTCATCCGCATCACAGCACAGCTGAGGCCAGAAAATCAGGTCCGCCTGTAGGTTGGGCGGTGAGAGGCCAGCAGGCGCCTTCTGACGACATTCTATCCCTCCACCCATCTCATGCCTGCCGAAACTCACCTCGTTTCCGTAGCAGTCGGGGTTACATCCATCAAAAGGGTTAGCTCTCCAAACACACGAAGACATATCCACGTCACCCTCGCAACAGAGAGCTTCGTACCCAGACCGGCATTTTCTCCCCTTGCGGAAGGTAGCAAACTTCTTTCCTGGTCCGCATGGGTCGGAGCCCGCCGGCTTTCTGGTCGACATGTCAATGTCGATGCAGTTACCCTCATCCCACTCACAGAGCTTGGTACCGCCTTCTTCTATCTCGCAGCAGTAGTCGGCTTCTCCAACGAATGAGCAAGCTCTATCCTTGCCTTCAGAGTTCTTATAGTATTGGCTCGTCGCGATACGAAACTCTCCCACCCGGCAACTATTCGTTTGCTCGCACTCAAGCCCCCCAAAAAGGGTTGGAGCGCTCCAGCGACAACTCTCCGGGTCCGGCGAGTTGTTCATGGGGCAGCATAAATGCTGGTAGGGTTTGTTCACCGATGACTTCGGAAACCAGGGGCATCGGACGGTGGTGATGATGTTGGTTCCTGGAGGGCATGAGCCGTCGCAATCTATGAAATGGCAATCCAAAACGTCAGTTTGTTTAAGTTATACACGCGAACACAAATCTGGATGAGATGTGCGCGGCAAGAGTTTCTATGGGAAACAAGAGCGGCTGAGGCTTACTTGACCAGAAGCAAGAACCATCTAGATCGACGGTGCGCCAGTCTTGCCCGTCACCGACAGCGCCGTTAACGTCCCTGAACTTTCCAAGGCCATCGGGTTGTAATACAGCGTCAAGGAGCGAGTTCTCATACGTATCCTGATCAATGGCCCATATGAACAAACCGCGAAGGCTGTCAAAATATGCGCATTTAGTTGGTGATATGAACGACTTCACTGCGGCGGTATAGTGATATGGTGTGAAGTAAACACTTACCCGAGATCATTAGCGAACTCGACCTTCTTCTGGATCGTGTGTTCGTCGTCGTAGGACACCCACTGGTCTTTTTGGTAACTATGGACTGGGTTAGCAGAGAATAACAGAGTAGAGCCGGTGTTTGACGTATTATTTTAGTGGGAAGATTTACGTAAAGTACATCACCTCCTCCTGCTCGTCGTATACTGGTTTAGGACTCCAAGCTTGTCGGACTTCGTCAATGTCCGCATACGACATATACCCCCCTTGGCCCTTCACAAACAAACGTTAATGGATCAAAGCCTAGAGCCTTTGGAAGATGAACAGCCGGGTCTTACTGAACAGGGCCCGACAACACCGGGGCGAGAGAACGGGCAACCAGGTACCGCACAGGACGGGTCTTCCAGCGTATAACTCCTATTTAACTCAAGTATATATATGTTAGTATCACCGCGACAAAATTCTTCCCAACCCCGTATCGATGGACCACATTTGGCCTACCTCCCATAAAATGCAAGGCCAAGGTTGACTTTATTGGCGGGGACACCATTCCGCCATAGAAGGTCGAGTCCTTGCCGAATCTCTGTTAGATTCGTATGGGCATAGACATGAGGGCCGATCCAATCCGAATCTTGGTCCCAGCTGCCGTGACTAAAAAATTTGGAACGAAATTGGAAGGTCAGTCAAGGCACGCAAAATAACGAGCAGGAACCCACCCCCCGCGGGGGAGGCTGTAGCGTCAATGCATGGTTGCCCTTACATGTCGTAAGTCATCAAATTGATCCAGTCCACATAAGGGTGTAAATTCCCTATATCAAACCAACGCATGTACCAAAAGGATGTCGGCGCCGTGAAGGAGACGCCCCATCCTCGTCCGTCAAGCGCGAAGCGGTCGTGGATATCTTTCATCAAATATACGAAATTCTGAACATCGCGGTCCTGCCCACCGCGATCCGGCGCGCCTGGATACTCCCAGTCCAGATCGACGCCATCAAAGCCCCATTCAAGCATAAACGTCATCAACCTATCAATGAAAATCTGCCTCTTTTCAGGCGTACTGGAGAGGTCGCCAAAAACTGGTTGCGTGTCGGTACCGTTGTCGCTGAATGTCCAACCGCCCAAGGCTAACCAAACTTTGAGGCCTGGAGCGTGCTGCTTCAGATTCGTGACACTTTGAAAGCCGGCGATGGAGGCGCCCCGAATAGGATGAATCTCGTATGTTTCGGGCGTGATAAACCCAAAGGCAACATTGATATGGGTCAGGGAGTCAACCCGGATGTGACTGAGGTCCCTCTGCGCGCAGCCTCGGCTGAGCAAATTCCATGACTCCCAGTAGCCAATGACGAGATCACGCACGTCGCTGCCGTGCTGCCCTGAGGGGCTGGGTTGTTCACAGTTGCTCTGGCATCCTGCGCCGCAGAATTCCTACAATCACCCGCCTTCTTTGAGTACAACAACACGCGAGGTGGCTTTGAGTGAGTGTAGAAGAGACCCAGGCTCACCTCTGTATAACCGCAAAAACCCCATGGACCACAGCACACATTGAGTGGACATTCCTTGCCGGGCGGGTCCGCGTATTGGCCGCATTCGGGTTTAGCATCACAGTCGGCAACACATTGGCTTCCGCAGTGAGCATCTTCGAATCCACACTAAGATTCAGAGGAGGAAATGAAGTCAGTGAGAATCGCCATGGATACTTTGGGCGTTACGGATATAGAGTTTAATGTTGAACATACAAACCCGCTGTGAAGAAGGTGGAATATGGTTAGTCTCCGCTTTACTTACCCACAGATATCCTAGACAGCTCCGCAAATGTAAACGTACCTAACGCCATTGCAGCACGCCGTTGGTGAGCGGCATGGATTGCTTACGGAGCAGCCATCTTGTCGGGGAGAAAGATTCTGAAGTGGATTTGACGTCTCTTCCGGCGATGCCAGTGAGTAACCGACTAACTGAAAAGCTGCTGTAAGACATAGTAGATGTGACAAGGCGACACCGCGATGCGGCAGAAACGTAAGAGGACGCATCTCTCAGGTAAGAATGCAGTAGCAAAAGTAAAAGGCAAAATAACTGAAACGAAAACTATAATTATAAAAGAGTGTGCGACTACAACGGGGCCAGCGAAACTGTAAGGAGTGATGAAATAAGGGCTGGAGGGAATTGAAAGGGTATAAGTGAGAAGACGGTTAGAGTGACAGCTCTATCATACGAAGCTAGAGCATGCCAAGGGGTTGAAAACCCCTTGTGCTCTATGATTACGACGGGAAGCAGACAAGCAGACAATCACATTGTATCTCTACTTCCAACTAGATACGGTGAATGTCACTTACCCCCGGAGACCCCGGGGGTTGGCTGTGTGTCTAATCAACACCGTCGACCGGTCCAACTCTACATGGCACGTTTGTGTCTACCGGGGGCTATTCTCTTTTTCACGGTGGCGCTTCTCTGAGGGTCCTGGATACAACCCCTCTAATACCCACTAATCTCTTGGCCGCCTGATTGCTCATCTCTCCCCCCGCAACCTGCAGGAACGGACGCCACCAACAACTTCTCTACATGAGTTTAACGATATAATATCCATTTAGCTTCAGGGGTATGTTGCAGGGAAGCTGTGGTCATACAACACCACCCCAAAGAACCCCGCTGCGGGGGGCCTCGATATCTCGCACTTCAGCGTGGGATTCATCTCCCTCTCAAACGAGTAACGGATTATGTGTCGAAGAGGAAGGCCACTGATTCTCAGTATGCGGAGCTGTTTTCATTCAGTCGGCTGTTCGGCGAGGCTAATCTACCTCCTGCTGCTGCTTTCACAAAACAAGGTCTTTTTCCGTCCCCCTTTCCTTTCCTAGCTCGTCTCCAACCCACTTCACCTTCCTAAGGCCTCCTATGCCCTCAGATTATTTGGCAATGGTGCGCGGTTTCCTGTTCGCGCTTTCTATTCTCCTGGCCGTACGGCCTGCTGTCGGCGCCGTGAACATTGCCAACATCACTCCCCCTTTAGTTGGTCTCTCCTCAACCTGCATCCAAGTGCTCAATCAGCCTCTGAACTGCGACCCACTGCTCCTCGAGATCGATCCCCAAGTCTATGAGAATGACACAACCCTGAGCACGGTATGCACATCCGCCTGCACTGCTGCTCTAGACCAGTATCGGCGACGAGTGACGGGAGCCTGCGGAGCTAGCAGGTACTCGGCGAGTGATGGCTGGAGCTATCATGTCCTCTACGCCTTTCAGCTCATTTTCGAAAAGTATGAGGCGGTGTGTCTTCAGGACGGGTAAGTAGTTCCTTTTCCAATACTTGCACGAGTACGAGAGTGAGCGAGAGGAGGGTAGTTACCCTCGGAATAGCAGACGTTATTATTTAGGTGACCATTATTTATTTCATGCTGACCGCCTTTTGTTTCCCTTCCTTTCTAGAGGCGGTCGACGATGCAATGCGGTCATCCGTGATGCGCTCCATATCGATCCAGACACGCAAAAATCAACTGCGAACCCGGGTATGACGAGGAGTTTTTCTCCGTCTTTTTTTTTTCCTTTCAAAATGTCCAGCTTTCTTTTATTCTTATTACGATCGTGTTCCTAAATCGCTAACTCCAATGCAGACCCAACCGCACTTTGTGATGACTGCTTCCTCTCGAGCGTGAGGCTCCGCCTTCAGCAGCCACTCGCGTCTGATGAAGCGGTATCAACTTTTTTCGACTCGTTGACTTCGACTTGCGGCGTGACGACGATCTCGATCACGACGCCTGCCACAACAACTTGGGCTATCCCGTAAGTTGCCCCTTCAACCCACCGTCATTTAGTGCACTTTTTCTAATGGAGGCCATTGCGCCAGTGGAACCGAAGTTCCCGGACCGACTCCAACATGCCAAGGGACAACGTACACTATCCAGCCGGGAGACACCTGTCAGAGCATATCTCTCGGCGAAGGGATTAGTACCGCCCAGCTTCTGATCGCCAATAGCCTCCCCGCATATTGTAGTGGATTTCCGACCGAGGGATCGATCTGCATCCCGGATGCGCTTGTCTGCCAGCCCTATCAATTGACGACGGGCGCTCAGTGCAGAGACGTGGCATCGGCGAATGAGATTTCTTGGACGCAGGTCGTGAGCTGGAACCGCGAAGTCGGCACCTACTGCGAGAATATCAACAAGCTCTCAAGCAGGGGGTTCGTCCTCTGCGTATCGAACCCTGGTGGGTCCTGGGAGCACCCCGAGCCTGAGGAAGAGCCGACCATGCCTTCGCCAAAGACCACGGCGGAACCGATGTAAGTCTCTACTAAGCAAAAGGGACAAGAACACAACCCCTTATCTCAGGCTATGATATGAGAGATGGAGCTGACATCAACACCAAAACTTGTTAGACCCAACACGCTGCCGTTCTCAACTGTTGCCAGCCTTCCGACGCCCGCACGCCTAGAGACTCTCCCTAACCTTGGGTATCTCGACCCTTTAGCCAACGGCACACTCGATGACTGCGAACAGTACGCGAGTGGACCGGTATACAACTATGAAGTTGACTCGTTTAATCCTGAGGTCATCTACTCCTGCGAGGGCGTCGCCGCAGCCTATGATATCTCTCTGAGCGACTTCCTTGAGTGGAACCCGGATCTCTTGGAAACGCCAGGCGTAATAGATGAGTGTGAGTTACAAGACGGGTTCCGCTATTGTGTGCAGCGAGTACGGCCAAAGTCGTCGGGTATGACGGGGTACTGCGTCCGCGAAACATATGTTGAGCCCGGCTGGTCGTGTGCGGAGCTTCTGTTTTGGACGGACATTTCCATTGCGCGATTTGCGGCCTGGAATCCCGCCGTTGGGCCGAATTGTGGAAACTTTAAGACTGGTAAGTCGAGGCTATTCGTCTAGAAACACACATCAACCGTTCACGGATTGTTAACGACAGCAGGACTCACTTACTGTACGGATGTTAGGCATTTTAGGCCTCCAGGTTCGTTCTCCCCACTGCGCTAACAACCTCACAGGGCTAAGCCGCAGCTAATGGCTTTGCTTTTCTAGGTCAAATATCAACTTGTATCCGATGGGCGATGGCCAACACCACAGATCGTGAGCTGACCCCTGTCCCCAACATTCTTATGTGCTGGGATTGGCATTAACATTCTGAAAAGCGGCCGACGACCCTTGCGGGCAATTCGAAGACAATTACGGAATACCTCTCGCCCGCTTCGTTGCCTGGAATCCGACCGTTCTATCGAACTGTGAGTGAATTAAACCTTGTGATTCCTTCATAGGCTCACGCCGCCATTACTAACATTGTCGGCTCAGGCTCTGGGATCGAGCTGCATTACGACTATTGCGTTGCGACACCGACCTGGCCCCCTCCTTCTTGAACCCCGAGTGGCGATCCTCTTGGCTCGCCATTCTAATCTAGTTAGCTTCCTCGTTTTCATGGAGATGTTCCTCTTTGGTATTCCTCGTTGGTGGCTGGCTGCAGAACCGAAGGGAGGCGCCATGCCCTCTTTGGCAACCCATCAATTGGTCGGTGGAAGACAAGCCTGTGCTTCTTTATCAATCGCTCGTTTCATGCATAGGTCCCAATTGGGTGCCTGAGCCTTGCTCTTCCCCCCACGGTCACCTGCATAAAATTGCTCAAGGTAGTATTTGATGTATGTGACATCCTCGTATATGTACGGAGTAGTAAATATAATTACTAGGTGGCATCAGCCAGTGCCAGAATCTGTCCTTGTGTAACGCGACTAGTGAAATCTGATCTGATAACGGTAGTATCCCTGCTCCTGGGCCATCGTTTTATAGCCCGTGAGAGTGACGAGTGTGACGGGAATAGGGCTTCCCAAGGAGCCAAACCGACCAACATCAAAAGACCCCTCGCTCGTCCCCTCATCTCCATGCCCTCCCTGCCCCCTTCCCCCCTTTTCCCCATCCCCCATTCCCCCTCTCCCCGACCATGGATGTGTATCCCCGCGCTGATGGCGAGGGCCAAGAGGCGGTTTATGAATCCTACTTTGAGGAACTTCAACAAGAATTCGACGACCAGTCCGTGCTCTGTCTCGTACGGGTCGCTGTTCAATTTGCCACAGGGCAATCAACACTCGAGCAGTATCTCGATGATATCCTTGCCCACTTGCGAAAGGACGGTCCACGGCATGCCTACGACGTCCCAAGTCCATTTGGCGAGTTCTACTTGGAGCTTGACTTGATTGGGGGTGCTGTGAAAGCACGCATGTTCACTCCGGGGTTCGTCCCACTCTCTGAACAAGGTACGGCCCGAATCCTTCCCCCGAACGACGATCCCTCGTGACGTGGGACGCCACCAACACCAGGTTTCATTTCTTGAGGCATTTTCCCTCCCTTCCTTTTACCCATTTCCACTTAGGTTAACATCACTCCTTCGTTTTACAGAGTGGGGTATTCTCAGAAAAGCAGCTCATCTCGCTTACACGACAGGCAACCCTGTCGAATTTGATCGAAAAAGTCAGGATGAGAGTCTGGAGCTGTCCAGACTCTCCCCTGAAAGTGTGGACATTCTGGCCATTATTTGCTATGCCCGCAGGCACGTGAAACTTCTCCCCCATTTGCTTGGCATGTTCCCGGCCGTTCCGGAATCGACGACATTTGATGCATTCGATACGGTAGTGCTCGAGCCTCGGTTAAATCCGTATCTCGGACGCTGGGGGCATTCGAAAATGGGAAGAATGGAGTACATTACAATCGAGGCGCAGCTGTGGACTGCTATCTTGAATGCGGGCTGGATCCACGATGCTGCCATACAGGAGATCGGCTACAGGCTGCACCGCGAGCTATACCCTTCCTGCAGGGCTGGAGAGGACGGCATTCCTTTTGGAACACCCGTTTTCTTCGACTGGATCCAGGCGGTTGCCAACCGTCTCCGTCCTTACGTGGACTTCGTGGGAACTCTGTTGATATGTTGTAGAACGTTAGAGGAGGCTCGGGACGTGGTCGCTGTCTTTCCCCTCGACAAGATATACAACCTCGACAACATGCGCAAGGAGCGAGAAGCAGGTTCCCCTCTAGTGCGATCAGGCGATATACCAGTTCTCATTGCCGAGTCCAATGTCCAAGATGAGGCCCTGAAGATCGACATCCTACAGCTAGTGTTGGACTGGTATCAAGATGTGGACCTGAATGGCACAATGGACCGGTGGGAAGAGTGCAGCCACATGACTTACTTCACGGCCCTCCACAGAGCAGCGCAGCGGGGAGATGAAGCCCTCGCCCGATTCCTTGTCGAGAAGGGCGCTCGGGTTGACAAGGTTGAGCGACTCTCCGGCTTGACGGCGAGCGGGTTCGCGAGAAGGGAGGGCCATGAAGCTCTAGCAGTGTGGCTTGAAAACCAACCGACGGCGCACGACGGATAAGGATGATTCAGGAAGAATTGGAAGCTGGGTCGTGTATGGAGAAAGCCATCACTATAACTAATGCCAAGACCAAATCGTATGAGTCTCTTTGAGTGGGAGAGCGCCACCAACATCGCTAACCTAGGGTTTGTGCATCAAGCACTAAGATGAAGAGAAAGATAAGATCATATTATCAAATCCCTGGGCTAGATTAAGAGTAATCACACCTTTAAAGCATGCGATGAGGGGGTTGTGAAGCATTATCAGGAAAAAGGTTTCGGCCGAGCTATTATCCTCAGTGATACCCGCGCATGTTCGGCTTCCACATTCAACCAAACCAGTCTTCGCCAAGGGGCTGCGAGCCGAGGCCGCTGAATTGGCACATGTCCCTAGCTCTCAATTGAGGTTCCGTGAGAACCGTCGGTACTGTCGCGTTCCATTCAGGTCCCATCCGTCCCATCCCGGGACCTAGCTCATCAGTAAGCTCCTCCCCAAGAGTCCACGTCCTCGTACTAGTAATCTGCCACATCTTCAACGTCCTGACATCAACGGCGATCAACCTGGTCCCGGTCCTTTTCCTGGCTAAAGTAGGTGCCTCGTGAGACCAGAAGATATTACCCGGCCGCCCTAGACTGGTGGCATGCGTGGGATCATACCGTCTCAGCTCAGCGGGGGTTTCCGACATGATGTAAATGTCACCGGAACACGCCTGAGCCATGGCTGTCGACATTTGCTGGAAATAACGCGTGGCCGGGCCCACCCCCACTCGTCCTCCTGCCTCCCACTCCAAATTCTTGAGATATATAGCCTTGAGCCAGGCATCCTTGTTATAGACTGCATAGAAGTCATTTACGCCGGGATGACTCAATGAGTCGTGTTTGTTAGGAAACAGATGCTGAGAGTAGAGAGACATGGTCAGTAACTAGGTGTCGATAACGCTCTCTGGCAGAACATGCGGGTCGATAGGATCGGGTGGGACGAAGGGCAGGGACCCAGAACCAGAACCAGGAGAAGAAGGGGGGGGAGGGCAAAGAAGGAGAAAAAGACCAAGAAGAAGAGAAAAATGAAAAAGAACAAAAAGAAAAGAAAAAAGAAGGAAAAAGAGAACAGGAAAAAAAAAAACGGGCAGGGTTAGGATCCGCACGCACCCATATCGTATATCGGGTACGACCGCTGGAACACGCCCATTCTGTGGCATCATAGGACAAGCCGTCGCCGTGACTAACGCTCTTCGTATAGAACACGCAAGTGTGTCTGAGGGCCGTCTCATCGCCCTTTATGTACCTTCTGAAGGTTTCGGGCTTCAAGAAATTTAGGATCGATTCCGCACTATCCATATCAACTGCGCCGCGGCCCTTGTCGGTGCAAAAGATGCAATTTGCCATCTTAAACGCCGGGCCCAACGTTCGCCACTCTTCGGGGGGTTCATTGACGCGAGGACGAAGGTGCCGGCGCTCGATCTCGGATATATTTGCCACTGGGTCGGGCCATCGTGCGACGCCGCCCTCCTGCGCGAAGCGTGGGGCTACGGCCAAAGCACGCTTGTTGAACTCGTCCGAGGCGCTTGTGCTCCAAAGATATCGCGGTCCCAGAATGTGGTGAGCAGGGGATAAAGGAATGCCAATTTCTAGCTCTGAGGTCGGCGAAGAGCCTAGATTGCTGATCGCGAACGCCGAGGCATGGCCAAAAAGAAGAGAAAGTAGGAGAACATTGATGGCGTAGAGCCAACAAAACCGCCGTGCATTGGTCATGCCTTTTTTTATCACGGCTATTGGGGCCAGATACTTATTAAGAAGGAAAACCTCTGTGAATTTTCAAAATGAGAGTGACAGTTCCAGAAGGAATGAAATGAACGGCTTGCACCGAGATCTTTCGGCGTTTGGATAGAGAGAGAAGACTCTCCTCTTCGAGAAAGACGATGAAAATAATGGGGCACGGTTTTGATAAAAGGTGAAGGGGAGGGAAGGCCAAGGCCAAAGATGGAAAGGTAGCATTGTCAGCTTCCACATTTTCTTGCCCATCATCTTTTCACCCAAAACCCAGGGCCCCATCGAGAGCAATACCGTAAGGGTGCATCTACTACTAAATTGGGAATCGTGCCACACTTTACTCCTTCGATGTTGAAACGAAATGACCGTATTGCCCTTCCATCTCCTCCCCCAGCAGCCATTGCTTGGCATATTAGAGAACTAGACTTCGTCTCCCGCAGCATGGCGTGGGATAAATGGAGGGCTGCGTTGGTGATAACGCACCTCATGATGCACTCGCCGCCACCTGCGGGTTCTACTAGGCGAGATTACTATCCCCCCATCACACTCTTTTTTCGGTGAGGCACATGGAACCTTGGCCCATTTCTGGGCGTTCAAAGCAGAACGCTTACAGGGGTGCAAGAGCATGATTCCATGTCTTCTTCGCTTTCTCAGGTAGCACTTCTGCTTGCGCGGGAGAGGTATTTTTTTCCAAGGCAAGTATCTGTACATCTCTCGGTAACTTGTGCTTGTAACTCCATCCTGCTGGTAGGCGCAAGTGCCTCAAGGCAAGGCCCACCAGCATCAGCAGACCAGGTTGTTGTCAATATTATCCTTGCATATGCCTTGGATATGCAAAGCACATATGAAAAACTGCACGTTCGAGTCGGGCGATGCTGCTTGAAGGCGGAATGGTCTGGTTGCTCTCGCTTATCGCGGAAATACTGATGATTTGGGGCCTTGTTGTGGATGATATAAGAATGGTCCAAAGATAGTGAAAGTGGCACGGCAACCCACCAAGCCTCCGATTCCTAATTTCTATCGGTCTTTGAAAGATATATCGTAGATATGAAAGTGTCCTGTTTTGTTCTCACGACGGCATTCTGGGCAGTGTTGGCCCGGGCCGAGTGGATGGTCGACCCCCCAACAACCGCAGACCCAAATACCCCAGAAGACTGCACATGGTGGCATATCGCGGAGGCGTCAGACACCTGCTCCTCTATTTCCGATGATTACTTCATAACCGAGCCTTCATTCGTCTCATACGTAAGTTTTTTGGTACCTCTAACAGCCCATATATATCGTGGAGGTGCATCAACGCTCTAACATACTCCTTCGCCGAGAAATAGAACCCTTCGTTGAGCTCGTCATGCGACCTTATCCAAGGCAACTCCTATTGTGTTGAGAGGAACTGGGGGATCCCACCCGAGGAACCAGAGCCCTCCACGACGAGTTCAGCGGCGCCGTCTACCACCACGGAACCTGGAACGGGTGTAGAGACCCCATCCCCCATCCAAGAGGGCATGACGGAGGACTGCAACGACTTTTATTTTGTAAAGGCTGGGGACAGTTGTGCCATGATTGCCTCGTCGCATCATATTTCCCTCTCGGATTTCTATGACTGGAACCCTGCCGTCAAGCCTGACTGCACAGGCTTGTGGGCCAACGTCTACGTTTGTGTCGGAACAATTGGCGGTTCCACTCCATCCCCAACACCCACGAGCACGGGACCGCCTGGGAATGGAATTGAAACACCGACTCCCATCCAAGAGGGCATGACGGATGAATGCGAAGACTTTTACCTGGTCCAGCCCGGTGATGGCTGTGCCGCTATCGCATCTACGCACGGAATCTCCCTTTCCGACTTTTACGAGTGGAATCCAGCAGTCGGATCCGACTGCGTCGGTTTGTGGGCCAACGTCTACGTGTGCGTGGGCAACATTGGTGGATCTCCTCCACCGACCTCGACCGTGTCATCGACCACTACCACTACCCCAGGCAACGGCATTACGACGCCGACGCCGACTCAGCCCGGCATGGTGGATGATTGCGACACGTTTCACTTTGTCGAGTCCGGACAAGGCTGCGCTCTCATCGCAGGGCAGTACGGTATTTCTCTTTCCGATTTCTATACCTGGAATCCAACGGTTGGCGAGAACTGTGGAGGCCTGTGGGCCAACGTATACGTGTGCGTCAGTGTAATTGGGGGCTCCCCTCCCGAACCGACGCCGACGCAACCCGGAAACGGAATCACAACGCCAACACCGGTCCTTCCTGGGATGGTGGACGACTGTGATGTGTTTCACAAAGTCGAGGCTGGCGATGGATGCTGGGACCTGGCAACAGCAGCCGGGATTAGTTTGGACGACTTTTATGCATGGAACCCACAGGCTGCCCCGAATTGTGCCGGGCTATGGGTTGGATACTACGTGTGCCTATCTCGGCTGTGAGGCCATGCCATGGTTTCTTAAGGACAACGTATCGCGATCAAGACGAAGGACTGATTAGCGACATAGAACTAGTGCAAAATCTATCCATTATTATTAAAGACTCGTAATAGTTGATATAGCTATGATCACTGGTGAAACGCAGACGGAAACAGATTTCAGTAATCAATTGGTAAACAATGGTATGTCGGTGTAAAGGGATTGACTGCTCAAAAGGTGTAAATAGTATAAGCGATATAGGTGAGCTCTCTATTATTAAACCCGGAGGGTAATATCCCCTGCAACATGTAGCATGAGACTAGACACCCAGCACGCATGGGAGGTTGCATTGTCACCATCTCCTAACCACGGGTTCCGGGTATGGCATCGTGGTAGTCTTAGTGGGGACGGACGTTGAAGAGCTGGGGGCAGTGCGTGGAATATGACCTGCGTTGGGAAAGCAAAGCAATCACCAATCACAAGAAGCCCGTATAGCTCAGTGGTAGAGCGCATCACTAGTAAAGCTGGTGAATGATGAGGTCCCTGGTTCGATCCCAGGTGTGGGCAGAGATTCCTCTTTTTGGCAGCATTATCAACTCACTTTTTTTTTTTTTTCTAGTTTCTTGATTTTTCCCCTTTCCTAATACTTTTCGAGGAGAATACAGTTTTCTCGTAGAGTCTGTCAAGGCGCGCAATTGGGACGGTGGATTTTCAAGAAGCCGCAGTTTCTCAGTGTTGTCGACAATTGCCCAATCTTCCTGAGAGAAAGCCAGGAGGCGCTGAGAATCCAAGCAAGGCCCTTAAGACAAGAATGCATTGGAATCTCTCGAGCGGATCAAGTTTAACTGATGCCCACATTAGAGTAGTTGGAGGCGCATGTGTTTTCTCCTCTCTGATTACCAGCTCGTCGAAGATCGCTTAAAATTACGTTGAGTTCGGAATGGATTCTTCCACCTTTTCTTCTATCATTGCGACCTTAGTCCCGAGAACATAAAAGTGGTCTCTTTGAAGAGGTCTCTTGATGCCGTTGATTGGGAGATGGCTGGGATTGTTCCCGGTGAATGGATAAGCACCGCCGACCCCATTTTCCCTCCGTTTCAGTTGAACTTGGACGGCAGATAAATGTCCTTCGCAGGGTGCAGCGGCTGGAGTTGGTGGCACGAAATCTGCGACATGAGCCCGGAGCTGCCCTGATTCCAAAACGTCAGCCTCTTCTGGTGGTTCCTGGTTTCTATAAGCTTCTGCGTTAGGGTAACCAATTCCAAAGTCTTCAAGGGCACGGCAGCATCCGCGTCTCTATGCCAGCGAAAGACATCGCACATGGCCGGGATCATGCCGCTGATACATGTAGACTCCCATGCACATGCAGATATCAAGTGCTTGACTCCTGTCTTGCATTCGAAAGACGCCGCGCCGAAATCCAGACCCGATGTGGCCGCCCCTGAGTGGCAACAGTCAAAGATGAGAAGGACGTTGCCGCCGGCTTCCATGATAACGTCTCTGATCGAAGCCCAGGTGAAGATACTGGGACTTGCTTCTCGACTAAATCAGATCAATGTGTCAGAATCTTGTTCCAAATGAGGCTTTAGCGTCAACTTGTCTCTGCCGATGTTGAAAGTAGTCTTAAGAGGCTGGGGAACACGGACCCATCAAAGGCAGGGCGGCGCCGGTAGTCATCAGAAGAGCCATATCCCGAGAAGACAAGCCCCAGGCTATGATCAGAGCCGCCATGTCCTGAGTAGACGAGAATGAGCAAGGAATCCGGTCCGGCCTTACGCACAAACTTGCGAACGCGCTGTTGGACACGGAGTTGAGACTGGCCGCTAGGGATCTTGAACCCCTCAATATCGTATCCACTCCCCCCAAACGCTTGCCAGATGGAGTCTTCTTCGGCCTTGATATCCTTGGCGGGAAGGTCAGTCTCGGCCCACGACATCATGAGCACATGGCCGCGCTTGCATTCCTTGGTTTCAAACGCAAGAGTAAACTGCTGTTCTTGATACCGCTCAAACTCGTTCCCGCGACGCCTAGAGATGGCCGAGGTTGTTGCATCTCCTAGGCCGCTTCGGAGCGTGATGACGTCGCCGTTACTCACGGTGTGTTCGGTGGTGGGATCCCGGAGTCGAGTTATTTCTCTGTCATGAAGGAAATGGTGTTGGTCTCCGCTTCGGACGCCTGTCCTTTGCGCAACGAGATCTCGAAGGTCGCTAAGTGTTGTGGATGGTCTAATCGTGATGGTTTCGGTCGGAGCATCACCATTAGACAGGAAGCTGAAATCCTCGCAGTCACTCTCGTCTGAAGTGCTTTGATCTGTGTCGTCCTCCTCCCCCAGGGTATCGTTGTCGGCAACCGCAAGGTTACCAATGAGCCTGCCTATTAGCCCGAGATCCATCTCGAACAATGCTTCTCAGTCGCTCTAAGTGAAGCAGGTGCAAGAATTGAAGGGTCCACGACGGCGCCGCCCGCTCATGTGCGTTTTACGTCCGTACGCATAACACCTGCCACCCGATCAGGCCCCCAATTGATCGCAATTTTCGCTCACCCTTGACCCTCACAGCTGCTTTTGGATTGAGCTCATACCACAGGCCAAGAAAGAGTCGGCAAGCATCGGATTCAGAGACCAATCGCATTCTTGTAACTTCATTTTTCAGCGTGGCAAATATCCCAAAAGTCACACTACTAGCAAGCCCGAGTGGTCTTGTTCAGCCCGTCCCGTGTCTCATAAATCCGCATTTTCTTAGCAAGTGGCTGAAGACGACTTCCTTCCAGTGGTCTACCTTTTCTTGGGGTTATCAGCCCACCACAAATGTTTTCCACCCATAGAATCGCATGGATAAACAGGACATTCTAAACTAGGTGCATACCTTGAATATGTCCGCTTTGGGCCGCGATGATGCGTCGCAACTTGCCCCGGATTCTCAAAGAATTCACTTCTGAAGATATTTTCATGTATACTATCCCACGCCTCATATATAGCGTCAGCTAAACGCCCTTTTGGCAAACGCTAGGCTTCAGGGTACCAGTCGTCTATATGTTCTTCATCTTGTCCCAGATGGCCTCGATTGGGTTTAAATCTGGGCTGCAAGGCGGCCAGCTAGGAGCCGGAATGCTGCGAAGAAGAATGTCATTTCTTGCCTCAATCTCATGGTGGCCAGGGACGCTATCGTGCTGGAATCGAAGACGCCGCTTTAACTGATGCCGTCCGTCTACCAGCGGCATAAAGTACCGATTCTTATTGGCTACAAATCTCATGATGCCCGTGTAGGCTGCGAAGCGAGACGGTTATTTACAATTATCAGCTCCTCCTTTCGGACGTGTTGGTGGCTGCAAAGCAGGTGGTCTGATGCGGTCATTCCATTCAGTTTATCTGTTCTGAGCAGGCATGTTTTCAACACTTTGCTCAACCGCTTGGAGACATTCCCCATCAGGCCACCACGGCGGGCCAGCCTACACGACATGCAGCAAAACATATGGGGAAGCCGGTACACGCTCTTAAATGGTCATCAGAGCCTTCTCTGCGGGATATTTGTTTGTCTATGCATTCTGATGCCTCCATGAACCGCACTGAAAACACGCCCTTTGATTCTGAACAAACCCGGATCGGGAATCTGCTCTCATGGTACTAGGCTGGTTCAACTCTCAATTACTGTGAAACAAAGACAGATTATAGCTGACACTTAGTTAGGCTCGGAGAAGCGACGATTACGGCTTCAAGATTCTACCAGGGCCGGAAAACCCTGACGCTGAGTGGGCCTCTCCAATCTTGGCTGATCCACGGGATGGTATACTGATGGTAGCAGAATTGTCTTTGTCCATGGGCTCAACGGCCATCAAGTAGCTTCATGGACAAGCGGGAAAACTACAGACCCCGCGAGCGTTTTCTAGCCCGAGAAGTTGTTGGCCGAAGACTGCCCAACCGCACGAATTCTAATGTACGGATATGATGCAACTCTATCTCTCTTCATGGCCGGACCTGGTCATCCAATTGACATCTTCCGGGCCGGCCAAAACCTCGTCAACTCTCTAGTTACCAAGAGACGGGCCGAAAACGGCCGAGACTGCGTAAGGCGACATGGTTGTCGAGATATGTCAGATCCTTCAAGCCACTGACTTGTAGCCATCAGATCGAGAGACCAATCATCTTCATTGCGCACTCTTTAGGAAGTCTAGTTATTAAGCAGGTAGGTGAGTCTAGGGCACAAGTCTGGTGAGATTCACATCGTCTTTTACAAACTGATCATCTCAGGCCATTATAGACTCGCTCTCAGATGTAAAAAAAGATCGCGCTTCAATAGCTCAATTCACAAGAGCAATCCTTATTACAATCCTAACACTAGCCTGTTGACAGTATCAGGTGGATACAACTAGTAATAGGATTAAAGTAGTTGTTTATTAGTAGTAGAGTAAGGTAGTTAAGTAGTGTTTATAAGATATAAATAAGAAGTGTATATTTAAGTATAGGGGTATAGTTATATTTAAATTAACTACTAGAGAGTTTTAAAAGATAAACTAGATATATAGTAGAGACTATAGTTTATATAGACATTTCTCTTCTAAGCTTTTCTTAAGATTAATAACTAATTTATTTAATCTTTAATATAAAATTATAATAAACTAATTATTAGTTTTATTAGTTTTTAATAAATTAGTAAGATTATTTTTTAATTTTATTAATCTTATTTTTATTAGTTTATAATTTTCTATAGTTTACTTTTTACTATTATATTTAATTACTTTAGTTTTTAAAATAATTAACTTATAATATAATATTTCCTTTTTTTTAGTTTTTATTTTTAAAGATTTATAAATAAATTATTTATTTATTAATTTCTTATTTTTATAAGTTTTCCTTTTCTAATTACTATTAATAATATTATTTTAATTAGTATATTAGATTATATTAAAAAATATTATATTTATAATTTAGTTTTTTTATAAAAAAAATAAAAAGTTAAAATTTTAATTAAATATATTATTTTTAAAAATAATAAAAATAATATATTATATTTATATTATTATTATTTAAAAAAGCTTTATAAGATTATTTAGGGTTTATCTTACTATAATTTTTATATTATTATTAAAATAACTTATAATAATATATTTATAATTTTTTTTTATAAATATTATCTTTTTTTTAGTTAGTTTTTTTATTTATAATATTAATATCTTTTTTATTTTTATAGTTTTTTAGATAATAATTAAAATTAAAAAAGTAAAGTTAGTAATTAAAAAGGCTAAAGAAGATCTAGTAGAGATTTTAAATTATTTAGTTTACTTTTATAATTAATAAAATTATTAAAGGAAAAAAATATATCTTTATTTAAGTAAAATATATAGGGGCTTATAAAGGAAGAAAATATTATATTTTTAGAAGAGTAGTAGCTAGTTAATAATATCTAATCTTTAGGTATATTTAATATAGTTAATTAAAACTTAATAGACTTAGATCTATTATTAATAGATCTTCGAGCTTTTTTAAATATTTTTAGTAAAATATAATAAAAAGTTACTAGCTTTCTATTAAATATTTAATAAGCTTTTAAATATTTTTATTATATTTAGAATTTTTCTATTTAACTAAATACTTAACTTTTTTATTATTATTATTTATTAAATTAAAAATTTTTTTAATATTTTAAATATCTTTTTTAAATTTAATTATAATAAACTTTTTTATAAAGATATATTAAGATAAAGTAATATAGCCTACTTAAAATACTATAAAAAATAAGAAAAGAAATAGTTAGTTAAGATAATTAAAAATAATTCCTATAAGAAGCTACTATAATTCTACTTATAGTATATTAGTATATAGGGCAACTAGTAGTAGCGCCGCTACATTACAGATCAGTAACACTATAAAAGTCTAGAGTACTATATATCTAATCTTTATTTATATATAAAAGGCTATAGTAGCCCTTATTTTATAAAATAGAACTTAAAAAGGATAATAGTATAGAAGAAGGTAAAGAATAGTATTATAATAGTAAGTAATTAGTTATTCTCTACTAGCTAGTAAGTTATTATAAAAGTTAATCTTTTATTATTTTTCTTTTAATAATATTTTTTCTTATTTTTAAGTTTTCTTTTTCTTCTCTTTAAATATAAAACTCTATAATATAGATTCTAACTAATTAATAACTTCTTAAATATCTTATTTAACTATTAGATTAATCTAATAACTATTAAAAGATTTCTCTTATATAGTATAGCTTTTAGCTATTACTAGTTATTCTAGTAGGTAAGTAATAGTCTTATTTATAATATTAGGTTATATTATTTAGCTCTAATAAATTAGAAGTCTAACTAGGATTTACTTAGTAAGTTTAAGAAGTTTTTTTTATAAGCTATAAGTATACTACTTATAAAATAAATTATTAAAAATATAATAAGAGAGCTAAGGGCTAAAGACCTTAGAAGATTAAGATAATAATAATAGCTAAGGGGAGTAAATATTAATCTGGATTAATAAGTTAGAAAGTAAATATCTTTATAAAGAGAGTTTTTATTAATTAACTAAAATTGTTAATTATAATTAAAAAACTCTATCCTAAGAGTAAGGGTTTAACTAAACTAGTATATACTAGTTTCTTATTATAAAAATAGATTATAGAAATTAAAAGTAAACTATTATAATTTATTAATTAATAATTAATAAGTTAAGAAAAAACTTTTCTATTAAAAATCTTTATTAGGATATTAATTATTTTCTTATTAAGATTTATTTTAATTATTAAATTAAAATAACTTATTTTTATTAGATATCTTTTCTACTATACTTAGCTATATTATAAAGTAAACTTTTTAAAAGATAAACTTAAAAACTTTTATAGAAAGAAGGGAAAGATAAAAAAATAAAAAGTATTTTCTATTACTTTTAATTATCTTTTATATTCTTATCTAACTACTTAAAAACTATATCCTTATTTAGAAAAGTTACCTTAATACTTATTTAATATATCTTCTTTATTAATTTTTTATTTAAAGGTTTTATATATAGATTTTTTATCTAATAAAAAGAAAACTATTTTAGATTTAGCTTTAAAAAGTAAAGATATTCTTATAAATAAAGGTTTCTATAGCTTTTTAAATTAGATAATAACTAAAGATAAAGTTTTAATCTTTAATAGAAATAATATTATTAAGTTTTTTAATAACTATAAAGATATTATCTATTATTATTATAGTAGGTTTACTAGTAAGTATATAATTTTCTATAAGGCTATTTATAAAGCTAATCTTAGTATTAAGTTTACTATCTAAGATATCTTTAATATTACTAAAAACTAGAAAGATATTAAGAAATAATTATTTAACTTATTCTAGTTTAATAATATTTTATAGCTTAGAAGCTATAAAAATAAATATATTAAATATTTAAAGAGGAAG